ACTCGCTCACTGTTGGAGCTGAATTCTTATTTCGATACAATGGTACGTTGCACATTTCATCAGTCTCAAGGTGTTCAACTTGAATGAATCACCCTAATACTTGTTATTTTCCAATTATGTTAAGTTTTTATCCTACCATTTGGTAGTTATCAAGTTATTATTGTTTTTGGGCATTTTCATTTATCCCCAGTACATCTTTACCATTCAATGTACAAGTAATTCACACCAACACTGTTTTCCTTATCCCAGCAAAGATAACACTGAATTGCATCTTGTGAAAGTTTTATTGAAAATGTCAATTGCATATGAGCTGACATTCTTATTTATGCTTTATGCCATGTTGATGTATTGAAATTTCAGGTGAGCTACTGGACCCACACCTTTTACATTTCTTTGTTGTATGTGCTTTAGCACAGCAGAAAGAATTCCATTTGGTCTGCTGGTGTCCCCTTGGAGTTCTCCTTGCTATAGATATACAACTCAACATTAGCTGAGGACCACTCCTTTGATTAAAGATAGCTATTTTGGTCCTCAGCAAATGTTGAGTTGTATATATTGCTGCTGTTCTCTGTAGTGTAGATATATCATGTTGGATATAGTCTTTTTATAGGATGTTCTACTTCAGATGGATACCTCCGAGTCACTGTACTATTTGTGTTATCTGAAGATGGAGTTAATCCATGTGGATTACAAGTATTAATGCATCTATAAAATGAATTTGATATTGTATATTTTGTACTGTTTCTTCCTTACTTGTTACAGTTGTACATACTTAGTGTTGGATTCTAGATTACTCCAGGGTAACAATCTGTTAGTCTATTTTCTAAAATAACACACCCCAAATGACAGGTTCCTCTTATGCAAGTAAAGAGTGCTATGTTTTGTCTGGACTTCGTTTCATCTTTCAACGGAAACAATCGGTTATAAGAGGCGACCAAATGGATTGGGTGTCAGGCTCGATGACTTGGTTGATAGTGTGTACCCCACGACCGCATCGATTGTTGCTCACAATCTCGATCACAGGATTGTCTTGTCCAGATTCGATTATATACAGGCTGACTTCATATAGCTGGAATGTTGCTGAGTGTAATGTTAAAGAACAAACAAAGAAGCAGTTAAGTTCTGTGCAGGATTAGACCAGGTTTAGGCAGTCACTGTCTCCCTGACATGGTGACTCATCACCAAGATTACAATAGGTATTTTCATACCAAAGTTTTTCAGCCTTATAAAAAAATCCGACCTCAAAATACCTTGACATGATTTTTCGGTGCATTTTTTTTTAGCTAGTTCCTCTAGTCCCATTTCGCTTGCACTAGCAAATCGACAGTCCCTAGTTGCGATCAACAGCTTCAGTGACCTCTGAACCAAATCCCAACAATATGAAACGTCTGTCCAAAATTACAATTTCACATCGAACATTGCACTGATAAGGGAGGTCACCGCCTACAAACTATTGCACTTCCCTATCGTGACACAGATAATTCCATGCTTGTCCTTAAAGGCGACTAACCGGATCGGGTGGTCAGGCTCGCTGACTTGGTTGATGCATGTCATCGTATCCAAATTGTATGGATCCATGCTCATGATGTCAACCACTGGATTGTCTGGTCCAGACACGATTATATACTGACCGCCGTCATATAGCTGGAATATTGCTGAGTGCGGCGTTAAACAACAAACAAACACAGATAATTCACCAGTGTCAACATACTGACATTCATACCTACAGACTGTAGACGTCTTCAAACGTTTAGTATGTATCCCTTCAAAACACTTGACGTAAAAGAGCTTCATAAACTCAAGCGTTTGTTTGATTGTCATGGCTAGAGTTTTTGGGAAGCTCCTTCTATGTCTGTCCCGCCGTTATATGACTGAGATATTGTTGAAAGCGGCGTTTAAGACCATACCCATGAACGGCTGCACCCCTAATGGTTTATTCTCCTTGCAGTGTTTTATTGTACGAATCGCAACCACTCGTCTTTTTTCTTAATATTGCTATCGGGGGCGGTCGGGTAGCCTAGTGGTTAAAGCGTTCGCTCGTCACGCCGAAGACCCGGGTTCGATTCCCGACATGGGCACAATGTGTGAAGCCCATTTCTGGTATCCCCCGCCGTGATATTGCTGGAATATTGCTAAAAGCGGCGTAAAACCATACTCACTCACTAATATTGCTATCAACATTCTTATGTAGCTCGGATACGTCAACAAAGTAGGTATTGTTGACTGAGATGCACAACACATCGACCGTGGTTACTGTGACACTAACTGTGTTGGCGAAAGTTGTATTGGTGGTACCGGCTCACGTGTGTTGTGAGATATTGTTCCTTCTGCGCATGTCATGATAACATTACAACGACGACATAGTCACTGCTATGTTTCTTCCACTTTCCAACTGCCCTTCAGTTTTTATCCCCCGCCCCACGAAGTTGGCGGGGGATATAGAAATGGGTTCCGTCCGTGTGTGCGTGCCTGCGTGTGTGCGTGTGTGCGTCCCGAAATCGTTTCCGGAGCATAACTCAGAAACCGTTAAATATTTCTCTACGAAACACTTTGCATGTCTATCAGACTCATGCTGAACTGGTGCCTTTTGCTATTTAGGAATTTTATTATTTTTTATTTTTTACGTTTCCATGGCAACAAGTTGGACTTAGGTTCTATAAGGGTGCTGTTCGTTTCCGGAGCGTAACTCAAAAACCATTAAATAATTTCTTACAAAACTTTGCATGTTTACCAGACACATACTGAACTGGTGCTTTTTGCTATATAGGAATTTTATAAATTTTCATTTTTTTCGTTTCCATGGCAACAAGTTGAACTTAGGTTCTATAAGGGTGCTGTTCGTTTCCGGAGCGTAACTCAAAAACCATTAAATAATTTCTTACAAAACTTTGCATGTTTACCAGACACATACTGAACTGGTGCTTTTTGCTATATAGGAATTTTATAAAAAAATTATTTTTTACGTTTCCATGGCAACAAGTTGAACTTAGGTTCTATAGGGGTGCTGTTTGTTTCCGGAACGTAACTCAAAAACCGTTAAATAATTTCTTACAAAACTTTGCATGTGTACCAGACACATACTGAACTGGTGCTTTTTGCTATATAGGAATTTTATAAATTTTTATTTTTTACGTTTCCATGGCAACAAGTTGAACTTAGGTTCTATAAGGGTGCTGTTCGTTTCCGGAGCGTAACTCAAAAACCGTTAAATAATTTCTTACAAAACTTTGCATGTTAACCAGACACATACTGAACTGGTGCTTTTTGCTATATAGGAATTTTATAAAAAAAATAACTTTTTACGTTTCCATGGCAACAAGTTGAACTTAGGTTCTATAGGGGTGCTGTTCGTTTCCGGAGCGTAACTCAAACACCGTTAAATAATTTCTTACAAAACTTTGCATGTTTACCAAACACACACTGAACTGGTGCTTTTTGCTATATAGGAATTTTATAAAAAAAATTATTTTTTACGTTTCCATGGCAACAAGTTGAAGTTAGGTTCTATAGGGGTGCTGTTCGTTTCCGGAGCGTAACTCAAAAACCATTAAATAATTTCTTACAAAACTTTGCATGTTTACCAGACACACACTGAACTGGTGCTTTTTGCTATATAGGAATTTTATAAAAAAAATTATTTTTTACGTTTCCATGGCAACAAGTTCAACTTAGGTTCTATAGGGGTGCTGTTCGATTCCGGAGCGTAACTCAAACACCGTTAAATAATTTCTTACAAAACTTTGCATGTTTACCAGACACACACTGAACTGGTGCTTTTTGCTATTTAGGAGTTTTATAAACTTTTATGTTTTACGTTTCATTGGCAACAAGTTGGACTTAGGTTCTATAGGGGTGCTGTTCGTTTCCGGAGCGTAACTCAAACACCGTTAAATAATTTCTTACAAAACTTTGCATGTTTACCAGACACATACTGAACTGGTGCCATTTGATATGAAGGAGTTTTATAAATGTTTATTTTAGAATTTCCATTGCAGCTATTTCAACATGGCCTAAGAGAAATGTTGGGTCAGTTACCTGGTTTGGGACCATAACGTGTTAAAATGGCGGGGGATATAGATGACTTCGTCGACTATACGCTTGTTTTAAGACTAAAATAGCACCATGCGTCGACATTTCCCCTTTTATTGGCAACGATCTCGTTGTGATTATCGGCCGTACCATAGTAACGCTTCGTCGAGAGAGGTGCCACAATGTGACAAAATGAATGGCAGTGTATTCTACGTCGTTGTAATATCTGAAATTACCTGTACCAGAAGGACTTACATTTATTTCATTATTTATAAAATCAAACAAATACAATTATTTACGCAATTTCTCAAAATGCCGAACTATTTAGATCGTTTTGCAATAAGTATTGTTGAAGGTTCAAGGAACCGAAGTTCAGGGCCCGCTCCACAAAGTGAGTGTCGGAAGTCAATGTTAAAGTATGGGAGTTGCGATCATCTTAGCGCTAAGATTGTTTTGTTGAAAGAGGCCCAGGGTACCGTTTCACAAAGCAGTCGTAAGCCTTACGAGCGTGTAAATTTACGACTGCTTTGTGAAACGGTACCCAGGCCCGTAGGAGCCTGGGGATGATTGTTCACACCATTTATACTTTCTTATCAACACATTTTTCACAATGAGAATTTTGCTCAAGCCCTTCACCCATTGGCCAACATCTACATACATAAAGAGCATTTGCTGCGAAACCGAATAGAATCAATGTAACTTGTATATACATATGTTTAGATTTATAATAATAAGTTTGGGCTCTCGTGAAGATCCTAAATCACTGTCATTGATCACATGGGGAAAAGTGGCTAGAAAGTAGACAGGTTATCTCGTCTCTCTCATACGGGCCTGCGTTTTACTGGTGTACTGGTAATACTATGCAGTCTTATACTCTGACCCATTCACGCCAACTGTTCTCCCACGGACATTCAGCCAACGGACGGCGTAACGTCGTCATAGTGTGATATGACGTCACAAACCGATGACGTCACAGACAAACGTCACAAGTGTGGTTGCACAGCTACGTCTAGCAACATATCAAACACAATATGCTTGAGTTTGACGAAAGGTAGACGGTCTTTTCGGGATGGGTGTGTGCACTCACAACATAGGTAGGTGCAATAACTGTTTCTCTTTTTTAATAGTGAAGAAAGACGGTTCTTTGCTGAATGGACTGAAGCTGGCGTTGCACGCATTTTGTCGAGTAGGATAAGATAATTCGATAGTGTTATGGGCAAGGTTAGGAGTATCGTGACGGGGGAAGAAGAGATCATGATCATGAGATCATGAGATCACTCGACACATGAAATATCCTATTTATTATACACTTTTTGTGTAGGTGTCAACCGGAAACAAATTCTCATTAGTATCTCAGATTTAGTACCTTGAAACGTACATTCTCCCTACTGAACACACAGGGACGCTTCACCACCCCTTGTGTACAATCTTAAACATTATTAGGGTCACGGAGATATGATTATATACAAAATCAACCTTAACAAAACTATTCTGGAAAACTAGGAGACCGCTGTAGAAGCGACAGAATACACTATGGTCAAGTAACAAAAGTGGCGCTTTGCGAAACGAACAATCTCGATTGACGAGTAGAAAAAGAAATTTACAATTTATAACGAAACATTTTCGAGAGAATGAAAAGCCTCAAGCAGTGATATTAACTCCATAAATGACCATTTGTCTTTAATTTTCCTTGCCAATGTGGAACTAATGTAAAAAGGACGTCAACGGGTTGTGTACGTGCTGCACACTTACGATAAAGGGAGACAATATAAGGGGAGGTAATTCTTGTATGACAATAGTTCCGTCAATGTTATGTTCACTGCAGTGAAATATCAAGTGTTATGTTCACTGAAGTGGAATTATTACTTTTCTCAACTTCAGAAAACTGAGTCTTTCACACTGAAGTATATAATAAAGTGTTCTCTCCATTTGACCACTACTGTTAGGCATACGTACCTGCTTGGCGCTCGACATTAAGGGGCTAACACAAGGACTGGTCGGCTGGGAGTCGGTATATTTTGTGTGAGTGGGGCATTCATGTTAAACTGCGGTATGGTATCTCAGTGGGCTAGCACTATAAAATCGACATTAGTCCGGACAAGCATCCATTCTCCTACCCAGAGTTCCATGCGACCGGCAGCCAGCCAGCATAGTACCTCTGCCACAGGCCAGCGCCATGTGACGATTCGTCACATCGTTCACAGTCCATTCAAGATGTTGCATATGCTTTTCATCCGTTTCATGTTTGACAAGTCTACACATTTTCTTAAACAAATGTCAAAGAATGGTTACGGTTCATTAAGAAAGAATCCTAAAATGTGAACATCTACTTGTTTTTGCGTATTTATCCTTTGTTTACATTGGTTGTACGGCTCCACGTGCTGTCATCGAAGCCCAACGGAGAGCTGGTGATACGGTCACTTTGATGTATAAATATATATTGTCATGCAACTCACTGTCGCAGTTGAAGTAGCATATCTATATAATTATCAAAAACAATATGTAAAGCGCCCCCAACTACTTGCATTAGTCCGATTCATACTGATTTCTGAAAAAGCGCGTTTGTTTACAAACAAGAGAAAAGTCCGGTCACGTGATATGCAAACTAGCCTGTGGCAGTGGTGTTATGCTGAGTCACCACTGCGCCGGAGTGTGACAAGCATCCACACACACGCACGCACGCACGCGCACACGCACACACACACACACACACACACACACACACACACACACACACACACGTGTATGTACGTCGCTATATAAGTGCAATAATCTTGAACGCGACGTTTAACCCCATTTCACCTCTCCATAAAGCGACTAACTTTTCATTTGAAAAGAATTATATTCATTCATTCAAAACACTTTATTGACAATAAGACTGATTGGAAAAAGCTCGGAGAGCTCACTCGGTTCTTTCCTTCCCAAAAGAATGCAATAATAATACATACAATATCACAATGCAATATAACAAAATAACACCGAAGATTGTTGACGTCATTCGACAATTGTGGTTTTCTGTGACGGCGGTCGTGATCAATACATTTTTTTAGGGGGAGCTAAAAGATATTAAGAAAAATATATATATATTAACACGAGTTGATAAATGTCGAAAAACGAGGTTTGCCGAGGTTTGCCGAGGAGTTTTTCCACGTTTATCAACGAGTGTTGATATATTTGATATCAAAAGACACGAGGGTGAGATTTTATTTATCATCCAACATCATTCTTCCAACTTTTTCAGTTTGTAGACAGTAATAAGCAGTGTCTTAGTGTAAAAAGTACCCAATGACATCACAATGGTCTGCAAAGCATTGTGATGCATTTTCATTGCAGCGATATCCTGTTGGAGCCATTTTTTTATGATAAAGAAATTGTAGTCGCATGTTTGACTTTTACAGACATGAGGTAAGAGTCCCTACATATCAGACCGCCTCCGTGGTCTAGTGGTAGACCGTCCGCCCGGAGATCGCAAAGTCCGGGGTTTGATCCCAGGCCGCATAATACCAAAGGTATTTGGTGTTTGTTTGCCTGTCTGGCGCTTGGTATTAAATGACTGAAACAAGGACTAGTCGGCTCGGAGTCAGTATACTGTGTCTGAGTTGGGTATTCGTGTTAAAAAGCGGCATGTTATCTCAGTGGGATGGCACTATAAAATCGGCATTAGTCAGGACTACTACAAGCAGCCACACACACACGTGCATGCACGTCACTATTTAAGTGCATTAATCTTGAACGCGACGTTGAACCCCATTTCACCTGACCTCACCTTAAGATCGAACAACCTTATAGAGCCCCTTTAGTTAGAATCTGATATGAGAGGATACACACGTCTCTGAATATCAAGTTAAAATATTTTTGTTTGTTTGTTTGTTGTTTAACGCCACACTCAGCAATATTCCAGCTATATGACGGCGTGAAAGTATTTGTTCACGTGCAGATAATATTGTCGAGTTATTTATTTACATCATCAATACATACGTGCCCTTCATAAAGTTGTGAAACAGTGTGTTTCGTGACATTTCCACTCCATCACGCCTATGAAGTCGAAGACATCACTAATTCATGCCGCCTTATGAGTGCAGGGGAGTGCCGTTCTTCACGCCGCTTCATGCAGTAAGAACGTTGGAGCATCATCTATATTGATTGCTGGCCGATGCACCGTGACGTCGAGGTGTTAAGTCAAAGTCATCTGCACAGCAACAAGGGCTAGGTTCATTCTCAGATCGAAGGGAGTCCCTGTTTTTCCCCAACATCTAACACGCAACGTTTACTGATTAACGGCGTTAATTCCTCCGTTAAATCGCGCAGGTAAATGTTAAGGTGTTAGGACGTACATATGGACACGCCAGTGTCAACGTCCCATGTGTAGACGGCGTCCAGGTAGAGAATTTGGACAGTTAGTGGACACGGGAGTCTGGTCGAGTTAGGCCGACTACAGCAATGAATGTAAACAACAGGCGCGGCGCTGGCGGTGAGCACATTTCATTTCTTCTGTAGATTGCGTCTGTGTTTGTTTGATTGTTTGTTTGTTGTTTAACGCCGCACTCAGCAATAGTCCAGCTATATGACGGGGGTCTGTAACATAATCGAGTCTTGACCAGACAATCCAGTGATTGACATCATGAGCTTCGATGCTCATTTGGATACGATGACATGCATCAACCAAGTCAGCGAGCCTGACCACCCGATCCCCTTAGTCGCCTTTTACGACAAGCATAGTCACCTTTTACGGCAAGCATGGGTTGCTGAAGACCTATTGTACCCCGGTGAAGATTCGAGTTAGAATTGGTCTTCAGCCGATGGCGAGATATATAGAGAATTCTACACTCATTCGCGTTAGATACCATTTTTACGAAACGAGTGGACTTTTTATGGTATCTGACTGAGCAAAAGCGAGGTCAGATACCATAGAAAGTTCACGAGTTTCGTAAAAATGGTATCTAACGAGAATGAGTGTGGTATTTTATTTATTGCCCACGTTAAATATATATTTAAGTGTAAATACATAACAACCTTCGTTCGTTGACAGACCAAACTGAAACCGGTTGCAAAATATGGTTGCACATGAATATTGATATATGCACCAAATATGGGCATTGTTGTCATTTCTATGCATACGCATTAACAACATACGCCTGCAGTTGTGTTTGCAAACAAAACAGCACCGACGCTCAAGATCCTTTTGAAAGAAATTCTTCAACTTATGGTAATTCAGTCGGTCACTCGCACTGCCGGTGTCCCGTCTGTGCAATCAAAATGGTCCGTTTCCTTGATCTATCAGCTGAATCTATATCATGTTCGTACCATTTTGGAAGAGGGAAATGTTAACTGTACCACCCTATACTGAAGACGTGAAAATCAACAAACTCAAGTTTGCTTGCATGTCAGTGACAGCTTCGAACGATCGAAGGGCAAGGTCACCACCGGAATAAGAAAAGACAAGCATGATGTAGGCCTACTCACAGCGTTTTACGCTAGAGATAGGGAATGTTATTGTTCACATTTGGGATGTTTGGGGCCACAAAATCAGAAGTCAGGCACACTTCCACGGAGTTTTCGAATGCTTTGTATCAGAACTGTTTACTTTTAGTGATCTGGTCGTGCAGTCGTGTACGTTCATTCATGAACAACGCCTCCCGTAACAGCGCCACAAAATACGCTTCGAAGGGGACACTGATGGCACAACCGGACCATCCCAAGCAAGTCTAAATATCTGTCCAGATAGTTTAAACAGACTTCATTTCACCACGCCTATCCTTTTACGTTAAATCAAATTGAAAGTTGCGAAAGTGGTCGGGTGCATCACGCTCATGGGGACCCTCGCTCTATTGATCGGTAGTCGTACATTGTAAATGGATATAGCTCGATTATATCATGTAGAAGCTCTATGCATAACTTATATATAATGCAAACCGAATTTGATGCGTGTGACTATTTTGTTTGGTTTAATAGAGTGTTTGTAAATATCTCTCGTTCTCAGTTCTGCCTTGTAGTTTCAAAATGAATGACGTCTCGCGATTTTTTATGAATGAAAAAAGTAGTCCTGGTGTGACAGAGGTCACGGTTAGCCAATCAAAAAAAACAAAAAACAAGGTCAACCTTGTACGACACACGTGTGACGTACGGATTTAGTATCTTACCCAAACTCCGGCGCAGTGGTGACTCAGCATAACACCACTGCCACAGGCTAATTTGCATAACACGTGACCGGACTTTTCTCTTGTTTGTAAACAAACGCGCTTTTTCAGAAATCAGTGTAGAACGGACTAATGCAAGTATTTGCGGGCGCTTTACTTATTGTTTTGCATAATTATATAGATATGCTACTACAACTGCGACAGTGAGTTGCATGACTATATATATTACATCAAAGTGACCGTATCGCTAGCTCTCCGTTGGGCTTCGATGACAGCACGTGGAGCCGTACAACCAATGTAAACAAAGGATAACTACGAAAAAACATTCTTTGACATTTGTTTATGAAAATGTGTAGACTTGTCAAACATGAAACGGATGAAAAGCATATTCAATATCTTGCATGGACTGTGAACGATGTGACGAATCGTCACATGGCGCTGGCTTGTGCCAGAGGTACTATGCTGGCTGGCTGCCGGCCGCAAGGAACTCTGGGTAGGAGAGTGGTGTAATAAGTATGGTTACATGACGTCATATCCGGGGACCCGTGAAGATTCCGGGGTAGAATAGGTCTTCAGCAACCCATGCTTGCCGCAAAAGGTGACTATGCTTGTCGTAAAAGGCGACTAACGGGATCGGGTGGTCAGGCTCGCTGACTTGGTTGATGCATGTCATCAATCCCAATTGCGTGGATCGATGCTCATGATGTCAATCACTGGATTGTCTGGTCCAGACTCGATTATTTACAGACCGCCGTCATATAGCTGGAATATTGCTGAGTGCGGCGTTAAACAACAAACCAACCAACCAACCAATCTTATCTGGGTATTTGCCACGAACGGATACTCGGTGATGACGGGTGACGCAGGAGAAAGAAGATACTGGCCACCCTATTGTTCTGCTAATGACATCACTGTCGTACAACGTATGTGTAGACACAAAAACGTTCACTACTCTCTCCTGGGCCCACTTGCACAAAACGATCTTAGCGCTAAGACTATTGTAAGCCTATGTTAAAGTATGGGAGTTAAGATCATCTTAGCGCTAAGCTCGCTTTGTGCAAGTGGACCCGGGTCTTACCATATTCTACGTCTGGGCAAATAACTGATCTGGCCGTCCTGTGTCACAGGGAAGACAAATTAAAGGCTCCGTAGCTCACCTCTCTCAAACTGTAGTGTATAGTAGGGATGCACCATGCTGCCGAGCAACTGATAGTATACACGTGGACATTCTAACTTCACTCTGCTCATTACTGTGTAGTAAACTACGGTTATAACGAACTCAAATGGACCACTTATTTTAGTTCGTTATAACCGTAGTTCGTTATAAGCACATATACAACATCTATACAGCAAATGGCCGGGACCAAAACTTCAGTTCGTAATATCCGTCAGTTCGTTATAAGCGTATTCTTTATAAACGTATTTAACTGTACTCATTGATATGATGCATGTTTTATCGTCTGGGATACTATGACATCACTGTCGAATAACCATTTCTTGTTTGTTTCATTCATCAACCATGGGTGTATACTTTGCAGTTTATACCTGTACAGACACTAACTGGTCAAAGACGTTTGTTTGTTTATGATGTAATAGTTACATCTGAGCTCATGTGATTGTCAAATGATAACATCACGTAAAGTCATTATGAACAATGGATGAAGTCTTTTACAGCTTTACTCTGACAAAAAAAGAAACGCAAGATGTATGTATTGTAGGTAGCATATAAATGCTATTTTTCAGGGCATTATCATTTGCAGAAGCCCGAGGTCTTCCATTAACTGCCCGACGAAGGTCTTTTCAACTGCCCTCCTTCGTCGGGCAGTTAGTGGAAGACATAGCGTTACCCTTACCCAAGGTCATGTGACACTTTCTCATCCAATGAAAATACAGATGTAATTTGTAAATGTTATCATTCCTCCGGTTACCCCCCCTCACCCCCCCCCCCCCCCCCCCCCCCCCCCCCTCCTCCCAATCTGTATGACCTTGTATAGTATTGTGTAGTATTGTAGAACATTCTCAAAGCTGTCATATCTGCTGCAGATGCACAGGACCCGGATGAAGTCACTGTCACGTGCTTTGGGAAGAAAAAGGGCAAGAGATCCGGAAGTAAGCCACATACTGTACTTCCTGCGCTATTGACAAGACTGGATTTACGTCATCAATTATGTCGACAGTACCCTGTCCTTCTTCTGGAATTCTAAATTCCATAATTACACGAATTATGACATTATTTGATATTATGTATTTATATCCCGCCGTCATCCAGGTATCTGCTCCTTGTCTAAGTGAACAGTCGCGCGTGTTGTCACAGTGAACATGTGCATCTTGTCCAAGTGAACAGTTGCGCGTCTTGTCACAGTGAACATGTGCACCTTGTCCAGTTGAAAAGTCGCGCGTCTTGTCACATTGAACATGTGCATCTTGTCCAAGTGAACAGTTGCGCGTCTTGTCACAGTGAACATGTGCACCTTGTCCAGGTGAACATTCGCGCGTGTTGTCACAGTGAACATGTGCACCTTGTCCAGGTGAAAATTCGCGCGTCTTGTCACAGTGAACATGCGCACCTTGTCACGTGTATTTGACCATTGATTGATTACAGTTGCCTGCAACAGCATTCTGGTGGAGACGGAGGGATTCATCAGGGACCTCAGACAGGAAGTCACACAGCTCAGACATGCCCAGTCGGGGAAACCTGGTAGGTACTATTTGCCTAGATCTGAGTAAATTGGTCGCAGGTGTAGACCATTATTTTATCAGTACTGACGCACGCCTAACTACGCATGCGCGAAAGCATCTAGTTTGAACAGAAGGGGTCAAGATCCGTCTGTGCTGCCACATAAGTAAGATACAAACCTTGTTTTGTTTCACCAGCCTGCAAACTCCTTTTATGCAGAGAGGTTTATGCAGATGTTAAGTTTAAACCCGTCAAATCTGAAGGTTACATCCCAAACACACACACTGTTTTAACTACGTTCTACCAAGACAAAAATCAAATGCAGCCTCGATTATAAGTGAACATATTATGTGTGGGCTTTTCAAAATTGAAGGGAAAGACAAACATATGTAACGTTTTGAATTGACTGTGGCCTGTGGCGGAGGTAGTAGGTTGACGCAAGGAACTATATTGTGTATAGATGTTTCTTGATTTGAAACCTCTGATTGACCAATCAGAATTTCGCATTTTTATCCCCCCGACATATAATGACGGAGGGATATAGCCATCAGTATGTCCGTCTGTCCGTCCGTCCGTCTGCTGTCCGTCTGTAATCATTGTTTGTCCGGAGCATATTTCCTAAACCGTACAACCTAGCTTCACAAAACTTGGTACACTTACCAATCAGGCTCAGTAGTAGTGCCTTTTGCTATTTAGAGATTTTTAGAATTTTTTTATTTTTGTCGTTTCCATGGAAATATGATGAACTTAGGAAATTTGAGGGTACTGCTCTTGTCCAGAGCATATTTTCTAAACCGTACAACCGAGCTTCACAAAACTTGGTACACTTACCAGTCAGGCTCAGTAGAAGTGCCTTTTGCTATTTAGAGATTTTTAGAATTTTATATTTTTGTCGTTTTCATGGAAATATGATGAACTTAGGAAATTTGAGGATAGTGCTCTCGTCCGGACCATATCTCCCGAACCATACAACTTAGCTTCTCAAACGTTTTTACACCTATCAAGCAGGTTATGTAGTGGTCCCTTTGTTATTAACAGATTTTCTTTTTTTTCAATTTAAATTGAAAATTGATGAACTTAGGGTAATGTCCTCGTCTGGAGCTTATCTTCTAAACCATGCGACAGAGATTCACCAAACTTTATGCACATATCAATCATGTTCACTAGTAGTGCAGTTTGTTATTTATAGATTTGAATCTTTTTAATTTGTAACCCCTGACATATAATTCTAAGGTGTACTATTTACCGATATCATATACTATATATGATGTGAGCTACATAACCTAGTACATTCTCTTTATGCCTTTGTGTCATGAGGCTACTACAGAGCTGATCATATGCGAATCTGCGAAGTTGTTGTTATTACAATTTCATGAGATTTTCAGAAAGTGAGCTACATGAACCGATATTTAATAACCTTCATTATATTTCTGGTTTTGGCATCAAGGAAAAAGATTTCCTTGCCAATCTAAATACATTTGAAGGTACACACAGTTTACTGACATGCCACGTCGGGGGGATATGTCATCTTCGGATGACTCATGTTAAAATTTGTAGCAAATTATTCTGTCTCTAAATACGGTTATCTCCCCACAGCGAGTTCCTAGTAGTTACACGAGTGAGTGGGCTAACTTTGAACAGTATTCCAGTTATATCACAGCATGTCAGCTAAATGTTGGAGGAAATCCCAAAGTGATTCTGGCGTCAGACATTTACCACTTTGTTAAAACCCACGATCACGGGTATGTGCTGACAAACCAGGAAACATAATCAGGTTGAACTGGGATTCGAACCCTCCATTATAGGTGTCTGGCCTGACTAAGGGACGCCACTCTGCACAGCGTACTGCCGCCCTAGTCGAGGTGACACGGGATGCTGGTATACCTATGTTAACGATCCACATTTGTCTGGCCAGCCTTGAAATAACTAAAATGATTTTCAAAGCAGTTTTTAACCTGTACGTGCCAGAGTAGTCTCAAATTACATTAAACAAGAATACAAACCATATTCAAAAAAGGAAAAGTGCAAAAATATTTAAAAGTTTTAAAATATTGACTTTGTTTTCAGCGTGTCTATGCTTTCGGAACACATCAGGGAAAAGGGAAAACATTTATCTCTGAATTTATCCTATAAAAATATATTGAAAGTGTCTCAACTTCACCCTACAGACGACGCGCGCCACCTGGAGGCAACAGTTGAGCGACTCCTGGGGGAGAAGGAGATGTTGATGGAAGAGCGAGGGGGGCTGAAGGAAGAGCTGATGGGTCTGAAGGTGGAGAAAACAAATCTGGAACAGCGGGTCGAGAAACTGACCGCAGAGAATGAAGATCTGGTTACTGAATTCCAAGGTAAGTATGAAGTCAGATTGGAAGTTCCCAATGACTTATATGTGTAACTTCGTTTCATAAGCTCTTCACCATCCTCTGTATCCGCATGGCCCGCATTTCGGTAAACCCACTCTAACCCGAAGGATCCATTCCCGTGGTTCTAACGATATCCTATTACCCGCCTTGATTTTCTTTCCCAAAAATAAACAGACCAATCAAACGTCGAGATGAGGAAAAATGAAAATGGCAAGGGACCTAAAGGGAGATAATAGCCAAGAAACCAATGCCGCCGCCAGTTTCAAAGAACATGAAGACATCCTTTCAATCAATAAGTTTTAGGGCTTTCTTTTGCGTGTCAGTAAGTTTTACAATGTCGAATCTCTAGCAAACTCTTTCGTAATCAATGAGGCTGGCCGTCATGTTGTTGACACCAACATTTGTAACACGCATTCTGGCTGGTCCGTTATCCCGAGTAGCGTAGCCAATCAAAATGGCTATTGAAAATCAAAGGCAGGTGACTGAGATCCCGAGAACCACGAGAATGGATCATGGGTTGGTGTAGGTTTACCAAAATGTGAGCCCTGGAAATATATAGAGGACTGGTGTTCTTCACAGGCTGGACCGCCTCCGTGGTCTAGTGGTAGAGCGTCCACCCGGAGAGCGGAAGGTCCGGGGTTCGATCCCCGACCGCGTCATACCAAAAGACGTTAAAAGATGGTACTTGTTGTTACCCTGTCTGGCGCTCGGCATGAAGGGGTTAAAACAAGGACTGGTCGGCTCGGAGTCAGTATACTGTGTCTGAGTGGGGTATTCATGTTAAACTGCGGCATGGTATCTCAGTGTGCTAGCACTATTAATCGGCATCAGTCCGGACTAGTACAAGCAGCCACACAAACACACACACAAACATGCACGTCGCTATATAAGTGCAATAATCTTGGACGCGACGTTAAACCCCATTTCACCTCACCTCACCTCTTCACCGGCTGCGTGCACCATCCCGATGCGGCTCTTCAAAGACCAACCTCGGCCAACACCTCCAGGTTGTTTTGTTGTTGTTTTTTCGTTTGTTGTTTAACGCCGCACTCAACGATATTCCAGCTGTCCTTAATGAAATTTGTTTCGTGCATGTGATTATCACAACACAACCAGACGGTATTCGTGAACCTACTATGACAGTTCAAAATTGTTTCCGTTTGCTTTCGTCTTCAAATCAAAGTAAACTGCCGGCCCCCAAAAAGTACTCACTTGAAAATTTGATCAGAAAAAACAAATTATCAAAACGTTACTACGGTGAACACAGTCGCCGGTATACTGCAAACTTAAGGTCAAAAACACAACTATGATACCCGTATCAAATGCATCACCTTTGAAAAACCATTTCATGTTTGTTTCATTTTCAGCCACCATCAAACATGGGTGTATACGTTCTTTTGCCCAGCAATTCATAAGAACGTTATTTCTGGTAAGCACAGAATAGCCTGTCCGGGCATTCGTGACCAACTCGTGTTATTTGGGGACAAGCCGAATAGCAAATCGTGCCCCTCTCATGGCCATTTTTGCGACCGGGTTCCGTCTTAGCGCAAACGGGCATACCTAAAACAATTGTCAACTCGTTGCGTAAATTGCCGTAATGCTTGCAATTTAAAGCACATCTGGACATGCGGAATTATACAGTATGATTGAACACATTTAACTGTGTCTTGGGTATATTTTTAAAAGCAAGACATATGTAAAATCAAAAATTATTTCTGAGGGATTCTTTGACGAAGAACTTACGCGCATTCTGATTGTATTGTATTATTTTCGCGCATAACATTCATCTTGTACCACCGTTGGTGTTTTTTCAGAGAAATAAACTAAACTGAACTGAAACTGATGGGGGGACGAGTCTTCTTGCAGGTTACGGAAAGGGGCGAGTGGTGACGAATGCCTGTCCGGGCTGTAATGTAGTTAGCGGAACAAGCCGAGCGGACCCGAGTGTAGACCAAGCGTAGCACACAGCAACATGGTGCAACATGGATGACCTCCGCGTCGTCCACTCAACCGGCATCACATCACTCGTTGCTATCCACCATTTTGTATTTCGTATTGTTTCAATTGCACTGGAGGTTTTATTTTTGTACCATATACCCCCAGATCGATCACGTGAGCTGAACATGAGCATGGCGTCTGCCGCGGAGGAACAGCACGAGACGTCGCGGACGACGGAGACGTTAAAACATCTTTGTGATGCCAACAAGAGGTTGTTGTTGGAAGCAAATCAGAAACTGCTTCACCGAACCAGTAAGTTGCATGTATGACCTTGACCTTTGCAGCCTCGATTATCCAGTGTGTTATATGTATGTTCAGTGCATTATGACCAATACTGTGGTCCCATTTGTCACCAAGTCTTTGTTACTTAAGTGACGTCACCAGATTAATCTCTCCTATCACTTTATCATTATCTCTTGAATATGATTTGTTTGTTTGTTTGTTGTTTAACGCCGCACTCAGCACTATTCCAGCTATATGACGGCGGTCTGAAAATAATGGAGTCTGGACCAGACAATCCAGTGATTGACATCATGAGCGATCGAACCACGCACTTGGGATAGGGTGACATGCATCAACCAAGTCAGTGAGCCTGACCACCCGATCCCGTTAGTCCTCTTACGACAAGCATAGTCGCCCTTTACGGCAAGCATGGGTTGCTGAAGACCTATTCTATCCCGATCTTCACGGGTCTTTTGAATATGAGAGTAATTTCATCGGAGGACTATTTTACCATCGTGTTATTCAAATCGGGATCAATACGATTCCTGTGTAGCGAATGCGTCCAAGGTTTTATCTTGTTAGAATGTACATATATGTTATTGGCTGAATAATCCAGGATCTTTGTCGTACGTACATATGTGTCTTCAACTGTGTTGCTCTTGTTCTTGGGTGGGACAAGGTGTTGTATGGTTGCTGACGAGTTCCGATTGTTGTGTGTTCGACAATACCAGATTCGCTCTGATTATGATCCTTTAATTGTGTGACAATCCATCGACTCTTGCTTGTCCCCGATCCATCGACTCTTGCTTGTCCCCGATCCTTCGACACTTGCTTGACCCGACCCCCGACTCTTGCTTGTCCCCGATCCATCGACTCTTGCTTGTCCCCGATCCATCGACTCTTGCTTGTCCCCGATCCATCGACTCTTGCTTGACCCGACCCTCCACTCTTGCTTGACCCGACCCTCAACCCCTGCTTGTCCCCGATCCATCGACTCTTGCTTGACCCGACCCTCCGACTCTTGCTTGACCCGACCCTCCGACTCTTGCTTGTCCCCGATCCATCGACTCTTGCCTTTCCCCGATCCATCGACTCTTGCTTGACCCGACCCTCCACTCTTGCTTGTCCCCGATCCATCGACTCTTGCTTGACCCGACCCTCCGACTCTTGCTTGACCCGACCCTCCGACTCTTGCTTGTCCCCGATCCATCGACTCTTGCCTTTCCCCGATCCATCGACTCTTGCTTGACCCGACCCTCCACTCCTGCTTGTCCCCGATCCATCGACTCTTGCTTGTCCCCGATCCATCGACTCTTGCTTGACCCGACCCTCCGACTCTTGCTTGACCCGACCCTCCACCCCTGCTTGTCCCCGATCCATCGACTCTTGCTTGACCCGACCCTCCGACTCTTGCTTGACCCGACCCTCCACTCCTGCTTGTCCCCGATCCATCGACACTTGCTTGACCCGACCCTCCGACTCTTGCTTGACCCGACCCTCCACTCTTGCTTGACCCGACCCTCCGACTCTTGCTTGTCCCCGATCCATCGACTCTTGCTTGACCCGACCCTCCACTCCTGCTTGTCCCCGATCCATCGACTCTTGCTTGACCCGACCCTCCACTCTTGCTTGACCCGACCCTCAACCCCTGCTTGTCCCCGATCCATCGACTCTTGCTTGACCCGACCCTCCGACTCTTGCTTGACCCGACCCTCCACTCCTGCTTGTCCCCGATCCATCGACTCTTGCCTTTCCCCGATCCATCGACTCTTGCTTGACCCGACCCTCCACTCCTGCTTGTCCCCGATCCATCGACTCTTGCTTGTCCCCGATCCATCGACTCTTGCTTGACCCGACCCTCCGACTCTTGCTTGACCCGACCCTCCACCCCTGCTTGTCCCCGATCCATCGACTCTTGCTTGACCCGACCCTCCGACTCTTGCTTGACCCGACCCTCCACTCCTGCTTGTCCCCGATCCATCGACACTTGCTTGACCCGACCCTCCGACTCTTGCTTGACCCGACCCTCTACTCTTGCTTGACCCGACCCTCCGACTCTTGCTTGTCCCCGATCCATCGACTCTTGCTTGACCCGCCCTCCACTCCTGCTTGTCCCCGATCCATCGACTCTTGCTTGTCCCCGATCCATCGACTCTTGCTTGACCCGACCCTCCGACTCTTGCTTCACCCGACCCTCCACCCCTGCTTGTCCCCGATCCATCGACTCTTGCTTGACCCGACCCTCCACTCTTGCTTGTCCCCGATCCATCGACTCTTGCTTGGACCGACCCTTCGACTCTTGCTTGACCCGACCCTCCGACTCTTGCTTGTCCCCGATCCATCGACTCTTGCTTTGACCGACCCTTCGACTCTTGCTTGACCCGACCCTCCGACTCTTGCTTGTCCCCGATCCATCGACTCTTGCCTTTCCCCGATCCATCGACTCTTGCTTGACCCGACCCTCCACTCTTGCTTGTCCCCGATCAATCGACTCTTGCTTGTCCCCGATCAATCGACTCTTGCTTGACCCGACCCTCCACTCTTGCTTGTCCCCGATCAATCGACTCTTGCTTGTCCCCGATTCATCGACTCTTGCTTGACCCGACCCTCCACTCTTGCTTGTCCCCGATCAATCGACTCTTGCTTGACCCAATCCATCGACTCTTGCTTGACCCGACCCTCCACTCTTGCTTGTCCCCGATCAATCGACTCTTGCTTGAACCGACCCCCCGACTCTTGCTTGACCCGACCCTCCACTCCTGCTTGTCCCCGATCCATATACTCTTGCTTGACCCGACCCTCCGACTCTTGCTTGACCCGACCCTCCACTACTGCTTTTCCCGATCCATCGACTCTTGCTTGACCCGACCCTCAACTCCTGCTTTTTCCGATCCATCGACTCTTGCTTGACCCGACCCTCCACTCCTGCTTGACCCGACCCTCCGCTCCTGCTTGTCCTCGATCCATCGACTCTTGCTTGACCCGACCCTCCACTCCTGCTTTTCCCGATCCATCGACTCTTGCTTGACCCGACCCTCCAATCCTGCTTGACCCTACCCTCCACTCCTGCTTGTCCCCGATCCATCGACTCTTGCTTGACCCGACCCTCCACTCTTGCTTGACCCGACCCTCCACCCCTGCTTGTCCCCGATCCATCGACTCTTGCTTGACCCGACCCTCCACTGTTGCTTAAACCGACCCTTCGACTCTTGCTTGATCCGACCCTCCACTCCTGCTTGTCCCCGATCCATCGACTCTTGCTTGATCCGACCCTCCGACTCTTGCTTGACCCGACCCTCCACTCCTGCTTTTCCCGATCCGCTTACGCATGCTTGTCATACGTCTGTTACAGCTACTACGAAGGAGAAGTTTCCACTCGCAGAATGCATTAACAACAACTGTGTAAAAAAGCGATACTCCTCAAAATGTTGCGTTATCTCGAAATCAATGCATGTTATCTTTGACAAATATTATTGTTCACCCCTGTGCCGTTGATGCTCAGATAGCGAACCAAAATAGTGACCTACTGAAACAATTTTGCCGTCGAATACCCAATTACGGTTCATACAAGTCACGTGTCTCGTGTATACATAGACTTGTCTACCCCTGACAGGTGACCTGAAAGAGCTGCAGACGCTGTACGATGCCAGCAAAGCGGAAGTGGAGCGACTGTCGGCAGAACTCTCCAACATGGACGCGTGGAAGGTCGTGACCGCGGCTGAACTGGATGTCAAGGTCACCGACATGAACAAGAAATACTCGGCTTTAAAACGTGAGACTGCATTCGTCACTTTCGCTAAGCCAGACAACTGGTCATTGATACTTGAAGTTGGTTGAAGCAACTGAATTAGCAATCCTGACATATAACATGTTCTACGAATATTAAAATGAAGTTCGCGCTGTAATCTGATCATCTTCCCGAGGCAAGTGAGTAAACTGACTATAAAAGTCCAGTTTCCACCCTTGCCGAATTGGCTGGTATTATGGAGTTACATTTTGCCTGGACTAACGAGTCTATGCATAGTCGAATCAAAATCGCGCAACGAAATCGAAACCCGGTTCGTAAACTGTCATGCAGATTTCGGTCGATTGCAGGAATTGCAAAGCATTTGCACCGCCAACTCCTTGTCAACAGATATTTTCTAAATCTTTTCATGTTTTTAATCAAGGTGCTCCTGTGATTTCATGCACTTCGCGACGTAACCCAGGATTTATCCCAATATAGATCTTGATTATCGATCAGATCGTCATGACTGGGCGCCGCCAATTTGTTTGAAGCAAATGCAAGTGATACAAGAGGTGGAATCTGATTGGTCCACAGGAGAGGCATAGAAGGGACACAACTCGTAATAGCCACTGGTGGCGCTACGATCGGCAAGGGTGGAAACTGGACTTTTAAAGTCAGTTAACTCTCTTGCCTCGGGAAGATGAAATATGATTGGTTTAAAATGTAAAATGGGATCGGACGCTGCACTTTGCACTGGCTCGCTGACTTGGTTGATGCATGTCATCGTATCCCAATTGCGTGGATCGATGCTCATGATGTCAATCACTGGATTGTCTGGTCAGGACTCGATTATTTACAGACCGCCGTCATATAGCTGGAATATTGCTGAGTGCGGATTTAAACAACAAACAAACAAACAAAATTTGCACTGTGTATGAATAGAAAACCCGGTAATATTAACATTTAAAACTTTTAAATGAAATTCTAATGATCAATAAGGCCAGCAAATCTGAAAACAAATATTGTTTATCTTATAATTAACGTCTGTTGTTGTTTTCCCTTGAGAAATGCCATCCGATACACGTGGAACTACCGCAGTACAGCACATGAGTTCAATGCAAAATGTCATTTTTCGCTTAAAAAATTGCTCTCATGAGGGTGCCAATCCTCCCCTCCATCAAACGAAATTGTTTGGGCATCGAATTTAAGAACTCTTGAGTCATATCAGTGTACGCAAACGGTACAAGTAAATATTTTTTTTACATAGAATGCATGACCATTGGCTCTCATAAATTTACGGCTAAATTATTTACTGATTTGTCTCTTTTTTCAAGAATATATGCCAAAAATAATTTTCAAATTGAAATATTGGCATCCGCGTACCAGATAAAGACATTCATGGCATCCAGCGTACTGCGGCATCCGGAAAACCGCTCAGCAGGTCTCGGCGTCGGGGTACCAAAATGGAGTTTGCAGTCTTTCATAGCGCATACAGTATGATGGCAGCACGACTGTTTTTCAGCAATAACGGTTTATCCCCATACTGTACTGTCAGTCACATTTTTCAAGTTAAACTGCGGCATGGTATCTCAGTAGGCTAAGGCAAGCATTATAATTCGGCACCAGTCCAGGGCCCACTTGCACAAAGCGATCTTAGCGCTATGATGATCGTAACTCCCATACTTTAACATAGGTTTACAATAGTTGTAGTGCTAAGATTGCTTTGTGCAAGTGGGCCCTGACTTGTACAAGCAGCCACACACACACAAACACACACACACACGAACACACACACACACACACACACGAACACACACGCACACACACACACACACACACTTGCATGCACGGCGCTTTATAAGTGCAATAATATTGGACGCGTAGTTAAACCCCATTTCACCTCACCTCACGTGATCAAATCATGATGTTTCACTGGACAAGAATCACGTGAATAGTCAATGTTGGTGTGGACATGTTATGTCTGTCCTGCTCCGTTGAATGTTGACCATGTGGCTCTGTCTGTGCAGGCGTGTGCCGAGGCAAGGATATGATGATCAACCAACTCAGAGAAGAGAAGTCCAAGGCACTGGTAAAGCCATAAGAATATTTGTGTCTCTTATCCCTTGAAGTAATATAGTGGATAGATACATCGGATTAATATTTATATTTTTAAATTGACTTTCCAATAACTCCAATCCATGTTCAGACAGATATAAATTTATTTTGTATATCTGGCGAAAAGGCCAATAGTACACAGGGTATTGAATGACATTGAACACAGTTACAACGGAATCTTGACATTGTAGTTTCATAAGATATAGAAGGGGTTACAAAAATGTATTTCATAATAGATTTATATTGGCTTCTTATGAATTTAATTCACAGTTGTATTACAAGAAAACGGAGACATAAAGTTTGGGGTATTCTACAGAACCGCTTTCTCATTTTCAAAATCACAAACAACATTGGTGGTCGTCAGGACGCGTGACATAAAAAGGAGTAATATTTTGAATGGAGAATAAAAGGGTTGGTCGGTTTTGATTTGTCAAGCTATCCATAACTTTAAATCCATACTTTATACAATTTTTATATAATCGGTGTCAACCCGTCGATATATTGCAATAATGAATCACGTCATAGCTTTGAACGTTGAACGACTTGGATAGACGTTCAATCTACATCCAGATCCAATATGGCCTGTATTACAACCATGTTGAAACTGTATTTCAGATGCAGTTATGGCAGACGGCATATGGCCACAAAGCTCAATATTTCTCATGCACGCCTACTCATGCCGACAGACAGATCCCTATGGCAACGGTAGGGCCATATCAAAATGAGGTCATCACCTTCTGCAATGCAACGTCACCGGTCAAATGTCAAGGTCAGTGAGAGCAATGCTTTAAATTTCAAACACAGATTAGAGTTTTATCCGGCACGATTCGTGGTGAATCGTTTGGGACACAGGTCGCCAAGTAGTGTTTGGGGAAGCATTTCTCTGTGCAGAGGTGCGTCCCATGGTCCTAGGATCGGGGATGTGAGTCGCAGATTCGCCCCTATATGGTCTATGGTTTGTCAGCACCATGCCGCTGTTCGTGGGTTGCATCAAAGTGGCGTGAAACCCTACTCACAGTCAGTGTTATATCACTTCGGTTTTGACCCCGTTTCAACTAAATATAGCCGTCCAATGAAATTCCTCTACCAGAAAAAGCACTGAGTAATACCTATCAAACAATTCAAAGTATTTAGCTGCTGAGCTACAGATAAGAGAGATTGTGACGTCACTTCCGATACTATGGAAATATACAGTAAATACACTGAAAAATCAACGATGCCATACTCAGGGCAACTTGCCAGGTTGCGTAGGGAGATCCAAGTCCACGCCTTGTATCAAGTCTACTGAAAATGTCAACTTGGCAGATCAAGAGATGTGATATAGAGGTTATCACGCATATGACCTCAACGGATATCCTTTGGCTTTATCCTGCCGAGAAACCTCGTTATGACAAAACGAGATTATTACACTCGCACGGGTGTCATGCTGATTTAACGAAACGAATGTAAGAATTCTTGTATTTCCCGAGCGAGAACGAGCTCGAGTGTAATACATGAATTCATGCACGAGTTTGAAGTGATAATTGCACGTTGAGGTATAATTGCACTTGTGCACATGTACTTCTTATAAACTCGGTAATTCTTATCCTACGAGTGTCCCATTCGTCTAAGGCGCCGCTATTCGCTGTGCAGAGTTGCGTCCCTTGGACACGCCGGAAACCTATGATTGTGGGTTCGAATCCCAGTTCACCCCGATTATGGTTCTAGGTTTGTCAGCACCATACCTGTGCTCGTGGGTTTCACCGAAGTGGTAAACGTCTTGGACTTTCCTCCCTTATTAAGCTGACACGCCGTGATATAACTGGAATACTGTTAAAAACGGCGTAAAACCCAACTCACTCACTCTAATTCTATGAGTAATAAATACATGTTGTTTGACAATGAAAGTGACAAAAACATTTCAATAATCAAAAGAAATCTGTTCTTAAAGCAAATCCCATCGTAATGTTCCGAGTATGTCATAAGCATGTCTTAATGATACCAGGAGTTCGCGAAAAGATGAGCGCACCACAAGGAAATGAAAAATCTTCTATTTAGTTTATATTTTCATGATCTCACTCTGAAAACCATTGTGGCATTGAGGTGCACTGAAGCTCCGGCAATGGTGATATTCACTCGAGTGAAAAATCGGTTTCATATTTACAGTGTTTAATCACTAGTGACATAATAAAAGTTTATTTGTGTGCAGCTACGAATTTCTGTGGTTGTATCCAGTACTATTTTTCAAGCGTAGAATGCAATATCAAGATCTATATATGGTTCTATATTTCCAGACATCGGGAATCAGTTGAATGAGACCGACTTCATCAAAAACAAGGTACTTTCATGTTACTAACCAGACAACCACTGGACGTTTTGGTCAGATCCTTCTCTTAAAGTCGACTTTACGCGTCTGTTGTAATGTTCGGACCAGCTGTTACACCAGTAGTCATTTTCTGAAGGAATAAGAACATTCCACATATACACGTGGGCATTGATTGAGCACCACCTGATTCAATTCCGAAAAATAATGACAAATCCTGTTCCCAATTGAACACTTTTCGCCTCACCTTGGCCGCCATCTTGTTTTTGGAGACCTTGTCTATGAGAGACATAACAATGGCGATTGAGAATCCAATAATGGTGGACAGGGTGTGTCCACATGTAAACTTCATTCAAAGATTCCGCCCTGTGTGGTTAAGCTCGACTGATCGCAACTGTTTCCTAACCTTCATTCATGCATGTCATGTGTAGATTTTGTTATGTTTATAAGACGATGTCAATGGAATTGGAGCTCTATCGGACAAGAAAAATGGCCGAAATATTTGGAGACAAGTTCAATCCCCTGCAACCAGACCGGGCCTCAGTCGAGACAAGGAGCACGTGCAGCGGATCTGGAGGTGACGTCAGCGCAAGCATCAGCGAGTTCAGCGATGTAGTTCTTGACGACATACCAGAGGAGACACTGAACAGTAAGGAAATACCAAATGTTACCTATAATGGTTGAATGGACGTGTGTAATGACATTCCTTCTAGCTACTACTCACGCAAGGTGAAGGTGAAATGGGGTTTAACGTCGCGTCCTTAGAACCAGTCGTTGTTTTAGCCCCTTAATGCCGAGCGCCAGACAGGGTAACAACAAGTTCCATCCTTTAACGTCTTTTAGTATGAAACGGCCGTCGGCTCGCCGGGCGGACGCTCTACCACTAAAGCACGTAGCCTTGAGACAAACACCATTCATTCACTCTGGACAGATAATCCGTTGTTCCTCGTAGCTCGTCTCTGAGTACCTCCTGCACGGTGTCTCATGTAAACAGAGGCTCTGTAGGTCACCTGGCGCAAAGCGACATGGCTGATTGTATGTCATCCTTCCTCGATGGCGTGCCACCAAATACTGCCTGGCTCAAGCAGCCCAAATATATCTGACAGTCAGTGGCACAAAACAACATTCATTCAATCAGCCAACAAAGAGGAAAGATCCAGTAAAGTCTTTTAGATGACGGGACACAAGGATCTGACGGTTGTAGAATTACATTCCGAGCCTAGGCAAACCCGAAACTGGCATAGTTAGTATTAGGACAAGATTAATGCATCTGTACTAAAGTGTGCAGCTTACTTCTGGTGCCGTGAAATGGCAGGAATATTGCTAAAATCTGCGTACTGCTCTACTCACTCACTCACTCACTCAAACACCCGCCCACTCACTCACTCACTCACTCACTCACTATAATTTTTAACATTTCTTTAACCACCAGATTTGACATCTTGGATGTTTTCATAGTCTCAAAATGACTACCTGTCCTGCGTGTTTCAGTGACGTATCCTCAGTCGTTCTTCTGACGTCAACGTCGTCACCATCTTGTTTGTCAACATCAACATCATAAGTAATAAAACGTCCCTACCAAAACGTCTCTTGTTGTGCGTAACGGGTATGATGTTCTCTGGTTCAGTTCCGAGGTGTAAATATGTAAGGTCACAGCTGAGAGACACTCAAAGATCAGCTTATCTCCTCAAATTAAGAATGAGTGCGTCAGTTTGGTTAAACGCGGCTTTGAACAGTATTCCAGTTTTGTCATGGCGTCCATTGCAGCTTATCGTTGGTTGCAGACCCAAGCAACACAGGTCGTAGACGACCACTTTGGGACGAGGGATCATTATGGGGTCGAATCAGGGATTCGAACTCATGACCAACCGATTCTTGCAAGGCCTCCATTTCACTGCCGAGGAGTCAAGATGGCGGCACTTCCGGTTCCGGTGCAAACTTTTGACTATGTACTTTCCGACGCAGTGATAACAGCATTACACCACTACCAAAGGCTAATTTGCATATCACGTGACCGGTCGTTTCTCTTTTGGGCAAACATACTGAAATAAGCTGCAGAGTGATGATGGAAGTATTTCAGTGCGATAATTTTTTGCATACTAATTAAGATATCCTCCAGCAACGGCGACAGTGAGGAGTATGATATTCATACTCAAAAGATAACCTATTTATGGGGATAATTTGGGGTTGTGCGGCTGTCAAATCGGCTGTTTCAATCAGAAGGGTCTAGTGTGATTTTACAACCTCTGATTGACCAATCAGAATTGAGTAATTTCCAAATTCATGGTAGAATATAAATCCACACTTGTATAAAACGAAAACTGACACCAGAACATCGCAGCATTTCAAGATTTTCAAAATCACAAACAACATTGGTGGTCGTCAAGACGGGGTACACAAAACAACAAACGAAAGATTTTGAATGTAGAATAAAAGGGTCGGATAGTTTTTTTTGTCAATACAATACAATCCATTCCATTCAACAATCATTAACATTAGGTCGTAGTTCTTGTCACCTCGGGGGCACGGGTGGCTCAGTCGTCGCGATTCGCTATGCAAAGTTGCGTCCCTTGGACACGCCAGAAACCTATGATTGTGGGTTCGAATCCCGGGTCACCCGGATAATGTTTCTAGGTTTGTCAGCACCATACCCGTGCTCGTGGGTTTCACCGAAGTGGTTAACGTCTTGGACATGCATCACTTCGGGCTTTCCTCCCACATGAAGCTAACACGCCGTGATATAACAGGAACACTGTTAAAAGCGGCGTTTAACCCAACTCACTCACTCACTCACTCTGAAAACCATAGTGGCATTGAGGTGCACTGAAGCTCCGGCAATGGTGATATTCACTCGAGTGAAAAATCGGTTTCATATTTACAGTGTTTAATCACTAGTGACATAATAAATGTTTATTTGTGTGCAGCTACGAATTTCTGTGGTTGTATCCAGTACTATTTTTCAAGCGTAGAATGCAATATCAAGATCTATAAATGGTTCTATATTTCCAGACATCGGGGATCAGTTGAATGAGACCGACTTCATCAAAAACAAGGTACTTTTATATTACTAACCAGACAACCACTGGACGTTTTGGTCAGATCCTTCTATTAAAGTCGACTTTACGTGTCTGTTGTAATGTTCGGACCAGCTGTTACACAAGTAGTCATTTTCTGAAGGAATAAGAACATTACACATATACACGTGGGCATTGATTGAGCACCACCTGATTCAATTCCGAAAAATATTGACAAACCCTGTTCCCAATTGAACACATTTGGGCTCACCTTGGCCGCCATCTTGTTTTTGGTGACCTTGTCTTTGGAAGACATAACAATGGCGATTGAGAATCCAATAATGGTGGACAGGGTGTGTCCACGTGTAAACGTCATTCAAAGATTCCGCCCTGTGTGGTTAAGCTCGACTGTTCGCTACTGGCCTCTTCGTGTTTCCTTACTTTCATCCATGCATGTCATGTGAAGATTTTGTTTTGTTTATAAGACGATGTCAATGGAATTGGAGCTCTATCGGACAAGAAAAATGGCCGAAATATTTGGAGACAAGATCAATCCCCTGCAACCAGACTGGGCCTCAGTCGAGACAAGGAGCACGTGCAGCGGATCTGGAGGTGACGTCAGCGCAAGCATCAGCGAGTTCAGCGATGTAGTTCTTGTCGACACACCAGAGGAGACACTGAACCGTAAGGAAATACTAAATATTACCCATAATGGTGGATCGAATGAACGCGTGTAATGACATTCCTTCTAACTACTACTCACGGAAGGTGAAGGTGAAATGGGGTTAAAGGTCGCGTCCAAGATTACTGCACTTATATAGCGACGAGCGTGCACATGTGTTATATAGAGCTAGCCTACTGAGATTCCATGCCGCAGTTTAACAGACCTCGTAGCTCGTCTCTGAGTACCTCCTGCACGGTGTCTCATGTAAACAGAGGCTCTGTAGCTCACCTGGCGCAAAGTGACATGGTTGATTGTATGTCATCCTTCCTCGATGGCGTGCCACCAAACACTGCCTGGCTCAAGCAGCCCAAATATATCTGACAGTCAGTGGCACAAAACAACATTCATTCAATCAGCCAACAAAGAGGAAAGATCCAGTAAAGTCTTTTAGATGACGGGACACAAGGATCTGACGGTTGTAGAATTACATTCCGAGCCTAGGCAAACCCGAAACCGGCATAGTTAGTATTAGAACAAGATTAATGCATCCGTACAAAAGTGTGCAGCTTACTTCTGGTGCCGTGAAATGGCAGGAATATTGCTAAAATCTGGCAACTGCTCTACCCACTCACTCAACCACCCACCCACTCACTCACTCACTCATTCACTATAATTTTTACCATTTCTTTAACCACCAGATTTGACATCTTGGATGTATTCATATTCTCAAAATGATTTCCTGTCCTGCGTGTTTCAGTGACGTATCCTCAGTCGTTCTTCTGACGTCAACGTCGTCACCATCTTGTTTGTCAACATCAACATCGTAGGTAATAAAACATCCCTACCAAAACGTCTCTTGTTGTGCGTAACGGGTATGATGTTCTCTGGTTCAGTTCCGAGGTGTAAATATGTAAGGTCACAGCTGAGAGACACTCAAAGATCAGCTTATCTCCTTAAATTAAGAATGAGTGCGTCAGTTTGGTTAAACGCAGCTTTGAACAGTATTCCAGTTTTGTCATGGCGTGCATTGCAGCTCATCGTTGGCTGCAGACCCAAGCAACACAGGTCGTAGACGACCACTTTGGGACGAGGGATCATTATGGGGTCGAATCAGGGATTCGAACTCATGACCAACCGATTCTTGCAAGGCCTCCATTTCACATTTCAAGATGGCGGCACTTCCGGTTCCGGTCTTTTGACAATGTACTTTCCGACGCAGTGATGACAGCGTTACACCACTACCAAAGGCTAATTTGCATATCACGTGACCGGTCGTTTCTCTTTTTGGCAAACATACTGAAATAAGCTGCAGAGTGATGATGGAAGTATTTCAGTGCGATAATTGTTTTGCATACAAATTAAGATATCCTCCAGCAACGGCGACAGTGAGGAGTATGATATTTATACTCAACAAATAACCTATTTATGGGTTATGCGGGTTGTGCGGCTGTCACTGACGGGGTACACAAAAACGAAAAATTTTGAATGGAGAATAATAGGGTCGGATAGTTTTGTTTTGTCAATACTATACAATCCATTCCATTCAACAATCATTAAAATTAGGTCGTAGTTCTTGTAACCTCTGTACATAGAGACCCGTGAAGACCCGGGGTAGAATAGGGCTTCAGCAACCCACTTCAGAATTAGCAAGTAAAGTCAACACAGAACCTTTGCAGATTTTAATACTTTAGAGCATACGTAATCACACATGCTTGACCAAAATTAAATATGACAAAAAATAACATAAAACAGACGATAAAAAACAAAAATCGTCCCCCAAACGAAAAAGATCCGCCACAGAAGGGATTCCCCTAACTGGGATTAAAAAGGGTTCCCGATGTTTAACGCGCTTCACAATTTCAACGGATCGTCTGCCTGCTTCCGCCCCGGATTTTTTAATCGCATCAGCTTATTTATCAGCTGGAAGAACCAATCTCCATCTCCAGCAGGGCACGATGACAGATGCGCTGTAGGGATGACATTTTGAGTGTGTACATGACACCGTATGCTGTTACAAACGGACCGAACATCATCATCATGGACGATAACGCACGACCTCATCGTGCCAACATCATGATGCCTACTTAGGGCAGGGGACCATTATCCACATGGAGTGACCAGACCGGTCACAAGACCTCAACCCTATCGAACACACGTTGAACGAGCAATTTTGTAGGAACTCGGCAATGTTCTTACAGAAGAGTGGAACAATCTTCCCTTGGCAACAACCAGACACTTATTCGGAGCATGAGACGGTGCCAGGCTGTGATCGCATCACATGAATAACATGCCAGATACTGAGATACTTTTTACACTTCTTTTGTTCTCGTGATTTTTTATCATGTTTTTTTTCAGACATTATTATAACGTATTTGGCTATTTCAACAGATGCACACAAGTTGACATATTACCTTTAAAAGTGGTGACCTTTGCAAACTTTGAGTATTATATGACCCTATTCGATTCTCCGATAGACTTATGTTTCAGGCGCATTATCTCCAAACTCAGATCACTTCATGTAAGTGTATAACAGAGCAGTACAACACAGCTATGGAAATTTACCTGAGGCCTTACAGCCTAATATTTTATCAGTAAGTCACCAGACTAACCCGCCTACGCAACCTGATTTGACCCCTAACACCAACTCTGTGAAACCAAGTAGCACTCGGATGCACGACAAGTCTTACCTACATCACACCACAATATCAGTACGCGAGCCAAGCGCTCATATGTAGTAGTAGTAGTAGTAGTAGTAGTAGTAGTAGTTTTTGGTTTGGTTTGTTTAACGCCGCACTCAGCAATATTCCAGCTATATGATGGCGGTCTGTAAATAATCGAGTGTGGACCAGAGAGTCCAGTGATTAACATCGTGGGCCATCGATCCACGCAGATGGGATCGATTACATGCATCAACCAAGACGGCGAGCCTGACCACCCTATCCCGTTAGTCGCTTTATACGGCAAGCATGGGTTGCTGAAGACCTATTCTACCCCGGATCTTCACGTAGTGGTAGTAGTAGTAGTAGTAGTAGTGGCAGCAGCAGTAGTAGTAGTAGTAGTAGTAGTAGTAGTGGCAGCAGCAGTAGTAGTAGTAGTAGTTGTAGTAGTAGTAGTAGCATATAAGCGGGTTTCTCTGTTTCTCTAATTCATGGTGGAGTTTAACTAGGCGAAATAAGACACCAAGATAACAGGGCTAAACTGGTCATTTTCTACAGTCTCATCTGTAGACGAATGTCCTGAGTCCTAAGCCATGACTCAACTGTGCGAAAGTACACCGAGTCTCCGCATTAATACCCGATAAGGAATACTAAGTATTTCAAAGGATGACAAACAATAATAATAATAATAGAATAACCATAAAGTGATAAACAGAGTAATTATTTCATTCATATAAACACTCATTCATTTTTTTCAATCTCGCCGATTAATTGAAGTGTCTTATGGGTACAATGTGTGAAGCCCCTTTCTAGTGTCCCCCGCCGTGATATTGCTGGAATATTGCTAAAAGCACTACAATCATCTGTACATTGATATTGGCATAATGGGACTGCACACAAGGGTTTAACCAGTTGAATCCATTTTTCAATCACGTGGTCATCATTGGCCTCAAACATGCATATGTTAAAGTTCTTATTGATTTTGTCTTCTTCATACATGTCACGAAAGCATTATGATTTGACATGTGTCATTTGGAAGACATCTATATTTATCGTTAGCTAGTGCCAACAGCACAAGATAAATAATTTTTGGGTGAGAGTCTAGGGTACACTTCCCTTCACTTGCATGTTTGCGTTACTAAATAGAAACCATGTTCGCTTTAACATACATATCAAATTGAGAAGTAAGCGATAATGTCCAAGTCTGTGTATTTTACGACACAGGCATTTCTCACAGATCACCTTCAGATAAATCTCCTTACGCCACAGACGTTCACTCTTTTCCCTCTCGACTAGGGTATGCAGACTGGTGAACTTTAACATAGTTGAAAATATGCACCACTCGCTATTTTTAATATGTTTGTGAAACTGATTATCCACTATTAACATATCTTTCCCTCGACTCGAAATAGTGATCATGGATCAATCTAGTCGATTTAATATTTTAATCATATTATATAAATTTGGACTTGCGAATTTTTGGGAATTTGGAAAATAGGACCTATGTATTTTAAATCATTTATAATTTCAAAATATTTATAATATCTATTTTCCTGATTCTGTGTATTAAACTTTCGGTGAACTTTTTTTTCCATGGTGAGAGAGATAGATGGGAGATCTATGGATTGATAACGATGGGTGTAGCAATGGTCATCAAAAGAAACTTAACATGTTCTGAATGATCTGTATCATTAAATTCTTTGGGAGACACAGTGCTAGGAATGGAAAAGGAATACATCATGATATGACTTTAATCGTTTGGGGTTGTAGACAGCCTCCCGAAGGCTCACAGAGGCTCACAGAGGCTTTGAATATTTGTAGGCAGCCTCCAAGTGGCTGCAAAAATCAAAATTTATACCTACCCTTGTAAAATATTAGGCTGTAAGGCCTCAGGTAAATTTCCATAACTGTGTTGTACTGCTCTGTTATACACTGACATGAAGTTTGGGGATAAAGCACCTGAAACAATCACCTGACAATCGAATAGGGTCATATTGGGGTGGCGGGGCCATATCAAAGGACGTGTTTATGGTTCTGTATTTCAAGACATCGGGTATCAATGGAATGATGCCAACTTCGTCAAAACCAAGGTACTCACAGCCAAGACAACATCCACCGGATGTTTTGGTCAGTGTTCTATTTGAAGTTGACTTCACATCTCGCAGGTAACGGCCATACCAGCTGACACCTTCTGTAGGAATGTGGGCCTTCCACATATACACATGAGCATTAATTAAGCACCAGCTGATCTTTTGGCTGACCTTTGTCAAGTGAGAGCTAGAGACCCGCCAGGTAAAACTCTGAATGAACAGACCCAGGCACCAGGAATGATGGCAGAGGATCACAATGTTGAAAATCTAACGTCTGATCAGCAGTGCTCAGGAGGAAACGCCTCGCTTCGCCTTGCCTGTATAACGCCAATAAATCTGTATCTATTGCTGGTATCAGATTCATTATTTGTGTGATGGGAGTGTCAGGCGTTCCGTTTACTATTCTTCTATCGTGTTTCTAACAACGAATCACATCAGTCATTTTATAATGAAGCAAATATCCGAGCTGAACGTGCCAGGGCGTCATGCACTGTGTCATATGGTACAGTGCTTCAAAACGTGTCATTTACAGGGACTGGTCAATATGTTACTGGTAACATTTTCTCGCTATATTTCAACGTGTTTAGGGACATATCTTCGCATGTAAGTAAATGTTGTGAGGATATTACCAAATAGTTTAGAATAGTCACCTTAATTTAAGTAAACAATGAATGACATAAATCAGTTGTACATGTGTATAGACGTTGTCGTCGGTCTTTACTGAGAGTTGCAAAAAGCGTCTACCATATTAGATATCAGATCAGTCAATTCCTATTAAACTTACATCTATTTTTCATCAGATTTTACAAAGGTCGTGACATACACGCGTAATTTACTGCTGCACTGTGCAAGAAAACATTCAATTCTATTATTATGGATAACTATACCGGATAACAGTCCATTTACCCTATTTTATTTTAATGCATTCTGATCACACGATTACCACATAATACAGTGGTGTGATGACACGTTCATGGTGTCAGTGCATTATAGAAAACCCAACTGTTACAATTTACATTCAGGATCATGTTGGTAAATCCTAATTTAGCATTAACCTCTCTTGATCTGGCGGTGCACGCGTTGCGAAAAACTGTACTCGGAAACAGGACACTTCCGGTTCGTTGTGTACAGGGTTTTCCCCACGGTGTCATTGGTCGCTATTTTTAGATGAAGCCTATCTTTCCACCAAAGACTCCACCGAGATACGTCACAAATTACTTTCTGACGTTTTGCTGGATATGCCACAGGCATAAAATTGTACTTATTTGGAGAAAATAATTTTCTTCATGTATATTACGTACATGAAATTAATTATGAATTATGAAATAATAGTAAACAAAGTCTTAAATATTCTTTGCCCAAACATTGGAATACAATAGCGATAAACCATTTTTTTGGAAACCGTAAGATTAATTAATACGCCAGTAGTAACTATGCAAATAGTTATTTATCATGATCAAATGCGGGTCTCCTAGCAACTATGCCATAGCATCGTAAATGGCGTCAAACTGTGTGTGCCGATATATGGATTCCTAGTACAAAATATTTTCCATCCCAAAACACACCTTTATATATTCTATTAAAATACAGCTGGAAAATATGAATATTGGCCAGTCCAATATATCTGAATATATCAAGACAAAGTTAATTTGTACATTAACACACACACACACACACACACACACACACACACACACACACACCTGCCTCATCCCACCACTCCCCACCCCCACCACCCACGTCCCCCCACACACACACAAACACACACCTCCCACACACACCTCCACCTCCAACATCCGAACCCAGACCGACCTCCCACACCCACACCCACACCCACACCCACACCCCACACCCACCTCCTACAACCACACCCACCCCCCACACCCACCTCCTACAACCACACCCACCTCCACCTCCCACACCCCACACCCACACACCCGGTGATGGTTAGGGCAAGTTGACCTTCTCTCAACCGCACCCCACCCCCTCGACACAAGATGAAACCCAGTGCATTGTGTCTACACATGTCCAATCTCGATGAACAACATGCATGATGTAGTGCGATCTAGTCTGACCAATTACAACAGGTCAACATACACATTGTCCATGACTATTTACACTGATGACATACTGACACTGCGCAGCTTGCGATCATGTTTCCCTGAGTCATACTGAGACACAGTTATTCACCACCCAGGTCAGTGTGACGGCAGGAGCGACGCGATGGCGAAGTTTGTAGGCCGGGGCTGACCTAGTTAACTGCGCCGGGGACTGGAAACGTTTCTGGGGCGTTTTGGGTCAGGTCGTCACGCCCTCAAAACCCTATTGCATGGATTGACCCTAAACCAAAAACCAGTGACTCATAAAATGCTCTGAAACATAACAACTGGAGTAGATATATTTTAGGTGAATACAGGAGGGAGTCACGTGAAAATATTTCTCCTTTTTTAGAGATACCACTTAATAGTATTTACGAAAAAGTTGTTTTTCCTGAACTAGTCTTTGGGGATTATCATTCGACTGCATAAGAAAAGATACTCATCTAACCCTGACAGCGTTGGAGCCCTCAGTCTATCTTGTGTAGGAGGATGGGTATTTTTGGCAGATACTTATGGTAAAATTTCTGAGTGTCAGTCTGGTTTCCCGAAGCGATACTCAACAATAGACACTTGGCCAATGTTTTCTTTCACGTAAAGGGGGTAAGTTTTATGTTTTTCTAAGGCATTCGACCCTATAAAGAGTCCTCTTTTATGGAATGTGTTCAACACATATGGAATTAGGTAAAAATGGGTATATATTCAATGATATCGAGTTGTGGTCTCAGCATGGATAATTCACTAGTTCCAGTATTGTTCAATACTACCGTAAATAATGCAAAGACAAAGACAAAGAAGTTGTAGAAATGTTATTTTTTGTTCAATGTTACTAAATAATATCACGACTCCAGGAGCGAGTTCCGGTATTGGAGAGGGGGCAGCTTTGCATTTTGCCAAACATGGAGCCAAACTCTCGATAACGGGACGAGATAAGACGAGACTGGAAGACGTCGCTAAAAGATGCTCGGAGTGCGGGATACCGGCTGATGACGTGAGTGTTGTAGTATGGTACTTCCTGTCTTGTACACCCCAAGTACGTCCATCTCACTAGTTGACTGATGATACATGTAACAAATGAAATACGATGGGTTAGAGCTTTTCTATTTGATTTTTGTATCGCACTTTCCTTTTATTTCCATATGCTTTTCCATGGGCGGATACAGCTTTTTTGAAAGGGGGGTGGGGGGTGCACAATTAAGATCTATTTATTGTCTTTGGTGGTAATTTAAGAACCATTACTTTCAAATATAAACTACCCCAAAGCACTTTGGACTCAAATGTTGAAACCCCGAAGAGAAGATACTTCCTACTGCTGAAAAATGATGAAAACTGCCTGAGTCATTTAACCAAAACTGAAAACATCAGTAAATCGCCCGTCCCTGGCTATGGCCAGGATCGAACTCACCAAGGATCTGACCACAATGTTTTGAGGTGAATGTCTAACTCATTTTAAACCAATGTATGAACTACATATGCTGAAATGTCCAAACATAGGAGCCGGACCCTATTCCCACTAAACTGTTTTTTGTGTTCTACTCCCTGTCATCACAAATACTAGTACTATCAATATCAGACTGGATACTGGAACAATACCAAGGTTATTTGAGAATGCATCATCTCATTAAGAAGCAGAGTCTTGACAGAAATAAGCTGAACAAACAGGCATCCAATCTCCAAATGTCCCATATATCTCTAAGAAAAAGCAGTTATCAAGAAGCTGTTAATTCACACAAATAGTCAGACTCTATCAAGAAAATCCCAGTGTACCTCTGAGAGTGCCCATAGTACTAAAGCTCCTTGGGTCTGCATTATGAATGAAATGCGGATTGAAGTAGATGATGGAAATAATCGCACATTAGTGCTCCTCGATCTCTCTGCTGCTTTCGACACAATCAATCACAAGCACTGATTTGGTGAAATACGGACTTAATGACAAGGTCAACTCTTGGCTTTCATCATATGTATCAGACAGAAGCCAGTTAGTTATCACCAAGAAGACAATCAAATCCAAATAATCTAACATATTGTGTACCACAGGGATATGTATTAGGTCCTGTACTGTTCACTCTGTACAGCAAGACACCTGAAGGTTTTGTACATAACCACCTATTTCCTATCACCTCTATTCAGATGACACAGATTGCAGATAGTTTTCAGAAAGTAGAATGGCAGCGCTAAGCATCATGGATTACAAACAGCAACTTCATGAGCACAAGACAGAGGTTTTCACTTGTATGACCCAAGTCATATTTCAGTTTGCCAGGCATCAATTCTCTTCTCCAGTTCATTGAAAAACCTTGGAGTTTCCCTTCAATCAGAGCTGACCATGGACAAGCACATGTAATAGCTTTTGCATAATCTGGAACTATCACCTGCGTATCATTGGCAGTATCATATACCTTCTGACCAGACACAGCATCGGCACTGGCAAGATCGTTAATATTGATTATTGTAACAGTCTGTGGGTACATCACTAGTCCTGCACCATGACCGTGGAATATATTTATTTTATGAAAAAAACATAATCTAGAAATGCATACAAAAGCAAGTCTAGCCAGCTCAAGCTAGCTCTATTCTGAAATCAGCATAGGGAATTTTATTTTTATTTTTAGAGTCAAGAAGGATATTGTGTAATATAAGATTTCAGAGACTAAATGTTAGTCTAGTACATCACAAGAAAACATCAAAACACGAAAGAGATTGCGACACTAATGAATGTGTATTGTCATAAAAACATCAAAACGTGACAGTATCACAACCGCGTTGAAATCCCTGCTACCAGCTCAACCATTGATAAACTAACATCCTTTGCTTAGCCTATCAGTGCATACATGGAGCAGCATCAAAATATACCTCTACCATCTTCAGACCAAAGATCAGGAAAAGAGATGCCTCAGATCCAGCAAAACAAACACCTGTTGGATATCCCAAAGAGAAAAGTCATTTGGCTGCAAATGTTTTGAATGGCAGCTGCACAAACTGACCATGAGCATTTTTAATACCATTTTTGTAAGCGCTTTGAGCAAAACTCTGTGCTGTGTATTAAGCGCTGTTATAATGATCCAATTATAATTATTGTGACTCCTATTGACCATTGTGAGATAACCTAATAACCAGGCGAGAAAGAGGTCCGAAAAACAGCTCCATAGCACTGTAGCTCACTCTCCAGAACATTGCATCACTACAACAGGCTAACTCGTATATCACGTAACCGGCCTTGTCCCTTGTTTGATAACAAACTCGCTATATGCTGAAATCAGAGCAGTCAGTCCTAGAGCCAAGCCAAGCCAAGCCAAGCCAAGACCAAGCCAAGACCAAGACCAAGCCAAGCCAAGCCAAGACCAAGCCAAGACCAAGACCAAGCCAAGCCAAGCAAAGACCAAGCTAAGACCAAGACAAGACCAAGCAAAGCCCAAGACAAGATCAAGCAAAGACCAAGCCAAGTCCAAGCAAAGACCAAGCAAAGATCAAGCAAAGACCAAGCAAAGACCAAGACGAGACCAAGACAAGACCAAACCAAGACAAATCCAAGACCAAGCAAAGACCAAGCCGAGACCAAACCAAGACCAAGCAAAGACCAAGACTAAGACAAGACCAAGCCAAGACATAGACCAAGGCAAGATAAAGCAAAGACCAAGCAAAGACCAAGCAAAGACAAGACCAAGTTAAGACACGACGAAGCCAAGACCAAGCAAAGACCAAGCCAATACAAGACCAAGCCAAGACCAAGCCAAGACAAAGCCAAGACCAAGCCAAGACAAATCCATGACCAAGCCAAGACCAAACCAAGACAAGACCAAGACAAGACCAAGCCAAGACCAAGCCAAGACCAAGCAAAGACCAAGCCAAGACCAAGATCAAGCAAAGACCAAGCAAAAACAAAGCCAAGGCCAAGCCAAGCCCAAGACAAGACCAAGCAAAGACAAGACAAAGCGAAGACACGACCAAGCCAAGACCAAGCAAATACCAAGCCAAGTCCAAGCAAAGAGCAAGCCAAGACCAAGACAGGGACCACGGTAAGACAAAGCAAAGACCAAGCCAAGACCAAGCCAAGACCAAGAAAATACCAAGCAAAGACAAGACTAAGACAAGACCAAGCCAAGACAGGGTCCAAGGTAAGACCAAGCCAAGACCAAGCCAAGACCAAGCCAAGACCAAGCAAAGACCAAGCAAAGACCAAGCAAAGACCAAGCAAAGACAAGACTAAGACAAGACCTAGCCAAGACAGGGACCAAGGTAAGACCAAGCCAAGACCAAGCCAAGACCAAGCCAAGACCAAGCCAAGACCAAGCCAAGACCCAGCCAAGACCAAGCCAAGACCAAGCAAAGACAAGACTAAGACAAGACCAAGCCAAGACAGGGACCAAGGTAAGACCAAGCCAAGATCAAGCCAAGACCAAGCCAAGACCAAGCAAAGACCAAGCAAAGACCAAGCCAAGACCAAGCCAAGACAAGACTAAGACAAGACCAAGCCAAGACATGGACCAAGGCAAGATAAAGCAAAGACCAAGCAAAGACAAGACCAAGTTAAGACACGACGAAGCCAAGACCAAGCAAAGACCAAGCCAATACAAGACCAAGCCAAGACCAAGCCAAGACAAAGCCAAGACCAAGCAAAGACAAAGCCATGACCAAGCCAAGACCAAACCAAGACAAGACCAAGACAAGACCAAGACAAGACCAAGACAAGACCAAGACAAGACCAAGACAAGACCAAGCCAAGACCAAGCAAAGACCAAGTCAAGACCAAGATCAAGCAAAGACCAAGCAAAAACAAAGCCAAGACCAAGCCAAGACCAAGCCAAGACCAAGACAAGACCAAGCAAAGACAAGACAAAGCGAAGACACGACCAAGCCAAGACCAAGCAAATACCAAGCCAAGTCCAAGCAAAGAGCAAGCCAAGACCAAGACAGGGACCACGGTAAGACAAAGCAAAGACCAAGCCAAGACCAAGCCAAGACCAAGCAAATACCAAGCAAAGACAAGACTAAGACAAGACCAAGCCAAGACAGGGACCAAGGTAAGACCAAGCCAAGTCCAAGCAGAGACCAAGCCAAGACCAAGCAAAGACCAAGCAAAGACCAAGCAAAGACCAAGCAAAGACAAGACTAAGACAAGACCAAGCCAAGACAGGGACCAAGGTAAGACCAAGCCAAGACCAAGCCAAGACCAAGCCAAGACCAAGCAAAGGCCAAGACAAGACCAAGCAAAGACAAGACTAAGACAAGACTAAGCCAAGACAGGGACCAAGGTAAGACCAAGCCAAGATCAAGCCAAGACCAAGCCAAGACCAAGCAAAGACCAAGCAAAGACCAAGCAAAGACCAAGCCAAGACCAAGCCAAGACAAGACTAAGACAAGACCAAGCGAAGACAGGGACCAAGGCAAGAGCAAGCAAAGACCAAGCCAAGTCCAAGCAAAGAATTGGAGGACCAGTCTACAGGAAACAATGCAGAAGCAGCGTGACGCTGTAGACATGGCATAGCATTATCATTCAAACAAAGTACCATCTTTTAGTTAGTAAGTACCAATTATTTGAATAAAGTATATCATCACAAAAGGAATTCATGCAAGGTACCAGTCTTACGCTTTCAGAGGAAAACCTGTTTACGGAGCCGGAGTAGAACTTTTCAGGTGATAACACGATATATGAATTATTTCCCTGTCTGTTTGATTTTCAGATTCTGGCCCTTTCCGGTGACCTCACTGACGCGGCCTTCAGAAAGTCAACCATTGAAAAGACAGTCGCCAAGTTTACCAGGCTCGATGTACTGGTATGTGTGCGAGTGTCAACCGTAGGCCGACGTTTCTTACCTGAATTTGAACAATATTATAAAAAATCCGATATACATATATGTTTTCTTCCCTGATGTGTTTCGAATGCATAAAAAACCCATTTGGAAACATTTATATATCATTTTTGGAACAAAGTTCAGTTTGTTTCCATAACTAGTTTTTGTTTGCTTGTTTGATGTTATTTGTTATTTACGTGTTATTATAATATGTAATATAATGGAGACTGCTCCATCTCGGGTCCACCGTGATAATTGTTGTTAAAATATTGTGTTGACTATGACGTAAAACGACATTCACTCACTCACTGGCTGAGAGATTAACACCTTAATCAAGGGATCCTTGTTGTTCTGTGGCTAGACATGTATAACCGGATATGCATGTTGTTCATCCGGGTGTCTGACCTAACCTCTTCGTGTTACAGGTGAACAACGCGGGTTTGGTGTTCCCGCAGGGGTGCATGGAGCTGTCGGAATCCAAGTACGACATGGAGATGAACCTAAACATGAAGGTGCCCTTCCTACTGTGCCAGCTGGCAGTCCCCCATCTGGAGAAGACGCAGGGTGGGTACATCTTGGGCAGGCACAGGGTGGGCACATCGGATTGAGACGTGGATGGGTACATCTGGGGAGACGTGGGTTGGTACATCTGAGGGAGACGTGGGTGGGTACATCTGGGGAGACGTGGGTGGGTACATCTGAGGGAGACGTTGGTGGGTACATCTGGGGAGACGTGGGTGCGTACATCTGGGGGAAACGTGGATGGGTACATCTTGGGGAGACGTTGATGGGTACATCTTGGGCAGGTACATTGTGGGCACATCGGAGGGAGACGTGGGTGGGCACATCTGAGAGCGAGGTGGGTGGGTACATCTGACGGCGACGTGGGTGGGTACATCTGAGGGAGACGTGGGTGGGTACATCTGAAGGCGACGTGGATGGGTTCATCTGAAGGCGACGTGGGTGGGTACATCTGAGGGAGACGTGGGTGGGTACATCTGGGGAGATGTGTGTGGGTACATCTGAGGGAGACGTGGGTGGGTACATCTGAGGGAGACGTGGGTGGGTACATCTGAGGGAGACGTGAGTGGGTACATCTGGGGAGACGTAGGTGGGTACATCTGAGGTAGACGTGGGTGGGTACATCTGAGGGAGACGTGGGTGGGTACATCTGATGGAGACGTGGGTGGGTACATCTGGGGAGACGTGGGTGGGTACATCTGAGGGAGACGTTGGTGGGTACATCTGGGGAGACGTTGGTGCGTACATCTGGGGGAAACGTGGATGGGTACATCTTGAGGAGACGTTGATGGGTACATCTTGGGCAGGTACATTGTGGGCACATCGGAGGGAGACGTGGGTGGGCACATCTGAGAGCGATGTGGGTGGGTACATCTGACGGCGACGTGGGTGGGTACATCTGAGGGAGACGTGGGTGGGTACATCTGAAGGCGACGTGGATGGGTTCATCTGAAGGCGACGTGGGTGGGTACATCTGAGGGAGATGTGGGTGGGTACATCTGGGGAGACGTGTGTGGGTACATCTGAGGGAGACGTGGGTGGGTACATCTGAGGGAGACGTGGGTGGGTACATCTGAGGGAGACGTGGGTGGGTACATCTGAGGGAGACGTGGGTGGGTACATCTGAGGGAGACGTGGGTGGGTACATCTGGGGAGACGTGGGTGGGTACATCTGAGGTAGACGTGGGTGGGTACATCTGAGGGAGACGTAGGTGGGTACATCTGATGGAGACGTGGGTGGGTACATCTGGGGAGACGTGGGTGGGTACATCTGAGGGAGACGTGTATGGGTACATCTGGGGAGACGTGGGTGGGTACATCTGAGGGAGACGTGGGTGGGTACATCTGAGGGAGACGTGGATGGGTACATCTGAGGGAGACGTGGGTGGGTACATCTGAGGGAGACGTGGGTGGGTACATCTTAGGGAGACGTGGGTGGGTACATCTGGGGAGACGTGGGTGGGTACATCTGGGGAGACGTATGGTGTGTATATCTTGGTCGGTACATCTTGGGCAGGTGCAGGGTGGGAACATCTTTGTGAGACGCAGAGTGAATACATCTGGGGGAGACGCAGGGTGGAAACATCTTGGGGAGATTTAGGCCGGGCACGTCTGGGGGACACATGGGTTGTTTCATCTGGGGTATACGCAGGGTGGGTTCATCAAAGGGGGACACTGGTGGGTACATCTGGGAAAGACACATGATTGGTACTTTTAGATAGACGCAGGTTGGGTACATTTGCTTCAGATGCCATTGCTTTCGGAATGTATGCTCTTTCCACTCGAAAATAGGATTACTTATTTACAAAATAACGTTCTCACTTCCGAAAGTGATTGAGTCAATATGATTTTATACCAATTCGAGCAATGTTGTATTGGGGGAAATTACACAAGTCTGTGTCGTAGTGGGCAACAGCTCTAATCACTAGGCTACTCCGACCGCCTCCGTGGTTTAGTGGTAGAACATCCGTCCGGGGTTCGAGACCCGGCCGCGTCATACAGAAACACGTTAAAAGATGGTACTTGTTGTTAACCTGTCGGCGCTCGGCATTAAGGGGATAAAACAACACACACACACACACACACACACACACACACACACACACACACACACACACACACACACACACACACACACACACACACACACACACACACACACACACACACACACACACACACACACGTCCTCCATCTTCCAGTGGCCGCAAATAGAAGCAGTCATTTCTTTGGATAGACTTTAATTTGCTGTTTCATTCGTTGACGTATTACAGCGTGTTTTCAGCGAAAACTGTCTCGGGGTAGTAGTATACTCTGTCTAAACCGGTTTCCTTTTTACAGGGAACATCGTAAACGTTTCCAGTCTTTACGGAGTTCGTCCGGTAAGTTCAACTTGGTTTGTGGTATGCAGTGTGTTACATGGCAGTGTTACGTATTGTTATGGGCGAGAATATCTTCATTTGCTAAGAATTCATGTTGTTTTTGTTTTTTTGCAAATGGATAACGGTGTGTCTACAAGTATCATGACCCATAAATCAACTCATTTTAACTTAATTCAACTAATTCACAGCTTTATTCAAAATATCTCGATCATAAGCGAACACTGTTTGGCACACGAGCGAGAATATTCTCCTTTGCTCAAAACTCATGTTTTGATTTTGCAAATACATGAAGATATGTCTTCAAGTACCATTACGCATAACTGAATTCATTTTAAATGTATTCCACTAATTTATAGCATTATTAAAATATCTCGCCCATAGTCGAGCAACGTTTCCTTTTGCTGAACACGCATGAGTTTTGTTTTGCAAATAAACAAATGTGTGTTTACGAGCACCATGACACATTTTTTATTAACTTCATTTAGTTTTGGCTATATTTCAATATTTGGCCCATTAAAACAAATGTGCAACTAAATCATGACCTATAATCAATATAATATAAAATACATGTTAGTATTATTATGTACAGATTGGAAATAAAATGCAGCAAAGAGGGTTTGGGTGATCCTGGCCCAGCCAGGCTGGTCAGGCCCATCATCAGCCCAGGGCCCTTGCCCCCTCTAGATGCAGCCCGGACTTTAAGCTTTATTAAATTAAATGAATATAGTCATATTTATGTTTCAAGATATAATCTAAAAGTTTCGTTAATTAATTGAACATAAACAGTTCTATAATTGTGTGATCCTACATGTCATATATAATAGGTCATGACGTCAATGTAAACTTTGCGTCTTAGCAATCGTGAGATGTAAAATCCTTGCAGTGTGTTAGACTATGTAGGGAAGTTAAACATGAGAATCAATAATGCCCGGCCAAAAGACTTTTGAGATTCGTCATAAATTTCGTCTGTCACACAGACCCTGAAACAAATATATCCCACACAGCCAATGAAAGTCTATACTATATAGATCGGCTCTGAGTTAACATGATTTGGAGCGTTATTGAAACATTTGGTCCAAGGGCTAGAAAGTTTTCGTTTGCAGAAAAATCATTTCACAAATACAAATATGTAACTACAATTTTCAGCATTGAAAATTCAACTTTTCAAATTTGAATATAACCGGAATGTAATAATATATTGAAAAGACATTTAATAAATAAACATAAATAATTATACTACCGTGTTATCCTATAGGTGATAAAGTCTGCGTACGTGACCGCACCTACCGTTGTTTATATAACTAGTCAAGCTTAGAAAAAATATTTTGACAAACTAAACAAATGAAATGGAACATCTAATAAATGACCGAGATTCGATGGAAGAACTTGACACTATGAAATGTCATGGCCATGTCTAGGATTCGGAATCAGTCGCACAGCACGTAACTGTCGCTCAGAATACCCTGTGATGACCTTTTCGATGTTGCTGAATTAACAGAAGTGTGCACTAAGATCTCATTTAAAAGAATTTGTATAGTTTTTTCACATAGTTTTGTACTGTGAGAAGACGGTACAAGAGGGAGACGTGGGACGACTGTGAGAAGACGGTACAAGAGGGAGACGTGGGACGACTGTGAGAAGACGGTACAAGAGGGAGACGTGGGACGACTGTGCGAAGACGGTACAAGAGAGAGACGTGGGACGACTGTGAGAAGACGGTACAAGAGGGAGACGTGGGAAGACTGTGAGAAGACGGTACAAGAGGGAGACGTGGGACGGCTGTGAGAAGACGGTACAAGAGGGAGACGTGAGAAGACTGTGAGAAGACGGTACAAGAGGGAGACGTGAGACGACTGTGAGAAGACGGTACAAGAGGAAGACGTGGGACGACTGTGAGAAGACGGTACAAGAGGGAAACGTGAGAAGACGGTACAAGAGAGAGACGTGAGAAGACGGTACAAGAGGGAGGTGCTCGAAGGTATTGACCATCCAGTGTCGTAAAGAGACAGAGCCCAGCACGTAACTGTCGCTCAGAATACCCTGTGATGACCTTTTCGATGTTGCTGAATTAACAGAAGTGTGCACTAAGATCTCATTTTAAAGAATTTGTATAGTTTTTTCACATAGTTTTGTACTGTGAGAAGACGGTACAAGAGGGAGACGTGGGACGACTGTGAGAAGATGGTACAAGAGGGAGACGTGGGACGACTGTGAGAAGACGGTACAAGAGGGAGACGTGGGACGACTGTGCGAAGACGGTACAAGAGAGAGACGTGGGACGACTGTGAGAAGACGGTACAAGAGGGAGACGTGGGAAGACTGTGAGAAGACGGTACAAGAGGGAGACGTGGGACGGCTGTGAGAAGACGGTACAAGAGGGAGACGTGAGAAGACTGTGAGAAGACGGTACAAGAGGGAGACGTGAGACGACTGTGAGAAGACGGTACAAGAGGAAGACGTGGGACGACTGTGAGAAGACGGTACAAGAGGGAAACGTGAGAAGACGGTACAAGAGAGAGACGTGAGAAGACGGTACAAGAGGGAGGTGCTCGAAGGTATTGACCATCCAGTGTCGTAAAGAGACAGAGCCCAGCACGTAACTGTCGCTCAGAATACCCTGTGATGACCTTTTCGATGTTGCTGAATTAACAGAAGTGTGCACTAAGATCTCATTTTAAAGAATTTGTATAGTTTTTTCACATAGTTTTGTACTGTGAGAAGACGGTACAAGAGGGAGACGCGGGACGACTGTGAGAAGACGGTACAAGAGGGAGACGTGGGACGACTGCGAGAAGACGGTACAAGAGGGAGACGTGAGACGACTGTGAGAAGACGGTACAAGAGGAAGACGTGGGACGACTGTGAGAAGACGGTACAAGAGGGAAACGTGAGAAGACGGTACAAGAGAGAGACGTGAGAAGACGGTACAAGAGGGAGGTGCTCGAAGGTATTGACCATCCAGTGTCGTAAAGAGACAGAGCCCAGATTGCAGATTGCCCACGTTCCAGTCTATCAGCTCTGCTTGCTCCTCACAGCGTTACTCCGACGATCTCTATCGTCTCTTCCAGGATCACGACCAATGTTTTACTCCAATAGGATGATGCTCTCTACCCCAACAGAAGGCTTCTACATTTTCGATATAGAGTGAGCGAAGTATTCAGACCACCCTTTCTTATTTCTGTATCTGGAAAACAGATAAAAACGACTAATTTCGAACATAAACAATAAAGGCCGCGCGACTGTAATCTTGTACTTACTTAATTCAGTATGTCGTTTCTGAGCGCATCTGCAGTCAAATCGAAGGTGGTAATGAAAAGTAGCCGAAATGATGTAGAAAACTGATGAAACAAAGCATGCTTCATATAGACTGGGTGTGTCTTATGTGTTCTAGGCGCCGGCTGCGGGGACATACTGTGTCAGCAAGGCCGCCCTGGATATGTTCACGCAGTGCCTGGCTTTAGGTGAGAGTCTGGATCGTTTTAATGTGGGGTCACTGTTTGGGTGAGGTGACGGTTTCGGTCGGGGTGACTGTTAGGATTGGATGATTGTTTGAATGTGGTTTCTGTTTCGTAGGGGTGACTGTTTCGGGGGGTTGACTGTTTGGTTGGGGTGGGTTCCTGGATGGGCGACTGGGCGAGGGGGCAGGGCGTTGCTTGTTTGATTGGAGGGACTGTTTGGGATGGGGTAAGTCTGTGACTATTTTGGATGACTGTTGCGTTGGGCGAGGTAACACTTCGGTCTGACTGTTCGAGTTGGGTGGGGTAACTTGGTAGGGTGATTGTGCATGGGCGACTGTTCAGGTTGGGTGATTGTGGGTGGGGTGTCTGTTGACGGTGGGATGGGGTTATATTTGTATGGGGTGGGATGACTGGGTGGTATGGGGGTGTCTTTGAAGGTGGCGTGACTGTTTTGGGTGGCGTGAATGTTTCGGGTTGGGTGGCGTGACGGTTTTGGGTGGGGTGGGGTTGGGTTGGTGACTGTGTGGGTGGAGTGGGGTGACTGTGTGGGTGGGTGTTTTTTTCTGGGTGGATTGAGTGGTAGTTTACCCAGCCTCTCCCGGGTTCTTTTGTGTTTTTATAGATTTCTACATGCACTCTTTCTTGTCTTCAATTTGTTTGTCTCCGCCGTGGACGTCCTTGACCTTCATGATATGTTAAGCATGTAAGCACCTTGACCTTCTTCTGGTAGGTGTAAGCTGGTCGATAGAAGTACACCCCTACCTAGCATCAAGAAGAATGTCGCCAGGGTTTGTGCTCCAGTTCTTATGGTATATTATTTTAAGTGTCCATACAACTATTTATGTGGGGTTCAGATCAAAGTAATTATTGGTGTGTTTATCAGAACATGACATTTGTTTATGCGGTTGTCTTTCCTTCTGCAGAGCTCGCGCCCAAGAAAGTTCGAGTGAACTCTGTAAAGTAAGAAGTTCCTTTCGTAAAGTGATTGATTTATGTGATAAATTATAAGTGTTATCTGTGGATGTCCTTACAATGCGAACTATTTGTAGGCAGAAAGACATGCACACGCACACGCACACGCACATGCACATGCACACGCACACTGGGAGATCAGCCCATTTTCGGTTATAGCTAGTGACGAGTCACATTTTGGGCGACGTATGTAAATAGAGTAAGCATCTACTGCTAGAATGATATATACTCGAAATAATCTGGTGTTCTAAACTTCTTTTGAGTAGTATACACCATATAATTTCTGGTTGCAAATTTTCTAGGGCTTTCAATTTGGCCCGAGCCCACTCTCCCTTAAAAGCTGGTATTTCGAACACAACAAGAAATCGACTATGAAGGATTGCTATTTACAATCACATACCCTTGATTCATACGGAGGCAGAGGTGGCCCAGTCGTCTAAGGCGCCGCGATTCGCTGTGCAGAGTTGCGACCCTTGGGCACGCCAGAAACCTATGATTGTGGGTTCGAATCCTGGTTGGCCCCGATTATGTTTCTAGGTTTGTCAGCACCATACCCGTGCACGTGGGTTTCTCCGAAGTGGTAAACGTCTGAAACCTGCATCACTTCGTGCTTTTCTCCACATTAAGCTGACACGCCGCGATATAACTGGAACACTGTTAGAGGCGGCGTTACAACCAACTCGCTCATTCATTCATACATCAGATTACAATAGTAAACTTTGGCAATGTGTATCATACGCCAGACAGGAATCTCAGCTCAATACACCACTTTTTTTCCAGCCCCGGCGTTGTGGACACTCCGCTCTTCACTCGGGAGGACTCATTCTTTCACAACCAAGACGAGGATTACGGCAAGGTCAGCGGCTACGGCCTTACTCTCTCCACAATATTGATGCTGGCAAGATACATCTCAACTGTCGTAGTGTGTGATGCGTCGAAATAATGTGTCACCTATTCCGTCAGTAGATTATATTTATATTTGTTGATATCAAATATTCTGGGTCGTCTGGCGAAGGAATTCTCTTTAATGTTCACAATAACTAAATCACCAGGGCCCCCTTTTACATATTGATCATAAACTACGACTGTTGTGGTGTAGTGGATAGAGCGTCGGCCAATGATCGTCTGCTGTGTCATACCACAAAACGTTAAAATATGGTACTTGTTGTTTCCGTGCCTGGCGCTCGGCATTAAGGGGATAAAATAAGGACTGGTCGACTCGAGTGAGTGAGTGGTTTAGTTTTAAGTTGCTTTTTGAAACAGGGTACAGAAGGGGACGACCTTTCGCCAACTTTGATCGACCAATGAAATGATTAACTTACAGGAATTCGACATTAGACAATCAGAAAGCTGCTTTCTCAAGCTTTACGGTACTTTTTCAATATGGCGACTTCCATTCCAGGCTAGGCTTTGAAAAATATTTTGATAATGTTCTTGATTCAAAATTTGAAAACTGAACAAAATAAAAGCCTGGAATGTCAAAACCATGACCTGAGACTGTATGGCAGTACTTTATGTAGCGGTGATTTTAATGAGATTGGCCCCTGTGGTACTATTGTCCTGAAAGGTCATTGTTATATATTTCCAGTTCTTGAAGGAACAAGCAGTTGCCCATCCCCTTGGCAGAGTGGGCCAACCCCAGGATGTGGCTGAGTCCATTGCCTTTCTTGCCTCAGACGCTGCGAGCTTTGTGACGGGACAGCTCATTTTCATTGATGGGGGTCGACACTGTGTCTAGCACAATACTTTTAAGTGAAATTCGTGCACATTCAGGGACAAACCGATTTGTTCTCGAAGGGCGGTTTGGTACATGAACATACATGAATCTTGCTCCAATGTCCTGTGCTCGAAGACGAGTTAAATATGCAACTGACTGCATGTGATCAAATAAAGAGAAATGGTGACTTGTGGTGTTTAACATTTCTTAATAAGAGACTGCTTCATGCAAAGTAAGAATAGCATCGTCCGCATAGAATAAGTAAATCACACCGTTATCACAGCTTGATCTGACAGATTGCAATCACAAATACTACTAATCCTATATAGATAAATATTGCAGCGACCTGTTGTCAGCAATATTACAGCTATATCAGAAAGAACAGTAGTTAGCAATATTACATCTATATTGCAGCAGACTGTTGTCAGCAATATTAAAGCTGTAGCAGAGAGAAAAATAGTTATCAATATTACATCTATATTACAGCAGACTGTTGTCAGCAATGTTACAGCTATAGCAGAGAGAACAATAGTTAGCAATATAACATCTATATTACGGCAGACTGTTGTAAGCAATGTTACAGCTATAGCAGAGAGAACAGTAGTTAGCAATATTACATCTATATTACAGCAGACTGTTGTCAGCAATGTTACAGCTATAGCAGAGAGAACAGTAGTTAGCAATATTACATCTATATTACAGCAGACTGTTGTCAGCAATATTACAGCTATAGCAGAGAGAACATTAGTTAGCAATATTAGCTACCGCTAAACAAAGATCTGAGGACATCCCATTACAGGCCTTTCGCGAATTTTGACCGACTAATGAAATGACTGACAAGAAATCGACATTGGCCAATCAGAAGGCAGCTTTCTCGAGCTTTACGACACTAGTTTCAAACTGGCGAGTACCTTCGAAACATATTTTGACGTATTCTCGATTAAAGATTTTAAAACTGATAAGAAGAACATTCTGGAATGGCTTATAGATGGCACAGATTGTATGGATATAATCATAAAACCTGTAACTGTCGTTCGGAATACCCCGTGTTAAATATATCGTGTTTGCATGATTAGAAAACACATTCCGACTGTCACTTTCATGATCTGGTAAGCGACGCCCTGATTGGTTGGATGAAAGGTCGATCTGACGTGACCCCTAATAGGATGTCCTCAGATCTTTGTTTAGCGATAGCGAGAACTAAGATCTGTTTTTAATGAGATTGGCCGACTGCATATCCATTTCAGCATGCATATCGTTCGGTGACCACTGTTTAACCTTACATGATGTAACTCGCGATCATGTCCCGGCGAGTGTTCCATACTTTGTTAATACTGTTGTTCAGCAACCTTATTCTGAAGGCGGGGAAGTATACTGGAAAGGTTAATTCAATAGCATGTATGTCGACATGTTGGTTTCTTTGAAAGTTTAAAACACGCAGTTACCGAAACGAAACATACAAATCGTGCGTGAAATGTTGATGCTATTCTTTTCTAGCAATAAGAGATATTTCAAAATCGTCTTGCTATTCTGAGACTTAGTCACGTTTCGTAATGCAGATAACCTAAGCAATTTGTTCAATTGTTTTTAAAAGAGCTAAACATGTTTAGGAGAAATATGTATCTCATTTCGTTAAAGTTAACCAGTCTATATTTTGGAAGAATAAACTATTGGGCATTGAGCGTTTATCTCCTTCAGCAAAAGGGGTAGTATGGAGCTTTATCACGCACTGACCTTGCAGTGCTGTACATCGTATCTTATTCAAGCTGTATCGCTGAAAGTGAGTGATTATCTCCTTACCCAAAAAGCTCTATTGCGCACTACCTTTGCAATGTATATCGTATGTTATTCAGGCAGCCATCGAGAAAGTTCCAGGGAGGAATTTAGGTCAAGCTTGTAACGTGCACTCAATCTTTCAACTTCACACTGCTATTGCAACTTAAATTATTGTTCAACATGATTAAATACCAGACTTCTATAAAGTATAACTTTGTTCAATAAACAACACATGTAATTAAAACAATGGGTTTGATATGAGAAATTTGTAATTAGTTTTCTTCGTAATCACATGAAGAAACAGTGGCAATATTATACGATCACAAACTACAAAATATATACACAATAAGTGAGTGAGTGAGTATGGTTTTACGCCGCTTTTAGCAATATTCCAGCAATATCAGGTCGGGGAACACCAGAAATGGGCTTCACACATTGTACCCATGTCGGGAATCGAACCCGGGTCTTCGGCGTGAGTGCTGTAGTATGGTACTTCCTGTTTTGTACACCCCAAGTACGTTCAGCTGGCAATATCCGCCACACTGAGATACAATGCCACAGTTTAACATGAATACCCCACTCAGACACAGTATACTGTCTCCGAGCCGACCAGTCCTTGTTTTAGCCCCTTTATGCCCAGCGCCAGACAGGGTAACAACAAGTACCATCTTTTAACGTATTTTGGTATGACGCGGCCGGGGATCGAACCCCGGGCCTTCCGCTCTCCGGGCGGGCGCTCTACCACTAGACTACGGAGGCGGTCCTATATTGTATGAGTGTGTATGTGAGTGAGTGGGTGAATGGCAACGTGGGCGAGCCCGCTCGTGAGAGAGCAAAGATTAACGACGCATTGAAAGTATAGAGTAGTTCAGTGTGTCAGCCGAATGTGATAGGAAACCCAAACTCACCCGGCTCAAGGACGTTTAACACGATATCAGTGTGACCTTCGAACACACGATCAGCAGATCCTTGCAAAAGCAAGGGAAGACATTTTGACTTGCGATTTGTAATCAATCAGCAATTGGATCTTGGTAAAATATTTAGAATTCACTTCACGTGAACGACCAGATACACCACAGAGTAAGCGTATCAATAAAACAAAAAAAAATAATGATAGCTGTAGTGACATGTCGAAACAATGGCATAACGAATTTAAAAAGTAGTATATCGTAGTATGCATGATTCACTAGTGTCAGCATTGTTAAACACTGACTTATTCTCTGATACAGATGATACAAAAGTGTAGAAATGTTATCTCTTGTTTAATTTTACTACATGCTAAACATGGAGCACTCACACCTCCACCTCCCACATCCCACCCCAGACCGACCTCCCACACCCACACCCACACCCACACCCACACCCACACCCCACACCCCCTCCTACAACCACACCCACCTCCACCTCCCACACCCCACACCCGACACCCACACACCCGGTGATGGTTAGGGCAAGTTGACCTTCTCTCCACCGCACCCCATCCCCTCGACACAAGATGAAATCCAGTGCATTGTGTCTACTACACATGTCCAATCTCGATGAACAACATGCATGATGTAGTGCGATCTAGTCTGACCAATTACAACAGGTCAACATACACATTGTCCATGACTATTTACACTGATGACATACTGACACTGCGCAGCTTGCGATCATGTTTCCCTGAGTCATACTGAGACACAGTTATTCACCACCCAGCTCAGTGTGACGGCAGGAGCGACGCGATGGCGAAGTTTGCAGGCCGAGTTGTACTTATTACAGGTAAATATGACAAAATATTTCCCCTGCACAGAGTAGTACACATGTGGAAGGCAGTAGGTTGTAGTACCCTGTCAAATGAACAAATATGAGGGTTGTGCATTCTCGTACTATCGTCCGGGGGGGGGGGGGGGGGGGGGGGGGGGGCACAATAAGTTAGTCATTTCCAGCCCTAGTGGTTAACAGTTAAAAAAAAGTATATCTGCACTGAAAAACTTAGAGAATCCTTTGTCAGAAACATGTCATCACAGATTATCACTGATATGTTAGAAAACGCAGCAGTGTGCTCCATCTCAGTGTTATCTGCCGGAGTGAGTTTACTAACTGATGATATTCTGTCTGCTGCCTGTGTGTTCAAAAGACAGATTCGCCATGAGACATGCAGACCACTCGCCGTGGTATGACGGCGAATGTCTCAATACAAAGCATGAACGTTGCCATGCACTGTACCCTTTTTCGCATGACGAAAAAGGGAGTATCTCACGTGTTACTGTCAAGCGTGCAACCACTACCGCCATGTGCCCGAGAAGACTCATCAGTAAATAGATAACGCAAGCGAGATGACCTAGTTAACTGCCCCGGGGACTGGAAACGTTTCTGGGGCGTTTGGGGTCAGGTCGATCACGCCCTCAAAACCCTATTACATGGATTATTGTACTGAATATTTTTCGTTTCTATATTTTACTGAAGACTCAAGACTTTTGAAGATTTTATTGACCCTGAACCAAAAACCAGTGACTCTTACATTTTATCAGGAAGACATTTGAATACAGGAGGAAGTCACGTGAAAATATTTCTCCTTATTTAGAGATAAAACTTAATAGTATGTACGAAAAAGTTGTTTTTCCTGAACTAGTCTTTGGGGATTATCATTCGACTGCATAAGAAAAGATACTCATCTAACCCTGACAGCTTTAGAGCCCTCAGTCTATCTTGTGTAGGAGGATGGGTATTTTTGGCAGATACTTATGGTAAAATTTCTGAGTGTCAGTCTGGTTTCCCGAAGCGATATTCAACAATAGACACTTGGCCAATGTTTTCTTTCACGTAAAGGGGGTAAGTTTTATGTTGCTTTTATTGATTTTTCTAAGGCATTCGACCCTATAAAGAGTCCTCTTTTATGGAATGTGTTCAACACATATGGAATTAGGTAAAAATGGGTATATATTCAATGATATCGAGTTGTGGTCTCAGCATGGATAATTCACTAGTTCCAGTATTGTTCAATACTACCGTAAATAATGCAAAGACAAAGACAAAGAAGTTGTAGAAATATTATTGTTTGTTCAATGTTACTAAATAATATCACGACTCTAGGAGCGAGTTCCGGTATTGGCGAGGGGACAGCTTTGCATTTTGCCAAACATGGAGCCAAACTCTCGATAACGGGACGAGATAAGACGAGACTGGAAGACGTCGCTAAAAGATGCTCGGAGTGCGGGATACCGGCTGATGACGTGAGTGTTGTAGTATGGTACTTCCTGTCTTGTACACCCCAAGTACGTCCAGCTCACTAGTTGACTGATGATACATGTAACAAATGAAATACGATGGGTTAGAGCTTTTCTATTTGATTTCAGTATCGCACCTTCCTTTTATTTCCATATGCTTTTCCATGGGCGGATACAGCTTTTTTGAAAGGGGGGGGGGGGGGGGGTGCACAATTAAGTTCTATTTATTGTCTTTGGTGGTAATTTATACAGAAATCCAGGATCGAACTCACCAAGGATCTGACCACAATGTTTTGAGGTGAATGTCTAACTCATTTTAAACCAATGTATGAACTACATATGCTGAAATGTCCAAACATAGGAGCCGGACCCTATTCCCACTAAACTGTTATTTGTGTTCTACTCCCTGTCATCACAAATTCTAGTACTATCAATATCAGACTGGATACTGGAACAATACCAAGGTTATTCGAGAATGCATCATCTCATTAAGAAGCAGAGTCTTGACAGAAATAAGCTGAACAAACTAGCATCCAATCTCCAAATGTCCCATATATCTCTAAGAAAAAGCAGTTATCAAGAAGCTGTTAATTCACACAAATAGTCAGACTCTATCAAGAAAATTCCAGTGTACCTCTGAGAGTGCCCATAGTACTGAAACTCCTTTGGTCTGCATTATGAATGAAATGCTAATTGCAGTAGATGATGGAAATAATCGCACATTAGTGCTCCTCGATCTCTCTGCTGCTTTCGACACGATCAATCACAAGCACTGACTTGGTGAAATACAGACTTAATGACAAGGTCAACTCTTGGCTTTCATCATGTGTATCAGACAGAAGCCAGTTAAATATCACCAAGAAGACAATCAAATCCATATAATCTAACATGTTGTGTACCACAGGGATATGTATTAGGTCCTGTACTGTTCACTCTGTACACCAAGACACCTGAAGGTTTTGTACATAACCACCTATTTCCTATCACCTCTATTCAGATGACACACAGATGGCAGATAGTTTTCAGAAAGTAGAATGGCAGCGCTAAGCATCATGGATTACAAACAGCAACTTCATGAGCACAAGACAGAGGTTTTCACTTGTATGACCCAAGTCATATTTCAGTTTGCAAGGCATCAATTCTCTTCTCCAGTTCAGTGAAAAACCTTGGAGTTTTCCTCCAATCAGAGCTGACCATGGACGGGGGCGGTCGGGTAGCCTAGTGGTTAAAGCGTTCGCTCGTCACGTTGAAGACCCGGGTTCGAATCCCGACATGGGTACAATGTGTGAAGCCCATTTCTGGTGTCCCCCGCCGTGATATTGCTGGAATATTGCTAAAAGCGGCGTAAAACCAAATTCACTCACTCACTCACTCACTGACCATGGACAAGCACATGTAATAGCTTTTGCATAATCTGGAACTATCACCTGCGTATCATTGGCAGTATCATATACCTTCTGACCAGACACAGCATCGGCACTGGCAATATCGTTAATATTGATTATTGTAACAGTATGTGGGTACATCACAAGAAAACATCAAAACACGAAAGAGATTACAACACTAATGAATGTGTATTGTCATAAAAACATCAAAACGTGACAGTATCACAACCGCGTTGAAATCCCTGCTCCCAGTTCAACCAATGATAAACTAACATCCTTTGCTTAGCCTATCAGTGCATACATGGAGCAGCATCAAAATATACCTCTACCATCTTCAGACCAAAGATCAGGAAAAGAGATGCCTCAGATCCAGCAAAACAAACACCTGTTGGATATCCCAAAGAGAAAAGTCATTTGGCTGCAAATGTTTTGAATGGCAGCTGCACAAACTGACCATGAGCATTTTTAATACCATTTTTGTAAGCGCTTTGAGCAAACTCTGTGCTGTGTATTAAGCGCAATTATAATGATCCAATGATATTATTATTGCGACTCCTATTGGCCATTATGAGATAACCTAATAACCAGGCGAGAAAGAGGTCCGAAAAACAGCTCCATAGCACTTTAGCTCACTCTCCAGAATATTGCATCACTACAACAGGCTAACTCGTATATCAAGTAACCGGCCTTGTCCATTGTTTGATAACAAACTCGCTATATGCTGAAATCAGAGCAGTCAGTCCTAAAGAAAGTTTTACGAGATATATTTACCATGTTTTCAGTTTCTAAACCGAAACCTTATACTTGTTTCGTTCATGCGAGAGAGAATGCAAAGACCAAGCCATGACCAAGCCAAGACCAAGCCAAGACCAAGCCAAGAGCAAGCCAAGCCAAGCCAAGCCAAGCCAAGCCAAGCTAAGCCAAGCCAAGCCAAGCCAAGACCAAGACAAAGACCAAGACAAGACCAAGCCAAGACAGGGACCAAGCCAAGCCCAAGACAAGACAAGCTAAGACCAAGACAAGCCAAGACCATGCCAAGCCAAGACCAAGTCAAGACCAAGTCAAGACCAAGCCAAGTCCAAGCCAAGCCAAGCCAAGTCCAAACCAAGACCAAGCAAAGACAAGACAAAGCGAAGACACGACCAAGCCAAGACCAAGCCAAGACCAAGCCAAGTCCAAGCAAAGACCAAGCCAAGACCAAGACGAGACCAAGCCAAGACCAAGTCAAGACCAAGTCAAGACCAAGCCAAGACCAAGCCAAGCCAAGCCAAGTCCAAACCAAGACCAAGCAAAGACAAGACAAAGCGAAGACACGACCAAGCCAAGACCAAGCAAAGACCAAGCCAAGTCCAAGCAAAGACCAAGCCAAGACCAAGACGAGACCAAGACGAGACCAAGCCAAGACCAAGCCAAGACCAAGCCAAGACCAAACGAAGACCAAGCAAACACCAAGTCAAGACAAGACTAAGACAAGACCAAGCCAAGACAGGGACCAAGGTAAGATCAAGGTAAGATCAAGCAAAGACCAAGCCAAGTCAAGCCAAGTCCAAGAACAAGACCAAGACCAAGACCAAGACCAAGACCAAGACAAGCCAAGCCAAGCCAAGACCAAGCCAAGACCAAGCCAAGACCAAGCCAAGACCAAGACAAGACCAAGCAAAGACAAGACAAAGCGAAGACACGACCAAGCCTGACCAAGCAAAGACCAAGCCAAGACCAAGACGAGACCAAGACGAGACCAAGCCAAGACCAAGCAAAGACCAAGACAGGACCAAGCAAAGACCAAGCAAAGACCAAGCAAAGGTCAAGCAAAGACCCAGCAAAGACCAAGCAAAAACCAAGACGAGACCAAGCAAAGACCAAGCTAAGACAAAACCAAGACCAAGCAAAGACCAAGACTAAGACAAGACCAAGCCAAGACAGGGACCAAGACACGACCAAGCCAAGACGAGACCAAGCCAAGACCAAGCCAACACAAGACCAAGCAAAGACCAAGCAAAGACCAAGACAGGACCAAGCAAAGACCAAGCAAAGTCCAAGCAAAGACCAAGCAAAGACCAAGCAAAGACCAAGCAAAAACCAAGACGAGGCCAAGCAAAGACCAAGCCAAGACCAAACCAAGACCAAGCAAAGACCAAGACTAAGACAAGACCAAGCCAAGACAGGGACCAAGCCAAGACCAAGCAAAGACCAAGCCAAGAAAAGACCAAGCCAAGACAAAGCCAAGACCAAACCAAGACAAGACCAAGCCAAGACCAAGCAATGACCAAGCAATGACCAAGCCAAGACTAAGACAAGATCAAGCAAAGACCAAGCCAAGACCAAGACAAGACCAAGACAAGACCAAGCAAAGACAAGACAAAGCGAAGACACGACTAAGCCAAGACCAAGCCAAGACCAAGCCAAGACCAAGCAAAGACCAAGCAATGACCAAGCCAAGACAAGATCAAGCAAAGACCGAGCCAAGACCAAGACAAGACCAAGACAAGACCAAGCAAAGACAAGACAAAGCGAAGACACGACCAAGCCAAGACCAAGCCAAGACCAAGACGAGACCAAGACGAGACCAAGCCAAGACCAAACCAAGACCAAACCAAGACCAAGCAAAGACCAAGTCAAGACCAAACCAAGACCAAGCAAACACCAAGTCAAGACAAGACTAAGACGAGAGCAAGCCAAGACAGGCACCAAGGTAAGATCAAGCAAAGACCAAGCCAAGTCCAAGCAAAGATCAAGCCAAGACCAAGCTTAGGCCAAGACGAGACCAAGCTAAGACAAGACTAAGACAAGACAAAGCCAAGACCAAACCAAGACAAGACCAAGCCAAGACCAAGCAAAGACCAAGCAATGACCAAGCCAAGACAAGATCAAGCAAAGACCAAGCCAAGACCAAGACAAGACCAAGACAAAACCAAGCAAAGACAAGACAAAGCGAAGACACGACTAAGCCAAGACCAAGCAAAGACAAAGCCAAGTCCAAGCAAAGACCAAGCCAAGACCAAGACGAGACCAAGACGAGACCAAGCCAAGACCAAGCCAAGACCAAACCAAGACCAAGCAAACACCAAGTCAAGACAAGACTAAGACAAGACCAAGCCAAGACAGGGACCAAGGTAAGATCAAGCAAAGACCAAGCCAAGTCCAAGCAAAGACCAAGCAAAGACCAAGCTTAGACCAAGACGAGACCAAGCCAAGACCAAGCCAAGACAAGACTAAGAGAAGACCAAGCCAAGACAGGGACCAAGGCAAGAGCAAGCAAAGACCAAGCCAAGTCCAAGCAAAGAATTGGAGGACCAGTCTACAGGAAACAATACAGAAGCAGCGTGACACTGTAGACATGGCATAGCATTATCATACAAACAAAGTATCATCTTTTAGATAGTTAGTACCAATTATTGAATAAAGTATGTCATCACAAAAGGAATTCATGCAAGGTACCACTCCTACACTTTCAGAGGAAACCTGTTTACGGAGCCGGAGTAGAACTTTTCATATATTTATATGAATTATTTCCCTGTCTGTTTGATTTTCAGATTCTGGCCCTTTCCGGTGACCTCACTGACGCGGCCTTCAGAAAGTCAACCATTGAAAAGACAGTCGCCAAGTTTACCAGGCTCGATGTACTGGTATGTGTGCGAGTGTCAACCGTAGGCCGACGTTTCTAACCTGAATTTGAATAATATTATAAAAAATCCGATATATATATATATATATATATATATATGTTTTCCTTCTTCCCTGATGTGTTTCGAATGCATAAAAAAACCATTTGGAAACATTTAAATATCATTTTTGGAACAAAGTTCAATTTGTTTCCATAACTAGTTTTTGTTTGCTTGTTTGATGTTATTTGTTATTTGCGTGTTATTATAATATGTAATATAATGGAGACTGCTCCATCTCGGGTCCACCGTGATAATTGTTGTTAAAATATTGTGTTGACTATGACGTAAAACGACATTCACTTACTCACTGGCTGAGAGATTAACACCTTAATCAAGGGATCCTTGTTATTCTGTGGCTAGACATGTATAACCGGATATGCATGTTGTTCATCCGGGTGTCTCACCTAACCTCCTCGTGTTGCAGGTGAACAACGCGGGTTTGGTGTTCCCACTGGGGTGCATGGAGCTGTCGGAATCCAAGTACGACATTGAGATGAACCTAAACATGAAGGTGCCCTTCCTACTGTGCCAGCTGGCAGTCCCCCATCTGGAGAAGACGCAGGGTGGGTACATCTTGGGCAGGCACAGGGTGCTCACATCGGAGGTAGACGTGGGTTGGTACATCTGGGGGAGACGTGGGTGGGTACATCGGAATCTGAGGGAGACGTTGGTGGGTACATCTGGGGAGACGTGGGTGGGTACATCTGGGGAGACGTGGGTGGGTACATCTGAAGGCGATGTTGGTGGGTACATCTGAAGGCGACGTGGGTGGGTACATCTGAAGGCGACGGGGGTGGGTACATCTGAGGGAGACGTGGGTGGGTACATCTGAAGGCGACGTTGGTGGGTACACCTGGAGGCGACGTGGGTGGGTACATCTGAAGGAGACGTGGGTGGGTACATCTGAAGGCGACGTTGGTGGGTACATCTGGGGAGACATGGGTGGGTACATCTGAGGGAGACGTGGGTGGGTACATCTGAGGGAGACGTGGGTGGGTACATCTGAAGGCGACGTAGTTGGGTACATCTGGGGAGACGTGGGTGGGTACATCTGAGGGAGACGTGGATGGGTACATCTGAGGGAGACGTGGGTGGGTACATCTGAGGGAGACGTGAGTGGGTACATCTGAGGGAGACGTTGTTGGGTACATCTGAGGGAGACGTGGGTGGGTACATCTGAGGGAGACGTGGGTGGGTACATCTGAGGGCGACGTGGGTGGGTACATCTGGGGAGATGTGGGTGGGTACATCTGAGGGCGACGGGGTTGGGTACATCTGAGGGCGACGTGGGCGGTAACATCTGAGGGAGACGTGGGTGGGTTCATCTGAGGGCGACGTGGGTGGGTACATCTGAGGGCGACGTGGGTGGGTACATCTGAGGGAGACGTGGATGGGTACATCTGAGGGAGACGTGGATGGGTACATCTGAGGGCGACGTGGATGGGTACATCTGAGGGCGACGTGGGTGGGTACATCTGAGGGAGACGTGGGTGGGTACATCTGAGGGAGACGTGGATGGGTACATTTGGGGAGACGTGGGTGGGTACATCTGAGGGCGACGTGGGTGGGTACATCTGAGGGAGACGTGGGTGGGTACATCTGAGGGAGACGTGGATGGGTACATCTGAGGGCGACGTGGGTGGGTACATCTTGGGGAGCCGTGGGTGGGTACATCAGAGGGAGACGTGGATGGGTACATCTGGGGAGACGTGGGTGGGTACATCTGAGGGAGACATGGGTGGGTACATCTGAGGGAGACGTGGATGGGTACATCTGGGGAGACGTGGGTGGGTACATCTGAGGGAGACGTGGATGGGTACATCTGAAGGCGACGTTGGTGGGTACACCTGGAGGCGACGTGGATGGGTACATCTGGGGAGACGTGGGTGGGTACATCTGGGGAGACGTGGATGGGTACATCGTGGGAGACTTGGGGGGGTACATCTGAGGGAGACGTGGATGGGTACATCTGGGGAGACGTGGGTGGGTACATCTGGGGAGACGTGGATGGGTACATCTGAGGGCGACGGGGGTGGGTACATCTGAGGGAGACATGGATGGGTACATCTGAGGGAGACGTGGGTGGGTACATCTGAGGGAGACGTGGGTGGGTACATCTTTGGGAGACGCAGAGTGAATACATCTGGGGGAGACGCAGGGTGGAAACATCTTGGGGAGATTTAGGCCGGGCACGTCTGGGGGACACATGGGTTGTTACATCTGGGGTAGACGCAGGGTGGGTTCATTAAAGGGGGACACTGGTGGGTACATCTGGGAAAGACACATGAATGGTAGACGCAGGTTGGGTACATTTGCTTCAGATGCCATTGCTTTCGGAATGTATGCTCTTTCCACTCAAAAATAGGATTACTTATTTACAAAATAACGTTCTCACTTCCGAAAGTGATTGAGTCAATATAATTTATACGAATTCGAGCAATGTTGTATTTGGGGAAATGTACACAAGTCTGTGTCGTAGTGGGCAACAGCTCCAATAAGGGGATAAAACAAGGACTGGTGAAGTCTGAGTGGGGTATCCATGTTAAGCTGCGGCATGGTTTCTCAGTGGGCTAGCACTTTAATTCGGCATCAGTCCGGACTTGTACAAGCAGCCACGCACGCACGCACGCACGCACGCACGCACGCACGCACGCACGCACGCACACACACACACACACACGTGCATTCACGTCCGCTATATAAGTGCGATACTCTTGACGCGACGTTAAAGTATCACCTCACCTCACTTGGCTTCTCCGCGGCCACGTGACCTGAAGCTTCTTTGAACCTGAGAAACATCGGTGTCAGATGATTCAACTGCCATTCTGTCGAATCCTCCAGTGGCCCCAAATAGAAGCACTAATCTCTTTGGATAGACTTTAATTCATTGTTTCATTTGTTGACGTATTACCGCGTGTTTTCAGCGAAAACGGTCTCGGGGAAGTAGTATACTCTCTCTAAACCGGTTTCCTTTTTACAGGGAACATCGTAAACGTTTCCAGTCTTTCCGGAGTCCGTCCGGTAAGTTCAACATGGTGTGTGCAGTGTTACGTATTGTTATGGGCGAGAATATCTTCATTTGCTCAGAATTCATGTATTTTTTGTTTTGCAAATGGATAACGGTGTGCCTACAAGTAACATGACCCATAACTCTACTCATTTTAACTTAATTCAACTAATTTACAGAGTTATTTAAAATATCTCGATCATAAGCGAAAACTGTTAGGCACATGAGCAAGAATATTCTCCTTTGCTCAAAACTCATGTTTTTGTTTTGCAAATACATGAAGATATGTCTACAAGTACCATTACGCATAATTGAATTAATTTTAGATGTATTCAACTAATTTATAGCATTATTAAAATATCTCGCCCATAGTCGAGCAACGTTTCCTTTTGCTGAAAACGCATGTGTTTTGTTTTGCAAATAAACAAATGTGTGTTTACGAGCACCATGACACATTTTTAATTAACTTAATTTAGTTGTGGCTATATTTCAACATTTCGCTCATTAAAACAAATGTGCAACTAAATCATGACCTATAATCAATATAATATAATATACATGTTAGTATTATTATGTACAGATTGGAAATAGAGTGCAGCAAAAAGGGTTTGGGTGATCCTGGTCCAGTCAGACTGGTTAGGCCCATCATCAGTCGAGGGCCCTTGTCCCCTCTACATGCAGCCCGGAATTTTAGCTTTATTAAATTAAATGAATATAGTCATATTTATGTTTCAAGATATAATCTAAAAGTTTCGTTTATTAATTGAACATAAATAGTTCTATAACTGTGTGATCCTACATGTCATATATAATAGGTCATGACGTCAATGTAACTTTGCGTCTTAGCAATAATGAGATGTAAAATCCTTGCAGTGTGTTAGACTATGTAGGGAAGTTAAACAAGAGGTTATATCAATAATACCCAGCCAAAAGACTTTTGAGATTCGTTAGAAATTATAATCCTAAATTTCGTCTGTCACACAGACCCTGAAACAAATATATCCCACACAGCCAATGAAAGTCTATACTATATAGATCGGCTCTGAGTTAACATGATTTGTAGCGTTATTGAAACATTTGGTCCAAGGGCTAGCAAGTTTTCGTTTGCAGAAAAATCATTTCTTGGTTTTGAACAAACACAAATATATAACTACAATTTTCAGCATTGAAAATTCAACTTTTCAAATTTGAATATAACCGGAATGTAATAATATATTTAAAAGACATTTAATAAATAAACATAAATAATTATACTATCGTGTTATCCTATAGGTGATAAAGTCTGCGGACGTGACCGCACCTACCGTTGTTTATATAACTAGTCAAGGTTAGAAAAACATATTTTTTGACAATCTAAACAAATGAAATGGAATATCTAATAAATGACCGAGATTCGGTGGAAGAACTTGACACTATGGAATGTCTAGCATACCATGGCCATGTCTAGGATTCGGAATCAGTCGCACAGCACGTAACTGTCGCTCAGAATACCCTGTGATGACCTTTTCGATCTTGCTGAATTGTTTGAGAAATAAAATTGTAAACACTGACAAAATCATCTCACTGATCATCACATGGGTGTGGACCAAAACACATGGAGAGTGAAAATTGGTACAGTGTGTCGTTTGGACACCACAGGTGAAGTCCCCTTGAGCAGCTTCATGTGTATCGTTGTGCATTGCCACAGTTTTCGTGCTGGCGCTTTTGACAGTCACCAGGTGTGGGGATGTGGAAACAAAACCCGGCCGAGTACAGACGCCAACTGCAAGCGAGCTCGATGATATAATAAAGCCTTGCAACACGAAGCAAAAACTCTCAAAGAGAAAGTTGAAGCACTTAAGAGACCACTAAAAGAAACGATCTGACAAGAAAACAGGACGACTTAGAAAACAGATCACGCAGAGACTATCTTGTGTGTTATGGTATCCCGAGAAGCAGAAGAGGGAGGCGTGGGAAGACTGTGAGAAGACGGCACAAGAGGGAGACGAGGGACGACTGTGAGAAGACGGTACAAGAGGGAGACGTGGGAAGACTGTGAGAAGACGGTACAAGAGGAAGACGTGAGACAACTGTGAGAAGACGGTACAAGAGAGAGACGTGGGAAGACTGTGAGAAGACGATACAAGAGGGAGACGTGGGAAGACTGTGAGAAGATGGTACAAGAGGGAGACGTGGGAAGACTGTGAGAAGACGGTACAAGAGGGAGACGTGAGACGACTGTGAGAAGACGGTACAAGAGGGAGACGTGAGACGACTGTGAGAATCGGTACAAGAGGGAGACGTGGGAAGACTGTGAGAAGACGGTACAAGAGGGAGACGTGAGACGACTGAGAAGACGGTACAAGAGGGAGACGTGGGAAGACTGTGAGAAGACGGTACAAGAGGGAGACGTGAGACGACTGTGAGAAGACGGTACAAGAGGAAGACGTGGGAAGACTGTGAGAAGACGGTACAAGAGGGAGACGTGGGAAGACTGTGAGAAGACGGTACAAGATGGAGACGTGAGACGACTGTGGGAAGACGGTACAAGAGGAAGACGTGAGACGACTGTGAGAAGACGGTACAAGAGGGAGACGTGAGACGACTGTGAGAAGACGGTACAAGAACGAGACGTGGGACGACGGTACAAGAGGAAGACGTGAGACGACTGTGAGAAGACGGTACAAGAGGGAGACGTGGGACGACTGTGAGAAGACGGTACAAGAGGGAGACGTGGGAAGACTGTGAGAAGACGGTACAAGAGGGAGACGTGAGACGACTGTGAGAAGACGGTACAAGAGGTAGACGTGAAACGACTGTGAGAAGACGGTACAAGAGGGAGACGTGAGACGACTGTGAGAAAACGTTACAAGAACGAGACTTGGGACGACGGTACAAGAGGAAGACGTGGGACGACGGTACAAGAGGGAGACGTGAGAAGACTGTGAGAAGACGGTACAAGAGGGAGACGTGAGACGACTGTGAGAAGACGGTACAAGAGGGAGACGTGGGACGACGGTACAAGAGGGAGACGTGAGAAGACTGTGAGAAGACGGTACAAGAGGGAGACTTGGGAAGACTGTGAGAAGTCGGTACAAGAGGGAGACGTGAGACGACTGTGAGAAGACGGTACAAGAACGAGACGTGGGACGACGGTACAAGAGGAAGACGTGAGAAGACGGTACAAGAAGGAGGTGCTCGAAGGCTCTCCACAGCGCGGAGAGTTTCTGGACAAATGCTATCTAAATGGGATGTGTTAGTAGAAGTTCCTAACATTGTCTTTTAACAATAAATAGTTGTCAGGAATGTATTACTATCTAATCTAAAGTCGACAATAACAAATGTATGGTCAAATCACAAGGTATTGACCATCCAGTGTCGTAAAGAGACAGAGCCCAGATTGCAGATTGCCCACGTTCCAGTCTATCAGCTCTGCTTGCTCCTCACAGCGTTACTCCGACGATCTCTATCGTCTCTTCCAGGATCACCACCAATGTTTTGCTCCAATAGGATGATGCTCTCTACCCCAACAGAAGGCTTCTACATTTTCGATATAGAGTGAGCGAAGTATTCAGACCAGCTTATCTGATTTCTGTATCTTGAAAACAGATTAAAAACGACTAATTTCGAACATAAACAATAAAGGCCGAGCGACTAATCTTGTACCTACTTAATTCAGTGTGTCGTTTCTGAGCGCATCTGCAGTCAAATCGAAGGTGGTAATAAAAAGTAGCCGAATTGATGTAGAAAACTGATGAAACAAAACATGCTTCATATACACTGGGATGTCTTATGTGTTCTAGTCGCCGAAGGTGGGGATCTACTGTGCCAGCAAGGCCGCCCTGGATATGTTCACGCAGTGCCTGGCTTTAGGTGAGAGTCTGGATCGTTTCAATGTGGGGTCACTGTTTGGGTGAGGTGACGGTTTCGGTCGGGGTGACTGTTAGGATTGGATGATTGTTTGAATGTGGTTTCTGTTTCGTAGGGGTGACTGTTTCGGATGGTTGATTGTTTGGGTGGGGTTCCTGGATGGGCGACTGGGCGCGCGGGGGGGGGGGGGGGGGGGGGGGGGGGAGCGTTGCCTGTTTGATTGGAGAGACCGTTTGGCGTTTGGGATGAGGTAAGTCTGTGACTATTTTGGATGACTGTTGCGTTGGGCGAGGTAACACTTCGGTTTGACTGTTTGAGTTTGAGTTGGGTTGAGTAACACTTCGGTTTCACTGTTTTGGTTGGTAGGGGTAACTGGGTAGGGTGATTGTGCATGGGCGGCTGTTCAGGTTGGGTGATTGTAGGTGGGGTGTCTGTTGAAGGTGGGGTGGGGTTTTATTTGTATGGGGTGGGATGACTGGGTGTGTCTGTTGAAGGTGGCGTGACTGTTTTGGATGGGGTGCCGTGAATGTTTTGGGTTGGAGGGGGTGACTGTGTGGGTGGGTGTTTTTTTCTGGGTGGATTGAGTGGTAGGATACCCAGCCTCAACCGGGTTCTTTTGTGTATTTATAGATTTCTACATGCGCTCTTTCTTGTCTTCAATTTGTTTGCCTCCGCCATGGACGTCCTTGACCTTCATGATACGTTAAGCATGTACGCACCTTGACCTACTGGTAGGTGTAGGCTGTTCGATAGAGGTACACCACTACCTAGCATGAAGAAGAATGTTGCCAAAGTTTGTGCTCCAGCTCTCATGGTATATTATTGTAAGTGCCCATGCAACTATCTATGTGGGGTTCAGATCAAAGTTTTTATTGGTGTGTTTATCAGAACATAACATTTGTTTATGCGGTTGTCTTTCCTTCTGCAGAGCTCGCGCCCAAGAAAGTTCGAGTGAACTCTGTAAAGTAAGAATTTCCTTTCGTAAAGACACGTTACGTGTGACATGTGATTAGTGATTGATTTATGTGATAAATTGCAAGTGTTATCTGTGGGTATCCTTACAATACGACCTATTTGTAGGCAAAAAGACATGTACACGCACACGCACACGCACACGCACACGCACACACAAGGGCGCACAAGGGGAGATAAGCCCATTTTCGGTTATCACTAGTGACGAGTCACATTTTGGGCGACTTATGTAAATAGAGTAAGCATCTACTGCTAGACTGATATATACTCGAAATAATCTGGTGTTCCAAACTTCTTTTGAGTAGTATACACCATATAATTTCTGGTTGCAAATTTTCTAAGACTTTCAATTTGGCCCGAGCCCTTTCACCCTTAAACGCTGGTATTTCGAACACAACAAGAAGTCTACTATGAAGGATTGCTATTTACAATCACATACCCGTGAGTCATACGGAGGCAGAGGTGGCCCAGTCGTCTAAGGCGCCGCGATTCGCTGTGCAGAATTGCGTCCCTTGGGTACGCCAGAAACCTATGATTGTGGGTTCGAATCCCGGTTCGCCCCGATTATGTTTCTTGGTTTTTCAGCACCATACCCGTGCACGTGGGTTTCACAAAAGTGGTAAACGCCTGAGACTTGCATCACTTCGGGCTTTCCTCCCACATTAAGCTGACACGCCGTGATATAACTGGAACACTGTTAAAAGCGGCGTTAAATCCAGCTCACTCATTCATTCATACATCAGATTACAATAGTAGACTTTGGCAATCTGTATCATACGCCAGACAGGGATCTCAGCTCAATACACCATTTTTGTTTTAGCCCCGGCGTTGTGAACACTCCAATCTTCACTCGGGAGGACTCATTCTTTCACAACAAAGACGAGGAGGCCAGCAAGGTCAGCGGCTACGGCCTTACTTTCTCCACACTATTGATGCTGGCAAGATACATCCCAACTGTCGTAGTGTATGATGCGTCGAAATAATGTGTCACCTATTCCGTCAATAGATCATATTTATATTTGTTGATATCAAATATTCTGGGTCGTCTGGCGAAGGAATTCTCTTTAATGTTCACAATAACTAAATCACCAGGGCCCCCTTTCACATATTGATCATAAACTACGACTGTTGTGGTGTAGTGGATAGAGCGTCGGCCAATGATCGTCTGCTGTGTCATACCACAAAACGTTAAAATATGGTACTTGTTGTTTCCGTGCCTGGCGCTCGGCATTAAGGGGATAAAATAAGGACTGGTCGACTCGAGTTAGTGAGTGAGTGAGTGAGTGAGTGGTGTGTTTTTTTGCTGCTTTTTGAAATATGTTGAATTACCTAATTACCCATCAACAGTGTCAATATTCGAGGTCCCACAAAGCGATCTCAGAGTTACGACTGTCTTAAGTCAGTTGAAGTGCTAGAACTGAGACAGATTTGTGCAACGCGGTCCAATACTTTACAATTCCCGATGTCTCAAATGGTCTCGTGGATACAGTACACTGTGTTTCCTAATCACCTGGGGACACGGGTGGCCCAGTCGTCTTGGGCGCCGCGATTCGCTGTGCAGAGTTGCGCCCCTATGATTGTGGGTTCGAATCCCGGTTCGCCCCGATTATGTTTCCAGGTTTGTCAGCACCATATCCGTGCTCGTGGGTTTCTTCGAAGTGGTAAACGTCTGAGACCTGCCTCACTTCGGGCTTTCCTCCCACATTAAACTGACACGCCGTGATATAACTGGAATAATGTTAAAAAGCGGCATTAAACCCTACTCACTCACTCCTTATCACCTGAATATCATCTACAGTGTCTGGGCCGCACAAAGCATGTCTGGAGCGCATTGTTAACTAAAGGCACCAGTGGCACCAGTCAAAAAACTTGTTACGTTATTTGTCAGAGGAGAGTATTCTTGACCAACCTATGTCATTCTGAGTAACAGGAGGAGGCCAGTGGGGACGAATGTTCTTGCAGGGTACAGAAGGGGACGACCTTTCGCGTACGACCAATGAAATGATTAACTTACAGGAATTCGACATTAGACAATCAGAAAGCTGCTTTCTCAAGCTTTAGGTACTTGTTTCAATATGGCGACTTCCATTCCAGGCTACGCTTTGAAAAATATTTTGATAATAATGTTCTTGATTCAAAATTTGGAAACTGAACAAAAGAAAAGTCTGGAATGTCAAAACCATGACCTGAGACTCTATGGCAGTACTTTATGTAGCGGTGATTTTAATGAGATTGGCCCCTGTGGTACTATTGTCCTGAACGGTCATTGTTATATATTTCCAGTTCTTGAAGGAACAAGAAGTTGTCCACCCCCTTGGCAGAGTGGGCCAACCCCAGGATGTGGCTGAGTCCATTGCTTACCTTGCCTCAGACGCTGCGAGCTTTGTGACGGGACAGATCCTTTTCATTGATGGGGGTCGACACTGTGTCTAGCACAGTACTTTTTTAGTGAAATTCGTGCACATTCAGGGACAAACTGATTTGTTCTCGAAGGGCAGTTTGGCACATGAACATAGATGTATCTTGCTCCAATGTCCTGTGCTCGAAGACATGAGTTAAATAAATATGCAAGTGACTGCATGTGATCCAATAAAGAGAAATGGTGACGTGTGGTGTTTAAAATTCCTTAATAAGAGACTGCTTCATGCTAAGTAAGCATCGTCCGCATAGAATAAGTAAATCACACAGATTGCAATAAAAAATACTACTAATCCTATATAGATATATATTACAGCGACCTGTTGTCAGCAATATTACAGCTATATCAGAAAGAACAGAAGTTAGCAATATTTCAGCTATATTACAGCAGACTGTTGTCAGCAATGTTACAGCTATAGCAGAGAGAACAGTAGTTAGCAATATTACATCTATATTACAGCAGACTGTTGTCAGCAATATCACAGCTATAGCAGAGAGAGCAGTAGTTAGCAGTATTACATTTATATTACAGCAGACTGCTGTCAGCAACATTTCAGCTATAGCAGAGAGAAAAATAGTTAGCAATATTACATCTATATTACAGCAGACTGTTGTCAGCAACATTTCAGCTATAGCAGAGAGAAAAATAGTTAGCAATATTACATCTATATTACAGCAGACTGTTGTCAGCAATGTTACAGCTATAGCAGAGAGAACAGTAGTTAGCGATATTACATCTTTATCATATAATGGACAGGTTTCTCGGCAGGATAAAGCCAAAGGATGAAAACGATATCCGTTGGGGTCATATGCGGATAGAGATGCAAATACCAAAGGTCAAGTAGGACTTCTTTCACTGTTTATAAACAAACATGGCGTCGCCCTCGTCATTCGGCGATCGAGTCAGAATTAACCATCGTGAATCTGGATAAACTACAGGGATAATTGCTATCACTATCAAACGAACAGTCTAATATACTGAAAATCATTGTCTAACCGTGACGTAGCTAAGGCATTTCATGAGTTTTGGCAACTTTCGAGATATAAATTTCGAAACAATTTTGCGAGGGCACGAGGCCTAGCCAAGCGGGATCAGTAGCCATATCTGTGCTTGTAGACCTCTGTGGCTTGAAACCTTCTCCACAAATCAAAATGGGACGGATTCGGCCGAAATATGTTTGAACTGTTACCTTGTTTCGATTTGTCGCTTTGTGTACATCTGACTACACTTCTTAACGTTATGAAAGGACAGACCGACTGTCAACAACGTCTGACCGTGGCCGTGACGTCTCATAGACTAGGGTTAGAGTAGCTTCCCTTTGACAAAGGGCAGTTACTCTAGCGGACAGACCGATGGATTGCCACGAAAGGCAATTAAAAACAACTGTTGTTTTGCGTATAAGTTGCTTCGCCACTGTATATGAAACAGATTTCAGTTGGAACTATATTTGCTACTGTCACAGTCCTACTGACACATCACTTACCATGTGACGTAATAAATATTAATGCGCGCATTCCAGGAAAAATCGCAATGTTTCGGTAATGTTTGTGAGAGAGGGAAAGCGATTTTGGAGCACAGAATTAAAGAATGACATTATATGATAAAGAGGTTATCACGCTTGTGTGTTTGGGGAAGGTAAATATCCTGTATTAGGAATAAACACTATGTATTTAGCTCGCCAAGGCTCGCTAAATACAATGTTTATTCCTAATGCAGGATATTTACCATCCCCAAACACACTCGCGTGATAACCTCTATATATTACAGCAGACTGTTGTCAGCAACATTTCAGCTATATCACTGAGGCCTTTGGGCAGCAACATTACGTCTGTGTCATAGCGGCCCGTTATCAGCAATATTATAGCAATATTATATATCACAGAAGCTTGTAGGCGGCAATACGGCAGCCAGAAATAGAAAATGTATTCGACTGCCATATGGTACTGATAGAGATATTTAGATGTGCTTTTGAATATTTTTATCAATAAAATAATAATCTGTGTGAAATGTTTGTGTTGTATTATTGCAATTAATATTTTGTTTCACTCAATGTCACTCAGTATAAGTATCAAGGACTTATATAAGTATAAGTCTTTCAACCCGAAAAATCGGTGACTGCTATGCCACCATTCGCTAAGAAATGAGCTGTTGTTTTTTAGGTTTGCACCTTCCTTTCAGGTTGACAACACCCTTTTCAATATTTGAATCCCATGCAATGTGTGTGAAAAAAAAGGTTTGTGCATTAATCGTGTTCATATGTTCATTATCCATGTATACTGGCTTTATATAATACCCATCGTCACACGGTCTCTGTTCTAAAAGGGGCGGTGATGTAGCCTACTGGTTAAAGGCCTCGCTATTCACACCGAAACCCGGTTCGATTCCCCACATGGGTACAATGTGTGAAGCCCAGCTCTGTTGCCCCCGCCGTGATATAGCGGCTTGAAACCTCACTCACTCACTCACTCACTCACTCACTCACTTACTCACTCACTCACTCACTCACTCACTCACTGTTCTAAAGAAATCAGTATCGTTTCAGGTGTTGCTGATTTTGGGAAATATTTGTTCTGCACACATACAATCAGCGTCAATAATCGGGTAATCTTGATATCGTTTTACCGAGAAACAAAGCACCTTTTCCTGCATGAATAACACTGTATTTTTACAGTAAAACACTAAAAATATATAACAAAACACTAACTGTTTTATGCACATGAACATTTTATTTCCTTATCCTATGATATAGAGATATGAACATTATAATGTTTGTTTTACAATCACATAAACCTAATTGAAGTATAGTGCTGTTTTCGCCTGCTCGCAAATTCGAAAACATTCTAAACGATTCTAGAACTATCGGCTACGACTCAAAATGATCATTTGTGATTTAATTAAAAAAACCAACAGATACCCATGACCAATAGTAAGCTATTTTTGTCATCAAATTCTCTTAGTAAATATTAGATTTTAGATTTCAAAACATACACAAAATAACGCCATGAATGGTGTGTTTGTGTTGGTGATGTAGAATATAATTCGACTGCACAGTCGACACAGTCGTCCGGAGATGTAATTCTCTAAAGTCAGTGAAAAAGAGAATTTTGCCTGCTTTCTCTCTGACTAAAACAGTTGGCCTGGCACAAGGACTTGACGAGGGACGAATAATTCCTTCATCGAGCATCTAAGCTACTTCCTGATGCTCTGCCTCTCGTTTAGCAATGGGTAATTATCGGTGAGCCTCTACAACATTAATGCGATGTTGAACTAGGTTTGTTCTGATCAGGTCATAATCGTCTTTGGCAAAGTGTATATGGATTGGTATTCAGTAAGGTTGGTTGGTTAGTTTGTTGTTTTACGCCGCACTCAGCAATATTCCAGCTATAAGACGGCGGTCTGTAAATAATCAAGTCTGGACCAGACAATCCAGTGATTGATATCATGAGCATCTGTCCACGCAATTGGGATACGATGACATGCATCAACCAAGTCAGCGAGCCTGACCACCTGACCCCCTTTGTCGCCCCTAACGACAAGCATAGTCGCCTTTTACGACAAGCATAGTCGCCATTTACGGCAAGCATGGGTTACTGAAGACCTACTCTACCCCGGATCTTCACAGGTCTGGATTACAAAGAGGTGCAGGGTGGTTTACACATATATACCACCTCACATTATCATTGCAACCTCACCCGCACACATTAGAGTAGATTCATCCCTATTACTCTGATTAAGTGACTCTAACAAACACCGATATTCACTCAGTGACAAAGTAGAAGTATGCTCAAACTGGTCTTTTGCTTGATTTATCAGAGTGAGTGAGTGAGTGAGTATGGTTTTACGCCGCTTTTAGCAATATTCCAGCAATATCACGGCGGGGGACACCAGAAATGGGCTTCACACATTGTACCCATGTCGGGAATCGAACCCGGGTCTTCGGCGTGAGTGCTGTAGTATGGTACTTCCTGTTTTGTACACCCCAAGTACGTTCAGCTGGCAATATCCGCCACAACAAGGTGACTGAAGGCACATGTAACGTATTAAATACCACGTGTTCACAACTAACATTTCTATTCTATTGGCATCTTTCTTTCCTTTCAATTTGCTTTTCTTAGTAATTGAGTGAGTGTGGTTTTGCGCCGCTTATGGCAATATTCAAGCAATATCACGGCGGGGGACACCAGAAATGGACTTCACACATTAACCCATGTCGGGAATCGAACCCGGGTCTTCGGCGTGATGGGCGAACGCTTTAACCACTAGGCTACCCGACCGCCCTGCGCAATAAGTGACAATTAGGATACACTGGTAGATTCAACATACAAAGGGGGTACATGATAATAATTTTATTACAAAACAAGTGTATAATAATGATATGAAAACAATATGAGAATTGAGCAAAACTATGGTAATGTTGTATATGCAAGGAATTTCTTGGAAGTTGTTTCTGGGTAACTGTTGGTAAAATTATTAAGAACTGTTTCTTTTAACAGAGTGTCCCCATTTTTTTATATTATGATTGAGGATTATTTGTAATTCTTTTTCTTGGTTGTATTTTATACAAGACAGTGCATAATGTTACTCATCTACTGAGACATCATCACATGTTTCACAGAGACGTTGTTCCAGTGGGGTCGGTGGTTTTGTATATCTACCAGTTTCAATGTTTAGTTTGTGATAACTTAAACGAAGTTTTGAGAAATGTGATCTATGACCTTTGTTTTTACAATGTGTAAGATAATTCTCAATTTCTTTAGATGGCTTAACCAACCTGTATGTTCTTAACTTGCTGTAAGATGAATTGGAATCCCTTAATGAATGCGTGAATATTTACATTTGATCTGAAGTTTATTTACAGTGGATTCATTACATTTTATTGTGTTTACTATTAAAAGTTTGTTTTATTTAACCCAACCAACATTGTGACCAGAAATATTGATATTTGCTGCCGAAGCATGTTCAAGAATGACATTTGTTGTGTTATCTATATATAGGACTTGTAATCAATTATTCTTTTTATATTATTGGTACTAATAGTGGGTATATACCAAGTTCTGCCTGACAGGCCCAGTTATTTGTTTTCTTGCCTTGGTAGGGGCGGTCGGGTAGCCTAGTGGTTAAAGCGTTCACTCGTCACGCCGAAGACCCGGGTTCGATTCCCGACATGGGTACAATGTGTGAGGCCCATTTCTGGTGTCCTCCGCCGTGATATTGCTTGAATGTTGCTAAAAGCGGCGTAAAACCATATTCACTGGGCGTGGCTTATGTATACACGTGACACTATCTTCCGCAAAGCTAGTTGACGTCTAACGAAAAATATCCAAACATATTTTATACGAATAGGGCATCATATCATATGTTGTTTGGAGACAAAAGCTGTGTCACTTTAATACCTGGGATTGTATTTAATACTTTTTACTTCATTTTTATAATATTTTCTACATAGAATAGTTAAGCAGTACAGAATGAATGAGAGTGTCTCAGAGTCTCTATTCACATGGTTATTTTTTTATCCAGAAAGAGGATTGCACATTCCTGAACCTCGGTCTCTCAGACACATAAGAATAAATGGAGAAAGGAAGCCAACTCAAGTCTAGAATGATTTGGCAAGTCCTAATTGCCTGAGCCCTGGGCCTGATTAATAAATAAAGTTCTAGGCGCCATTTGGATTTTGTTTTATATATTTATATTACGAGCATGATAACTCGTTTGTGGGATGTTAAGCTACTCCCTGGAATCTTATCAGGGTTTCTGAAATAAAAAATATAGTTGCATCTTGTAGTTGACCAACTTTTGCCACACGCAAAGATTGCTTTGCTCTTGCATATAAAAAAGTAGAGAAAGATGAATTGTATAATTATGGATCTTGGTGACAAGAGGTTTTTACTGTTTTGGGTGTGAAAGTAATAGCAAAGACATGTCACTGTTTCGATCAGGGCTACTGTGCATAACTGAATGTTTCGGATATAGGCGAATTGTGTTGACTGTGTAATTCGCGTAACTTTCGATCTGTCCGAAGTCGAGGCTCGCAAATACAGTACAGCACAATCTTCACAGACACATAAACTACATGTTTTATACCTAATGTGCAGATTATGAGTGAAATATCGTATCACGCAATGATAGCCGAAACAGCCATGCGTTCTTTAGACGTCAACTAGCTTTGCTGAAGATAGTGCCACGTGCATACATAAGCCACGCGCACTCATGAATTTTGTAGACTTAAGATCATTGTAGGTTTAAGGAGACAACATACATGCGATCTAGTCTGACCAATTACAACAGGTCTACTTTTATTTTAATATACACATTGTCCATGACTATTTACACTGATGGCATACTGACACTACGCAGCTCGCGACCATGTTTCCCTTGGTCATGCTGAGACACAGTTATTCACCAGCCAGGTCATTGTGACGACAGGAGCGACATGTTGGCGAAGTTTGTAGGCCGAGTTGTCAGGTAAATATAGCACACTAGTTTCCTTGCGCAGAGAAGTACACGTGTTGAAGGTGGTATATTGTGGTACACTGTCAGGGAATTAGGTGGGGTTATCTATGAGGGTTGTGCTTTCTCGTTATCGCACCTCTTGAGGTTACACACTGGGAGCGATCTCACTCTATAATGCCCTGACCTTACAGTGCATCGGCATATAATAAAATGTATGAGATGAGGTGAGTTGAGGGTTTAACGTCGCGTCCAAGTTTATTGCACTTTTATGTACGTGTGTGTGGCTGCTTGTACTAGTCCGGACTGATGCCGATTTATAGCTCTAGCTCACTGAGATACCATGCCGCAGTTTAACATGAATACCCCACTCAGACACAGTGTACTGACTCCGAGCCGACCAGTGCTTGTTTTAGCCCCTTAATGCCGAGCGCCAGACAGGGTAACAACAAGTACCATCTTTTAACGTCTTTTGGTATGACGCGGCCGGGGATCGAAACCCGGGCCTTCAGCTCTCCGGGCGGACGCTCTATCACTAGAGGAGGCGGTCCTTTAATGTGTGAGTATGTAAGTGAGCGAGTGGGTGGATGGCAACGTGGGCGCGCGCGCTCGTGAGAGGACAGAGGTTTACGACGCATTGAAAGTAAAGAGTAGTTCAGTGTGTCAGCCGAATGTGATAGGAAACCCAAACTCACCCGGCTCAGGGACGTTTAACACGATATCAGTGTGAGCTTCGAAATGACGATCAGCAGATCCTTGCAAAAGCAAGGGAGGACATTTTGACTTGATTTGCAATCAATCAGCAAATGGATCTTGGTAAAATATTTAGAATTCACTTCACGGCAACGACCACACATACACCACAGAGTAAGCATATCAATAAAAAAATATAAAAAATAATGATAGCTATAGTGACATGTCGAAACAATGGCATAACGAATTTAAGTAGTATATCTTAGCATGCATGATTCACTGGTGTCAGCATTGGTAAACACTGACTTATTCTCTGATACAGATAATACAAAAGTGTCGAAATGGTATCTCTTGTTTAATTTTACAACATGCCAAACATGGAGCCAAACTCTCGATAACGGGACGAGATAAGACGAGACTGGAAGATGTCGCTAAGCGATGCTCGGAGTGCGGGTTACCTGCTGATGACGTGAGTGTTGTAGTATGGTACTTCCTGTTTTGTATACGTACACCCCAAGTACGTTCAGCTGGTAATCCGCCACAACAAGGTGACTGAAGGCACATGTAACGAATTAAATACCACGTGTTCACAACTAACATTTCTATTCTATTGGAATCTTTCTTCCCTTTCATTTTGCTTTTCTTAGTAATTGAGTGAGTATAGTTTTGCGCCGCTTTTAGCAATATTCCATCAATATCATGGCGGGGACACCAGATATGGGCTTCACGCATTAACCCATGTGGAGAATCGAACCCGGGGCTACGGCGTGTCGAGCAAATGATTTAACCACTAGGCTACCCCACCTCCCCTTTTCTACGTGAGAGCAAAGGTTAGTGTGACAGTTACACTGAACTTGTAGACTATTGTGAGGTGACCGTTGTACGTTAACCACGCCCCCAATAATCAGGGGAGATAACTCTCAAAAGGTTCCGCAATATATGTGAAAAACGGTGCTATGCAGTTCACCCACATCCCAAGTTATGGTGACATAGCACTACCCCACTACCACAAGCTAAGTTGCATATCACATGATCGGACTTGTCTCTGGTTTGAAAACAAACGCGGTACATACTGAAATCAGAGCAGTCAATCCTAATGAAAGTCTTAAGACCTATACCTACTGTGTTTTCAATTTAGAGGTTTCAAACGTTGAATCGATACCTGTAAATTTCATTCAAACCGAGTGCGTCAGTGTGAGGATTCTAGTTTGAAAGAGTCTCGGTTAGGAGTTGGAAACATCTGACTTTGAAAACACAGTAGGTTTTTCTTCATTCTAAAGAAACAGTGAGAAATATATAACTCCATATCAACCCGAGGCCCAAAGACCAGAGGCCGGTTAATGGGGGTCGAGGGTTCATACGGGGTATGATATGAAAACTGCCTTATAATAACCTTTTATATCATATATCATAACATCAACTTGTAAAATGCAAGGCTGACTATTTGCAAGTGAATGCAATACATTTTCACCTTGTTTGGAAGATATTGTCACAGGAAAGTTACTGGAGCGGAGGACGCACTAAGGGACGTAACTCCAATTTCTTACCTCCTTGGCTGATATCGATCGCCCATTGAAAATTCATTGGCAACCCATATCAGCCCTGCTGATGGTGTAATACGAGTCTTGCACACCCTGTGATATGACCGCATCTGTGTTGGCTCACGTGACAATTGCCTCATATCATTGATAGGTATATGATTAAACATGATATTACCCCAATGTGGTCAATGTTTTTAGAAAAAGCAAGATTTCAAATGTTGAACCTGATGTCATGGGAAGTCACAGGAGATGATGCACAAACAAGCCATATATTTTGGTTATGCTCTCGTTGATTGACTAAAATATTTCTCTTATTTAAGGCCATTGGTTTTGTCACACAGGGTAGTACCACTTTTGATCGCTGCTCGACAGGGTGGGTTTCAAGGCAACTTACCGTGTGTTTCAGTGAGTATGGTTTTACGCCGCTTTTAACATCATGGCGGGGGACACCAGAAATGGGCTTCACAATGTACCCATGTCGGGAATCGAACCCGGGTCTTCGGCGTAACGAGCGTACGCTTTAACCACTAGGCTACCCGACCGCCCACTTTCCGTGTTTTAAGGAATATCATGTGATAATTTCTCAACACCTGAAAGTAAAGATAAATGTTCTAATATTTATAACGTGTATAGTTTGTGAAAGGCATTCCCAAGGGCTGGAGTTTCAACTCACGAAGGAAACCTAAGTTGATATCGCTTCATTTGTTTGTTTGTTTGTTGTTTAACGCCGCACTCAGCAATATTCCCGCTATATGACGGCTGTCAGTAAATAATCGAGTCTGGACCAGACAATCCAGCGATTGACATCAATCGCAATGGGATACGATGACATGTATCCACTAAGTCAGTGAGGCTGACCACCCGATCCCGTTAGTCGCCTCTTACGACAAGCATAGTCGCCTTTTACGGCAAACGTGGTACGATGTATCTCTTCACGGTGTTACATTTACCGTGACTCCTTTTACATCGTTGTGACTGCTTGCTGGCATTCGTGTCAGGAAGGCGAAATGTTTGAATAATTACAACACCTCTACCTCCAGATCAGCATTCATATCGGTCGGTGACCCCTGTTTACCCTCATTGAATATTTACATACATAGTGTAGCTCGCGATCATGTCCCGGCGAGTGTTCCATACTTTGACACAGTTATTCACAAGCCAGATCATTGTCACGGCAGGAGCGACCTGATGGCGAACTTTGCAGGCCGAGTTGTACTTATTACAGGTAAATACGACAAAGTATTTCCCCTGCACAGAGAAGTACACGTGTTGAAGGTGGTAGGTTGTAGTACACTGTCAGGGAATTGGGTGGGGTTATCTATGAGGGTTGTTCATTCTCGTTATCGCCTCGCTTGATGTTGCCCTACAGTACATCGGCGGGGCGATATCACCCTTCAATGATCTGAGGGGCTGTATCACTATACGGTACATCTGCGGGGCTATATCACTCACTATACAGTACAGCTGCGGGGCTATATCACTCACTATACGGTACATCTGCGGGGCTATATCACTCACTATACAGTACAGCTGCGGGGCTGTCACACTACAGTGCATCGTCGGGCTATACAACTCTGCAACAAACCTAAACTCAACAAATAAGAACGACAATTGTGTTTTGTATTATATGATGTCTTTCCGATGTATTTCGTCACACTAAAATGCAAAATCATTAGGTTAAATATGTATACCTTCAGCGTTAGAAATAGAAATTTTCCATTTTTAAGGGTTTTGCTGTATCATTGTGAAGACTAGTGGACTAAAACAGTTAGTTTCTATCGCTTTATATGTGTCTGTGTGTGTGTGTGTGTGCGCGTTACTGTTTATACAAGACGGGACTAATGCCGATTTTATAGTGCTTGTCCACTGAGATACAATGACGCAGTTAAACATGAATACCCCACTTAGACACATTATGCTGACCCCAAGCGGTCCTTGTTTAAGCCCCTGAATGCCGATCGCCAGGCAGGGTGAAAACAATTACCATACTTTAACGTCTTTTGGTATGACGCGGCATTGGATCGAACCCCGGGCCTTCCGCTCTCAGGTCGGACGCTCTACCACTAGACTACGAAGGCGGTCGAACGTATGTATGTATGTATGTGTGTGTGTGTGTGTGTGTGTGTGTGTGTCTGTGTGTCTGTGTGTCTGTGTGTATGTATGTATGTATGTATTCAATGATCTCGAAAAAGGGATGATTCACTAGTGTCAGCATTGTTAAACACTGACATATTCTCTGATACAGATAATACAAAAGTGTAGACATGTTATCTGTTGTTTAATTTTACGACACAATATCCTGTTCTTCAAGGAGCGAGTGCCGGTATCGGAGAGGGTACAGCTTTGCATTTTGCCAAACATGGAGCCAAACTCTCGATAACGGGACGAGATAAGACGAGACTGGAAGACGTCGCTAAAAGATGCTCGGAGTGCGGGATACCGGCTGATGACGTGAGTGTTGTAGTATGGTACTTCCTGTCTTGTACACCCCAAGTACGTTTCTATTTTATTAAAATATTTTATTTTTGTACAGCATCTTTCTTTCCATTTAGTTTGCTTTTCTGCATGATTGGGTGAGTATGTTTTTGTGCCGCTTTTAGCAATATTCCAGCAATATCATGGTGGGGACGCCAAACTTCACACATTAACCCATGCGGGGAATCAAACCCGGGCCTTCGGCATGACGAGCGAATGATTTAACCACTAGGCTATCCAACCGCCCCTTTTCTACGCGAGAACAAAGGTTATTGTGACAGTTACACTGAATTTACTGTTGTAAGTTAACCACGCCCCCAAAAATCAGGGGAGATAACTCTCAAAAGGTCCGCCAATGGAAATCTGAAAAACTGTGTCACGGCACTGCAGTTGACCCACTTCCCACGTTATGATGACATAGCACTACCCCACTACCACAAGCTAAGTTGCATATCACATGATCGGACTTGTCTCTGGTTTGTGGACAAACTCGGTACATACTGAAATCAGAGCAGTCAATCCTAATGAAAGTCTTATGAGCTATACCTAATGTGTTTTCAATTTAGAGGTTTCAAACGTTGAGATCGATAGCTGTAAATTTCATTCGAAACCGACCTCGTCAGCTTGAGGGTTCAAATTTGATAGACGTGCAGGTATCGGATTGGAGTTCCATACATCTATCTTTAAAAAAAACAGTAGGTTTATCTCCATTCTACAGAAACAGTGAAGCTGGAATTTGGAATGAATGTTCTTTTTATTGTGATTTTGTTTGTCTTTTTGACAAAGACATCTAAAATTTTGAGTTTCAAAAAAGGTCTTAATCTAAAGATCCACAAGCGTAGGGAGATCTGTGAAAGATAACGCCGTATCATGTCTACCGCGCCACGATGCTTGGTCATCGTTGCCTGCAGACTGTCTTCTGATTCGCTGCTTACTTCGCTCCCGTCCAGTCTTAGCATGAACGAAGGTCTACATTGCATGACGACCATTATGACATCATACTAATGGTATGACTATATAGAACTTAACGTTGCAAGGATCGCTTCGTTGTCCCGAGAGAGAGAGAGAGAGAGAGAGAGAGAGAGAGAGAGAGAGAGAGCGAGAGAGAGAGAGAGAGAGAGAGAGAGAGAGAGAGAGAGAGCACTGATTACAGTTACAGGTGCACTAGAGGATTATATTATCTCAAACTGAAAACAGTTAGGTATTATGATGTAAAGTATGGTTTTAGTACAGGCAAACATACGCGGCATAAAATCAATCGTCATTGATGCCTGAATTCCATCATTCAACCTTTTGATTCAGGCCACATCACACATCATTTCTGCCATTACGAAATATTTCGAATGTATGTCTCACTTTTTCAGTTCACCACTAGTCCTTTCGGAGGAAAACTTGTTGACAGAGCCGAGATAGCAGAAATATGTCAGGTGATAACAGGAAAGATCAAATGCTTTCTGTTTGATTTGCAGATTCTGACCCTTTGCGGTGACCTGACTGACGCGGCCTTCAGGAAGGCGACCGTTGAAAAGACAGTCGCCAAGTTTGCCAGGCTCGATGTACTGGTACGTGTGCGAGTGTCAACCGTTGGCTGACGTTTCAAACCTTAAATATATATATTGTTTGAGACATCTACATATTATTATAATAAATAATAAAACGGAGATTGCTGTATCTGGGTTTCGCCGCGATATGTTGGAATATTTCTGACGACATAAAACGACATTTACTCACTCACGGGCTGAAAGAATAACACCTTAATCAAGGGCCCCTTGTTTGTCTGTGGTTAGACATGTATGACCGGGTAAGCATGTTGTCCATCACCTAACCTCCTCGTGTTGCAGGTGAACAACGCGGGTATGTTGTACCCAGGGGCGTCCATGCAGATGGCGGAATCCGAGTACGACCAGTTGATGAACCTCAACATGAAGGTGCCCTTCCTCCTGTCCCAGCTGGCAGTCCCCCATCTGGAAAAGACGCAGGGTGGGTACATCTGAGGGAGACGTGGATGGGTACATCTGAGGGAGACGTGGATGAGTACATCTGAGGGAGACGTGGATTGGTACATCTGAGGGAGACGTGGATGGGTACATCTGAGGGAGACGTGGATGGGTACATCTGAGGGAGACGTGGATGGGTACTTCTCGGACAGTCGCAGTATTGGCATATCGGAGGGAGACGCGGGTGGGTACATCTTGGGCAGGCGCAATATGGGTACTTCGGAGGGCGACGTGGTTGGATACATCTTGGACAGGCACAGTATGGGCACATCGGAGGGAGACGTGGATGGGTACATCTTGGGCAGGCACAGTGTGGGCACATCGGAGGAGACGTGGTAGGTACATCAGGGGTAGACGTATGGTGTGTATATCTCGGGGAGACCCAATGTGGATGGATACATCTGGGGGAGATACATGGTGGGAACATCAGGAGGAGATGCAGTATGGGTACATCTGCGGAGACACGGGTGGGTACATTTTGGGGATACGCACGATGGGTAATTTCGGAAAGACGCAGGGTGGGAAGATCTGGAGGACGCACGGGTGGGTACATCTGCTGTAGGTGTCATGGTGTTGGAATGCTTGCTATACTACTCAAGGTATGCTGAGAATCAAACTTTTTCCAACAAGGGACCTCAGTTTCAATAAGAACGGACAGGAATGCAGTATTTGGCAAACTGTGCACGAGGTGCTTGAAATCCTGTGTTTGGATGTGTCGTGACAGAACAAAACATGTGCTAATCAGTGTCGAAGACAACCAAAGAATTAGGCAGATGCACGGGCATGCTTGAAACTGGGTCAACAAAACGTAACGTTGCAAACGTCTCTGGTGTCAGCGAAAAATGTGATCATCAGGGCATGGAATCAATATCTGACGTTTGGATCAGCCACCTAATGACATGCAGGGGTTCGACAGCGTTCCACCACACAGCCGGAATCTCCTGATTGCAGCAAGACTTCGTGACTGCCACCACACTCAGAAATGACATGCGGAACACCAGTGGCGTTATGGTTACTACTCGAACAGTCCGTAAATCGTGTCCGTGTGGCTGGTCTCCGGTCACGGATGGCATGCATTCGCGTCCCACTGACCCGACATCATATGGAGGCACGTTTGGATTAGGCTGAAGATAACGTCAATTTGACAGACCAGAACTGGGCTCCAGTATTTTTCACTGATGACTATAGAAACTGTCTTGACTTCACAGATCACCATGCCCTTGTGGCTTAGTCAAGGAAAAAGATTTCAGGAATCGGACCGGACTTCATCCTCATGTACGATAATGCACGACATCATCGTGCCAGGGTCCTTTGATGCCAACTTTGAACAGGAGAGCATTGTCCGCATGTAGTGACACGCCCGGTCACCAGGCCTCAGCCCTAACGAATTCACGTGGAACGAGCTGTAGTTCGCCCTCTCACGACGCCCTGTCCTTCCGGCAACTCGTCAGGAACTCGGCAAAGTTTGTACTGAAGAGTGGAACAATCTTCCCTTGGCAACAATCCAGACACCTATTGGGAGCACGAGACGACGGTGCCAGGCAGTGATCGCGCGCATCACGTGGACAACATACGCGCTACTGAGAGTGATTTTTTTTTTACAATGAATTTATTTTCGGGATTTTTCTACGTTTCAGTTTCTGTCACATGCTCTGATATTTTGACGGGTGATCTGACTGATTATTGGTAAGATGGTGTTTGTTGGCTTTGCACATGACGGTTGACGTTTGTTCATTAAACATGTCTTCATATGGTCTTTGCTAATTTCAACAGATGCACGCAATTTGACGTATTATCTTTTAAAATGGTGATCCTCGGCAAACTTTGACTCGATAGGGGATGCGTATTTACAAAATAACGTCTTCAGTTCCGAAAGTCATTGAGTAAATATGATTTTAGAAGAATTCTACCAATACCGAGCTGGGGGGAAATATACACGTTCCACACAGATGGAAAATCGATACCGATTCTTTGGCATAACGGTCAATAGCATCAGTCCTGTGATCCTTGTTCCTGAGAAACATTGGTATCACGCAAACAACACACATAGTGATTCAACTGCAATTCTGTCTATGGTCTTCCAGTGACCGCAAATAAAAGCAGTAATTTCATTCTTTGGGTAGGCCTTTAATTGGCTGCTTTATTCGTTGAGGTATTACAATCTTTAAACTTGGTCCTTCTTGCAGGGAACATCGTAAACGTATCCAGTATATGCGGAGCTAAGTCGGTGAGTATTACAAGGTTTGTGGTATGCAAAGTTCGGTCATAGTTTTTCAAGTCCCAAGGTATTGCGCATCCTGTGTCGTGAAGTGACAGAGCCAAGATTGCTCATCAACTGGGCTTCTTCTGAAGTTACATGTATTTTGGTTTGCATGCTTATCTGAGAGAAAAGTTTGAAAATTGGTCCCGTCAATTAATTGTTTAACAGAGTTACGTCCTTCGATGCATGTTATTTGTGCAAGGAGGGCAAGATTTCTCAGAAACAACTCAAGTTAACTTATCTAAGAGATACTTATCAAGACTGAGTTATTTTTTTTTACAGAGAAAGGGCCTTTTGTGTGTATTAATTTCACATTTAATCATTTTTTCTGATGACAAAAAGGGGTCCAAGTGCATATCTCTTCCTAATGTTTTATGGGGCTCTTTTTTATAGTTTATATTCGCTACTATAAGAACAAATTTCTTGTATCCCTATTGGTGGGGGATAGTGATAACGCTGTTTTCTTATATTAAATATAAATATAGTTTGTCGTTTCTGAACGCCATGGCATCTACACACAAAAAGAAGGATTGTGTGTGGGTTTTCTTTTGTTAAAACAAAAAAATTCAAATTGAGTTTGTAAATAAATTTAGCCAAAAGCTGTTTTAGAAAGCGGACATTTGTTTAGGGGGGTCAACGTTTGCTCAGCGCTCAACTGACCCGACCCGACGTGGACACATGTCGTCAAGTCTTCACACAAAACGGTATTGTATCGGGGTAAAAGATTTGATTGTGTAAAGAGATTGATTCATCCATCTTCGATCAATCAGTGTTTTAAATCTTCAGTAGAGAATACAAGATATTGATTGTTATGTAGTCACGGGGTTGCTGCACGTGTCATATGTGTTCCAGATGCCGGAGATCGGGATCTACTGCGTCAGCAAGGCCGCCATGGATATGTTCACTCAGTGCCTGGCTTTAGGTGAGAGTCTGAGTGGGTGACTGTTAGGATTGAGTGACTGTGTGCGTGGGAGGTTTTTTTCTGGGTGGATTGAGAGGTAGTTTACCCAGCCTCTCCCGGGAACGGGTTATAAAGTGGTATTGTGTATTTATAGATATCTACATGCATTCCTTCTGGTCTTTAATTTGTTTGTCTCCGTCATTTACGTTCAGGGCCCAATTGCACAAAGCGATCTTAGCGCTAACACTATTGTAAGCCTATGCTAAAGTATGGGAGTTACGATCATCTTAGCGCTAAGATCGCTTTGTGCAAGTGGGCCCAGGACCTTCATAACACGTTCGTAAGATTAGCACCTTCTTCCAGTATGTGTAATCTGGTCGGTAGATGTACACCCCTCCACGGAATAATGAGACTAACCCATTGTGTTGGAAGGTTGTTGCCGGGATTTGTGTTCCAGTTTTTATGATAAGTTACATTAATTTAGGTGTTCATATAATTATTTAGGTGGGGGTCAGATCAAAGACTTTATTGGTGTTTATCAGAACATGACATTTGTTTATGCGGTTGTTTTTCCTTCTGCAGAGCTCGCGCCCAAGAAAGTTCGAGTAAACTCTGTGAAGTAAGAATTTCTTTTTCGTAATAGAACGTGTGATACATTTGACGAGCACGTCTGATTAACTATTAGCGGTGTCTGTGTGTATTCTTGAAATACAACACATTTGTAGGCCCATTTTCAGTTTTAACTAGAGACTTGTGTCAAACGGAGACGTTTTCTGTGGAATTGGGGTAAGCATCTACTCTGAGTTGATATGTACTACCAAAAAGAAGTTAAAGAACACCCGATTCCTTCATATTAATCTGTTAATCTCTTAATTAATAGTTAATCTGTAATACCATGATTAACTGTAGTAATATGAAAAAAAGAGAGTTTTCTTTAACTTCACACATAAAGTGGATTGTGATGACGTGAATCAAATTTTCTGGGAATGCCAATTGGCCAGGGTTGTATCTCGTAGACAACAATAAATCTACTTTGAAGGATTGCTATTTATCAATATCGGTTCAATCACATACCGTTCATCCATGCCTCACTCACGTTATAGTTAAAACCCGAATCTGAAGTTTTGGTTTAAAACGTAAACCTTGAGTGAGGGAAAACCCCGAGGAGGTGTTAACTAACTTCTGAAACATCTACATGCATGAAGTACCAGAAAGAATAAGAAAACAATAAGTGAAACAATACAATAGTCGTGGTATAAAACGAATTCGATGACTGCGGGCGAGATAAAGACCACATGCAGCATGCAGACAACTGACGTCTTGACATGTAAGATTGAACACCCTTTCATCACCTGCCCCGGTGGCTCAGTGGGAAACAGTGGGTTACAATACTAAACACGATATGTGAGGTTGCAGGTTCGATTCACGTCATGGAGTTTTCATATGAAAAAAAATCAGTCAAAATTCAACATTAATTGCATATTAAAGTTTACACATTTGAAATGTAAACCATTTCAGGAGGCATCACTTGAAAGTCGTACCTCTCACAAGGTTACTTTGAGATAGCAAGCTACCTACAATACTATAGGCAAAAGTGGTAGTAGGTTTATAATGTAGTCAATCTGTATCAAACGCCAGACTAGCATCTCAGCTCCATACACCACTCTTGTTTCAGCCCCGGCACTGTGGTGAGTTTGATACACAGACGGGAGGGCGCAACGTTTCACGACAAGGACGACGAGTACACCAAGGTCAGCGGCTACGTTACTTTCTCTTAAATATTGATGCTGGTCAGACAGATCTCAACTGTCGTAATTAGTGATGCGTCAAATTACGTGTCACCTATTCCGTCAGTAGATTAAGTCTGTTTATGGGATGTCAGACATTCGTGGTCGTCCTGGTCACTTACCTTAAATATTGGCAGGGGAATATTCGTCACCACTGGCCCCCATTCCGTAACCTGCAAGAATATTCGTCACCACTGCCCCTTCCGTAACCTGCAAGAACATTCGTCACCACTGCCCCCTTCCGTAACATGCAAAAATATTAATCACCACTGGCCCCTTCCATAACCTGCAAGAATATTCGTCACCACTGCCCCTTCCGTAACCTGCAAGAACATTCGTCACCACTGCCCCCTTCCGTAACATGCAAAAATATTAATCACCACTGGCCCCTTCCGTAACCTGCAAGAATATTCGTCACCACTGGTCCCCTTCGGTAACCTGCAAGAACATTCGTCACCACTGGTCCCCTTCGGTAACCTGCAAGAATATTCGTCACCACTGGTCCCCTTCGGTAACCTGCAAAAATATTAATCACCACTGGCCCCTTCCATAACCTGCAAGAATATTCGTCACCACTGCCCTTCCGTTACCTGCAAGAACATTCGTCACCACTGTCCACCTTCCGTAACCTGCAAGAATATACGTCACCACTGCCCCCTTCCGTTACCTGCAAGAACATTCGTCACCACTGGCCCCCTTCCGTAACCTGCAAGAATATACGTCACCACTGCCCCCTTCCGTAACCTGCAAGAACATTCGTCATCACTGCCCCTTTCCGTAACCTGCCAGAATGTTCGTCACCACTGCCCCCTTCCATAACCTGCAAGAACATTCGTCACCACTGCCCCCTTCAGTAACCTGCAGGAACATTCGTCACCACTACCCCTCTTCCGTAACCTGCAAGAATATACGTCACCACTGCCCCCTTCCGTAACCTGCAAGAACATTCGTCCCCAATGGCCCCTTAACCTGCAGAAACATTCGTCACCACTGCCCCCTTCCGTAACCTGCAGAAACATTCGTCACCACTGCCCCCTTCCGTAACCTGCAGAATATTCGTTACTACTACCCCATTCCGTAACCTGCAGGAACCCTTGTCACCACTGTCCCCTTATGTTACCCACAAGAACATTCCTCAGAGACGGAAGGGCCTCTTCCTGTTCGTCCCTGCGCATTCTCATTCAATCCGACCTTCCTGCTTTCCTACTTTCCCCCAGTACAGTTCACGTCAGAACGACCTTTCACGAACTTTGACGGACCAGTAAATGACTAACAAGAAATCGACATCAGCCAATCAGATAGACTAACATCTAGTCTCTGAAATGAACATATCGTACATAAAAAAAACAGTTGTTCAGTTATCTTAATAAAAATATAATAAAAAAGGAGCCCAGTGACTCTCTTCATTTTCAGATACTGCAATGATCTAGACTTGCCAAACATTATAGACTTGCATGGGCTGTATTTGGTATATATTTTTATCAGGGTCTGTAAGACAGACTACCAATCAGAAAGCAATGTTTTCGAGCTTTACGGCACTAGTTCCAAAATGGTGGCTTCTATTCTCCACAACGATTTGAAAAATATTTTGACGAAGTTCTCGGTTCAAAATTTGAAAACTGAACGAAAGAAAATTCTGATATTGTATGGCAATACTTTGAAAAGACTGATTTTGACGGAATCAGTCGTACAACTGTTGTTCGGAATGCCCCGTGTTGCATGCATTCGTCACCGCTCGCCCCTTTCCGTAACCTGCAAGAATACTCGTCCCCCTATCGATGAATGTTATGTGCGAAAATACGACAAACCAATCAGAATGCGCGTATGATTTCAAGTTCTTCGTCAAAGAATCCCTCAGAAATAACTTTTGATTTTTCATATGTCTTACATCTAGAAATATACCAAAGACACAGTTAAATGTGTTCAATCATATCTTATAATTCCGCACGCCCCGATGTGCTTTAAATTGCATCTGAAATATATATAATATATGGGGAAAATGTGTGAACCATTACGCAATTGTTTTAGGTATGCCCGTTTGCGCTAAGACGGAACCCGGTCGCAAAAATGGCTACGAGAGGGGCACGGGTCGCTATTCGGCTTGTCCCGGAATAACAAGAGTTGGTCACGAATGGTGTTGCATGGTTAAAAAACACATTTGGACTTTCATTTTCGTGATCTCGTAAGCGACGCTCCGATTGGCTGGATGAAGGGTCGTTCTAGCCTGTAACTGAATGTCCTCAGATCTTTGTGAAGCTGCAGCGAGAGCTAAGATCGGATTTTAGTGTGATTGGCCCCTGTGGTACTATTGTCCTGAAAGGTCATTGTTATTATATTTCCAGTTCTTGGAGCAACAAGCTGGTCGCCACCCCCTTGGCAGAGTGGGCCAACCTCAGGATGTGGCTGAGTCCATTGCTTACCTTGCCTCCGACGCTGCGAGCTTTGTGACGGGACAGCTCATTTTTATCGATGGGGGTCGACACTGTGTGTGTGCTGGCGTCTCCAAGTGAATACCTAGATTTCCGAAGCTGAAATACACTCGAAGCACAGGACATTTTTGCAAAATTCGTGTTTATAAATCACACCCATCAAGCCTATAACAGCTTCGGCGGATGCGACTTACCTTTCGAAGCAGACAAGACTAAGTCATATAGATGGTGGTGGGTTGTTAGAACAGTTCATTAAAAGCGTTTAAGGCATAAAATGTTGGACATTTTGAAGCATTATTGCACATATGGCAGTCAAGCATACACAGAACCATTTCTGAGCATGCGCGACCAAACAACGTGAAGATATATACAATCAAGTTTTTACTTCGAGAGCAAATTTCGTAACTTTCGCTCTGCAAATGCTATTTCCGTATTTACTACTGCAGCTAGGTTCAACAGATATAAAAGAGTTTTATATACAGATCCTCGCATCAACATCACTCAAAATAAATGTAGAAACTTGTGTTTTATCTACTGTTTTTGTCTATGTAGGCACTGGTATAAATTTGCGACTGCTTCCAGCGGAGTGAGACTGCTGGATCGGCCTAGCCAAGACCCGTTTTTAGTGTAATTAATGCTCAGTTCTATTGATATTGAACCAACATGTTGCAGGTTCACAAAGAATACAACATGTACATATGTTTTTTTACCTTTTGTTATTACGTTTCTAAACTTATTTTGAATGATGTTGATGCGAGGATCTGTTTATAGCAGCTATAGATTGATGAATGTGTTCAAGGACCAAACCAATGGTTGATGCGAGGATCTGTGTATAGCAGCTATAGATTGATGAATGTGTTCAAGGACCAAACCAATGGTTGATGCGAGGATCTGTTTATAGCAGCTATAGATTGATGAATGTGTTCAAGGACTTAACCAATGGTTGATGCGAGGATCTGTTTATAGCAGCTATAGATTGATGAATGTGTTCAAGGACATAACCAATTCGGAATCGGATGGTTTGATCCATGAATATGCATGAATTTCGATAATACGTCCTGTGTTCGAAGACAGGTGGTAAATGTATATACGGCTGTAAGTAATCCAATAAAGAGAAGCGATGAATTTTCACGTGGCACGTTCTTTAGTTTGGGGCTGCTTCATGCTTAGGCCACACTTTCTTTTACTTGCTTTACGGAATTTTTACAGGAAAATACCTGTCGACCTATGTGGAGAAGAAAGAAAATGCAATTTTCGAGTTTTTTGCTTTACTACAGGTCGGCTGGTAAAAAAATGAAAATGGTTTAATGTGGGAGGAGAGTCTGCAACACAAGTGTTGCTTTACGCAATGCTAACTTCATGAATCAAGGAATGAGTTGTGTTTAACGCCGCTTTTAACAGTATTCCAGTTATATCACGGCGTGTCAGCTTAATGTGGGAGGAAAGCCCGAAGTGATGCATATATCAGACGTTTACCACTTCGCTGGAAAACCACGAGCACGGGTATGGTGCTGACAAGCCTAGAAACATAATTTTGGCTAGAATGTGTTGATTTCTTGACGGTGGTACAGCACCTGGTCGCCGATCATGAGAACGGCTGTCTGCAAACGATTTCTACTTGTCTGATCAGTAACTTGAACCCTGGTGGCCTAGCGCTAGTGAACAGCGCATTGATTTGCTGTGTGGGCTCGGTTACTTCTAGCCTGGTTTCTTCTTCATAAATCCTGGACTTCTGTTGTTAATCCAGGGCGCCCTGTGCGGGGCCGATCATTGACATGTTGTGTCTGCCGAAACCTGTTCCAACGTCTGCAAATCACAGACTGTGACAAATTGAACATATTGGCTACGTCTCGCTTAGTTTTACCAGTTGTAACAGATCAATAGCCCTTAGGTTTTCATCACTCTGTAGACGACGCATTCCAAATCTGATCACAAATACTGCATTAAAGCAGCAGTAGAGATCGTACGTACTACTGTGGATAATGAACATCAACTAATGGTTCAGAGCGATTTGGGGGGGCACGGGTGGCCCAGTCGTCTAAGGCGCCACGATTCGCTGCGCAGAGTTGCGTCCCTAGGGCACGCCAGAAACCCATGATTGTGGGTTCGAATCCCGGTTCGCCCCAATTATGTTTCTAGGTTTGGACACCAGAAATGGGCTTCACACATTGTACCCATGTCGGGAATCGAACCCGGGTCTTCGGCGGGACGAGCGAACGCTTTAACCACTAGGCTACCCGACCGCCCCACTTTTGGGACAGTTTCTAAAACCCCACCGCTTATCCAGATCATAAAGATATCCGTACTCGCGAAGAGACATGGTACCCACGGTCTCAAGAACACATGAATGAATTCTGTACAGAAATAGTTTCTTTAAAGCAATTACTCAAAAGTGTAATGATTTCAAACAGATATTCTGAAAAAAAGGTAATAAGACTTTGGGTGTCCTCATGTCAGAAGGATAATCAAGATAAAAGCATCAGTTAACATCATAGAAACTATCTAAATGATGAATACTTGTCAAAAATGTAACTTACAAATTGGCTGTGGGATGCTAGACCACAGAAGCGGTCTGCGTTCTGTAAAGGTCGGTAGGACGTCGAGTGTTGGGGATGCAAGGCAACAGAGGTGGTATATGTTCTAAAGAAGACAGAAAGGCGTCTGATGTTGATGTTAGGAAATAGTTCAGCACACACACACACACACACACACACACACACATTAGAGTTAATAAACAGGCAATCTCGATATCAAAAAGGAATATCGCGATATCAACACTTTGTGTGTATGGAATGTCACTGTATTTATTTTAATGAAAATTCCATTTTGTCTATTTCATACACTAACATTGTGTGCACACACAACATTTTATTTCATATTCTAATGATATAGAGATATACGTATTACATTGTCGGTTTTCCTTACAATCACATAAACATAAGTGATGTTCAGCGCCGTTTTCGTCTGCTCGTAGATTCATTTTAAGTAAATTTAGTGCTGTTTTCGCATAGAAAAACCTATACTCCAGAACCTTCCTACCTACCCCTTTTTAGAAAATCACGAAAGAACAACATGTGTCCCTAGCCTTTCTCTTATTCGAAGAAACACTCGTAATAATTTAACAAAATAATGAGAAATGATCAAACTGGGATCGAACCCACACGTACGAGCTCTTCTGTGCACATGGCCCAATATCCATTTTTAGCTATCTCAGAGTTATATCCCCTTGAAACGCTCGGTTATTTTCGCCTCCTTTCGCAAAGAGTCTTCAAAAACAAGGCAACATGTTTAAACCGAAGCGAGCAAGAAATATGAGGAAAAGACGACATTCATCTGACAGTGACGTGTCAGATGAAGACGGAAAGGATGTTATGTAAGAAACTGACATTATCTCTGCCCGGGAAGGAATGAATTAAGAATTTAAGACAATATATTGTGATCATAATTATTGTGTTCGATTTTCGATCATGTCGACGTATGGACAACGAATGTCATGTTACGTTGCTACATTTGATTAAGTAAGACGTAGGGCTGGGACGAGTCCAAATTCACTGCCCGGGTACCCTGCCCCCTATTACCGGGTACCCGAGTTACCCGTCCCAGCCCTAGTAAGAAGGGTTAGAGTTTATGCTTAAAGTGAGAGATTTTGAATTTTCATCATTGTTCAACTTGACCAGACCAAAATATGTGAACGTGGTTCTATGTTTTCCCCCTCAAGACTTTATTCTCCGGTACTAAACCGGTACTTGAACTTGAAGGACTAAAGCCTTTCTGGTTGTAGTGTAATTCTGGGACAAGTGCAAATTTTCCATTCATGCCAGACGAAATGTTATTGTATTAGGTGAAGCATTGTTTTAAGATTAAACCTTCGTGACACCCTGTGGGGATTCCTGGTTAAAACAGGTCCCCATCAACATAAAAGCCACCAGGTGAGGTGAAATGGGGTTTAACATCGTGTCCAAGATTATTGCACTTATATAGCGACGTCCATGCATGTGTGTGTGTGTGTGGCTGCTTGTACTAGTCCGGACTGATGCCGTTTTATAGTGCTAGCCGACTGAGATACCATGCCGCAGTTTAACATGAATATCCCACTCAGACAAATTATACTGACCCCGAGCCGACCAGTCCTTGTTTTAGTCCCTTAATGCCGGGCGCCAGACAGGGTAACAACAAGTACCATCTTTTAACGTCTTTTGGTATGACGCGGCCAGGGATCAAACCCCGGACCTTCAGCTCTCCGGGCGGACGCTCTACCACTAGACCACGGAGGCGGTCTAAAAGGCACCAAATGGACCCCAAAGACTCAGATAGTTGTTCACAATATCAATCACTGGATTGTCTGGTCCGACTAAATTATTTACAGGTCACAGTCATATGGCAACTCCAACAATCCCCCAACTCGGAGTACCATGGGAACAAAACGATACATATCCCAGTGTTATGGGTTTTTGGATGCTTAAGAAAAAGTCGCTTTCTCTCTAATCACATGAACAACTGTAGAACATCATATTACACTTATTACAGACAAATTTCTCTAAAAAACAAGCCATCTGAGTATTTACCCTTTGTGTGTGATGCTACACCCCTTGGGTATGGGTACCCGGGTCAGGTGGATTCTGAGTAGGACCCAGGTACACACAGGATTACCCAAACCCATGGTTAGTCACATGATGTATTGTCTCATGACAATAAAAATAAAACTCCATGGTTACACTATAAGTCGCTAATGTTCGCTTTCATTCTGGCTAAGCACACATTCCTCCTGACTTTTATATGCTTGCGTAAAGTTAAAAGCTTCTGTCTACTTCAGTATATGTGTATCTTAATAGTCTTTGCCAGGGCTCCTGTCAAACAGTTTCCAGTCAGTCATTTTGTAACCAACTTGGGGCGGTGGGGTAGCCTAGTGGTTAAAGCGTTAGCTCGTCATGCTGAAGACCCCGGTTTGATTCCAAACCTCGTTCGTACAATGTTTGAAGCCAATTTTCCAGTGTACCCTGACGTGATATTGTTGGAATATTGCTAAAAGTGGCATAAAAACAATCTCACTCAATAGAGTCATGAGACCTATAGCTCATACCCGTCTAGGGTCGGGTACTCAAGAAGTAAATCTGGACTCATCCTAGTCCTACCATCTTGAAATTAGTCTAGGCTTAGCAGGGAAAACGTAGAGAAAAGGGAGAATAAAATAGTCCACAAGAACTGTAATTTCTGAGCTGGTGAGGCCAGTGCAAAGTCAGCATCAAATTTTAGTAGAATATTATGAAAGCGTGCATTGTAGTTAAGTATTTGTGACCAGTGGATGTGGATTAGTAAAAGTTGAGCAGTACATAGTTAATGAGTTCGTTAGCCAACACTTCAGCACAGGACCATAGGCACTATCAGTCGAGTCGTCTCCCGTCATACTTATTGAAAATGCTTTAGGGAATCTAGGGCAGAATATATTCCCCCTGGCTACTTGTAAAAGACTAAACAAGTAAAGGATTGGTTGGTGTGTGACTTGCATGATTGCGTTTCATCATTCAGGGATGGCAGGATCTTTTCTCAGCAACATGTTATGGCTTGACTGATTGCTGTGTAAGACTAGTTTCATCAACCAACTAACTGACCATGACCTTGTTCTAGGATCTTTGCTCAGCTACATGTTATGGCTTGTGTAAGACTAGTTTTAGCGACCAACTAACTGACCATGACCTTGTTCTAGGATCTTTGCTCAGCAACATGTTATGGCTTGACTGATTGCTGTGTAAGACTAGTTTCATCAACCAACTAACTGACCATGACCTTGTTCTAGGATCTGTGCTCAGCTACATGTTATGGCTTGTGTAAGACTAGTTTTAGCGACCAACTAACTGACCATGACCTTGTTCTAGGATCTTTGCTCAGCAACATGTTATGGCTTGACTGATTGCTGTGTAAGACTAGTTTCATCAACCAACTAACTGACCATGACCTTGTTCTAGGATCTTTGCTCAGCTACATGTTATGGCTTGTATAAGACTAGTTTCATCAACCAACTAACTGACCATGACCTTGTTCTAGGATCTTTGCTCAGCTACATGTTATGGCTTGTATAAGACTAGTTTCATCAACCAACTAACTGACCATGACCTTGTTCTAGGATCTTTGCTCAGCTACATGTTATGGCTTGTCTGATTGCTGTGTAAGACTAGTTTCATCAACCAACTAACTGACCATGACCTTGTTCTAGGATCTTTGCTCAGCTACATGTTATGGCTTGTGTAAGACTAGTTTTAGCGACCAACTAACTGACCATGACCTTGTTCTAGGATCTTTGCTGAGCAACATGTTATGGCTTGACTGATTGCTGTGTAAGACTAGTTTCATCAACCAACTAACTGACCATGACCTTGTTCTAGGATCTTTGCTCAGCTACATGTTATGGCTTGTGTAAGACTAGTTTTAGCGACCAACTAACTGACCATGACCTTGTTCTAGGATCTTTGCTGAGCAACATGTTATGGCTTGACTGATTGCTGTGTAAGACTAGTTTCATCAACCAACTAACTGACCATGACCTTGTTCTAGGATCTTTGCTCAGCTACATGTTATGGCTTGTCTGATTGCTGTGTAAGACTAGTTTCATCAACCAACTAACTGACCATGACCTTGTTCTAGGATCTTTGCTCAGCTACATGTTATGGCTTGTGTAAGACTAGTTTTAGCGACCAACTAACTGACCATGACCTTGTTCTAGGATCTTTGCTGAGCAACATGTTATGGCTTGACTGATTGCTGTGTAAGACTAGTTTCATCAACCAACTAACTGACCATGACCTTGTTCTAGGATCTTTGCTCAGCTACATGTTATGGCTTGTGTAAGACTAGTTTCATCAACCAACTAACTGACCATGACCTTGTTCTAGGATCTTTGCTCAGCTACATGTTATGGCTTGTGTAAGACTAGTTTTAGCGACCAACTAACTGACCATGACCTTGTTCTAGGATCTTTGCTGGTCAACATGTTATGGCTTGACTGATTGCTGTGTAAGACTAGTTTCATCAACCAACTAACTGACCATGACCTTGTTCTAGGATCTTTGCTCAGCTACATGTTATGGCTTGTGTAAGACTAGTTTCATCAACCAACTAACTGACCATGACCTTGTTCTAGGATCTTTGCTCAGCTACATGTTATGGCTTGTATAAGACTAGTTTCATCAACCAACTAACTGACCATGACCTTGTTCTAGGATCTTTGCTCAGCAACATGTTATGGCTTGACTGATTGCTGTGTAAGACTAGTTTCATCAACCAACTAACTGACCATGACCTTGTTCTAGGATCTTTGCTCAGCTACATGTTATGGCTTGTATAAGACTAGTTTCATCAACCAACTAACTGACCATGACCTTGTTCTAGGATCTTTGCTCAGCTACATGTTATGGCTTGTATAAGACTAGTTTCATCAACCAACTAACTGACCATGACCTTGTTCTAGGATCTTTGCTCAGCAACATGTTATGGCTTGACTGATTGCTGTGTAAGACTAGTTTCATCAACCAACTAACTGACCATGACCTTGTTCTAGGATCTTTGCTCAGCTACATGTTATGGCTTGTGTAAGACTAGTTTTAGCGACCAACTAACTGACCATGACCTTGTTCTAGGATCTTTGCTGAGCAACATGTTATGGCTTGACTGATTGCTGTGTAAGACTAGTTTCATCAACCAACTAACTGACCATGACCTTGTTCTAGGATCTTTGCTCAGCTACATGTTATGGCTTGTGTAAGACTAGTTTTAGCGACCAACTAACTGACCATGACCTTGTTCTAGGATCTTTGCTGAGCAACATGTTATGGCTTGACTGATTGCTGTGTAAGACTAGTTTCATCAACCAACTAACTGACCATGACCTTGTTCTAGGATCTTTGCTCAGCTACATGTTATGGCTTGTCTGATTGCTGTGTAAGACTAGTTTCATCAACCAACTAACTGACCATGACCTTGTTCTAGGATCTTTGCTCAGCTACATGTTATGGCTTGTGTAAGACTAGTTTTAGCGACCAACTAACTGACCATGACCTTGTTCTAGGATCTTTGCTGAGCAACATGTTATGGCTTGACTGATTGCTGTGTAAGACTAGTTTCATCAACCAACTAACTGACCATGACCTTGTTCTAGGATCTTTGCTCAGCTACATGTTATGGCTTGACTGATTGCTGTGTAAGACTAGTTTCATCAACCAACTAACTGACCATGACCTTGTTCTAGGATCTTTGCTCAGCTACATGTTATGGCTTGTCTGATTGCTGTGTAAGACTAGTTTCATCAACCAACTAACTGACCATGACCTTGTTCTAGGATCTTTGCTCAGCTGCATGTTATGGCTTGTGTAAGACTAGTTTCATCAACCAACTAACTGACCATGACCTTGTTCTAGGATCTTTGCTCAGCTGCATGTTATGGCATGACTGATTGCTGTGTAAGACTAGTTTCATCAACCAACTAACTGACCATGACCTTGTTCTAGGATCTTTGCTCAGCTGCATGTTATGGCTTGACTGATTGCTGTGTAAGACTAGTTTCATCAACCAACTAACTGACCATGACCTTGTTCTAGGATCTTTGCTCAGCAACATGTTATGGCTTGTGTAAGACTAGTTTCATCAACCAACTAACTGACCATGACCTTGTTCTAGGATCTTTGCTCAGCTGCATGTTATGGCTTGTGTAAGACTAGTTTCATCAACCAACTAACTGACCATGACCTTGTTCTAGGATCTTTGCTCAGCTGCATGTTATGGCTTGTGTAAGACTAGTTTCATCAACCAACTAACTGACCATGACCTTGTTCTAGGATCTTTGCTCAGCTGCATGTTATGGCTTGTGTAAGACTAGTTTCATCAACCAACTAACTGACCATGACCTTGTTCTAGGATCTTTGCTCAGCTACATGTTATGGCTTGACTGATTGCTGTGTAAGACTAGTTTCATCAACCAACTAACTGACCATGACCTTGTTCTAGGATCTTTGCTCAGCTGCATATTATGGCTTGTCTGATTGCTGTGTAAGACTAGTTTCATCAACCAACTAACTGACCATGACCTTGTTCTAGGATCTTTGCTCAGCAACATGTTATGGCTTGACTGATTGCTGTGTAAGACTAGTTTCATCAACCAACTAACTGACCATGACCTTGTTCTAGGATCTTTGCTCAGCAACATGTTATGGCTTGACTGATTGCTGTGTAAGACTAGTTTCATCAACCAACTAACTGACCATGACCTTGTTCTAGGATCTTTGCTCAGCAACATGTTATGGCTTGACTGATTGCTGTGTAAGACTAGTTTCATCAACCAACTAACTGACCATGACCTTGTTCTAGGATCTTTGCTCAGCAACATGTTATGGCTTGACTGATTGCTGTGTAAGACTAGTTTCATCAACCAACTAACTGACCATGACCTTGTTCTAGGATCTTTGCTCAGCTGCATATTATGGCTTGTCTGATTGCTGTGTAAGACTAGTTTCATCAACCAACTAACTGACCATGACCTTGTTCTAGGATCTTTGCTCAGCTGCATGTTATGGCATGACTGATTGCTGTGTAAGACTAGTTTCATCAACCAACTAACTGACCATGACCTTGTTCTAGGATCTTTGCTCAGCTGCATGTTATGGCTTGACTGATTGCTGTGTAAGACTAGTTTCATCAACCAACTAACTGACCATGACCTTGTTCTAGGATCTTTGCTCAGCAACATGTTATGGCTTGTGTAAGACTAGTTTCATCAACCAACTAACTGACCATGACCTTGTTCTAGGATCTTTGCTCAGCTGCATGTTATGGCTTGTGTAAGACTAGTTTCATCAACCAACTAACTGACCATGACCTTGTTCTAGGATCTTTGCTCAGCTGCATGTTATGGCTTGTGTAAGACTAGTTTCATCAACCAACTAACTGACCATGACCTTGTTCTAGGATCTTTGCTCAGCTGCATGTTATGGCTTGTGTAAGACTAGTTTCATCAACCAACTAACTGACCATGACCTTGTTCTAGGATCTTTGCTCAGCTACATGTTATGGCTTGACTGATTGCTGTGTAAGACTAGTTTCATCAACCAACTAACTGACCATGACCTTGTTCTAGGATCTTTGCTCAGCTGCATATTATGGCTTGTCTGATTGCTGTGTAAGACTAGTTTCATCAACCAACTAACTGACCATGACCTTGTTCTAGGATCTTTGCTCAGCAACATGTTATGGCTTGACTGATTGCTGTGTAAGACTAGTTTCATCAACCAACTAACTGACCATGACCTTGTTCTAGGATCTTTGCTCAGCAACATGTTATGGCTTGACTGATTGCTGTGTAAGACTAGTTTCATCAACCAACTAACTGACCATGACCTTGTTCTAGGATCTTTGCTCAGCAACATGTTATGGCTTGACTGATTGCTGTGTAAGACTAGTTTCATCAACCAACTAACTGACCATGACCTTGTTCTAGGATCTTTGCTCAGCAACATGTTATGGCTTGACTGATTGCTGTGTAAGACTAGTTTCATCAACCAACTAACTGACCATGACCTTGTTCTAGGATCTTTGCTCAGCAACATGTTATGGCTTGACTGATTGCTGTGTAAGACTAGTTTCATCAACCAACTAACTGACCATGACCTTGTTCTAGGATCTTTGCTCAGCTGCATGTTATGGCTTGTCTGATTGCTGTGTAAGACTAGTTTCATCAACCAACTAACTGACCATGACCTTGTTCTAGGATCTTTGCTCAGCTGCATGTTATGGCTTGTCTGATTGCTGTGTAAGACTAGTTTCATCAACCAACTAACTGACCATGACCTTGTTCTAGGATCTTTGCTCAGCTACATGTTATGGCTTGACTGATTGCTGTGTAAGACTAGTTTCATCAACCAACTAACTGACCATGACCTTGTTCTAGGATCTTTGCTCAGCTGCATGTTATGGCTTGACTGATTGCTGTGTAAGACTAGTTTCATCAACCAACTAACTGACCATGACCTTGTTCTAGATGTAAGCTGGAGGACATCAAGGAGTTGCAGAAGATGAGGGGGAGGCAGAATGGAGTCAGCGCCGCCAGCCTCGCCCTGGGCAAGAAGATTGAGAAGACGGAGGATGTGGAAGATGTGGGTGATGTAGACTGCTGGTCATGAAGTTGAATAGACCAGTGACCAGTACTGTTTCAGTGATATACATAAAACAAACAAACTGTGTCAGCTTTTTCGTTGATAGTACTGAGTTTTTTATATCACAGCTTCACTCAACTGTCCATCATGATCTATAGTCCTTAGAATATAATAAGACATTCAACGTCGCTGATGTTCATAATGTTCATGTTTGATAAAGTTTAACATTAAACATTTTATGTTTATTTTCTGATTATCGGTCCTTAAATATTTTATACAGTAAACTTCAGTTATAAAAAACTCAAAGGGCCCACTAATTTTAGTTCGTTATAACCGTAGTTCGTTATAAGCCTATATACATCATATGTACTGCAAATGCCCAGGACCACGCAATAAGTTTGTTATATCAGTCAGTTCGTTATAACCATGTTTGTTATAAATGTAGTTTGCTGTATTTAACTTCCTGGTAATAATGGCTACATCTTGGAAATTGTTACAATGTTGACTGCCTTGCTATGATATATCCTTCTTCCAGAGGAGGGGTGGTCGGGTAGCTTAGTGGTTAAAGCGTTCGCTCGTCACGCCGAAAACCCGGGTTTGATTCCTGACATGGGTACAATAGGTGAAGCCCATTTCTGGTGTCCCCCGCCGCGATATTGCTGGAATATTGCTAAAACCGGCGTAAAACCATTCTCACTCACTCACTCACTCTTCCAGAGGAAAGGGAGTTAACTGGCTATAAAAGTCTCATGTGATGTGAGAGGTGGAATCTGATCAGTTGGTAGGAGGGAAATAGAAGGGACATAACTTGTAATAGTCACTGGTGGCGCTACGATAGAGCCACAAATATGATCATAGTTAGGTAAGGGAGCCAGGTGGACTTCATAGTCAGTTGACTCACTTGCTTTGGGAAGATGTAATATATTCATACACGTCACTGATCAAAAGTCCCTGGGCCCCATCCAACAAAGCGATCTTAGCGCTAAGACTGTCCTAACTCGCATACTTAAACATAGGCTAACAGCAGTCATAGCGCTATGGCGGCCCTGATCTGTCACCATGGTTCCATACGATAGGCTGATAGGAAAATCTTGTTTTGTTTGGTGTCTAGAATGTGTAAGATTATTATTGCTTCAATAAACAAAGAATCTGCTTGGGGTCGTTGTTGACATTCAAGTTCCCTGCAAATGTCTAAAACTTGTGGTCATACCAGTCAGATTCCCAGGCTTCCTGTTCACATGGATCTATGCATTTTTCGGATTTTTATCTTTTTATGAGTGTGTACATTAGTCTTTTTTCAAATTTCACTCTATATTTTTTAATTTTGACCGAATGTTTTCACTGGTTATCTGTCACTTGCCCCCTGTCATGTCAGACTGAAGCAACCCTTGTCACTTGCCCCTTGTCATGTCAGACTGAAGTAGCATTGTCACTTGCCCCTTGTCATGTCAGACTGAAGTAGCCTTGTCACTTGCCCCTTGTCATGTCAGACTGAAGTAGCATTGTCACTTGCCCCTTGTCATGTCAGACTGAAGTAGCCTTGTCACTTGCCCCTTGTCATGTCAGGCTGATGTAGCCTTGTCACTTGCCCCTTGTCATGTCAGACTGAAGTAGCCTTGTCACTTGCCCCTTGTCATGTCAGACTGAAGTAGCCTTGTCACTTGCCCCTTGTCATGTCAGACTGAAGTAGCTTTCTCACTTGCCCCTTGTCATGTCAGGCTGATGTAGCCTTGTCACTTGCCCCTTGTCATGTCAGACTGAAGTAGCCTTGTCACTTGCCCCTTGTCATGTCAAACTGAAGTAGCCTTGTCACTTGCCCCTTGTCATGTCAGACTGAAGTAGCCTTGTCACTTGCCCCTTGTCATGTCAAACTGAAGTAGCCTTGTCACTTGACCCTTGTCATGTCAGACTGAAGTAGCCTTGTCACTTGCCCCTTGCAATGTCAGACTGAAGTAGCCTTGTCACTTGCCCCTTGTCATGTCAGACTGAAGTAGCATTGTGACTTGCCCCTTGTCATGTCAGACTGAAGTAGCCTTATCACTTGCCCCTTGTCATGTCAGACTGAAGTAGCATTGTCACTAGCCCCTTGTCATGTCAGACTGAAGTAGCAGTGTCACTTGCCCCTTGTCTTGTCAAACTGAAGTAGCTTTGTCACTTGTCCCTTGTCATGTCAGACTGAAGTAGCATTGTCACTAGCCCCTTGTCATGTCAGACTGAAGTAGCAGTGTCACTTGCCCCTTGTCTTGTCAAACTGAAGTAGCTTTGTCACTAGCCCCTTGTCATGTCAGACTGAAGTAGCATTGTCACTAGCCCCTTGTCATGTCAGACTGAAGTAGCATTGTCAACTGCCTCTTGTCATGTCAGACTGAAGTAGCATTGTCACTTGCCCCTTGTCATGTCAGACTGAAGTAGCATTGTCACTAGCCCCTTGTCATGTCAGACTGGAGTAGCAGTGTCACTTGCCCCTTGTCTTGTCAAACTGAAGTAGCTTTGTCACTTGCCCCTTGTCATGTCAGACTGAAGTAGCATTGTCACTTGCCCCTTGTCATGTCAGACTGAAGTAGCCTTGTCACTTGCCCTTTGTCATGTCAGACTGAAGTAGCCTTGTCACTTGCCCCTGGTCATGTCAGACTGAAGTAGCATTGTGACTTGCCCCTTGTCATGTCAGACTGAAGTAGCCTTGTCACTTGCCCCTTGTCATGTCAGACTGAAGTAGCCTTGTCACTTGCCCCTTGTCATGTCAGGCTGATGTAGCCTTGTCACTTGCCCCTTGTCATGTCAGACTGAAGTAGCCTTGTCACTTGCCCCTTGTCATGTCAGACTGAAGTAGCCTTATCACTTGCCCCTTGTCATGTCAGACTGAAGTAGCTTTGTCACTTGCCCCTTGTCATGTCAGGCTGAAGCAACCCTTGTCCCTTGCCCCTTGTCATGTCAGACTGAAGTAGCATTGTCACTTGCCCCTTGTCATGTCAGACTGAAGTAGCCTTGTCACTTGCCCCTTTTCATGTCAGACTGAAGTAGCATTGTCACTTGCCCCTTGTCATGTCAGACTGAAGTAGCCTTGTCACTTGCCCCTTGTCATGTCAGGCTGATGTAGCCTTGTCACTTGCCCCTTGTCATGTCAGACTGAAGTAGCCTTGTCACTTGCCCCTTGTCATGTCAGACTGAAGTAGCCTTATCACTTGCCCCTTGTCATGTCAGACTGAAGTAGCTTTGTCACTTGCCCCTTGTCATGTCAGGCTGATGTAGCTTTGTCACTTGCCCCTTGTCATGTCAGACTGAAGTAGCCTTGTCACTTGCCCCTTGTCATGTCAAACTGAAGTAGCCTTGTCACTTGCCCCTTGTCATGTCAGACTGAAGTAGCCTTGTCACTTGCCCCTTGTCATGTCAAACTGAAGTAGCCTTGTCACTTGCCCCTTGTCATGTCAGACTGAAGTAGCCTTGTCACTTGCCCCTTGTCATGTCAGACTGAAGTAGCCTTGTCACTTGCCCCTTGTCATGTCAGACTGAAGTAGCATTGTCACTTGCCCCTTGTCATGTCAGACTGAAGTAGCATTGTCACTAGCCCCTTGTCATGTCAGACTGATGTAGCAGTGTCACTTGCCCCTTGTCTTGTCAAACTGAAGTAGCATTGTCACTAGCCCCTTGTCATGTCAGACTGAAGTAGCAGTGTCACTTGCCCCTTGTCTTGTCAAACTGAAGTAGCTTTGTCACTTGCCCCTTGCCATGTCAGACTGAAGTAGCATTGTCACTAGCCCCTTGTCATGTCAGACTGAAGTAGCATTGTCAACTGCCTCTTGTCATGTCAGACTGGAGTAGCATTGTCACTTGCCCCTTGTCATGTCAGACTGAAGTAGCATTGTCACTAGCCCCTTGTCATGTCAGACTGAAGTAGCAGTGTCACTTGCCCCTTGTCTTGTCAAACTGAAGTAGCTTTGTCACTTGCCCCTTGTCATGTCAGACTGAAGTAGCATTGTCACTTGCCCCTTGTCATGTCAGACTGAAGTAGCATTGTCACTTGCCCCTTGTCATGTCAGACTGAAGTAGCCTTGTCACTTGCCCTTTGTCATGTCAGACTGAAGTAGCCTTGTCACTTGCCCCTTGTCATGTCAGACTGAAGTAGCATTGTGACTTGCCCCTTGTCATGTCAGACTGAAGTAGCCTTGTCACTTGCCCCTTGTCATGTCAGACTGAAGTAGCCTTGTCACTTGCCCCTTGTCATGTCAGGCTGATGTAGCCTTGTCACTTGCCCCTTGTCATGTCAGACTGAAGTAGCCTTGTCACTTGCCCCTTGTCATGTCAGACTGAAGTAGCCTTATCACTTGCCCCTTGTCATGTCAGACTGAAGTAGCTTTGTCACTTGCCCCTTGTCATGTCAGGCTGATGTAGCTTTGTCACTTGCCCCTTGTCATGTCAGACTGAAGTAGCCTTGTCACTTGCCCCTTGTCATGTCAGACTGAAGTAGCCTTGTCACTTGCCCCTTGTCATGTCAGGCTGATGTAGCCTTGTCACTTGCCCCTTGTCATGTCAGACTGAAGTAGCCTTGTCACTTGCCCCTTGTCATGTCAGACTGAAGTAGCCTTATCACTTGCCCCTTGTCATGTCAGACTGAAGTAGCTTTGTCACTTGCCCCTTGTCATGTCAGGCTGAAGCAACCCTTGTCCCTTGCCCCTTGTCATGTCAGACTGAAGTAGCATTGTCACTTGCCCCTTGTCATGTCAGACTGAAGTAGCCTTGTCACTTGCCCCTTTTCATGTCAGACTGAAGTAGCATTGTCACTAGCCCCTTGTCATGTCAGACTGAAGTAGCATTGTCAACTGCCTCTTGTCATGTCAGACTGGAGTAGCATTGTCACTTGCCCCTTGTCATGTCAGACTGAAGTAGCATTGTCACTAGCCCCTTGTCATGTCAGACTGAAGTAGCAGTGTCACTTGCCCCTTGTCTTGTCAAACTGAAGTAGCTTTGTCACTTGCCCCTTGTCATGTCAGACTGAAGTAGCATTGTCACTTGCCCCTTGTCATGTCAGACTGAAGTAGCATTGTCACTTGCCCCTTGTCATGTCAGACTGAAGTAGCCTTGTCACTTGCCCTTTGTCATGTCAGACTGAAGTAGCCTTGTCACTTGCCCCTTGTCATGTCAGACTGAAGTAGCATTGTGACTTGCCCCTTGTCATGTCAGACTGAAGTAGCCTTGTCACTTGCCCCTTGTCATGTCAGACTGAAGTAGCCTTGTCACTTGCCCCTTGTCATGTCAGGCTGATGTAGCCTTGTCACTTGCCCCTTGTCATGTCAGACTGAAGTAGCCTTGTCACTTGCCCCTTGTCATGTCAGACTGAAGTAGCAGTGTCACTTGCCCCTTGTCTTGTCAAACTGAAGTAGCTTTGTCACTTGCCCCTTGTCATGTCAGACTGAAGTAGCATTGTCACTAGCCCCTTGTCATGTCAGACTGAAGTAGCATTGTCAACTGCCTCTTGTCATGTCAGACTGAAGTAGCATTGTCACTAGCCCCTTGTCATGTCAGACTGAAGTAGCATTGTCACTTGCCCCTTGTCATGTCAGACTGAAGTAGCATTGTCACTAGCCCCTTGTCATGTCAGACTGAAGTAGCAGTGTCACTTGCCCCTTGTCATGTCAGACTGAAGTAGCAGTGTCACTTGCCCCTTGTCATGTCAGACTGAAGTAGCATTGTCACTTGCCCCTTGTCATGTCAGACTGAAGTAGCATTGTCACTTGCCCCTTGTCATGTCAGACTGAAGTAGCCTTGTCATTTGCCCCTTGTCATGTCAGACTGAAGTAGCATTGTCACTTGCCCCTTGTCATGTCAGACTGAAGTAGCCTTGTCATTTGCCCCTTGTCATGTCAGACTGAAGTAGCATTGTCACTTGCCCCTTGTCATGTCAGACTGAAGTAGCCTTGTCACTTGCCCCTTGTCATGTCAGACTGAAGTAGCATTGTCACTTGCCCCTTTATATGTTAGACTGAAGTAGCATTGTCACTTGCCCCTTGTCATGTCAGACTGAAGTAGCATTGTCACTTGCCCCTTGTCATGTCAGACTGAAGTAGCATTGTCACTTGCCCCTTGTCATGTCAGACTGAAGTAGCCTTGTCACTTGCCCCTTGTCATGTCAGACTGAAGTAGCCTTGTCACTAGCCCCTTGTCATGTCAGACTGAAGTAGCATTGTCACTAGCCCCTTGTCATGTCAGACTGAAGTAGCAGTGTCACTTGCCCCTTGTCATGTCAGACTGAAGTAGCCTTGTCATTTGCCCCTTGTCATGTCAGACTGAAGTAGCATTGTCACTTGCCCCTTGTCATGTCAGACTGAAGTAGCCTTGTCACTTGCCCCTTGTCATGTCAGACTGAAGTAGCATTGTCACTAGCCCCTTGTCATGTCAGACTGGAGTAGCATTGTCACTTGCCCCTTGTCATGTCAGACTGAAGTAGCATTGTCACTAGCCCCTTGTCATGTCAGACTGAAGTAGCAGTGTCACTTGCCCCTTGTCTTGTCAAACTGAAGTAGCTTTGTCACTTGCCCCTTGTCATGTCAGACTGAAGTAGCATTGTCACTTGCCCCTTGTCATGTCAGACTGAAGTAGCATTGTCACTTGCCCCTTGTCATGTCAGACTGAAGTAGCCTTGTCATTTGCCCCTTGTCATGTCAGACTGAAGTAGCATTGTCACTTGCCCCTTGTCATGTCAGACTGAAGTAGCCTTGTCATTTGCCCCTTGTCATGTCAGACTGAAGTAGCATTGTCACTTGCCCCTTGTCATGTCAGACTGAAGTAGCCTTGTCACTTGCCCCTTGTCATGTCAGACTGAAGTAGCATTGTCACTTGCCCCTTTATATGTTAGACTGAAGTAGCATTGTCACTTGCCCCTTGTCATGTCAGACTGAAGTAGCATTGTCACTTGCCCCTTGTCATGTCAGACTGAAGTAGCATTGTCACTTGCCCCTTGTCATGTCAGACTGAAGTAGCCTTGTCACTTGCCCCTTGTCATGTCAGACTGAAGTAGCCTTGTCACTAGCCCCTTGTCATGTCAGACTGAAGTAGCATTGTCACTAGCCCCTTGTCATGTCAGACTGAAGTAGCAGTGTCACTTGCCCCTTGTCATGTCAGACTGAAGTAGCCTTTTCAACTGCCCCTTGTCATGTCAGACTGAAGTAGCCTTGTCACTTGCCCCTTGTCATGTCAGACTGAAGTAGCCTTGTCACTTGCCCCTTGTCATGTCAGACTGGAGTAGCCTTGTCAGGGTCCCCATGGTGCACAGCCATGTATATTTGATTTTTGTTTTTTACGTATACTACTCAAAAGAAGTTACAGAACACCCATTTTTTTCATATGACTATGTCCTGAATGTTCCCATCAATCTGGAGCCCTGTGTATGTTACCTGTCCACATTTGGCATGGTGAGGTAGCCCAGTGGTTAAAGTGTTCGCTTGTCATGCTGAAGAACGGGTTCGATTCCCGACATGGGTACAATGTGTGAAGCCAATTTCTGGTGTCCCCCCCTTGATATTGCTGGAATGTTGCTAAACGTGGCGTAAAACGATACTCAGTCACTCACATTTATGTGTCCTATTAACATAAAGACTACATGTAAAACATGACACTTACGTTATTTGTTGTTCCAACAGGCGGATCCTTTCAAGATGAAATCTGGAGGTTTTATTGACATGAAATCTATGAAGAAAGTGTAAGTAACTCAAGAGAACAAGCACAGGTTACATGAGGCAAAGCAACCCATGCTTGCCGTAAAAGGCGACTATGCTTGTCATAAGAGGCGACTGATGGGATTGGGTGGTCAGGCTCTCTGACTTGGTTGATGCATGTCATCGATCCCAATTGCGTGGATCGATGCTCATGATATTAATCACTGGATTGTCTGGTCCAGACAATATTCCAGCCATATGACGGCGGTCTGTAAATAATCGAGTCTGGACCAGACAATCGAGTGATTGATATGATGAGCATTGATCCACGCAATTGGGATGGATGACATGCATCAACCAAGTCAGTGAGCCTGACCACCCGATCCTGTTAGTCGCCTTTTACGACAAGCATAGTTGCCTTTAACGGCAAGCATTGGTTGCTGAAGACCTATTCTACCCCGGATATTCACAAGTCACCAACAATGTAAAATAAATGTCAGATACAAATATGTAATGGGAGATGAATCCAACGGTATGCCACAGACCACCTTGTGTGACGTTGTAGGCAGCGGGACGAGTACGGGAAAACCACTGTTGCTGGTGGAGCATGCACAAGCTCATGCAGTTGACCCATGTCACCATTTGGTCTCGGGAGAACATTGTCATGTCATGGCTAACAACTGCCAAACGTTATCAGGCCATTGGCATGCTACAGGACTATCAATCTCATTAAAACCAGATCTCAGTTCTCGCTACCACTAAACAAAGATCTGAGGACATCCCATTACGGGTCACATCAGGACGACCTTTCATCCGACCAATCAGATAGTTGCTTACCAGATCGGGAAAGTGACAGTCAGACTTTGAGTAAGGTTAGCACCAGGTATTCTGAATGACAGTTATGGTCTGGACGACTGATTCCTTCAAAATTATTGTCTATCTCTTGCTACAATGAGATTTTAATATTTGAAACGGAAGAGACTTTCCATAGCCCAGTGGAAGTACTGCCATACAATATCCGACATCTGTTTGACATTCCAGAATGTTCGTCACAGGGCCATATGACACGGTTGAACCAATCAACTCAACTCGAAAGGGTGCACAGGAATCACGCACGCACGAATACGGTGTTAACGTTGGGCGTCTCAACGTGCGTGATTCCCGTGCACCCTTTCGAGTTGAGTTGATTGGTTCAACTGTGTCATATGACCCTGTGACGCAGGGGTAGCATTATGCAGATGGCTGTTTCAGTGAATGCTCGTTCCACCTGTGACGAACAGGTCTGGTTGTTGATGATATATAGTGATAGCTAAATAGACAGATTTTTTATTCATGCACCGATTGTCTTTAAATGTAATATCCAGTTATGTATGACTGTTTAATAATCTCATACCAACTTTGACTGGAGTAGGTCCTATAGTTTTTCAGATATTGTAGTAAACGTTGGTACCTTAAATTACCTTCCAGACTATAGAAGGGGCTGTGCATTATACATGCCATAATGAGTATTGATGCTTTTGTCCCCCAACGTAAAAACATTACCGTGAGCACATTAAACTGGAAATACCATGTCAACAAATCCATACTGAAGTACGCAAATTAATCATGTAATTACACTGTCTGTCTATAAAATGTGTTCATTGTATATCTAGACTTATGTTTGTAACTTATTTCATTAATTTTATTCAAAATTCTTTTTAATATTGTTATAATTAATCTCGATGAAATCGTATCGATCGCACAACTCACCGTTATCAACAGCAACCATGGTCAGATTACCGCTATTGACCACCTTGATGTTATGGCTTTGAAGACGTAACTGATAGAAATAACTGCATTTCACTGATGACAGGCTTTTATGCTTATTTTAACATTATTGCAATGTCAAAATACCTCAGCATTTAGGAAAATAAAAACTTTTGACAAATCCCAGTTTTAAACAAAATAATGATTTTTATCCAAATTGGCCTGTCAAGGGCACTTGGTTTGAAATCCTTGATAAATCTCTGTTTCAATGCAACTTTCCAATACGTATATTTGTACCTTGATCAAGCTGGAGAAACACTGAACAACACTGAAGTTTATATCCAGAAGTCGATCCTGTCTTCATTGCTCCTGCAGCTTGTATACACTGTGTGGAGATAGGGGGCACGGGTGGCCCAGTCGTCTAAGGCGCCGCGATTCTCTGTGAGTTGCGTCCCCTGGGCACGCCAGAAACCTATGATTGTGGATTCGAATCCTGGTTCGCCCCGATTATGTTTCTAGGTTTGTCAGCACCATACCCATATCTCGTGGGTTTCACCGAAGTGGTAAACGTCTGAGACCTGCATCACTTCAGGCTTTCCTCCCACATTAAGCTGACATGCCGTGATATAGCTGGAATACTGTTCAAAGCGGCGTTAAACTCACTCACAAAGTGTGGAGATATCCAACCCATGTGCTGTTGTCCATCATTTGAGTCGTGTTATGTTTTGTTTTGACCAGGCCTGTGACGGGTGAGGCTGCAGAAGCCATTGGAACAGCGTTTGCCGCAGAAACAAACCGACGAGACGAAGACACTGAGATGTAAGTTACCATGGTTACTTTGTGCTGGTTTTACATGGCAGGACTCATCCAGGATTGACTATACACAGGAGTAATGCTCCATCTGTTACACATCACCATGTGTTAATGTGTTTTGGTATTTGATATGCTTGATCAAGGACTAGGCTGGACTCATTCAGGACAAGGATAAAAACGAGTGATATATTATCTGTTACCATGGATACTGTGGGCTGATATTATTGGGTGGGATTTATTTAGGACCAGGTCGCTATGCAATGGATAACAGTGTGTGACCCATTTTTGGGGATGGTGACCATGGTCATGCTTGGATGAGTTTGGGTGATTTGTTTTTTAGAAGTTGGAAACTTTGTTCAAGCACGTTGCCATATAGTGTGAGATAGGATAAGTATATAAAAATACAATAAATTGTAAAATTTACCAAGGTTACTGTGTGCTGACTCATCCAGGACCTGATGTAAACATGAGTACTTGCCATTGTTACTGTGTGCTGATGTATATGGGTGGGACATGAGTACGTGCCACTGTAACCATGGTTACTGTTACAGGTTGAAATACGTGGAGGACGAGCTGGCCAAGAGGAAGGGGCGTGCGGTGAAGTCCGAGTCGAGGGAGGATAAAAACAGGTGGGTGGTGAAGCAACAAATAGATCACCTGCCACCTGTGTCTGTATGTCACCAGTGTCTGTATGTCACATGTGTCTGTATGTCACCCGTGTCTGTATGTCACCTGTGTCTGTATGTCACCTGTGTCTGTATGTCACCTGTGTCTGTATGCCACCTGTGTCTGTATGTCACCTGTGTCTGTATGCCACCTGTGTCTGTATGCCACCTGTGCCTGTATGTCACCTGTGGTTGTATGTCACCTGTGTCTGTATGCCACATGTGTCTGTATGTCACCCGTGTCTGTATGTCACCTGTGGTTGTTTGTCACCTGTGTCTGTATGTCACCTGTGTCTGTATGTCACCTGTGTCTGTATGCCACCTGTGTCTGTATGTCACCTGTGGTTGTATGTCACCTGTGTCTGTATGTCACCTGTGGTTGTTTGTCACCTGTGTCTGTATGTCACCTGTGTCTGTATGTCACCTGTGTCTGTATGCCACCTGTGTCTGTATGTCACCCGTGTCTGTATGTCACCCGTGTCTGTATGTCACCTGTGGTTGTTTGTCACCTGTGTCTGTATGTCACCTGTGTCTGTATGTCACCTGTGTCTGTATGTCACCTGTGGTTGTTTGTGGCTTGTATGTTCATTTCACCTGTGGTTGTATGTCACCTGTGGTTGTATGCCACCTGTGTCTGTATGTCACCTGTGTCTGTATGTCACCTGTTCCTGTATGCCACCTGTGTCTGTATGTCACATGTGTCTGTATGCCACCTGTGTCTGTATGCCACCTGTGTCTGTATGTCACATGTGTCTGTATGCCACCTGTGTCTGTATGCCACCTGTGTCTGTATGCCACCTGTGCCTGTATGTCACCTGTGGTTGTATGTAACCTGTGTCTGTATGCCACATGTGTCTGTATGTCACCCGTGTCTGTATGTCACCTGTGGTTGTTTGTCACCTGTGTCTGTATGTCACCTGTGTCTGTATGCCACCTGTGTCTGTATGTCACCTGTGTCTGTACGTCACCTGTGGTTGTTTGTGGCTTGTATGTTCATTTCACCTGTGGTTGTATGTCACCTGTGGTTGTATGCCACCTGTGTCTGTATGTCACCTGTGTCTGTATGTCACCTGTTCCTGTATGCCACCTGTGTCTGTATGTCACCTGTGTCTGTATGTCACCTGTCTGTATGTCACCTGTGTCTGTATGCCACCTGTGGTTGTATGCCACCTGTGTCTGTATGCCACCTGTGGTTGTATGCCACCTGTGTCTGTATGCCACCTGTGTCTGTATGTCACCTGTGTCTGTATGTCACCTGTGTCTGTATGTCACCTGTGGTTGTTTGTGGCTTGTATGGTCATATCACCTGTGTCTGTATGCCACCTGTGTCTGTATGCCACCTGTGGTTGTATGTCACCTGTGTCTGTATGCCACCTGTCTATATGTCACCTGTCTGTATGCCACCTGTGTCTGTATGTCACCTGTGTCTGTATGCCACCTGTGTCTCTATGCCACCTGTGTCTCTATGCCACCTGTCTGTATGTCACATGTGTCTGTATGTCACATGTGTCTGTATGTCACCTATTGTTTTTTGTGGCTTGTGTCTGTATGCCTCTATGTCACCTGTGTCTGTATGTCACCTGTGTCTGTATGTCACCTGTGTATGTATGCCACCTGTGGTTGTATGTCACATGTGGTTGTATGTCACCTGTGTATGTATGCCACTTGTGTCTGTATGTCACCTGTGTCTGTATGTCACCTGTGTCTGTATGCCACCTGTGTCTGTATGCCACCTGTGTCTGTATGTCACCTGTGTCTGTATGCCACCTGTTTCTGTATGTCACCTGTGTATGTATGCCACCTGTGGTTGTATGTCACCCGTGGTTGTATGTCACCTGTGTCTATGCCACCTGTGTCTGTATGGATCCTGTGTCTGTATGCCACCTGTGTCTGTATGTCACCTGTGTCTGTATGTCACCTGTGTCTGTATGCCACCTGTGTCTGTATGTCACCTGTGGTTGTATGCCACCTGTGTCTGTATGCAACCTGTGGTTGTATGCCACCTGTGTCTGTATGCCACCTGTGGTTGTATGCCACCTGTGTCTGTATGTCACCTGTTTCTGTATGTCACCTGTGGTTGTATGCCACCTGTGTCTGTATGCCACCTGTGTCTGTATGCCACCTGTGTCTGTATGCCACCTGTGTTTGTATGCCACCTGTGTTTGTATGTCACCTGTGTCTGTATGTCACCTGTGTCTGTATGTGTCATGTATGTTCATATCACCTGTGGTTATATGTGTCATGTATGTTCATATCACCTATGGGTGTATGTGTCATGTATGTTCATAATGTCTGTTTGTTTGTTTGTTGTTTAACGCCGCACTCAGCAATATTGCAGCTATATGATGGCGGTCTGTAAATAATCGAGTCTGGACCAGACAATCCAGTGATTGGCAACATGAGCATTGATCAGCGCAATTGGGATAAGATGATGCATCAACTAAGTCAGCGAGCCTGACCACCCGATCCCGTTAGTCATCTGTCTGTATGTCACCTGTGTTTGTCTTAGGCGTGCACATGTATGTCATGTCACCTGGGCTATGTGTCACCTGTGTAATCTGCCATGTGTCACCTGTGTAATCTGCCATATGTCACCTGTGTTATCTGCCATGTGTCACCTGTGTTATCTGCCATGTGTCACCTGTGTCATGTGCCATGTGTCACCTGTGTAAACTGCCATGTGTCACCTGTGTCACCTGTGTAAACTACCAAGTGTCACCTGTGTAATCTGCCATGTGTCACCTGTGTCATGTGCCATGTGTCACCTGTGTAAACTGCCATGTGTCACCTGTGTCATCTGCCATGTGTCACCTGTGTAATCTGCCTTGTGTCACCTGTGTAAACTGCCATGTGTCACCTGTGTCATCTGCCATGTGTCACCTGTGTCATCTGCCATGTGTCACCTGTGTAATCTGCCATGTGTCACCTGTGTAATCTGCCATGTGTGTTTTAGGGCGGAGGATTCTCTGTACCAGCTGCCAGACCATCTGAAGGTCAAGTCTGCAACAAAGAGATCGGAGGATATGTTGTCAAATCAGATGCTGTCTGGCATCCCGGAGATAGACCTCGGCATCGAGTAAGTAACATCTCCTAGTTACCTCTATACCTGGAGTTTGTTGTCTACATTTAATTCACCTTAGTGGGGGGATATTTTTATATTATAGATATCCGGAGGTATTCTGTACGTGCCAAGTTGTTGTTGATGTAACATTATGTTTACGATTAGAATGTATTATCCAAAGTAGTCATGGAAATAAAAAGAAACAGATGTCCTCTTTTTGCCAAATGAGAGCTCATTTATATATTATGTTCCTGAAATATCAACACAGTAGTAATGGTCCTAACTGGGGTTGATTATTGTAACCTGCAAGATGGGGAAGAAAATACCTTACAGAATTAAGAGAAGTATGCAGTCTCTGTTTCCTAGAGCTGTCTAACCTCTACGTAAGTCTACACTGATTGAAAACACAGATTGTTTGACATGGGAGCATGGGAGGCTCCTTTATCTAAATCACAGGAATTCATTGTCAGAAGTTGTATCTTTGAAGCATGCCAGAAATCCCTGGATCATGGGTTTGAATCCGAGATTTACCTTGGTAGGATACCGTATACGACGTAATAAGCGCCCCGCTCTCATAATTGCCCACGGTGACATTTGCTAAGATATTGGCTAGTGAAAAATCCCAATTAGCACCCCTTCCAATTGATCAATGTACAAAAGACTTATTTATTCGCGTATAATACGCACCATGTGTTATATGCACCCTTAATTATGGGCAATTAAATTCAGGAGAAATATATCTGTTGTACATAAACACTTCAGGCTGTCAGCATTAACTACAAAATTTATCTTTCAATTTTTTTCCACCAAAATAATATTCTAATAAGAACCCCCTATCTCTCATTTTGAGAGCACCCTGGGCGCTTATTACGTCGAATACGGTACTTGGTTTGTCCGCACCATACCCATACATGGTAATGACCTGCATCATTTTAGGCTTTTGTCCAACATGGAGTTGATGCACCACAATATAACTGACATACTGTTCGCAGTGATTTTCATCCAGACTGTATGTTTTGTAAAGAGCGAAGATCCGCAACATTGAGGCAACAGAAGAGGCGAAGGACAAGCTGATCCGCGAGAAGATGAAGAAGAAGGAGAATGAGGTGTCGGCCTTCGTGCCAACAAACATGGCTGTCAACTTTGTCCAACACAACCGATGTGAGTTTGTTGCAAATTGTTGTTGCTCATTTTTACAAAATAGTGTCTGATGCTCATCTACCCATTATGGATAGATATTGTGCTTGTTCCTAGGCTTGTCAGCAACACTGATTATTTCCTCTATAGGTCTTCTTCAACATTTAACAGCCATATAGGTACAGCTATTGGGTATGCAGTGATTGTAGCTGTTTGGGCCAGGAAATTCAACTGTTGGGCAAGGGAATACAGCCGTTGGGCCAGGGAATACAACTGTTGGGCCAGGGAATACAGCTGTTGGGCCAGGGAATACAACTGTTGGGCCATGAAATACGACTGTTGGGCCAGGGAATACATCTGTTGGACCAGGGAATACAACTGTTGGGCCAGGGAATACAACCGTTGGGCCAGGGAATACAACTGTTGGGCCAGGGAATTCAGATGTTGGACCAGGAAATACAACTTTTGGACCAGGGAATTCAGCTGTTGGGTCAGGAAATACATCTGTTGGGCCAGGGAATTCAACTGTAGGGCCAGGGAATACATCTGTTGGGCCAGGGAATACAGCTGTTGGACCAGGGAATACAACTGTTAGGCCAGGGAATACAACTGTTGGGCCAGGGAGTACAATTCTTGGGCAAGGGAATACAGTTGTTGGGCCAGGAAATACAACCGTTGGGACAGGGAATACAATTCTTGAGCCAGGGAATACAACTGTTGGGCCAGGGAATGCAATTCTTGGGCCAGGAAATATAGTTGTTGGGTGAGGGAATACATCTGTTGGGCCATTGAATACAAATGTTGGACAAGGGAATACAACTGTTAGGCCAGGGAATACAACTGTTGGGCCATTGAATACAAATGTTGGACAAGGGAATACAGTTGTTGGGCCAGGAAATACAACTGTTGGGCCAGGGAATTCAGCTGTTGGGCCAGGGAATACAACTGTTGGGCCAGGGAATACAGCTTTTGTCCCAAGGAATACTACTGTTAGACCAGGGAGTGCTGCTAAATGGCCTGATATGCATCTGGTGTCTGGGAAATAAACACTTAAGTTGAAAGATCATGTTAGTGTTACAGTCTTTAGCAGGAATATTTCTCTGTGTTATAATGATTAAGTGTTTAATATTTGATGATTAATAGGCTGGGGAAATCTATATGGACAGCAAGTGCATAGTTTTCTTTTACAACAGCAATACATGTTGAACTGCTGGATTAGATGTGTGATGTGTCTACTCCCTGTTTCAGTCAACATTGATGACACGGCGCCCGTGTTGAAGAAAGTAGAGCAGCCGACAATCACACCACTCCGAGTGGGAGACGTGGACTCCCTCAACGCAACCCATGGTACAGTATACCTACATATAACAGAGTCACTGGGAATATATCGGAGTGATATACATATCAAAGCATCTCACAGTACAGTATACCTATATACAACAAGGCATTTTAATTTGGCATTTTAATTTGGCATTTAGCATGACAAGCATAGTCGCCTTTTACAGCAAGCATGAGTTGCTGAAGACCTATTCTACCCCGGGAGCGGTCGGGTAGCCTAGTGGTTAAAGCGTTCGCTTGTCACGCCGAAGACCCGGGTTCGATTCCTGACATGGGTACAACGTGTGAAGCCCATTTCTGGTGTCCCCCCGCCATGATATTGCTGGAATATTGCTAAAAGCGGCGTAAAACCATACTCACTCACTATCTACCCAGATCTTCACGGGTCTATAGCCCTTGTGATCCACAACATGTAATGTAGTGATGTATCCAGTCATGCCAAACAATTACATAACATTTCCCATGGCAACAGATATTCAAAGGTAAATGTTATTATTAAGTTGTCGTCCATACTATTGTTGGTGATTGCCAATGCCTGCTATGATGGCAGAGGGTTAGCACTGTAGGCAGTGATGTGTCCTATGTTGGGGTTGGGTGAATGTATTGAGGTAGATGTTGTTGTGGAGAGTAACTGTCTTGTCGTGTGCAGGTCCCTCCAGCAAGTCCGGTCAGGATGAGAAGGCCACGGACGACTTCCACTACGAGAAGTTCAAGAAGCAGATGAGGCGATTCTGAAGAAGTAACAGACGTATTTCCAGACCGGATGTCTATAATCTTCACAAGAAGGAACAAGGTCGTGGCTCCACTGCTGGGACCGAGCTACTCCAGATCCATGGAACTCCAGCCCTTGTCACAGTGGAATAATCATCTCAAGAATTCAGAATCTAAACAATTATCAGTAGTAACAGTTTCAATTTGCCTGAAGAATGTGTAGATTACTTCAAGCGAGTGTTGAACATGTTTTCGATTCTGTTTTGACAACATTGACAATTGTTAAGAATTCCAGCTTTTGAAATGCTGCAAGAAGCCGACGAGATAGTGGTGTCAGTCAAACTCATTCACTCCCGAAGTGTCTTCATGTCTGGACCAGTGTTGGATGAAGAAGGTGATAACATCTCTACCTCCATAGATGGTTGTAGGATAAGATGGACATGGTGACCGTCAACTTGCTCAGCTCCTCAGACGGTTGTGTCAGGGGTTCCTTGTGGTCAGTGCAGACCTTCGCTAATCAACACTGAAGAAGAGGGGAGATGGGGTAGCCTAGTGGTTAAAGCGTTCATTTGTCACCCCAAAGATCTGAGTTCATTTCCCCATGTGGGTACAATGTGTGAAGCCCATTTCTGGTGTCCCCCCACCATGATATTGCTAAAAGCGGCGTAAAACCATACTCACTCACTCGTCTCTGAAGACCCCTCTTGGAGACACCCACAAGACGGCTGCAATAGTGCTGTCTTCTAACCCACTGCACATTGACTTGAGCAGGAAATACAACTGCTGTTATACGAGGTACTGTGCTGGTCAGACAAGGTGACCCAGTGCTTCTGTAGAGTTGTGTCCCTTGGCTGCCAGGATCAGCTGGTTTGGACAACGCCATGTTGGTTTCACTAATGTGCAAAAATTTACAACCTGCTTCAATATTTTCTCCTGCATTAAACCTGCACGTCAGGATATAACTGTTCAATATTTAAGTCAAAGCACCATTCATTGTAGTCAGGCTGTGTTGTCCGAGGTATGAGCAGATTACGATGTACATATCATCTACGTATGTGAATGTTTATTGTATCGATATACCATCGTGTATATATCTTATGACACAAAAAATAAACAAACAACAAGCATGAGATATGTTTATTTGATGTTCTAAGCATGATAAGTAAGTGGACGGACGTTGACAGTTTGGCACATTGTTGTGGTAGACAACTGATGTATGATGTAACCATGGTAGCGAATGACAGATGGCTGACTAGTGAAGTGCAGTGAAAATGATGCTGTGAAGGGTACAAGCGACATTAGACTGTTAAACTGCATCTTCCCGAGGCAAGGGAGTTAACTGACTCTAAAAGTCCACTTTCCACCCTTGCCGAACTAGGCTGGAATTATGTTTTTATTTTTAGTTATATCTATGCATAGCAGGGGTCCGGAAACCGTCATATGCGCCGGACATGTCCGATTGGGAATCTCAAATGTCCGGTTTAAAATATTGCTTACCGGACATTCAGTTAGGACTGAGCAGTTTCTGTCTGCAGTTGTAACACAATGAAGATTATCTACACTGACAAGCTTTGTTTGTTTTGATTGCTGTAAATACATCGTACCTACATGATAGTCCAATCGGTCAATCACTGTAATAGGCAATAAACTGAGTTGACACTGATTAATCGAGGATTAATTACTGAGAACATCTTGTTAATTTGCACAGTCCAACCAAAATCATGTAACGAAATCGACATCCGGTTCGTGAACTGCCATGCACATTTTAGTCGATTGCAAGATTTGCAAATCATGTATACCGTCAACTTATCATCAACAGATATATTCAAAATCTTTTCATGTTTTTTATCAAGGTGCTAACGTGATTAGCTTGGCAAGGGTGGAACTGGACTTTTATGGTTCGTTAACTCCCTTGCCTCTGGAAGATGGTTATCCTGAAAACTGGTCATTATCATGATTATAGAAGCTGGGATGACGCTGTACATTTCAAACACAACACACGACGGCTTGATACAGCAGTCATTGGGGTCAGGTGTAACATCGAATAAAGCTTCTGTGGGGATACTTAGTAAATGTATGTATACTGAAACACACTGACAATGCATAATTCACTTTATCTCCAAATGATTGACAAGAAACGATTCTGGCAGTACAGGCTGAAACACCTTGAAAGATATTCGAGCTGAACAACATCGTTGTTTGATTACCTCATGCCCAAACAACATAATTTCATATGGCCCTTTTTGCCAAATATTACCAAAAAATGAATATGTGTTCTCAAAGTGTGTCAGTACAAAACTATTTTTGAAACATGTTGAAAAGCAATAATGCTTGCAAAATAAATGAAGAAAATGTATATGTTTGGGATGAATCTCACATCATGAAATATTACATGTCTTTACATATATTACATTCTGGTCGTTCCAAAGTGTGGAGATATATTCGACAGAGTATGTCAAGTTCACGAGATGAAGCATTCTGAACTTCGGGCGTAACCACATGTACATGTGAAATAACACTATCATAACTATACAAAGAAAAGCTATGACCTAATACAATTTTCATCTACATGTAATGTATTTTGCATAATACAGTGTTGCTAAAATATATATATGTATATCTGTTGCATGATCTGTACTTTGATAGAAATGCTTGACTCATCTATTGGACATAGCTCTGCCATTGTCTTCACTGTCTGCATAGAGTTATCTCCCTCTATAGCTCTGCCTTGAGTTTCTCAACTGCAGCTTCCACTTTACCACGACAGCTACCTGAAATACCAAAGCCGTACATCATTAGTTAGCATTTCATGATATGTATGTAAACAGTAACATAGAATTGTATGGTTGCTTTCTTATGTGGTGGTTAGAGTGTCTGCCCTGAGATGAGAAGGACGGTGGTTTGATCCCCAGCCATGTCGTATGTTAAAGTATGGTACTTGATGTTCCCTGCCTGGTGCTTAGCATTATGGGGATGAAATAAGGACGGCTGGCTTTTAGTCAGTATACTGTGTCTGATACGGGTTTCCATGTTAAACTGTGGCATGGTATTGTATACTCCCCAGGGAGTTGAGAATGATAACTGGAATGCAAATGGATCCACTGGTCGGGGAACAATAAAACCGCATTTGAGCAGATACTAGTACCTGGATACCTGGTAAATAAATAAATAAATAAGAGGCCAACACTATAAAAGCAGCATTAGTCCAGACTAGTTCAGGCAGCCACACGCACGTGCATGCATGTTGCTGTATAAGTGCAATGATCTTGAGGTGAGGTGAGGTGAGGTGAAATGGGGTTTAACGTCGCGTCCAAGATTATTGCACTTATATAGCGACGTGCATGTACGTGTGTGTGTTTGTGTGGCTGCTTATACTAGTCCGGACTGATGCCGATTTATAGTGCTAGCTCACTGAGATACCATGCCGCAGTTTAACATGAATACCCCACTCAGACACAGTATACTGACTCCGAGCCGACCAGTTCTTGTTTTAGCCCCTTAATGCAGAGCACCAGACAGGGTAACAACAAGTACCATCTTTTAACGTCTTTTGGTATGACGCGGTCGGGGATCGAACCCCGGACCTTCCGCTCTCTGGGCGGACACTCTACCACTAGACCACGGAGGCGGTTGGCAATGATCTTGAAGATGACATGACATCCCATTTCACCTCACCCTATTTGGTAAGACTTGATGAAGTGAAACTCACCTTGGTGTATTCTGGCAATTACGTCTGGTGTCTACAAGTAGCTTTGTACATAACTGATCCTGTGTCAGTGTCATGTACACCACAGCAAAACTGACCACCATGTCGTATGTCTGAGATCATGTGACATTTCTTCTAGTCTGATTTTTTAAAACTGACCATTGTCAACGGTGTCTAGGACCGCCTCAGTGGTCTAGTGGAAGAGCATCTGCCCGGAGAGCGGAAGGTCCTGGGTTCGATCCCCGTCCGGGTCATTCCAAAAGACGTTAAAAGATGGTACTTGTTGTTACCCTGCCTGGCACTATAACAAGGACAGGTCTGCTCACAGTCCATATACTGCGTGTGAGTGGGGTATTCATGTTAAACTGTGGCATGGTATCTCAGTGGGCTAGCAATATAAAATCGGCATTAGTTCGGACTAGTACAGGCAGCCACATGGGTGCATGCATGTCGCTATATACCGGTAAGTGCAATAATCTTGGACGCGACGTTAAACCCCATTCCACCTCACTTTGCTTCAAGGTGTCTACTAGTGTCTGATTTAAAACCTCACTTCACACTCATCTCTGGAGTCTGTTAACAGTCCTCAAACACTGGGGTGGCAGGGAAGCATGGTGCTTAAAGCGTTCTCTCATCACACTGAAGACCCCCAGTTCGATGACCCATTTCTGGGGACGCCCGCCATATTGCCTGAACATTTGCTAAAAGTGGCTTTAAACCATACTGACTCAGTCCCTATAACTCACCATCATGTGTAGTGTCTACAAGAGAGGAAGGGTTGACGCACGCCGACTGCACCAGGAGGTTGAGTTTGTTCCGGAGGTCAGGGGAGATGGTGTGATTCCGACTCATGATGTGCATCTTGGTGCCCATGGAAGTACACAGGCCGTTGTCATCCTCGTCCATGCAGGACATGGCCAGCATGGCATGGTCGTAGTCTGTGTACAATACCTTCCACGACGCTGCAATGGAAAAAGTGGGAGCTGAACGTGCAATACGTTTTACATTTTGCCTGACAGAAGTCTCCTGTTAAATCTGCTTGCTTGGTTCAGGTCCTGCTCTCACCATGACACACTAACACACTCACTACTGCTCAGTTACTCAGGTACTCACACGTTCACCCAAATATGTACTCTGTGCTAGGATAATTTTGTCAACTTCAGACTGTGGGGTAAACTTTTCTTCACTCACTCACTTGCATACTCCTACAGCTGCTTACTCGTTCACATGCTCACCTTTTCCTGGAATTGTCAGCTCACCCCTACAACTGCCAACTCACTCACTCACTCTTCAACTATCTACTCACTCCACAGCCACATCCTCGGCATCTTGATCCGACCCTGGTAGTTGCCATCGATGCTGTGAGGACAACGAGGTCTGAGGTCACCAAACATGGGTCCCTTGCACTCGCCATCAGGTCTGAGACAGAAAGACAGATGGAGATACTTCCTGACAAGAACCCAGAGCCCACCTTAATCCCATACCCAGCCTTGAACCCAGAGCTCACCTTAATCCAAAACCCAGCCTTGAACCCATTGTCCACCTTAACCCCATACCCAGCCTAGAACCCATAGCCCACCTTAACCCCATACCCAGCCTAGAACCCATAGCCCACCTAGAGCCCATAGCCCACCTTAACCCCATACCCAGCCTAGAACCCATAGCCCACCTAGAGCCCATAGCCCACCTTAACCCCATACCCAGCCTAGAACCCATAGCCCACCTAGAACCCATAGCCCACCTTAACCCCATACCCAGCCTAGAACCCATAGCCCACCTTAACCCCATACCCAGCCTGTAACCCATAGCCCACCTAGAGCCCCTAGCCCACCTTAACCCCATACCCAGCCTACCCAAACTGGAACTGATGACCAACCGAAAACTCATACCCCATCAGAAATGTATGCCTCAACTAACACCCTCACTCCACCCAGAACCCTATCCCAAAACAGAAATCCATACCCTCTCCAGAACACAAAATCAACCATGAGGGAACCAGGTACTCACGTCATTCCACTGTACACCATCTTCATATTGCCGCCACCAACTGGCAGGTAGTAGCCAATGGTGGAGTCCATGGTCAGCATCGGGTCTGGCGTGCGGGCGATCTCGTACCACAACCCAGAGTGCTGAAACACAAGATCACAGTCATCATCGGGTCTGGTGTGCGGGCGATCTCGTACCACAACCCAGAGTGCTGAAACACAAGATCGCAGTCAGCATCGGGTCTGGCATGCGGGCGATCTCATACCACAACCCAGAGTGCTGAAACACAAGATCACAGTCAGCATTGGGTCTGGTGTGCGGGCTATCTCATACCACAACCCAGAGTGCTGAAACACAAGATCACAGTCAGCATCGGGTCTGGTGAGCGGGCGATCTCGTACCACAACCCAGAGTGCTGAAACACAAGATCACAGTCAGCATTGGGTCTGGTGTGCGGGCTATCTCATACCACAACCCAGAGTGCTGAAACACAAGATCGCAGTGAGCATCGGGTCTGCCGTGCGGGCGATCTCATACCACAACCCAGAGTGCTGAAACACAAGATCGCAGTCAGCATCGGGTCTGGCATGCGGGCGATCTCGTACCACAACCCAGAGTGCTGAAACACAAGATCACAGTCAGCATCGGGTCTGGTGAGCGGGCGATCTCGTACCACAACCCAGAGTGCTGAAACACAAGATCGGAGTCAGCATCGGGTCTGGTGAGCGGGCGATCTCGTACCACAACCCAGAGTGCTGAAACACAAGATCGCAGTCAGCATCGGGTCTGGCATGCGGGCGATCTCGTACCACAACCCAGAGTGCTGAAACACAAGATCACAGTGAGCATCGGGTCTGGTGAGCGGGCGATCTCGTACCACAACCAAGAGTGCTGAAACACAAGATCGAAGTGATCATCGGGTCTGCCGTGCGGGCGATCTCATACCACAACCCAGAGTGCTGAAACACAAGATCGCAGTCAGCATTGTGTCTGGTGTGCGGGCGATCTCGTACCACAACCAAGAGTGCTGAAACACAAGATCACAGTCAGCATCGGGTCTGGTGTGCGGGCGATCTCGTACCACAACCAAGAGTGCTGAAACACAAGATCACAGTCAGCATCTGGTCTGGCGTGCGGGCGATCTTGTACCACAACCAAGAGTGCTAAAACACAAGATCACAGTCAGCATCGGGTCTGGTGTGCGGGCGATCTCGTACCACAACCCAGAGTGCTGAAACACAGACCACAGTCAGCAGTGGCATTACAGTCTTACCAACACAAGTCTGTAACTAGCTGATGTTGATGGAGGAGACAGTATGATGTACTCACTGATGGGTTATGGTGGTATGATGGTGGTTGGGGGGCACGGGTAGCCCAGTCGCCGCGATTCGCTGAGCAGAGTTGCGTCCCTTGGGCACGCCAGAAACCTATGATTGTGGGTTCGAATCCCGGTTCGCCCCGATTATTTTTCTAGGTTTGTCAGCAGCATACCCGTGCTTGTGAATCTCACCAAAGTGGTAAACGTCTGAGACCTGCATCACTTCGGGCTTTCCTCCCACATTATGCTGTCACGCTGTGATATAACTGGAATACTGTTAAAAGCGGCTTTAAACCCAACTCACTGTTGATGGTTCAGACAGTGAAATGTACTCACCAGTTCCTGGCTGATGTTGATGGTGGGGATGTTGTCGATGGCACAGAATGATGTGTAGATGCTGGGGGTGATGTAGTCTGAGCGGTTGTCCACGCTTTGCCTTGCCCCTAATGACATCAGGACAAATTAGGAGAAGGGCAGTCAGTGGCTTTGGGTCATTGTTGCACAAGTACACGATACACACACTAGCATATAACACCATGTATTGGATGCCACAATAACATAAGTATGCATGTCTTCACAACCAGCTATCTCAAATTATCCATGTTTCTGGTGGTATAAACTAGCAGTATAAAAATTAATTCTGGTGAACTTTCAAGTCCAGGGCTCGCATGCACACAGCCATTTTAGTGCTAAGAATATTGTAAGCCTATGTTAAAGTATGGGAGTTAGGATCATCTTAACCCTAAGATCGCTTTGCGCAAGTGGGCCCAGGTCAAATCAAGCAAATTTTCATTGAAATTGACACTGACTAAAATATAGCGTTGTGTCATTTCTGCCCTCATGACATTTCACCTTGGTCATGCCAGAAACCTATGATTGTGGGTTCAAATCCCGGTTTGCCCTGATTATGTTACTAGGTTTGTCAGCACCATACCCGTGCTTGTGGGTTTCACCGAAGTGGTAAACGTCTGAGACCGGCATCACTTCGGGCTTTCCTCCCACATTAAGCCGACACGCCGTGATATAACTGGAATACTGTTAAACCCAACTCACTCATGTCATTCCACAAGTGAGAGCATGGCTTGGTTGGAATGACTAAAGTTGTGAAATTATATCACAGATATAATCATATGTCACACAACTGATCATAATGGTGGTAGTGGTTATTTATATACAGTGATCCCTCGCTACAAAGTACCCCTTGGGGTCCAAATAATTGATGAGCATTATAGATGATCAGTGGTTTAACTGAGGTGGAGTTGTAGGGGGTCGATGACCCACACAACAGTACATGCCCTGCCTACCAAACACGATCTACACTGCATGTTTCAGAGTTTGAAGGGGGCACGGGTGGCCCAGTCGTCTAAGGCGCCGCAATTTGCTGTGCAGAGTTGCGTCCCTTGGGCAACCCAGAAACCTATGATCGTGGGTTCGAATCTCAGTTCGCCCTGATTATGTTTCTAGGTTTGTCAGCACCATACCCGTGCTCGTGGGTTTCACCGACCTGCATCACTTCGGGCTTTCCTGCCACATTAAGCTGACACGCCGCGATATAACTGGAATATTGTTAAAAGCGGCGTTAAACCCAACTCACTCACTCAGAGTTTGAAACAGTAGTTGTTTATAATTCGTAGTGTAAAAAAGATTTATCGAGTGTTATGCGCTTTAAAAAAACACATTGTATCCCTTCAGCAAATTCAGGTGAACACACAGGTGTAACAAACTTTCGTCAGTAAAAATACGAAATTTGAAATAAAACCTCGCTAGTCATGATGATTTACCATTTAAATTGTATTTCATGCTCTTGAAGGCATTGTTTTATATGCAGAGATTAAAATTACCATGTATATTCTCGTAAACAAAGCCGGAAATAGCAATCAGCTGTACACACTTCTCCCAATCTACCAGTGATTCAGTTAAAAAGTGAACAACGACACAACTTCAAAAGAATTTGATGCCATGGTCGGAAGAAATAGGATCTAAAATTATTATCTTATCGGGAATAATATATTCCAATATCCTGTTATTTTAGTTGCAGCTTTCACTATATAAATTTTAAATTATTGTCGTTAGAAATATGCCAAAATATTCCTTTCAATAATTACTGTAAAAATAATTTATTTTTTTACAAATTAATTTTTCCACAAAGACATTAAGGTTATTTCTTGCCTCATACACATACATATACATAAATATATCTACGCCTATGTACCATAAGAAATAAATAATTTTGATATATAAATGGGAAACCTGTAGGTGTGACAACAACTAGAATTGATTAATATTTTTTTTAAACAAAAACAAACTGAGAGCAAGAACTGATTAACAAAGAATTGGTTGATATCACCTAACTTAGTAACAGTCATGACGAAATCTACATGTGTGATATGAGTTAATAAATTGGGTTTTAACACCACTCGAACATTATTTCATTTCTATAATGTTGACATGATGTGGGAGAAACTCCCTTCATTTGTATGAAAGTGAATACAGTATTCGACGTAATAAGCGCGCCGCTCTAATAAGTGCCAACGGTGATATTTGCTGATATATTGGCTACTGAACAATCCCAATTAGCGATTCCGATTGATCAATGTACACAAGACTTATTTATTCGCGTATAATACACCCTCGTGTGTTATATGCACCCTTAATTATGGGCAATTAAATTCTGGAAAAATATATCTGGCTGTCACTATTCAACTCTGTTTTTTTCACCATATAATATTCTAATCAGAGCCCCCTATTTCTAATTTTGAGAGCGCCCTGGGCGCTTATTACGTCAAATGCGGTATGTTGGGATATCTACTGACTCATGCCCAACACTGCTCCAGGTATGACTCCTTGTAGAACAGGTGAGGGGGGCGGGGGCGGGGGCGTGACACAAACATCCTGGATCTTCCCGAGGACATTCTGTTTGAGCGTCTCCTCCAGGGGCAGGTCTCGGGCAAGGAGGAGGACCCGGATGCCGGAGCTGTGGCACTTTCCGTTGCTCTGCTCCTTGAGACACCAGTACAGCAGCAGGGTGTTGTCGTCACTGTGAACCACCTTCAGGCTACCTGCACACAAAGTGAAGCAAGTCATCATGTCCTTGTCCAGGTGAGCTACATGTGACATAGCGAGGTTATTGAGTGAGTATAGGTTAACTGTGAACCACCTTCAGGCTACCTGCACACAAAGTGAAGCAAGTCATTATGTCCTTGTCCAGGTGAGCTACATGTGACATAGCGAGGTTATTGAGTGAGTATAGTTTAACTGTGAACCACCTTCAGGCTACCTGCACACAAAGTGAAGCAAGTCATCATGTCCTTGTCCAGGTGAGCTACATGTGACATAGCGAGGTTATTGAGTGAGTATAGTTTAACTGTGAACCACCTTCAGGCTACCTGCACACAAAGTGAAGCAAGTCATTATGTCCTTGTCCAGGTGAGCTACATGTGACATAGCGAGGTTATTGAGTGAGTATAGTTTAACTGTGAACCACCTTCAGGCTACCTGCACACAAAGTGAAGCAAGTCATCATGTCCTTGTCCAGGTGAGCTACATGTGACATAGCGAGGTTATTGAGTGAGTATAGTTTAACTGTGAACCACCTTCAGGCTACCTGCACACAAAGTGAAGCAAGTCATTATGTCCTTGTCCAGGTGAGCTACATGTGACATAACAGGGTTAGTGAGTAAGTGAGTCAGTATTGTTTAACTGTGAACCACCTTCTGCTTACCTGCACACACAGTGAAGCAAGTCATCATCTCCTTGTCCAGGTGAGCTACACATTACATACGGGGTTAGTGAGTGAGTGAATATTGTTTAACTGTGAACCACCTCATGCTACCTGCACACACAGTGAAGCAAGTCATCATCTCCTTGTCCAGGTGAGCTACACATTACATACGGGGTTAGTGAGTGAGTGAATATTGTTTAACTGTGAACCACCTAATGCTACCTGCACACACAGTGAAGCAAGTCATCATCTCCTTGTCCAGGTGAGCTACATGTGACACAATGGGGTTAGTGGGTAAATATTATATAGCTGCCTCGTCTTCAGCTACTGTATTCAGTGATGAAAGTAGTCTCATTGTGTACAAAGAACAGAGAAGTGTAACCTTGCACAGAGAAACACTTGACCTGAGGATCATAAATCTCCCCCACGTCCGGTGAGCAATACATGACAAAAGACTGTTACATCTCCTGGTTCAGGTGAGCTAATCTTGTCCCCAGGAAGATACATCGAACACGATACAGAACCCAATGGTCGTCATATCATGACAAACGATATTGTTTAATTGTTCAATGCTACATACTCCACTGCCCCATGACGGTCGACCCGAGCGAGCTGATGTAGTCTCCGTGGCTGAAGGAGTCACACCGGGGCTTCAGCATGACGCTGTAGTTGGTGAAGTGGTTGTCATCCCTGAAACAGATGAATATATATCCTCGTGTACTTCTTTTCGAGTCTAAAAGAAGCATTTCTCTTTGCATGTCTAATAACAATCCCAATACATTAAAATTACGTCTTTCTGTTTACAATTAGATAGTCAAATGACCACATCTGTCAACATAAGCATGATAATGGGGGGCATGGGTGGCCCAGTCGTCTTAGGCGCTGCGATTCGCTGTACAGAGTTGTGTTCCTTGGGCACGCCAGAAACCTATGATTGTGGGTTCGAATCCCGGTTCGCCCCAATTATGTTTCTAGGTTTGTCAGCACCATACCCGTGCTCGTGGGTTTCACCAAAGTGCATCACTTTGGGCTTTCCTCCCACATCAAGCTGACACGCCATGATATAACTGGAATACTGTTAAAAGTGGTGTTCAACCCAACTCACTCACTCACTCATGATAATGAGTCAATCAGGCGCCATCTTGTTACCATGACATGATTTCCGCCCGTCCATGACAATCAAGTTAAAAATAGATGCATGTCATGATCAATCACATGACATTACAGACAGGAAGTTTACAAACAAGAGCCAATACATCATCAGTGCATACGATTCTTCTGATGCAAAATTATCATCAAATCAAGATTCGTGAAAAAGTAAGTTTTGAGGTAGGTTTTAATATTTATTGAATAATTTTACTATGTAGCTTAATTTGTAACATTACTTCAGTGACAAGTGCCAAACACTTCCGTGAGCTTTAAAGCGCCTACCTTGATTACGTCATTAAGCAAATGGTTACATATTATTTAGGGGCTCGAAAACATGTTACGTTTGGATATCAACATGAGGTTGGGGATCTTCTGGGTATGGGGGGTCTGTGAAAAGTTGCTCAGGTATGCCTGGAACCCATGATCGTGGGACTGAATCTAAGACCTGCATCACTTTGGATTTTACTCCCAACATCAAACTGACACATTGTGGTATCATTGAAAAACTCACATACTTACTCTAGATATGTCATATTAACTCTAACTGGGAAATATAACTTGCTTTCTTCTAGTTGGCTAAGTTGCTCTCTAACTGGGAAACATAACTTGCTCTCTTCTGATTGGCTAAGTTGCTCTCTAACTGGGAAATATAACTTGCTTTCTTCTGATTGGCTAAGTTGCTCTCTAACTGGGAAAAATAACTTGCTCTCTTCTGATTGGCTAAGTTGCTCTCCAACTGGGAAATATAACTTGCTTTCTTCTGATTGGCTAAGTTGCTCTCTAACTGGGAAATATAACTTGCTCTCTTCTGATTGGCTAAGTTGCTCTCTAACTGGGAAATATAACTTGCTTTCTTCTGATTGGCTCAGTTGCTCTCTAACTGGGAAAAATAACTTGCTCTCTTCTGATTGGCTAAGTTGCTCTCCAACTGGGAAATATAACTTGCTTTCTTCTGATTGGCTAAGTTGCTCTCTAACTGGGAAAAATAACTTGCTCTCTTCTGATTGGCTAAGTTGCTCTCCAACTGGGAAATATAACTTGCTTTCTTCTGATTGGCTAAGTTGCTCTCTAACTGGGAAATATAACTTGCTCTCTTCTGATTGGCTAAGTTGCTCTCTAACTGGGAAATATAACTTGCTCTCTTCTGATTGGCTAAGTTGCTCTCTAACTGGGAAATATAACTTGCTTTCTTCTGATTGGCTCAGTTGCTCTCTAACTGGGAAAAATAACTTGCTCTCTTCTGATTGGCTAAGTTGCTCTCTAACTGGGAAATATAACTTGCTCTCTTCTGATTGGCTAAGTTGCTCTCTAACTGGGAAATATAACTTGCTCTCTTCTGATTGGCTAAGTTGCTCTCCAACTGGGAAATATAACTTGCTTTCTTCTGATTGGCTAAGTTGCTCTCTAACTGGGAAAAATAACTTGCTCTCTTCTGATTGGCTAAGTTATTCTCCAACTGGGAAATATAACTTGCTTTCTTCTGATTGGCTCAGTTGCTCTCTAACTGGGAAAAATAACTTGCTCTCTTCTGATTGGCTAAGTTGCTCTCCAACTGGGAAATATAACTTGCTTTCTTCTGATTGGCTAAGTTGCTCTCTAACTGGGAAAAATAACTTGCTCTCTTCTGATTGGCTAAGTTATTCTCCAACTGGGAAATATAACTTGCTTTCTTCTGATTGGCTCAGTTGCTCTCTAACTGGGAAAAATAACTTGCTCTCTTCTGATTGGCTAAGTTGCTCTCCAACTGGGAAATATAACTTGCTTTCTTCTGATTGGCTAAGTTGCTCTCTAACTGGGAAAAATAACTTGCTCTCTTCTGATTGGCTAAGTTATTCTCCAACTGGGAAATATAACTTGCTCTCTTCTGATTGGCTAAGTTGCTCTCTAACTGGGAAATATAACTTGCTTTCTTCTGATTGGCTAAGTTGCTCTCTAACTGGGAAAAATAACTTGCTCTCTTCTGATTGGCTAAGTTGCTCTCCAACTGGGAAATATAACTTGCTCTCTTCTGATTGGCTAAGTTGCTCTCTAACTGGGAAATATAACTTGCTCTCTTCTGATTGGCTAAGTTGCTCTCTAACTGGGAAATATAACTTGCTCTCTTCTGATTGGCTAAGTTGCTCTCTAACTGGGAAATATAACTTGCTTTCTTCTGATTGGCTAAGTTGCTCTCTAACTGGGAAAAATAACTTGCTCTCTTCTGATTGGCTAAGTTGCTCTCCAACTGGGAAATATAACTTGCTTTCTTCTGATTGGCTAAGTTGCTCTCTAACTGGGAAATATAACTTGCTCTCTTCTGATTGGCTAAGTTGCTCTCTAACTGGGAAATATAACTTGCTTTCTTCTGATTGGCTCAGTTGCTCTCTAACTGGGAAAAATAACTTGCTCTCTTCTGATTGGCTAAGTTGCTCTCCAACTGGGAAATATAACTTGCTTTCTTCTGATTGGCTAAGTTGCTCTCTAACTGGGAAATATAACTTGCTCTCTTCTGATTGGCTAAGTTGCTCTCCAACTGGGAAATATAACTTGCTTTCTTCTGATTGGCTAAGTTGCTCTCTAACTGGGAAAAATAACTTGCTCTCTTCTGATTGGCTAAGTTATTCTCCAACTGGGAAATATAACTTGCTTTCTTCTGATTGGCTCAGTTGCTCTCTAACTGGGAAAAATAACTTGCTCTCTTCTGATTGGCTAAGTTGCTCTCCAACTGGGAAATATAACTTGCTTTCTTCTGATTGGCTAAGTTGCTCTCTAACTAGGAAAAATAACTTGCTCTCTTCTGATTGGCTAAGTTATTCTCCAACTGGGAAATATAACTTGCTTTCTTCTGATTGGCTCAGTTGCTCTCTAACTGGGAAAAATAACTTGCTCTCTTCTGATTGGCTAAGTTGCTCTCCAACTGGGAAATATAACTTGCTTTCTTCTGATTGGCTAAGTTGCTCTCTAACTGGGAAAAATAACTTGCTCTCTTCTGATTGGCTAAGTTATTCTCCAACTGGGAAATATAACTTGCTCTCTTCTGATTGGCTAAGTTGCTCTCTAACTGGGAAATATAACTTGCTTTCTTCTGATTGGCTAAGTTGCTCTCTAACTGGGAAAAATAACTTGCTCTCTTCTGATTGGCTAAGTTGCTCTCCAACTGGGAAATATAACTTGCTTTCTTCTGATTGGCTAAGTTGCTCTCTAACTGGGAAATATAACTTGCTCTCTTCTGATTGGCTAAGTTGCTCTCTAACTGGGAAATATAACTTGCTCTCTTCTGATTGGCTAAGTTGCTCTCTAACTGGGAAAAATAACTTGCTCTCTTCTGATTGGCTAAGTTGCTCTCCAACTGGGAAATATAACTTGCTTTCTTCTGATTGGCTAAGTTGCTCTCTAACTGGGAAATATAACTTGCTCTCTTCTGATTGGCTAAGTTGCTCTCTAACTGGGAAATATAACTTGCTCTCTTCTGATTGGCTAAGTTGCTCTCTAACTGGGAAATATAACTTGCTTTCTTCTGATTGGCTCAGTTGCTCTCTAACTGGGAAAAATAACTTGCTCTCTTCTGATTGGCTAAGTTGCTCTCCAACTGGGAAATATAACTTGCTTTCTTCTGATTGGCTAAGTTGCTCTCTAACTGGGAAAAATAACTTGCTCTCTTCTGATTGGCTAAGTTATTCTCCAACTGGGAAATATAACTTGCTTTCTTCTGATTGGCTCAGTTGCTCTCTAACTGGGAAAAATAACTTGCTCTCTTCTGATTGGCTAAGTTGCTCTCCAACTGGGAAATATAACTTGCTTTCTTCTGATTGGCTAAGTTGCTCTCTAACTGGGAAAAATAACTTGCTCTCTTCTGATTGGCTAAGTTATTCTCCAACTGGGAAATATAACTTGCTTTCTTCTGATTGGCTCAGTTGCTCTCTAACTGGGAAAAATAACTTGCTCTCTTCTGATTGGCTAAGTTGCTCTCCAACTGGGAAATATAACTTGCTTTCTTCTGATTGGCTAAGTTGCTCTCTTACTGGGAAAAATAACTTGCTCTCTTCTGATTGGCTAAGTTATTCTCCAACTGGGAAATATAACTTGCTTTCTTCTGATTGGCTCAGTTGCTCTCTAACTGGGAAAAATAACTTGCTCTCTTCTGATTGGCTAAGTTGCTCTCCAACTGGGAAATATAACTTGCTTTCTTCTGATTGGCTAAGTTGCTCTCTAACTGGGAAATATAACTTGCTCTCTTCTGATTGGCTAAGTTGCTCTCTAACTGGGAAACATAACTTGCTTTCTTCTGATTGGCTAATTTGCTCCCTAACACTTACCTTTGCTTCAAGTCCATCTTGAATGTCTTGTCAGTGTGCCGCCTAATGGTGATGTTAAACGAGCGAGATTGTCCGTCCATACCGAAGCCGATGTCAGCAGCGCTGCGCCACTTCCCCGCCAACTACAGACGACAGAGTGAAGGATCAGTTGTGTTATATACCACATTTACTTTGCCAGGGATTTATCTAGACCTGCTCAGGGCTCGAGATATTCGGCCCCAACCTGCAGCAATTGTCAATAAAAACTCCCAACTGGGAATTTAAAAAGTTTGAGGTGATTTGTATTCCACTGATAACAAGACCAAAAACGAGGCTTAATTTTACATTACTCACTGACTAGATGTGTATGTAGACTAATGTTGATGTAACCATGGAGACTCGCTGACTAGATAGTGTATGTAGACTCAGTGAGTCTCCATGGTTACATCAACATGACCAGATAATGTTGTAGACTTACATTTCTGTCGTCAATGTCCTCAGCGACAGACATTGCTGCTAAGGGAGAGCACTCCTTGTTTGCATTGTCACCTGGAAACAAGGACCATTATCTAGATCTACACGATAGCAACATGATAAATCACATAGAACAACGAAGAACGAGGCATGGTTTATTTCACGATAGAACATAGTTCTTCATGACGTCATTTCTGGAGATTCAAACATACGCTCGCAACGTGATGATATCGTAAATTGGACGACATTACTTTTGAGAGGGTGGTTAGTTGTTTCCCATAGATGTACCTTGGTAATGCAGATAAATGTAATGGCCGAACAGTCTCATCCAAAAGTGGGCAAGATATCGGTTTTGAGACAAAAGGATCAAATAATCAACGTGAAAAATACTAAACTTAACCCCCCCTGTTCACAAAATGGATTTGTTCGACATTGCCATGATCAAATTGTATTGAGGGAGTTATCATTATCTAAATACAGGTAAATATGTATAGAGCCTGTAAATTTTGTAATTTTGTAACAGAAGGTTGTAAATAATGTTGAGATCTTATATAAGAAACAAACTTCTCGTGGCTGTTGTTTATCAGTGGTTTATTCTCCCTGCAGTTTTATTATAAGATAAACAACTTCCACTGGTCGTATATTTCTTAAATAATGCACTGCAAATAGTGAGGCAATGATTGCTGGGCTGCGACCCACCTGCTGGGGAGTTGTGGGAGTCTGGGAACAGGTGGCTGGTGCAGTCCACTGAAACAACAAACATCCAGGTTATCTCACAATAATACACAAACGGATGAGTTATGGGCAAAAATGGACATTCTGGCAATTTTCAGTTTTAGAGTAGATAACGAAAATGTAAATGTTATTAACAAACAAAAACTGAAAATGCTGCATCTTGACATAAGTTGAATTTCAGTCAGGTATGTAAAATAGGAATATAAAAAATAATCCTAGATTTAATAAACACAGTTTTGCTGTTCATACACCCCAGAAGTGAAGAATTGTGTTTTGCAGCCTAAATCAGAGCACTACATTTCATGTATATGCATTTCCCTGTGGAGATTCCAGGATAGACCTGATCCCCAGTTACCTTTGCTAGGAAATGTGGCTTAGCTGGCTCTTGTCATCCTGGCCTGATTGCATTGATGCTTGCTCATTCTGTCAATCACTGGTTTGTCTGATTCATACTCAATTATTTACTGGCTGCCATAACATAGTTGGAATAATGCTGATATCAGCACTTTAACTTTGAAAATATATTTTGTCCTAAGGTTTTGAAAACCACTAGCCAAGAAGTCTTTGAACAGAGTGAATCTATTTGAAGTCGACTCACCACTAGCCAAGAAGTCTTTGAACAGAGTGAATCTATTGCAAGTCGACTTACCACTTGCCAAGAAGTCTTTGAACAGAGTGAATCTATTGCAAGTCGACTTACCACTAGCCAAGAAGTCTTTGAACAGAGTGAATCTATTGTAAGTCGACTCACCACTAGCCAAGAAGTCCTTGAAGAGAGTGAATCTATTGCAAGTCGACTCACCACTAGCCAAGAAGTCTTTGAAGAGAGTGAATCTATTGCAAGTCGACTCACCACTAGCCAAGAAGTCTTTGAACAGAGTGAATCTATTGTGAGTCAACTCACCACTAGCCAAGAAGTCTTTGAAGAGAGTGAATCTATTGCAAGTCAACTCACCACTAGCCAAGAAGTCTTTGAAGAGAGTGAATCTATTGCAAGTCGACTCACCACTAGCCAAGAAGTCTTTGAACAGAGTGAATCTATTGTAAGTCGACTCACCACTAGCCAAGAAGTCCTTGAAGAGAGTGAATCTATTGCAAGTCGACTCACCACTAGCCAAGAAGTCTTTGAAGAGAGTGAATCTATTGCAAGTCGACTCACCACTAGCCAAGAAGTCTTTGAACAGAGTGAATCTATTGTGAGTCAACTCACCACTAGCCAAGAAGTCTTTGAAGAGAGTGAATCTATTGCAAGTCAACTCACCACTAGCCAAGAAGTCTTTGAAGAGAGTGAATCTATTGCAAGTCGACTCACCACTAGCCAAGAAGTCTTTGAACAGAGTGAATCTATTGTAAGTCGACTCACCACTAGCCAAGAAGTCTTTGAACAGAGTGAATCTATTGTAAGTCGACTCACCACTAGCCATGGATGTGACAAGGTCGGCTGGCTTGAGACACATGCCTCTCATCAGACCTGGGATCTGAGATCTGATCTCATCATTGAGGCCCTGCTCACGTCCAAGTAGTGTGACCTCGGTCTTGTCTCGCGGACACGTCCCGTCGTCGCTGGTGGTGTAGCAGGCGTAGTACATGAGGTACTTGACGTCAAAATGGATGATCTTGAAGCTGACTGCAACAAATACCATCTTGCAACATTCTTTTATTTGCAGAGATTTATTGTACATGATTCTGGTTCACAGTATTTTCTGAAGAGATATGTAAAGGATAAAACATTACTCTGAGGTTTTGGTTGACATAGTGAAACCTGAGGGAAGCAGTGATTGAGCTAGTCAAACTAAGGCTTTTAGCCCAAAGTTTTACTAGTGAGCTAAACACTGCTAAACTGTGTTGTAGGGGAAGTAACTCTTCTACGCTGTGATGTCGGGAAAGTAACTCTGCTGTACTGGGTTGTAGGGGAAGTAACTCTTCTACACTTTGATGTTAGAGCAAAACTCTACAATGCTATTGTGGAGGAAGTAACTCTTCTACACTGTTGTGAGGGAAGTAACTCTGCTATGCTGTTGTAGGGGAAGTAACTCCCCAGCAATGCGTTGTAGGGGAAATAACTCTTCCACACGATGTTGTATGAGAAGTAACTCTTCTAAACTGTGATGATAGGGGGAAAAATCCACAGTGCTATTGTGGGGGAAGTAACTCTGCTACACTGTGCTGTAGGGGAAGTAACTCTTCTACACTTAGTTGTAGGGGAAGTAACTCTTCTTCTCTGTGTAGCAGGGGAAATAACTCTCGTCTACACTGTTTTGTGGGGTAGTACACTTACACCAGGGGTAGACGCTGTCCTTCCCTCCGAGGCGACCGAGAAGATAAGCATCCGGATGTTTCCCTGTGTGGAGTTTGGTCAGACTGGACAGAGGGTCCTGGCAGAAACCCTTCCTGAAACAGTGAGCTAGTGAGTGAGTGATTATATACCAGCTTTACACAGTATTAAGTTACATCCATATAACTGTGTTAGAAAAGCCTAAACCTGTGAAAGTCTAAGACAGATCAATGTGAAAAATCAGGCTGATTCAGGGATTTTGAGACCTTGACTAGTGGATACTGGCATGGGGAAATACACAGCCTTCAGGGCACACTGGGCCATTGTGTCCTCCTGATACTCATGAGACTGCTTTGCCCTCTATGATCTGATGATCTTATCATCAGGCATACTTAGGCAGTAAAGACAAAACCTCACTGAATACTTAGCACTCCCTCCTGTGGAAAACGGCTTGACAAAAGGTCGGTACTGACATCAGGGAGAAATTTTCGATAATTAGCAAGTTACTTTAGTTCCCCATGACACACAGTTTCCAGAAGCTGTTTTCTCTGTCTTTTCATGTCTTTGGCCAAATTTGCATCTGTTGTTAGTGATAATCCATCACTAATACTGTGTGTTTGTATTAGATCTGGGATGGGTAACTCGGGTATCGGGGTCGGGTGGGTACTGACTATGACCCGTGGTTAGCCAAGTGATATATCGTTTATTGAGAAAAAATATCTAGAACTCTATGGTAACACTACAAGTCACTAATGTTCGCATTTCTTTCTAACTATGCACCCATTCCTTCTGATTTTTCATATGGTTGAATGAAGATATAACTTAATTCAACTTCAGTGTATGAATGACCAGATTGTTCAATACATGTATCTAAATACATGTTGTCAGGGCTATTCTAAAAATGTTCCCAATCAGACATTTTGAGACATCTCCTGACACCTACAGTGGGTACCCGGGTAGAGTGGGATAATAGGGGGGGAGGGGGGGGGGGTACCCAGGTAGTAAATTTGGACTCGTTCCTGCCCTAGTTTGTATACACTAGTTCCTCCTTCACCCATGAATACATATTGCCACTATGCAGTGTAATAGTGATTGGTTACTATTTGAATAATGTATTTCAATGAAGCAGTGTATAACTCATGGGCGTCAAATTAACTTTGTGCTAACCCTGCTGTTGCTCTATATTGAAGCAATGTATGGAGTAGACGGCCATAGGGCTAAAGCACATGCAGTGTAATCTGAAAGATCATTGGCTGGAGTACTCGCTGGAACCAAGCTGCGACTTGATTCGCTAGATAACAATAGATATTACATTGCCTTGCGGCCGTATGTATTCCGAGTTGAGGGAGGTTGTAGTGCATACAAACGCATGAGTTTTGATGATGTGCTGGAGACTTACATGCTGCCGGTGTAGAGGCCGTCGAGGTGGCCGGTGTCCGCCTGGTACCTGTAGAACAACACGCTGGACTCCATCTTATTGAAGGTGAAGCGAGTCCGCGCCACCTCGTACCACAGGCCCGCCATCTGACAACAAGCATTCATAGTTCAACCATCTTACAACAAGAATGTACAGCTCAACCATCTAACAACAAGCATGTACAGCTCAACTATCTGACAACAAGCATCTACAGCTCAACCATCTGACAACAAGCATCTACAGCTCAACCAACTTACAAAAAGCATCTGCAGCTCAACCATCCAACGACAAGCATGTACAGTTCAACCATCCGAGGGGGCACGGGTGGTCCAGTTGTCTAAGGTGCCGGGATTCGCTGTGCAGAGTTGCGTCCCTTGGCACCCTAGAAACCTATGATTGTGGGTTTGAATCCCGGTTCGCCCTGATTATATTTCTAGGTTTGTCAGCACCATACCCGTGCTCGTGTGTTTCACCGAAGTGGTAAACGTCTGAGACCTGCATCACTTCGGGCTTTCCTCCCACATTAAGCTGACACGCCACAATATAACTGGAATACAGTTAAAAGCGGCCTTAAACCCAACTCACTCACTCAACCATCCGACAAGCATCTACAGCTAAACCATCTGACAACAAGCATGTACAGCTCAACCATCTGACAACAAGCATCTGCAGCTCAACCATCTGACAACAAGCATCTGCAGCTCAACCATCTGACAACAAGCATCTGCAGCTCAACCATCTGACAACAAGCATGTACAGCTCATCCATCTGACAACAAGCATGTACAGCTCAACCATCTGACAACAAGCATCTACAGCTCAACCATCTGACAACAAGCATGTACAACTCAACCATCTGACAACAAGCATGTACAACTCAACCATCTGACAACAAGCATCTACAGCTCAACCTTCTGACAACAAGCATGTACAGCTCAACCATCTAACAACAAGCATCTGCAGCTCATCCATCTGACAACAAGCATGTACAGCTCAACCATCTGACAACAAGCATCTACAGCTCAACCATCTGACAACAAGCATGTACAACTCAACCATCTGACAACAAGCATCTACAGCTCAACCATCTGACAACAAGCATCTGCAGCTCAACCTTCTGACAACAAGCATGTACAGCTCAACCATCTGACAACAAGCATGTACAACTCAACCATCTGACAACAAGCATCTACAGCTCAACCATCTGACAACAAGCATCTACAGCTCAACCATCTGACAACAAGCATCTACAGCTCAACCATCTGACAACAAGCATCTACAGCTCAACTATTCAGTTCAGTATCAACATCCCCCGCTGAATTTGAAGCCCCATCGTATACACAACGTTACTGGCGGAATATTGCTGACTGCAGAGTAAAGCACCATTCCCTCACCCAGCAGCATCTCTGTGGGGACATTACCTGCAGGAAGACGAAGTTGGGGGTGAGAGGGATGTCATCGAAGGTGCAGATCTTCCGTTGAATTGAGTCTTCATCCACCTCCGGGGCCTCACACAGATCTGAAACAGCAATCACAATCTGGGTGACGCAGGGTCTCTCAACATCAGCTGTTACTCACAGCTACAGGAGACACTGGACCATAGTGGAGGACTGATATCACCTTGCCCTCATACACAACTATGAGTGGGTATCACCAAATTTGTGAATGTCTGTAAAGAGTCCTCTCCCTTTCTTAGTGGAGGAACCATGGGTTGTCCAGTGATCTGATCATTAGGATTGCACAGACTTGAGTCACCATGGATTGTCTAGTGAACTTATCGATATTACTGCACAGAGTTGTGTCCCTTGTCCTGTCAGGATCTGCTGGTCATGGGTTCGGATCACAGATCTGTGTGTTTTGGAATAGCTGCATGACAACTGACAGTGCACCATATTGCGTTGGTGTTGTTAATTGCTCTTGGTTACAGTCACTGCTTTTCCTGGCCCAGACTCCGTTATTAACAGGAAACTGTGATATACAGTCTAACCCCGTTATCTTGAACCTAACTGGACGAGGTTGTAACTTTGAGATATCCAGACATTCAAGATAACAAAATAAGTACATAATTGGTTTATATTGCACTGTACTTTTAAAGCTATGTTTAACCTGTGTGGAGAGGTACTAGATATACTTGCTCTTCTCAAAACTGTTAAAGTGGCAAATGCCAACTCCGAGAAAAAGGTACAAAATTCAACAGTAAAATCAAATTTGGGACCAAGTCGAGGGCTCTAGATTGCGTGTTGTAATTTTATCTCGAATCAGAGATAAGTGGGTAAATTTATATGTATTTATATAAGATAGCTACGCGATAAATCGCTCAGAACAATGAAGAACGAAGTGTGGTTTATTTCATGATAAAACATTGTTCTATCATGACGTCATTTCCAGAAATTCAAACATGCGCTCGCAACATCATGACGTATGTTGGAAGATGTTATTTTTTAGAGGGGAGTGTCCAGTGAGTTGTTCCCGACAGATGGGCAAGGCAGATGAACATGATGGCCGAACGATCGCATCCAGAAGTGGGAGAGATATGACAATCAGCATCGTGAGGATTGTGAGCCATAGCAGAGGATGGATTCTATTGAGGGAGTCATCATTATGTAAATACGGGTAGATATTTCTAAAGCTTGTACATTTCATAATCATCTGTAAAGACGCTCTACATAATATTGATATCTCATATAAGAAATATGCGCCCCTTTATTCTCCCTGCAGTGTTTTATTGTACGATAAACAACTCCCACTAATCGTTATATTTCTTAAATATAGTGAGGTGGTCGGGATCGGACAATAGGTTCGAGATTTCGGTACATGAGCGATAACGAGGTTCGACTGTAACAAGAATTTTTCTGCCTGTCTTTAACAACATTCACTGACTCACATGCACATTTCACACCAGATATATTGAAAATCGTGATAAACTGTTTTGTGATAATTATCATGTTGGGATCAGGGAGACATTTGCTCTTTTGCTCACTATAGTTGTACATGACCAGGTCATCGATCTCCACACACAGGTTGGAGACGTAGAAGTACATGCTGGTTAAGGTGGCGTCCTCTATCCCCTTTTCCCGAGACAGCACCTCCACAGTCAACTTGTTCCGAGGACACGTTCCATCTGTCCCAAATCCGTAGCACGTATACAGAACCGCTACCTCGTAGTTCGTATACACAACCCGCATTATCACTGAAACTGAATTGGCATTACCACTGAAACAATTATCCCTCACCCAAGTATACTGAAACAATGTTAATACATGTATTAAGATAAATAGTATTAGTAATACTTGACAAAAAGTTGTTCTGTGTAGGCATGAGATCATCAAACACAGCAGTGTCATTTTCATCTTCCCGAGGCAAGAGAGTTAACTGACTGTAAAAGTCCAGTTTCCACCCTTTCCGAACTAGGCTGGTTAGGATTTGGCTGGACTAACGAGTCTATGCATATTCCAATCAAAATGGTGCAATGAAAAACGAAATCCAGTTCGAAAAGTGTAATGCCGATTTCGGTCGATTGCAGGATTTGCAAAGCATGTGTGCAGTGCCAACTAGTTGTCAACAGATATTTTTCAAATCTTTTCAAGTCTTTAATCAAGGTGCTCACATGATTTGATGCGATGTAAGACCCGTTTTATCACAATATAGATCTTAAATGTCGATCAGATCGTTTTGACTTGGCGCCGCCATTTTGTTTGAAGCAAATGCAAGTGATACGAGAGGTGGAATCTGATTGGTCTATAGGAGAGGCATAGAAGGGACACAACTCGTAATAGCCCCTGGAGGCCCTAGATCGAGCCCAGGAATTCCACCCGATGTTCGGACAGCATGGAAACTGGACTTTTAAGGTCAGTTAACTCCTTTATGGCCTTTATCTGAACTCACTCTCGTTTAAACAATCACAAAAAGGTTTTCAGCTAAAGTTGAAATTATTAGTGAATCATAAGTGTGAAGTTATTAGATACTACAATATGACCAAATTGCATTCTTAAATTGCAATTATACAGCTTTCTTTCAGTTCTGGTCTTCCTTCCACAGACAAAGAATATTAGTATGATATCATATTTTATGATTGTCTATATTTGCAATATGTTTTGAAAGTTTGATGTAAAGGGAGTGGATTTTAAATAATGTATTATTATTGAAATGTTACACATTGTATTTCATTTGAAATGTGAAAAGAGATTTAAATGAAATATATAAAAAAATAAGCCATTGCATGCACAACGTTACTTTCAATCCCGCCAACGATGAAGACAAAATGTCCTGGGTGACCGCGCTGCGTTAGCTCCACTGATGCAGCTGGTGCACACGATGCCCCATAATTCCTGCCGGGAGATGAAGCACATACATACTAATATTTATGATTCGTTTGTTTGATGTTTAACACCGCACTCAGCGATATTCCAGCTATATGACAGCGGTCTGAAATATAATCAAATCTGGACCAGAAAATCCAGTGATTGACATCATGAGCATCGATCCACGCAAATTTTACAATGTTTATCAATCTAAAACGAAGTTCATACAACGTCTCAGTTTCACAAATGGCACTTACTACTTATTCCTGGACCATTCCATAAAACACCCTAACCACCAAGAATACTGTGACTTCCATGCTTTCACATCACTTTGTGGATTAGGGTGTCATTATACAAAGAGATCTTAGCGCTAAGGTGATCATAACTCCCATACCATAACATACATAGCATAGTCGTAGCGCTATGATTCTATTGTACAACAGCCCCCCGGGCAGTGATCTGAACATGACCACCATACCAGATATATACCGTGGAGTACTTAAATATTAATTTGAACATTTTCTCAAACTGTTTTTATGATTAAACATGTCATGTTCAGATTGTACGTCAAGAGCAATTCCAAATGAAACACTGGATACAGAAAGGTCTGATGGGTAGTTTATCATGGCGACCAGCATGTTTGATCAGACAGAAGAAATGCAATGTGTTACTCAATGACTAGAAGTTGTTTATCAAATCTTGGTGGTCAGGAAACTGAAGGTGTTGATCTACTTATATAACCCACAAGTTGGTGATACTGGAAGACGCGGGGGACTCACCTGTACCCAGTGTAGGCCATGACGGTGGAGCCGTCGTCCAGGATCTGTATACGTCTGATGAAGTTGTCCCAGGTGTTGTTACCCCAGGCGTAGTGGGTCCTGGCAACCGTGTACCAGTCTCCAGTGAACTGGAGGACAAGGGCAGATAACTCTCAACTACATCTAAACAACAGCCTGGAGGACAAGGGCAGATAACTCTCAACTACATCTCAACAACAGCCTGGAGGACAAGGGCAGATAACTCTCAACTACATCTCAACAACAGCATGGCAAGCTCCTCACAGTTATATCCCATTCGCGGGACTCTCTATACTATCGCTGCCACACGTCAAAGCTCCCCACCATGATAGGTGACCATAACGATGCTTGGAGTTGAACTCACAACTCTTTATGTTTATAAACAAGGGATGACTGTCTGATGACATATACACTTACCCCTGCTAAATTACCTTCTTTGTTTTTTCAGTTTGAATTACTATTTCATTTCAACTATCATGTAATTGGTACAGTAAGAATGTAAGTGGGAAGTTTGTTAATTTTCTGCAATCTCTAACCAATCCAATGAAACAAACAAAAAGGTAAATTCATCTGCGAAGTGTGTTCAGTCGTAAACTTTTTAAAATTCACTCTGATGTCCTTCCCAAAAACATAAACAAAAGTATAAACGTTGCTATATTTGGGGTTAGAGAGCAAATTTCAAGATTCTTGTAATGGCCAAACTGGTTACCGAGAGTGTAACGAAGGTGTCACGCGCTGGGAAGGAGCATGAACAGCATCGAGGACAAGAGCAGACAACTCTCAACTACACATCTCAACAAAAGCATCACAGACAATAGGTATGTCATACACAGTATACCAGTCCATGTCGAACTGACACACAAGGGCAGATAACTCTGAAACACTTACCCTATTCATGTCGAAGTTCCGCTGAGCACTGATGAACTCGTCCATGCACTGGACCTTGATGTAGTCTGGAACAACAACTACAGCCATGATCTAGATTCTCTGAGCAACTTTGGAGAACAATGCAACATCAGTCCCACCGCCCTACTCTAATCCCCAATCTCACTTGATCTATAAGGTGATCAGGTGAGCTAAAATGTACATAGACATAGAAAATACAAATGGACCAGCCAAACTCACCTGACGTGATTTCTCCTGCTAAGGCAGCTTGGCTGATGGAGCTCGGGATCTGACACAGGTCTGCAAACATACAGTCAGCATCAGCGTGGAGAATACAGGGATCTGATGTTCACTTTCAACCTACAAGACTCCAGATGTGCTGCATAGCTCACCTTCAACTTAACAATACTCCAGATAAGCTGCATAGCTCACCTTCAACATACAACACGCCAGATGAGCTGCATAGCTCACCTCCAACTTAACAATACTCCAGATGAGCTGCATAGCTCACCTTCAACTAACAAGACTCCAGATAAGCTGCATAGCTCACCTTCAACTTACAAGACTCCAGATAAGCTGAATAGCTCACATTCAACTTACTAGACTACAGATAAGCTCCATAGCTCACCTTCAACTTACTAGATTCCAGATGAGCTGCATAGCTCACCTTCAACTTACAACACTCCAGATGAGCTTCATAGCTCACCTTAAACTATCAAGACTCCAGATGAGCTGAATAGCTCACCTTCAACTTACAAGACTCTAGATGAGCTGCATAGCTCACCTTCAACTTACAAGATTCCAGATGAGCTGCATAGCTCACCTTCAACTTACAAGACTCCAGATGAGCTGCATAGCTCACCTTCAACTTACAAGACTCTAGATGAGCTGCATAGCTCACCTTCAACTTACAAGATTCAAGATGAGCTGCATAGCTCACCTTCAACTTACAAGACTCCAGATGAGCTGCATAGCTCACCTTCAACTTACAAGATTCAAGATGAGCTGCATAGCTCAACTCACTTTTAACTTTCAGAGTTTCAGATAGGCTGCATAGCTCACCTTCAACTTACCGAGCTCTTGACAAACTGCATATAATTTTGCTGATATAGTATTCCAAACCCAAAGAAAATATATAAATACACCATGAGAATGATTATGTGAGTAAATACTCAATGAAACAAACAGTTATCTGTAGCACTGAACATATGAATCTTCCCTGACATGTTGCATGTCAAACTATACTACTCATGTTTGATAGGGACAATCAGATGGGTCAGACATATTAAATATACATTTGACATGAGAATCAGTTTTGTGTATCGTGGAAAGATAAAAAAAAACTTTCAAAAGTTGAGTAGTAGGCTAGATGTTGATCATTCTATCATATTTTTTTTTCACTTATACTAGGACTGAGCGAAATGGATACCATCAAAGCCACTCACCAAGGTCGCTGTCCTGAATGTCGCTGAGGCGGACACAGCCATGTCTAATGTACTCTTCCAGTTGTGTCCGAGTTTCTTTGTCAACTCGCAAGTTCTTCGATATTATCTCCACCTGAATCTTGTTGCTCTTGCAGGTGCCGTCCTGGTTTGCTCCCAGGCACCAGTAAACCACTGCATTCGTGTAGTCTGTATAGATGACCTTCAAAGTTGCTGAAATACACGTTCATCTGCAGTGACTCTCTGTGCACCTCTGTTATCTGGCTCATCAGATCTGACTATCACTGTTCACATCATCAGTGTGTATATACCAACTCAGACCTCACTACCCTGAGGGTCAAAAGGATGTTAAGTACCCTGTACCACAGATGAGACCAGATCTTTTGTAGGGCTGTTCCTGAATTGATTATTGGAATTTTGGCTGCTCACAACGGCAATCGAAAAAAATCCAGAAATGTTGTATTTTTGTTTACATGTTTATATGTTTTATACTGACTGGCTGACTGACATACTGTGACTGACTGACTGACTCACTAACTCACCCATTCACTCACTAACTCACCCATTCACTCTCTGACTCACTCACTCACTGATTGGCTGTAACTCACTCAATGCATCTTCCTGAGGCAAGGGAATTAACTGACTATAAGAGTCCAGTTTCCACCAATCCTGAACCATGCTGCAATATTGAGTTATATTTTGGCTGGACTACTGAGTCTTTGTCTGTCCAATCAAAATTGCATAGCGAAATCGACATCCGTGGCTCAATAACTGACAGACTATGACACACTAGCTGACAGACTATGACACACTAGCTATATAGCTGACTGACTGTGAGAACTAACTAACTGACAGACTATGACACACTAGCTGACTGACTATGACACACTAGCTGACTGACTATGACACACTAGCTGACAGACTATGACACACTAGCTGACTGACTATGACACACTAGCTGACAGACTATGACACACTAGCTGACAGACTATGACACACTAGCTATATAGCTGACTGACTGTGAGAACTAACTAACTGACAGACTATGACACACTAGCTGACTGACTATGACACACTAGCTGACAGACTATGACACACTAGCTATATAGCTGACTGACTGTGAGAACTAACTAACTGACAGACTATGACACACTAGCTGACTGACTATGACACACTAGCTGACTGACTATGACACACTAGCTGACAGACTATGACACACTAGCTATATAGCTGACTGACTGTGAGAACTAACTAACTGACAGACTATGACATACTAGCTGACTGACTATGACACACTAGCTGACTGACTATGACACACTAGTTGACAGACTATGACACACTAGCTATATAGCTGACTGACTGTGAGTACTAACTAACTGACACTAAACATATGTGTTCATTGGTTGGTTTTCCCTGTGTACGTAGAGTTGCGCATTTTCAAGATTTAAGCCCTCTTGGTTTTAAATCTGGGTGTGGCTTTGAATCTATTTCTCAGTTGAGTGGTAGATTAGGCCCAGTATGGGAAACATCAAGCTCTTACTCCTACCTGCCATATCCCGGAACATGTAGGTGAAGTGTCCGGGTGTTGACGTGTCCTTAAGATGCATAAACTCTGTTGGGCGACAACCTTGAACATCTTTGCTGAAAATAAACCACATTCTGTAAACTACATTCTGTGAACCACATTCTGTAACCCACATTCTGTAAACCACATTCTGTAAAACATGTTCACCTTCTGTAAACAACATTCTGTGAACCACATTCTGTAAACCACATTCTGTAAACCACATTCTGTAAACTACATTCTGTGAACCACATTCTGTAACCCACATTCTGTAAACCACATTCAGTAAACTACATTCTGTAAACGACATTCTGTGAACCACATTCTGTAAACCTCATTCTGTAAACCACATTCTGTAAACCACATTCTGTAAACCACATTCAGTGAACCACATTCTGTAAACCATGTTCAGTAAATCGCATTCTGTGAACCACATTCTGTGAACTACATTCTGTAAACTACATTCAGTAAACCGCATTCTGTAATCCACATTCTGTAAACCACATTCTGTAAACCTCATTCTGTAAACTACATTCAGTAAACCGCATTCTGTAATCCACATTCTGTAAACCACATTCTGTAAACCTCATTCTGTAAACCACATTCTGTAAACCACATTCTGTAAACCACATTCTGTGAACCACATTCTGTAAACCGCATTCTGTAAACCCCATTCTGTAAACCCCATTCTGTAAACCACATTCAGTGAACCACATTCTGTAAACCACATTCTGTAAACCACATTCTGTAAACTACATTCTGTAAACCACATTCTGTAACCCACATTCTGTAAACCACATTCAGTAAACTACATTCTGTAAACGACATTCTGTGAACCACATTCTGTAAACCTCATTCTGTAAACCCCATTCTGTAAACCACATTCTGTAAACGACATTCTGTGAACCACATTCTGTAAACCTCATTCTGTAAACCCCATTCTGTAAACCACATTCTGTAAACCACATTCAGTGAACCACATTCTGTAAACTACATTCAGTAAACCACATTCTGTAAACCACATTCTGTGAACCACATTCTGTAAACCTCATTCTGTAAACCCCATTCTGTAAACCACATTCTGTAAACGACATTCTGTGAACCACATTCTGTAAACCTCATTCTGTAAACCCCATTCTGTAAACCACATTCTGTAAACCACATTCTGTAAACCACATTCTGTAAACTACATTCAGTAAACCGCATTCTGTAAACTACATTCTGTGAACCACATTCTGTAAACCTCATTCTGTAAACCCCATTCTGTAAACCACATTCTGTAAACCACATTCAGTGAACCACATTCTGTAAACCATGTTCAGTAAACCGCATTCTGTAATCCACATTCTGTAAACCACATTCAGTAAACCACATTCTGTAAACCACATTCTGTAAACCACATTCAGTAAACCACATTCTGTAAACTACATTCTGTAAACCACATTCTGTAAACCACATTCTGTAAACCACATTCTGTAACCCACATTCTGTAAACCACATTCAGTAAACTACATTCTGTAAACGACATTGTGAACCACATTCTGTAAACCTCATTCTGTAAACCCCATTCTGTAAACCACATTCTGTAAACCACATTCAGTGAACCACATTCTGTAAACTACATTCTGTAAACCACATTCTGTAAACCACATTCTGTAAACCACATTCTGTAACCCACATTCTGTAAACCACATTCAGTAAACTACATTCTGTAAACGACATTGTGAACCACATTCTGTAAACCTCATTCTGTAAACCCCATTCTGTAAACCACATTCTGTAAACCACATTCAGTGAACCACATTCTGTAAACCATGTTCAGTAAACCATGTTCAGTAAACCGCATTCTGTAATCCACATTCTGTGAACCACATTCTGTAAACCACATTCTGTAAACCACATTCTGTGAACCACATTCTGTAAACCACATTCTGTAAACCACATTCTGTGAACCACATTCTGTAAACCAAGTTCAGTAAACCGCATTCAGTAATCCACATTCTGTGAACCACATTCTGTAAACCACATTCTGTAAACCACATTCAGTGAACAACATTCTGTGAACCACATTCTGTAAACCACATTCAGTGAACAACATTCTGTGAACCACATTCTGTAAACCACATTCTGTGAACCACATTCAGTAAACCACATTCAGTAAACCACATTCAGTAAACCACATTCTGTAAACTACATTCTGTGAACCACATTCTGTAAACCACATTCTGTGAACCACATTCTGTAAACTACATTCTGTAAACCACATTCTGTAAACTACATTCTGTAAACCACATTCAGTAAACCACATTCTGTAAACCACATTCTGTGAACCACATTCTGTAAACCACATTCTGTGAACCACATTCTGTAAACCACATTCTGTAAACCACATTCAGTAATCCACATTCTGTGAACCATGTTCAGTAAACAACATTCTGTAAACCACATTCAGTAATCCACATTCTGTGAACCACATTCTGTAAACCACATTCTGTAAACCACATTCAGTGAACAACATTCTGTGAACCACATTCTGTAAACCACATTCAGTGAACAACATTCTGTGAACCACATTCTGTAAAACACATTCAGTAAACCACATTCTGTGAACCACATTCAGTAAACCACATTCAGTAAACCACATTCAGTAAACCACATTCTGTAAACTACATTCTGTGAACCACATTCTGTAAACCACATTCTGTGAACCACATTCTGTAAACTACATTCTGTAAACCACATTCTGTAAACTACATTCTGTAAACTACATTCTGTAAACCACATTCAGTAAACCACATTCTGTAAACCACATTCTGTGAACCACATTCTGTAAACCACATTCTGTGAAGCACATTCTGTAAACCACATTCAGTAAACCACATTCAGTAAACCACATTCTGTAAAACATGTTCACCTTCTGTAAACAACATTCTGTAAACCACATTCTGTAAACCACATTCTGTAAACCACATTCTGTAAACCACATTCAGTAATCCACATTCTGTGAACCATGTTCAGTAAACAACATTCTGTAAACCACATTCAGTAATCCACATTCTGTGAACCACATTCTGTAAACCACATTCTGTAAACCACATTCAGTGAACAACATTCTGTGAACCACATTCTGTAAACCACATTCAGTGAACAACATTCTGTGAACCACATTCTGTAAACCACATTCAGTAAACCACATTCTGTGAACCACATTCAGTAAACCACATTCAGTAAACCACATTCAGTAAACCACATTCTGTAAACTACATTCTGTGAACCACATTCTGTAAACCACATTCTGTGAACCACATTCTGTAAACTACATTCTGTAAACCACATTCTGTAAACTACATTCTGTAAACTACATTCTGTAAACCACATTCAGTAAACCACATTCTGTAAACTACATTCTGTAAACCACATTCTGTAAACCACATTCTGTAAACCACATTCTGTAACCCACATTCTGTAAACCACATTCAGTAAACTACATTCTGTAAACGACATTGTGAACCACATTCTGTAAACCTCATTCTGTAAACCCCATTCTGTAAACCACATTCTGTAAACCACATTCAGTGAACCACATTCTGTAAACCATGTTCAGTAAACCATGTTCAGTAAACCGCATTCTGTAATCCACATTCTGTGAACCACATTCTGTAAACCACATTCTGTAAACCACATTCTGTGAACCACATTCTGTAAACCACATTCTGTAAACCACATTCTGTGAACCACATTCTGTAAACCAAGTTCAGTAAACCGCATTCAGTAATCCACATTCTGTGAACCACATTCTGTCAACCACATTCTGTAAACCACATTCAGTGAACAACATTCTGTGAACCACATTCTGTAAACCACATTCAGTGAACAACATTCTGTGAACCACATTCTGTAAACCACATTCTGTGAACCACATTCAGTAAACCACATTCAGTAAACCACATTCAGTAAACCACATTCTGTAAACTACATTCTGTGAACCACATTCTGTAAACCACATTCTGTGAACCACATTCTGTAAACTACATTCTGTAAACCACATTCTGTAAACTACATTCTGTAAACCACATTCAGTAAACCACATTCTGTAAACCACATTCTGTGAACCACATTCTGTAAACCACATTCTGTGAACCACATTCTGTAAACCACATTCTGTAAACCACATTCAGTAATCCACATTCTGTGAACCATGTTCAGTAAACAACATTCTGTAAACCACATTCAGTAATCCACATTCTGTGAACCACATTCTGTAAACCACATTCTGTAAACCACATTCAGTGAACAACATTCTGTGAACCACATTCTGTAAACCACATTCAGTGAACAACATTCTGTAACCACATTCTGTAAACCACATTCAGTAAACCACATTCTGTGAACCACATTCAGTAAACCACATTCAGTAAACCACATTCAGTAAACCACATTCTGTAAACTACATTCTGTGAACCACATTCTGTAAACCACATTCTGTGAACCACATTCTGTAAACTACATTCTGTACACCACATTCTGTAAACTACATTCTGTAAACTACATTCTGTAAACCACATTCAGTAAACCACATTCTGTAAACCACATTCTGTGAACCACATTCTGTAAACCACATTCTGTGAAGCACATTCTGTAAACCACATTCTGTAAACCACATTCAGTAAACCACATTCAGTAAACCACATTCTGTAAAACATGTTCACCTTCTGTAAACAACATTCTGTAAACCACATTCTGTAAACTACATTCAGTAAACCGCATTCTGTAAACTACATTCTGTAAACCACATTCTGTAAACCTCATTCTGTAAACCCCATTCTGTAAACCACATTCTGTAAACCACATTCAGTGAACCACATTCTGTAAACCATGTTCAGTAAACCGCATTCTGTAATCCACATTCTGTAAACCACATTCAGTAAACCACATTCTGTAAACCACATTCTGTAAACCACATTCAGTAAACCACATTCTGTAAACTACATTCTGTAAACCACATTCTGTAAACCACATTCTGTAAACCACATTCTGTAACCCACATTCTGTAAACCACATTCAGTAAACTACATTCTGTAAACGACATTGTGAACCACATTCTGTAAACCTCATTCTGTAAACCCCATTCTGTAAACCACATTCTGTAAACCACATTCAGTGAACCACATTCTGTAAACCATGTTCAGTAAACCATGTTCAGTAAACCGCATTCTGTAATCCACATTCTGTGAACCACATTCTGTAAACCACATTCTGTAAACCACATTCTGTGAACCACATTCTGTAAACCACATTCTGTAAACCACATTCTGTGAACCACATTCTGTAAACCAAGTTCAGTAAACCGCATTCAGTAATCCACATTCTGTGAACCACATTCTGTAAACCACATTCTGTAAACCACATTCAGTGAACAACATTCTGTGAACCACATTCTGTAAACCACATTCAGTGAACAACATTCTGTGAACCACATTCTGTAAACCACATTCTGTGAACCACATTCAGTAAACCACATTCAGTAAACCACATTCAGTAAACCACATTCAGTAAACCACATTCTGTAAACTACATTCTGTGAACCACATTCTGTAAACCACATTCTGTGAACCACATTCTGTAAACTACATTCTGTAAACCACATTCTGTAAACTACATTCTGTAAACCACATTCAGTAAACCACATTCTGTAAACCACATTCTGTGAACCACATTCTGTAAACCACATTCTGTGAACCACATTCTGTAAACCACATTCTGTAAACCACATTCTGTAAACCACATTCAGTAATCCACATTCTGTGAACCATGTTCAGTAAACAACATTCTGTAAACCACATTCAGTAATCCACATTCTGTGAACCACATTCTGTAAACCACATTCTGTAAACCACATTCAGTGAACAACATTCTGTGAACCACATTCTGTAAACCACATTCAGTGAACAACATTCTGTGAACCACATTCTGTAAACCACATTCAGTAAACCACATTCTGTGAACCACATTCAGTAAACCACATTCAGTAAACCACATTCAGTAAACCACATTCTGTAAACTACATTCTGTGAACCACATTCTGTAAACCACATTCTGTGAACCACATTCTGTAAACTACATTCTGTAAACCACATTCTGTAAACTACATTCTGTAAACTACATTCTGTAAACCACATTCAGTAAACCACATTCTGTAAACCACATTCTGTGAACCACATTCTGTAAACCACATTCTGTGAAGCACATTCTGTAAACCACATTCAGTAAACCACATTCAGTAAACCACATTCTGTAAAACATGTTCACCTTCTGTAAACAACATTCTGTAAACCACATTCTGTAAACCACATTCAGTAAACAACATTCTGTGAACCACATTCTGTAACCCACATTCTGTAAAACACATTCTGTAAACCACATTCAGTGAACCACATTCTGTAAACCATGTTCAGTAAACCGCATTCTGTAAACTACATTCTGTAAACCAAGTTCAGTAAACCGCATTCTGTAAACCACATTCAGTGAACCACATTCTGTAAACCACATTCAGTGAACAACATTCTGTGAACCACATTCTGTGAACCACATTCAGTAAACCACATTCTGTGAACCACATTCAGTAAACCACATTCAGTAAACCACATTCAGTAAACTACATTCTGTAAACCGCATTCTGTAAACCACATTCTGTGAACCACATTCAGTAAACCACATTCAGTAAACCGCATTCTGTAAACTACATTCTGTAAACCAAATTCAGTAAACCGCATTCTGTAAACCACATTCTGTGAACCACATTCTGTGAACCACATTCAGTAAACCACATTCAGTAAACCGCATTCTGTAAACTACATTCTGTAAACCAAATTCAGTAAACCGCATTCTGTAAACCACATTCTGTGAACCACATTCTGTGAACCACATTCAGTAAACCACATTCTGTGAACCACATTCAGTAAACCACATTCAGTAAACCACATTCAGTAAACCACATTCTGTGAACCACATTCTGTGAACCACATTCAGTAAACCACATTCAGTAAACCACATTCTGTAAACTACATTCTGTGAACCACATTCTGTAAACCACATTCTGTGAACCACATTCTGTGAACCACATTCTGTAAACCACATTCAGTAAACCACATTCTGTAAACTACATTCTGTGAACCACATTCTGTAAACCACATTCTGTGAACCACATTCAGTAAACCACATTCAGTGAACCACATTCTGTAAACCACATTCTGTGAACCACATTCAGTAAACCACATTCAGTGAACAACATTCTGTGAACCACATTCTGTGAACCACATTCAGTAAACCACATTCTGTAAACCACATTCAGTGAACAACATTCTGTGAACCACATTCTGTGAACCACATTCAGTAAACCACATTCTGTGAACCACATTCAGTAAACCACATTCAGTAAACCACATTCAGTAAACTACATTCTGTAAACCGCATTCTGTAAACCACATTCTGTGAACCACATTCTGTGAAGCACATTCAGTAAACCACATTCAGTAAACCGCATTCTGTAAACTACATTCTGTAAACCAAATTCAGTAAACCGCATTCTGTAAACCACATTCTGTGAACCACATTCTGTGAACCACATTCAGTAAACCACATTCAGTAAACCGCATTCTGTAAACTACATTCTGTAAACCAAATTCAGTAAACCGCATTCTGTAAACCACATTCTGTGAACCACATTCTGTGAACCACATTCAGTAAACCACATTCTGTGAACCACATTCAGTAAACCACATTCAGTAAACCACATTCAGTAAACCACATTCTGTGAACCACATTCTGTGAACCACATTCAGTAAACCACATTCAGTAAACCACATTCAGTAAACCACATTCTGTAAACTACATTCTGTGAACCACATTCAGTAAACCACATTCTGTGAACCACATTCTGTGAACCACATTCTGTAAACCACATTCAGTAAACCACATTCTGTAAACTACATTCTGTGAACCACATTCTGTAAACCACATTCTGTGAACCACATTCAGTAAACCACATTCAGTGAACCACATTCTGTAAACCACATTCTGTGAACCACATTCAGTAAACCACATTCTGTGAACCACATTCAGTAAACCACATTCTGTAAACCATATTCAGTAAACAACATTCTGTGAACCACATTCTGTAAACCACATTCAGTAATCCACATTCTGTGAACCACATTCTGTAAACCACATAAAGTAAACCACATTCAATAAACCACATTCTGTTAACCACATTCTGTAAACCACATTCAGTAAACCACATTCTGTAAACTACATTCTGTAAACAACATTCAGTTAACCACATTCTGTAAACCACATTCACATTCTGTAAACCACATTCTGCATATTAACATAAAAAAACAAAAAAAACACTGATATATATATGTGCGTAAAAACATTTACACATCTGGATGGTAATAATCTTTACTCCAGGATCTTGATGATGGATCCTAAGTTCACAGCCCACCCCCAACTGTTGACAAGTGTATCAGATAGGCCCCATCAGACACTACATTACGGGTGAAAGCTGAAGTGACACTTATCAGATGCACCACCTACCAGGAATAAGCTAGTGATTGAGTGAGGGAATGAGTTGAGTTTAATGCCGGTTTGAACAGTATTTTTATTCCCTATGTAATATCATGGGTGGCCCAGTGGCTGAGGCTTGCCAGACTCTGATGAACATTTGAATCCCCCTGATTATGACTCTTGGTGTGTCTCCACCATGTCCTGTGAGTTTCACCCACAGGATTAACATAATCCACATCACTTTGAACTTTCCTCTCATGTTAAGCTGACATCGTCAAATAACTGAAATGCTATTCAAAGTCATCAAAGACATCAAACCCATCTCACTCATTCTACATTCTGCCATTTCTGTTGTACCTTGCCGTGATATTGCTGGAATACTGCTTGTATCCCGTGTCGTTACACACAAATTGTTACTCGTGAAAGGCGACTATGCTTGTCGCAAGAGGCGACTAACAGGATCGTGTGGTCAGGCTCGCTAACTTGGTTGATGCATGTCATCTAACCCCAATTGCCTGGAGCGATGCTCATGATGTCAATGACTGAATTGTCAGGTCCAGACTCGATTATTTAGATCGCCATCATATGGCTAGAATATTGCTGAGTGCGAGTTAAACAACCAAAAAACAAAAAACAACAACTTGTATTCCCTGTAGTAACACACAAAAGCTTACTCGTATCCCCTGTAGGAACAAAAAAGGCGGTCGTCTTGGCTGACGTGAAAGTCCCGGATCTCTGAGGCCCACGACCGATCTCCCCAGATGTGCTGCGTCTTGGCGATCGTGTGCCATGAACCCGAGAACTGACAACAGATACATTCATAACATTTATAACATCTTAGAACTTATTTTTCCATGGAATTATATTTTGTTTTCATTTATTGATAGAAATGGATGCACTTAGCACTTATATTTGATGAAATAGGTTCTCTTTGGATCATATCAACAAAGGATTTGTTTTACGTTTTGGTTTTATTTACTTTTTGGATCATATTTAGACAAAGGGTTTGGCTCATATCCAGTTAAAGTCTGTGTTCTTTGGATCATATCCAGACAAGGGTTTTGTTTTCTCTTTGGATCATATCCAGACAAGGGTTTTGTTTTCTCTTTGGATCATATCCAGACAAGGGTTTTGTTTGTTCTTTGGATGATATCCAGACAAGGGTTTTGTTTGTTCTTTGGATCATATCCAGACAAGGGTTTTGTTTGTTCTTTGGATCATATCCAGACAAGGGTTTTGTTTGTTCTTTGGATCATATCCAGACAAGGGTTTTGTTTGTTCTTCGGATCATATCCAGACAAGGGTTTTGTTTGTTCTTTGGATCATAACCAGACAATGGTTATGATTACTCATGGATTATATGTTTGTTCTGGTTACCCTCTTAAAGTCAAAGTTGTCCTGGACAGGGATGAACTTGGTCATACATTCGGCCACAACGTAGTCTGAAAGTAGAACAGTCGTTGGATTTTATGTCATGGTGCTGTATCAAGACTTCAAAGCTGAATTCTATTAGCTTATTATTAAACATTTACACACAAAAAGTGATCAAAATGTTATCTTCAATACCTTACCGTCTCCATTTCATGTTTCCACATCACCCGTGAATACATTGTTAATACTTCACGGTCTTGTATACACAATGTTCCTACATCACCTGTGAATACATTGTCAATACTTCACGGTCTTGTATAGGCCTACACAATGTTCCTACATCACCCGTGAATACATTGTCAATACTTCACGGTCTTGTATACACAATGCTTCTACATCACTCGTGAATACATTGTCAATACTTCACGGTCTTGTATACACAATGTTCCTACATCACCTGTGAATACATTGTCAATACTTCACTGTCTTGTATACACAATGCTCCTCCATCACCTGTGAATACATTGTCAATACTTCATGGTCTTATATACACAATGTTCCTACATCACCCGTGAATTCATTGTCAATACTTCACGGTCTTATATACACAATGTTCCTACATCACTCTTGAATACATTGTCAATACTTCACTGTCTTGTATACACAATGTTCCTACATCACCCCTGAATACATTGTCAATACTTCACGGTCTTATATACACAATGTTCCTACATCACCCATGAATACATTGTCAATACTTCACGGTCTTATATGCACAATGTTCCTACATCACCCGTGAATACATTGTCAATACTTCATGGTCTTATATACACAATGTTCCTACATCACCCATGAATACATTGTCAATACTTCACGGTCTTATATGCACAATGTTCCTACATCACCCATGAATACATTGTCAATACTTCACGGTCTTATATACACAATGTTCCTACATCACCCGTAAATACATTGTCAATACTTCACTGTCTTATATACACAATGTTCCTACATCACCCGTAAATACATTGTCAATACTTCACGGTCTTATATACACAATGTTCCTACATCACCCATGAATACATTGTCAATACTTCACGGTCTTGTATAGGCCAACATAATGTCCCTACATCACTTGTAAATACATTGTCAATACTTCACAGTCTTGTATTCACAATGCTTCTACATAACTCTTGAATACATTGTCAATACTTCACAGTCTTATATACACAATGTTCCTACATCACCCGTAAATACATTGTTAATACTTCACGGTCTTTTATACACAATGTTCCTACATCACCCATGAATACATTGCCAATACTTCATGGTCTTATGTACACAATGTTCCTACATCACCCGTAAATACATTGTTAATACTTCACTGTCTTATATACACAATGTTCCTACATCACCCGTAAATACATTGTCAATACTTCACGGTCTTATATACACAATGTTCCTACATAACTCTTGAATACATTGTCAATACGTCAGTCTTATATACACAATGTTCCTACATCACCCATGAATACATTGTCAATAATTCACGGTCTTGTATACACAATGTTCCGACATCACCTGTGAATACATGTACTTGTCAATATTTCAGTCTTGGCCAAATAACGGCCATTATGGGTTTTCAAAATTACTGTTATTATGAAAATTAGGTTAAAACCTCTTGAGCAAATTTAGGTGTCATCATTGATTGCAAAGACAAGCCAATTTGCAGCTTTACTTTTCCAGTGTTATCTGATCAGGAGATGTTTACAGATGCAAATGCTGACAGTTTGTTGTGGCTTGAAGTGTTTGTTAGTAAGCCTTTGACTGACCTTGTGTGAGCTCTCCGCTGCCAGCTGCCTGTTGCAGCTGCTCATTGATAGTGCATGGAGCTGGAACAAAGGCAAAAAAAGGTTTCCTGACACAGGTTTTATGCTAAAGTATGTGGTTACAACTGTCGTAGACTTACGTGAAACTATGGGGTTACAACTGTCGTAAGTCTGTGCTAAACTATGGGGTTACAACTGTCGTAAGTGTGCTAAGGTATGTGGTTACAACTGTCGTAAGTGTGTGCTAAAGTATGGGGTTACAACTGTTGTAAGTCTACGCTAAACTATGGGGTTACAACTGTCGTAAGTCTACGCTAAACTATGGGGTTACAACTGTCGTAAGTCTGTGCTAAACTATGGGGTTACAACTGTCGTAAGTCTGCTAAGGTATGTGGTTACAACTGTCGTAAGTGTGTGCTAAAGTATGGGGTTACAACTGTTGTAAGTCTACGCTAAACTATGGGGTTACAACTGTCGTAAGTCTACGCTAAACTATGGGGTTACAACTGTCGTAAGTCTGTGCTAAACTATGTGGTTACAACTGTCGTAGACTTACGTGAAACTATGGGGTTACAACTGTCGTAAGTCTGTGCTAAACTATGGGGTTACAACTGTCGTAAGTGTGCTAAGGTATGTGGTTACAACTGTCGTAAGTGTGTGCTAAAGTATGGGGTTACAACTGTTGTAAGTCTACGCTAAACTATGGGGTTACAACTGTCGTAAGTCTACGCTAAACTATGGGGTTACAACTGTCGTAAGTCTGTGCTAAACTATGGGGTTACAACTGTCGTAAGTCTATGCTAAACTATGGGGTTACAACTGTCGTAAGTCTGTGCTAAACTATGGGGTTACAACTGTCGTAAGTCTGTTCCAAATTATGGGGTAACAACCGTCATAAGTCTACGTAAAAGTATGTGGTTATAACTGTTGTAAGTCTACGCTAAACTATGGGGTTACAACTGTCGTAAGTCTGTTCCAAATTAAATGGTTACAACTGTCATAAGTCTACGTAAAAGTATGTGGTTACAACTGTGGTAAGTCTACGCTAAACTATGGGGTTACAACTGTGGTAAGTCTACGCTAAACTATGTGGTTACAACAGTCGTTAGTCTGTTCCAAAGTATGTGGTTACAACTGTCATAAGTCTACGCTAAAGTATGTGGTTACAACTGTCGTAAGTCTGTGCTAACCTATGGGGTTAAACCACTGTCGTAAGTCTGTGCTAAAGTATGTGGTTACAACTGTCGTAAGTCTACGCTAAACTATGTGGCTACAATTGTCGTAAGTCTACGCTAAACTATGGGGTTAAACCACTGTCGTAAGTCTGTGCTAAAGTATGTGGTTACGACTGTCATTAGTATGTGTTAAACTCTGGATGTTTAGACAGTCCTAAGTCTATGTTAATGTATGGGCACCAATCAAACTGTGACAGAACTACTTACACGAGGGCCAAACTCGATCTCCCACTTTGTCACAAACATTTTCAGCATATTTCTTCAGCCTGTTCAGCATCTCGGCAGGGAGGGATGTTTCACGAGACATGATTTCAAATGAACTGAAGCCATCACTGCATGTCCCATCAGTCTTGTATTGAAAACAGTAATACATGACAGCTGCCTTGTCGTCCAGGTACAGAACCTTCAGGTGTCCTGCCAACACAGAGCATGTTTATTGGTTGTATCTTTGCTTGTTTTTGACTTGTAGTCACCAAAATTCCGGCTATATCTTGGTGGCATGTAAAAACTGTATTCACCGTATTCGGGACCGACCATTTGATATTGGGGGCGGGGTGCTTGGATTTTATCGATAAAAATATATTGTCCCGAACATTCCTGAAAAAATAATTATACTTCCATTGAAAAAATAATAAATTGCATGCCACAAAAATGCCATTGTTGCAAGGTGATTTTCTTTAAAAATATTCCGGCTCATAGTTTTAAATAAAATAATATCTGGTTTTGTAACTGAAAAAATAGCTGGTCTTGATAAAAAAATCCCAGGTCCCCACCAGAATATCAAATGGTCAGTCCCTTAAGCACCTCCCTGCCAAATTCTAGGAAAATCTGTAACTATTCTATGTAAGGACTCCCGTCTTAAGCAACTTTACATGACAGTCCATATTTTCTTGTGTAAATTTTAGAAAACAGAAGCGTAAAAGGGTTATAGTGATGATTTGGTTTAACGCTGCTTTTAACAGTATTCCAGTTATATCACGGCGTGTCAGCTTAATGTGGGAGGAAAGGCTGAAGTGATGTAGGTCTCAGATGTTTACCACTTCGGCGAAACCCACGAGTGACGGGTATGGTGCTGACAAACCTAGAAACATAATCGGGGCGAACCGGGATTCGAACCCACAAAACATAGGTTTCTGGCGTGCCCAAGGGGACGCAACTCTGCACAGCGAATCACAGCGCCTTAGATGACTGGGCCACCCATACCCCCTAAAAGGGTTATAAAGTTGTCTGGCAACTATCACTGACATTTGAACATAGTGAACACGTCTGTTCATGTCTGCCCGATCTCATAAAACAAATTTAATTCGATGTTAATGGTTTCAATAAGCACCCCCATTTGTCTATTTTCTGAAAGCCTGGGGCACTTTAGGAATATAGTAATGACATCTGGGCAGGACAAACCCATGGTTGATATAATGAGCAATGTGTGGGTACGATAATACACATTTAACCAAGACACTAGTCTGACCATCCCTGTCCTCACACGACAGGAAGAAGAGTGATGGCGAACGCATGCTAGTCAGGATTCCCATGGGGTTGCTCATTGCTTAGTACCCTGAATTGCAAAATATTGGTCCTAAGCAAACAGACTCATGAAGATCAGGGGTAGAATAGGTCTTCAGCAACCAATGCTTGCCGTAAGAGGGGACTAACGGGATCGGGTGGACAGGCTTGCTCACTTGGTTGATACATGCCATCGTATCCCAATTGCGTGGATAGATGCTCATGATGTCAATCACTGGATTGTCTGGTCCAGACTCGATTACTAACAGACTGCCATCATATAACTAAAATATTGCTGAGTGCGGTGTTAAACAACAAACAAACAAACAAACATAAGCAAACAATTAATAGGCAACGTGGGAAAAGGCCTATACCTACAAACACAACCAGACACAGAAAATGATAAAGTTCCCAGCTCTGACTTGTTACCTGCAAGGGTCCCGAACAGCAACTTGAAGGTGCCTTGACTCTCCCAAGTCAGTTTGAAGGACTCAGTCAGAGAACACTTGGAGTTGCTGAAACAAGGGACATTGTAAACATAAAATCTTGACCTTTAAGAGGTTGTGGACAGTGGTGTGGGAACTTACTTGTAGATGTTGAAGAGGTTGTGGACAGTGGTGTAAGAACTTACTTGTAGATGTTGAAGAGGTTGTGGACAGTGGTGTGGGAACTTACTTGTACATGTTGAAGAGGTTGTGGACAGTGGTGTAGGAACTTACTTGTAGATGTTGAAGAGGTTGTGGACAGTGGTGTAGGAACTTACTTGTACATGTTGAGGAGGTTGTGGACAGTGGTGTAGGAACTTACTTGTACATGTTGAGGAGGTTGTGGACAGTGGTGTAGGAACTTACTTGTACATGTTGAAGAGGTTGTGGACAGTGGTGTAGGAACTTACTTGTACATGTTGAAGAGGTTGTGGACAGTGGTGTAGGAACTTACTTGTACATGTTGAGGAGGTTGTGGACAGTGGTGTAGGAACTTACTTGTACATGTTGAGGAGGTTGTGGACAGTGGTGTAGGAACTTACTTGTACATGTTGAAGAGGTTGTGGACAGTGGTGTGGGAACTTACTTGTAGATGTTGAAGAGGTTGTGGACAGTCAAACTTACTTGTAGATGTTGAAGAGGTTGTGGACAGTGGTGTAGGAACTTACTTGTACATGTTGAGGAGGTTGTGGACAGTGGTGTAGGAACTTACTTGTACATGTTGAAGAGGTTGTGGACAGTGGTGTAGGAACTTACTTGTACATGTTGAAGGGGTTGTGGACAGTGGTGTGGGAACTTACTTGTAGATGTTGAAGAGGTTGTGGACAGTGGTGTGGGAACTTACTTGTAGATGTTGAAGAGGTTGTGGACAGTGGTGTGGGAACTTACTTGTAGATGTTGAAGAGGTTGTGGACAGTGGTGTAGGAACTTACTTGTAGATGTTGAAGGGGTTGTGGACAGTGGTGTGGGAACTTACTTGTAGATGTTGAAGAGGTTGTGGACAGTGGTGTAGGAACTTACTTGTAGATGTTGAAGATGTTGTGGACAGTGGTGTGGGAACTTACTTGTAGATGTTGAAGAGGTTGTGGACAGTGGTGTGGGAACTTACTTGTGGATGTTGAAGAGGTTGTGGACAGTGGTGTAGGAACTTACTTGTAGATGTTGAAGAGGTTGTGGACAGTGGTGTAGGAACTTACTTGTAGATGTTGAAGAGGTTGTGGACAGTGGTGTAGGAACTTACTTGTACATGTTGAGGAGGTTGTGGACAGTGGTGTAGGAACTTACTTGTACATGTTGAGGAGGTTGTGGACAGTGGTGTAGGAACTTACTTGTAGATGTTGAAGAGGTTGTGGACAGTGGTGTAGGAACTTACTTGTAGATGTTGAAGAGGTTGTGGACAGTGGTGTGGGAACTTACTTGTAGATATTGAAGAGGTTGTGGACAGTGGTGTGGGAACTTACTTGTAGATGTTGAAGAGGTTGTGGACAGTGGTGTAGGAACTTACTTGTAGATGTTGAAGAGGTTGTGGACAGTGGTGTGGGAACTTACTTGTAGATATTGAAGAGGTTGTGGACAGTGGTGTGGGAACTTACTTGTAGATGTTGAAGAGGTTGTGGACAGTGGTGTAGGAACTTACTTATAGATGTTGAAGAGGTTGTGGACAGAGGTGTGGGAACTTACTTGTACATGTTGAAGAGGTTGTGGACAGTGGTGCAGGAACTTACTTGTACATGTTGAGGAGGTTGTGGACAGTGGTGTAGGAACTTACTTGTGGATGTTGAAGAAGTTGTGGACAATGGTGTGGGAACTTACTTGTGGATGTTGAAGAAGTTGTGGACAATGGTGTGGGAACTTACTTGTGGATGTTGAAGAGGTTGTGGACAGTGGTGTAGGAACTTACTTGTAGATGTTGAAGAGGTTGTGGACAGTGGTGTAGGAACTTACTTGTAGATGTTGAAGAGGTTGTGGACAGTGGTGTGGGAACTTACTTGTAGATGTTGAAGTAGTTGTGGACAGTGGTGTGGAAACTTACTTGTAGATGTTGAGGAGGTTGTGGACAGTGGTGTAGGAACTTACTTGTAGATGTTGAAGTAGTTGTGGATAGTGGTGTGGGAACTTACTTGTAGATGTTGAGGAGGTTGTGGACAGTGGTGTAGGAACTTACTTGTAGATGTTGAAGTAGTTGTGGATAGTGGTGTGGGAACTTACTTGTAGATGTTGAAGAGGTTGTGGACAGTGGTGTGGGAACTTACTTGTAGATGTTGAAGTAGTTGTGGACAGTGGTGTAGGAACTTACTTGTAGATGTTGAAGAGGTTGTGGACAGTGGTGTGGGAACTTACTTGTAGATGTTGAAGAGGTTGTGGATAGTGGTGTGGGAACTTACTTGTAGATGTTGAAGAGGTTGTGGACAGTGGTGTGGGAACTTACTTGTAGATGTTGAAGAGGTTGTGGACAGTGGTGTAGGAACTTACTTGTACATGTTGAAGAGGTTGTGGACAGTGGTGAGGGAACTTACTTGTAGAAGTTGAAGAGGTTGTGGACAGTGGTGTGGGAACTTACTTGTACATGTTGAAGAGGTTGTGGACAGTGGTGTAGGAACTTACTTGTAGATGTTGAAGAGGTTGTGGACAGTGGTGTAGGAACTTACTTGTAGATGTTGAAGAGGTTGTGGACAGTGGTGAGGGAACTTACTTGTAGATGTTGAAGAGGTTGTGGACAGTGGTGTGGGAACTTACTTGTACATCTTGAAGAGGTTGTGGACAGTGGTGTAGGAACTTACTTGTAGATGTTGAGGAGGTTGTGGACAGTGGTGTGGGAACTTACTTGTACATGTTGAGGAGGTTGTGGACAGTGGTGTGGGAACTTACTTGTAGATGTTGAAGAGGTTGTGGACAGTGGTGTGGGAACTTACTTGTAGATGTTGAAGAGGTTGTGGACAGTGGTGTGGGAACCTACTTGTGGATGTTGAAGAGGTTGTGGACAGTGGTGTGGGAACTTACTTGTAGATATTGAAGAGGTTGTGGACAGTGGTGTGGGAACTTACTTGTAGATGTTGAAGAGGTTGTGGACAGAGGTGTGGGAACTTACTTGTAGATGTTGAAGAGGTTGTGGACAGTGGTGTAGGAACTTACTTGTAGATGTTGAAGGGGTTGTGGACAGTGGTGTGGGAACTTACTTGTAGATGTTGAAGAGGTTGTGGACAGTGGTGTAGGAACTTACTTGTAGATGTTGAAGATGTTGTGGACAGTGGTGTGGGAACTTACTTGTAGATGTTGAAGAGGTAGGTTCCCTGGTTGCCATCACCATACGGGGTGATATATCCAAGTTCCCTCTCACTCCGCTTCTCTCCCAGAAAGTACTCGTTTTTTGCGACGGTGTACCAGAGACCACGCAACTGAAGAAGACATCATCATGGCTGCTGTCATAGACAATGTTATGCATACTTATCACATGTTCTACATGTACTAGCTCTTCAGAGGCACCCAGGACATCCATTTTTCCTCTTTTTATGAGTCTGGCTAAATGGGGGCTACTGGTATAGTATTATACCAGATCTAATTTACTGCTCTTTCTTCAAATCTGCCTATCACTATCTAGTCCCAAATCAAATCTCATTCAAATCTGATCTTAGAACTCTCTACCACTAAACAAAGACCTGAAGCCATACCATTATGGGTCATGGCTGTATGATTTTTCAACAATCCGAGCGTCGCTTAGCAGATCGGCAAAGTGACAATCAGAATGTGTTTTCTAATCATGCAAACTTGAAACGGTTGACATGCAGTATTCAGAAGGACAGTTACTGGCTGTGCAACTGATTTCATCAAAATCATCGGCCATCTCTCGCTCCAATGGGATAAACATTTGAAACAGAAGAGACTTAGCCTTAGCCCTTGTGAAGTACAGACATCTATTAGACATTCCAGAATGTTCTTTTGCGATCAGTTTTCAAAAACTGAATCGACATTTTTCAAAGCGTAGTTGGAAATGGAAGTTGCCAGTTTGAAACTAGTGCCGTAAAGCTTGAGAAAACGGTTCTCTCGACTTCTTGTCAGTCATTTCATTGGTCAGTCAAAGTTCAAAAAAGGTTGTTCTGACATGACCCGTTAATTGAATGTCCTCAGATCTGTGTCTAGCGGTTGAGAACAATGATCTGATTTAACGGGACTGGTCCCAAAGCAAGCCCACCCTCATCCTTAACCCAACCTCCAACCTCACAACACCCACCCACCCTCAACCCAACCCCACTCAACCTAACCCTCACCTTCAACATTTCTCCCACTCAACCCAACACCCACCCTCAACCCAACCCTCAACTTAACCCCCATCAACCCAATCTCATTAAAATCAGATCTTAGTTCTCGCTTTCGCTAAACAAAGATCTGAGGACATCCCATTATGGGTCACGTCAGAACCTTTCATCTGACCAATCAGAGAGTTGCTTACCAGATCATATGAAAGTCACAGTTGGAATGTGTTTTCTGATCATGCAACCTCGAAAATGTTAACACGGAGTATTCCAAATGACAGTTACGGCCCGCACAACTAATTCCGTCAAAATTATCGTCTATCTCTCACTTCAGATGGATAAACATTTGAACGGAGGAGGCGTTACACATTACACAGAAAGCACTGCCATACAATCTCAACCATATATTAGACATTCTGGAATGTTCGTTTGTTCAGTTTTCAAAATTTTCATCGAGAACTGTGTCAACATATTTTTCAAGCATAGTCTGAAATGGAATTCGCTAGGTTGAAACGAGTGCTGTAAAGCTCGAGAAAGCTGTTTTCTAATTGGCTGATGTCAAAATCATTTTAGTCATTTCAAAGTTCGCAAAAGGTCGTTCTAACATGACCTGTAATGGGATGTCCTCAGATCTTTGTTTGGCGGCAGAACTTAGATCTGATTTTAATGAGATTGCCATCAACCCCACCCCGACCCTCAACCCTACCCCCATCCTCAACCAAACCCCAACACTCAACCCAACCCCCGACCCTCCACCCAAACCCAACCCTAAACCCAACTCCAACTCAACCCCATCCCAACCATCAACCCAACCACTACCATTAACCCAACCACTACCATCAATCCAAACGCCACCCTCAACCCTACTTCCACTCAACCCCATCCCAACCATCAACCCAACCACTACCATTAACCCAACCACTACCATCAACCCAACCCCCACTTCCACTCAACCCTACTTCCACTCAACCCAATCCCAACCACTACCATCAACCCAACCCCCACCCTCAACCCTACTTCCACTCAACCTCATCCCAACCATCAACCCAACAAATCCATCAACCCAACCACTACCATCAACCCAACCCCCACCCTCAACCCTACTTCCACTCAACCCCATCCCAACCATCAACCTCACCACTACCATCAACCCAACCCCTACCCTACTTCCACTCAACCCTATCCCAACCATCAACCCAACCACTACCATCATATCAACCCCCACCCTCAACCCTACTTCCACTCAACCCCATCCCAACCATCAACCCAACCACTACCATCAACCCAACCCCTACCCTCAACTCTACTTCCACTCAACCCCATCCCAACTATCAACCCAACCACTACCATTAACCCAACCCCTACCATCAACCCAACCCCCACCCTCAACCCTAGTTCCACTCAACCCCATCCCAATCATCAACCCAACCACTACCATCAACCCAACCCCTACCCTACTTCCACTCAACCCCATCCGAACCATCAACCCAACCACTACCATCAACCCAACCACTACCCTCCACCCAACCCCCAACCCTACTTCCACTCAACCCCATCCCAACCATCAACCCAACCACTACCATCAACCCAAACACTACCATCAACCCAACCCCTACCCTCAACCCTACTTCCACTCAACCCAACCCCTACCATCAACCTAATCCCTACCCTCAACCCCATCCCAACCATCACTACAACCCCCACCCTCACCACTGGACCAGGCAACTTGAGCTAACCTGTTGCAGTGAGACGTCCTGCGTCTGTATAAAGTCCATGCTGCACTCGACCACGCTGAAGTCTGGGGACACAGAGGAACACAGCAGGCTGAGCAAGGAGTCATACAGGGCGTATTAGGGGATAATACGGAGATGAGGGGGGTTATAGGGGCTAGTAGGGAACTGATGGGAAGGTATAGGTCTTGTTGGGAGTTCATAGAGGGCTGATAGGGGCCTGACAGATATCTGACAGGGCTGATAAGATGTTGATAGATATTTCATAGGGAGTTCACAGAGGGCTGATAGGGGCCTGACAGATATCTGACAGGGCTGATAAGATGTTGATAGATATTTTAAAGGGAGTTCATAGAGGGCTGATAGGGGCCTGACAGATATCTGACAGGGCTGATAAGATGTTGATAGATATTTCATAGGGAGTTCACAGAGGGCTGATAAGGGCCTGACAGATATCTGACAGGGCTGATAAGATGTTGATAGATATTTCATAAGGAGTTCACAGAGGGATGATAGGGGCCTGACAGATATCTGACAGGGCTGATAAGATGTTGATAGATATTTCAAAGGGAGTTCATAGAGGGCTGATAGGGGCCTGACAGATATCTGACAGGGCTGATAAGATGTTGATAGATATTTCATAGGGAGTTCATAGAGGGCTGGTAGGGGCCTGACAGATATCTGACAGGGCTGATAAGATGTTGATAGATATTTCATAGGGAGTTCATAGAGGGCTGGTAGGGGCCTGACAGATATCTGACAGGGCTGATAAGATGTTGATAGATATTTCATAGGGAGTTCATAGAGGGCTGGTAGGGAATATAGGGCTGATCCAAATGATCTAAGAGGGCTGATTGAATGCTACTAGGGAAATGTTCGAGAGGACAGGGATGTTGGTAAGATAGCACAGATTGATAATAAGAAACCATTGATATGGAATAAAGTCCTTCGAACTGTATGCTGTGAAACATAAAAACAAATACCTGCAGTTAACTCCCCTTGGTCAGCAGCATCCTGGATCTTGATGGGGATTTTACACAGACCTGCAATGTAAGCACAAGGTAGGAGCTGACTGATACACGTCATCTTAAAACCCTATCTTCTAAGGCGCCACGATTCGCTGTGCAGAGTTGTGTCCCTTGGACACACCAGTAACCTATGATTGTGGGTTTGAATCACGGTTCACCCCGATTATGTTTCTAGTTTTGTCAGCACCATACCCATGGTCGTGGGTTTCACCGAAGTGGTAAAAGTCTGAGACCTGAATCACGTCGGACTTTCCTCCCACATCAAGCTGACATGCCGCTATATAACTGGAATACTGTTAAAAGCTGCGTTAAACCCAACTCACTCACTCACTCTTATCTGTGAATCCGGAGCTAAATATATTGCATTTTATCATCACAGATGGATTCTTGAGATACAAGACAGTAATAAAAGCAAGAAGACAGAAAGACATGAGACAGAGGAACCTTCATCTTTTCTTGACGAAATGTTCCAGCAAGAGATATCAGACAATGGGCGATCTTTTTCAATTTATCTTCCCTTCACTTACCCGCTAGGTGCGCTGACCCGGACGGTCCAACCTTAAACTGACGGCGCATGTGGTATGCGCGATACGAGCACTACATGTAACTATGACGCCTACAGACAGTTAACTAGTATAACCTTCACCTCTGTCGGCAACGGTCACGCTTGTGTGTGGACAGCATATCTTTTCGCCTAAACACTGATTTATCTATTGCCATGTCCGGAAATAAATGTTCCTTGATTTAATGATACATCAGGAATGACCACGACTGATTATATTGTATAGTTATCCACTAGATAGGCGTTCGAAGCGATGCGGTGAGATCAGCTGATCGTTCATCCCAGGTCGCTTTGTTGACGTTTTGCAATCGGTACTGAAAGTGTTGCCCTTGATGTATGAATATGAAAATTAAGTAGATTTTGTATACGTTCCTATATCTATGTTGTAGCATCGCCGAGCAGGCTACATCATATGCATGCATTTCAGTATGTACAACGGTGAGGCGATACGCTACGCGAAATGTGAAGGTATCATGCAACGTTGCCCGTAGCCTCAATGTTGTGAATATTGACAGCAACACGTGTAAGTATTTGTCAGATATATAATAGAGAGCAATGAGAAATGTTCTCAAGAAATTGTAAGAGTAACAGGCACTGTACAATTACGCCATCAACTAGATATCATGAGACAATGTTCAAAATAAAAGAAATGGAAATCACTGAAATCTGTTTTGATATTTAAGGGTTAATTGGTGCATGTTGTATACAAGGATTTTATGTATATGAATGGTAGCTGTTTGTTGCCAAATACTACCATGATTATTTTTCAATATGATCAATGAAAGATATATATTCTTTTGGCCTTTTTTTAATTTTAGAAAGTAGAAAAAAAAATTCAGACACAGAGGACCCTATATATTAGTTAAAATACATATTCAAGAGTATTTGTACCAACTACAATTTATATAAAATAAAACAATATATTCATACTAATTGCCAATCTCTATAATGTTGATGGTATTAACAATGCAGTGTCTACATCAAGTTTGCATTGACAATAATCATATGATTGTGACACAGATAAAGCTGATTCTTAACTTCATTAGGCCTTGCTTTTTATGTTCCCTTGTTCTAAACTGATGTTTCAAATTCCAACATAAACAAATTATTAATGTTATTCTTTTTTCTCTTCACACCAAAAGATATCTGCCTTGCACAATGACTCTTATTATTTCATTTAATAACTTGGCGCACTTGTGCATGCGTACTAGTATTTGATTACACGTGCATGACTTTTTAGCTGTCATCTGTTTCTGAACTGAATATTATGCTAATAATGATAAGTAACATAAAAAAGGGACTCTGGTATTGTTCCAGGTTTGGAGAATCAATCAATTCATTGTGAAAACATATTTAATTTCTTACATAAGTTACTTTGATCTTGATAAGATCAAAATAGATTCAAATTAAATTGAGGAGATTAAATTATGCAGTCTTATTCATTTCAGCCAGTCTGTCCATTTTTTCAGGCAATAATAAATGAATGAAAATTTAAGAAAATATATACCTTACCTGAGTGAATCAGTCAATATGTATAATGACTGAAATGTGGAGTCAAAATACATATTGGGCCTGATTATAGACACTGACTGTAACATATGTAAGTATAATCTGTTATATGCAAAAACAAATAACATAAATAAATCCATTTATCTACATGGAATGAATGGGGTTTAATTTGCATTTTTTTAACCATCAGAAGATTTGATGATAAACTTTCATATTCATATTTACATATAAAATTCATATTTGCTATATGATAATAATATCTACAAAATATACTTTATACTACAGGTGTCTTGAAGCACTGTTGAATGAAAATCAGGATACTTAAATACAGCAGGATAGTGTGTGGGTTTGTATGGGAAATAATTTGTCAACATTAAAATAAATATAATGTTACTAAAACAAGAAGATAAAACTATGATTTAGATCTATTTATGCATCATGCACAATTTGTGGGGTAGTCAGTATGATTTGTTGTTTGTTTGGACAAATCTCTGTAATTTACTACTTTTTTAAGAGCATGAGTATCAGAATTCTGTAAGAAATGATGGATCAATGAATTAACACCTGTGATGACTCAGAGCACTTATAATGATGGGACACATGTTATAAGGGGCAGAATAATAAAATCTCTTATTTCAATGTATGATGACTGGTATGTATATTGCAAATGAGTAACTGAGTGCTTAATAGATGCATGGTAGATGTTCATTTGGCCTATTTCTAAAATAATAATATAAATTTAAATATTCAGATGCAACTTTAATTTTGATATAAAAAGTAACATTTAAAATCAGTTGTTTTATTATTTTGAACGTTATTTCTTCTTAAAATATTTGTAAAGGCACGGATGTATACTTACTATAAAGATCATTGGTAAAGGCCTGTCAAAGATGTCTGTGTGCTGCAAATGTTGGGGTATCACTAATTTTATTAAATTGAAGTCCATGGTAGTATTTGTTGAGATTTGAATTCTTTCATTGTTGTAGGAAATAACACAAAGGCTGATAAATAAAATGAGTTTGCATTATTTCATCGATGCAATATGTTAGCCCAGACTGACAGAATGCCTCGCTGTTTTCTGACGTAGAAAATACCGTGGCAATATACCATTTTTCATGACGTTTTTCCCGCTATATTTCAAAGTGACAATTCGTCTTGCAGTTGAAGACTCAACAAATGTTGATATTATAAACTAATAATCACTACAAAATATGTGCTAGTTAAAAATATTCAGTTGTAAACGACCGTTTTTGAACGAAGGTGCAACAGGATAACTCTTTAGCTTGGCTCCGTCTCTACATGTTAGAAGTTGTCGCAGCGCGCATTGATTCGGGAACCAGACCGGATGCGACAGTTTGGACCGTCGCTTATATCATTTCAAAAGGAGAGTTATTGCCCTTTGGAACAAAAAGATCGCCCATTAAAGCTTTGTTTGAAAATAAGCACAGAGTAGTAGGAGAAAGTGTCAAAGAGTATCTGTTCAAGCAGTGAAATTGTTCCCTTGTTTCCATTATCTCCAGGGGAATCGACTCCATGGAACAATTTTAACTTGGTAAATTTTCCACCATACATGTACACAGGCAATATTTGTTCCGGACTGAACTCATTCCGTGTGGAACTGATCATTGTTGACACAAGTCCTGTCAATTTTTTTTAACACATCCATAATACCGATACACTGTCTTGACTCCTTTATCTTGCCACAGTGAGTGAGTGAGTGAGTGAGTGAGTGAGTGAGTGAGTGAGTGAGTGAGTGAGTGAGTGAGTGAGTGAGTGAGTGAGTGAGTGAGTGAGTGAGTTGGGTTTAACGACGCTTTTAACAGTATTGTAGTTATATCGCAGGGTGTCAGCTTAATGTGGGAGGAAAACCCGAAATGATAAAGGTCTCAGATATTTACTACTTAGGTGAAACTCACGAGCACGGGTATAGTGCTGACAATCCTAGAAACATAATCAGGGTGAACCGTGATTCAAACCCAAAATCATAGGTTTCTGGCGTGCCCAAGGGAAGCAACTCTGCACAGCGAGTCATGGCGCCTCAGACGAATGGGCAACCTGTGCCCCTTATCTTGCCACAGGCTGGAATTCAGTGAGTGAGTATCATTTTAAGCCACTTTTAGTCATATTCAAGCAACATCATGGTGTGGAACACCAGAAATGGGGTCACATATTGTACCCATGTGGGGAATCGAACCCAGGCCTTTGACATGATGAACCAACAACACTTAAACCAAAAGGCTACCCCACCACCACTTATGATAGTAATAGGGCTTTGGTAGCTGTACAGAACCTCTGTCTGAAAGGAAGGATGAACCATGTTGAGGTGAAATGTCTGACCTGTTCTAATCTTGATGATGTCCTCCCTCTCTGCACACGTCCCCTCCACATACCCCTGCAGTAGCTCCATGTCCTCCTCTGTCATGTCCTCAGAGCGGGACAGGAAGTTGATGGACAGGCTGTCTCTTCGACATGTGCCATCCTCCTGCATGAACAGACAGATGTACGTCACGGCCACTGTGTCCTCCAGATGTAGGACCTTCATCATCACTGAAACAGAGAGACCACTATGAAAGGAAACATTTCATAACCCATACAGTACAACAGGAAACACTTTTACAACCCAGACTAGTCCAACAGGAAACAATGTAACAACCTAACTGATCCAATAGGAAACAATGTAACAACCTAACAGATCCAATAGGAAACAATGTAACAACCTAACAGATCCAATAGGAAAGAATGTAAGAACCTACCTGGTCCATTAGGAAACAATGTAAAAACCTAACTGATCCAATAGGAAACAATTTAACAACTTAATGATCCAATGGGAAACAATTAAACAACCTAACTGATCCAACAGGAAACAATGTAACAACCTAGCTGATTCAATAGGAAACAATGTAATAACCTACCTGATCTAATAGGAAACAATGTAACAACCTAGCTGATCCAATAGGAAACAATTTAACAAATTTAACAAATTAATGATCCAATGGGAAACAATTTAACTGATCCAACAGGAAACAATGTAACAACTTAATGATCTGACATGGAAACAATGTAACAACTTAATGATCAAATAGGTAACAATGCAAAAATCCTACCTGGTCCAACAGGAAACAATGTAATAACCTACCTGATCAAATAGGAAACAATTAAACAACTTAATGATCCAATAGGAAACAATTTAACTACTTAATGATCCAATAGGTAACAATTTAACAACTTAATAATCCAATAAGAAACAATGTAACCTACCTGGTTCATCAGCAAACAAGGCTGAGTAGTATCCAGCGCCACTTCTCTCCACCAGTGACCCTGACTCAGTTGGCAAACACTGCTCACTGACTGGGCTGGAAGGGAGATAAAGAAATGCCTGACATAGGATGGGAGCCACACATACAACCTTGACATTGGACATGAGCCACACATACAACCTTGACATTGGACATGAGCCACACATACAACCCTGACATTGGACATGAGCCACACATACAACCCTGACATTGGACATGAGCCACACATACAACCCTGACATGGGACATGAGCCACACTTACAACCTTGACATTGGACATGAGCCACACATACAACCTTGACATAGGGTATGAGCCACACATACAACCTTGACATTGCACATGAGTCACACATACAACCTTGACATAGGACATGAGCCACACATACAACCTTGACATTGGACATGAGCCACACATACAACCTTGACATTGCACATGAGCCACACATACAACCTTGACATTGGACATGAGCCACACATACAACCTTGACATAGGACATGAGCCACACATACAACCTTGATATTGCACATGAGCCACACATACAACCTTGACATTGGACATAAGCCACACATACAACCTTGACATTGCACATGAGCCACACATACAACCTTGACATTGCACATGAGCCACACATACAACCTTGACATTGGACATGAGCCACACATACAACCTTGTCATAGGACATGAACCACACATACAACCTTAACATTGCATAAGAGGCACATAAAGACATGAACACTTCACAACCCACGGACCAGTAACATGGGGAGATCTTCCCTAGTCATTACATCCTGGGCGTACCTGTACAATTTCCGTGAGAAGAGAATTCCGCTGTCACTCTCGGCGAAGTGGAGTGTCAAGGACGACTCCTCTGTCTGCCACTTCATATAGTTTGTAGAGTACACCAAGTTCCACACCCCAGTAAACTGGAAGAATGACGGACAACAAGCATGACACAACCCTTTTCTCTCACTGAATCAGGGGGTTTACACAAATGTTCAGCTTGTAAAATCCTGGAAACCCCACCAGTAAGACATGTCAAGAATTTATCATTTTGAGTTATAGTTACACACTTTTTACCATGACATATTTGTGTGTGACATTTAGATCTCTCTTGTGAGTGCCATCAGGCTTCCATCAGGTAGTCAACATCATTATGTCATGATATAATTTGAGGCCGACCAGCTGACTTGTATGGGTTTTGAGAAGACGTCCAATCAGATTATTTTATTAGTAATGACAAACATCTCCATGGAAATGACCTTTAACCCCATCAGGTAGATTGTGAAATGTTATTGGGTTTCCCAATAATGAATTCCACAACCCACAATTAGGCCTAGGCCAACTAATTTCCCAAACGAAGCATCACTATCTGTCGTGAATTATCAACCATGCATTATCTATCAGGCAATATCTGTCAAACATTATCTATCAGAATTTATCTATCATAAATAATCCATCTGGCATTATCCATCAGGCATCATATGTCAGGCATTATCTATCAGGAATTATCTATCAGGAATTATCTATCATATATTACCTATCAGGCATTATCTGACATATATTATCTATCAGGCATAATCTATCAGGCATAACCTATCAGGCATTATCCATCAGGCATTATATGTCAGGCATTATCTACCATATATTACCTATCAGGTATTACCTATCATACATTATTGATCAGGTATTATCTATCATATATAATTTATCAGGCACTATCCATCAGGCATTAACTATCAAACATCATCCATCAGGCATTACATGTTATGCATTATCTACCATAGATTATCTATCAGGCATTATCTATCATGCATTATCTATGATGCATTATCTACCAGGATTTATCTGACATGCATTATCTATGATGCATTATCTAACAGGATTTATCTGTCAGGCATTATTTGACATATATTATCTATCAGGCATAATATATCAGGCATTATATGTCAGGCATTATCTACCATATATTACCTATCAGGCATTATCTACCATATATTACCTATCAGGCATTATCTATCATATATTATTGATCTGGTATTATCTATCATATATTATTTATCAGGCAATATCTATCAGGCAATATCTATCATGCATCATCCACCAGGATTTATCTGTCAGGCATCATCCATCAGGTATTACATGTTATGCATTATCTACTATATATTATCTATCAGGCATTATCTGTCATGCATTATCTATGATGCATTATCTAACAGGATTTATTTGTCAGGCATTATCCATCATGCATAATATATCAGGCATTATCTATCCTGAATTGTCTATCACAGTCTGCAGCCATATATTACCGTGGTCAGGTCGAAGTTGGGGTCAACAGTAATGAGGTTATCATTACAGCCAGCGATGGGCAGAGCATAGTCTGTGGAAGATGATATATTAAACATGTCCTACAACTGCATCTCTGTTGGAAATAATTGTTGAGGATGTTCAATCATGTACAATGGAACACATTGACATTTTTTCTGGCGTCCCCTACCAGAATGCTGCTGGAATAATGCTAAAAGTGGTGCAAAAATCCTCACTCACTCAAGATTATACAACAGAAATCAGATATGATGATTTATAAATAGAAGTTAATAGATAGGAGATAATATCTTTTGATATCAAGAAATTATGAGATAAAGAACAGACAAAATATATGGAGCAGTGGAAATTGATGGAAGAGATTGTTGGAAGAAGTGGAGAAGATGATGTGAGAGGTGGAGGAGGGTACAGTTACTTCAAGGTGTTCATCGGGTCAGGGAGGAAGAGGAGAAGAGGGTGAGGGGTGGAGGCGGGTACAGTTACTTCAAGGTGTTCATCGGGTCAGGGAGGAAGAGGAGAAGAGGGTGAGGGGTGGAGGAGGGTACAGTTACTTCAAGGTGTTCATCGGGTCAGGGAGGAAGAGGAGAAGAGGGTGAGGGGTGGAGGAGGGTACAGTTACTTCAAGGTGTTCATCGGGTCAGGGAGGAAGAGGAGAAGAGGGTGAGGGGGTGGAGGAGGGTACAGTTACTCCAAGGTGTTCATCAGGTCAGTGAGGGAGAGGAGAAGAGGGTGAGGGGTGGAGGAGGGTACAGTTAGTTCAAGGTGTTCATCGGGTCAGGGAGGGAGAGGAGAAGAGGGTGAGAGGTGGAGGAGGGTACAATTACTTCAAGGTGTTCATCGGGTCAGGGAGGAAGAGGAGAAGAGGGTGAGGGGGTGGAGGAGGGTACAGTTACTTCAAGGTGTTCATCAGGTCAGGGAGGAAGAGAAGAAGAGGGTGAGGGGTGGAGGAGGGTACAGTTACTTCAAGGTGTTCATCGGGTCAGGGAGGAAGAGGAGAAGATGGTGTGAGAGGTGGAGGGTACAGTTACTCAAGGCTGTTCATCGGGTCAGGGAGGAAGAGGAGAAGAGGGTGAGGGGGTGGAGGAGGGTTCAGTTACTTCAAGGTGTTCATCAGGTCAGAGAGGAAGAGGAGAAGAGGGTGAGGGGTGGAGGAGGGTACAGTTACTTCAAGGTGTTCATAGGGTCAGGAAGGAAGAGGAGAAGAGGGTGAGGGGTGGAGGAGGGTGCAGTTACTCCAAGGTGTTCATCAGGTCAGGAAGGAAGAGGAGAAGAGGGTGAGGGGTGGAGGAGGGTACAGTTACTCCAAGGTGTTCATCAGGTCAGGAAGGAAGAGGTGAAGATGGATGGAAGCTCTCAAGAGTGAGGTGTTCCGGGTAGTGGAGAGGCCTTGAAGATACAGAGGAGGTTGTGACGGTAGTGGAGGAGATGCAATGTTGATGAGTTACAGACACTGAAGATCTCACCTGTTGTGATTTGGTGGCCCCGCACTGCGTCTATGATGGACTGGGGAATACTGCAGGCAGCTGTGGGGAATAAATGATAACAAATCAGAAACAATGTCTGACCAATTCCTTATATCTATCTTCCGTCTCATCCCCATCTCTTCTGTCTGATCCCCATCTCCTGCATCTGACCCTCATCTCCTCAAGTAGTCAGTCTGTTTATAGTTTGGCTGGAAGTGATTCATTAAACCTTTACAGAAAACAGATGACCAAAGATCTAATGTGACTCAATTTACAGGTTAGAGTTGCTTCCCTTAGCCGTGACAGGATCAGACAGTAAATCTCAGATTAACCTGTATTAGGATCCTTTAACTGTTGAAACCTTGCACATGTATTTCACAAATGTTGTCAGTTATAAGCAGCATTAGAACTACAAATACTGTTCAAAATTCTGCTAAGCCCCACCATCCATCTGCCCTCCTGCTCACTCACTCACTCACTCACTCACTCACTCACTCACTAGACCTGTGAAGATCCGGGGTAGAATAGGTCTTCAGTAACCCATGCTTGTGATGAAAGGCGACTATGCTTGTCGTAAAAGGCGACTAACAGGATCAGGTGGTCAGGCTCGCTGACTTGGTTGAAGCACGTCATCCATCCCAATTGCGTGGATCGATGCTCATGATTTTAATCACTGGATTGTCTGGTCCAGATTTGATTATTTACAGACCGCCGTCAAAGAGTTAGAATATTGCTGAGTGCGGTTTTAAACAACACTCCATCCAACCACTCACTCCCTTACTCAACCACTGCTTGCAGCTGGAATATTGCTGCGTGCGGTTTTAAACAACACTCCATCCAACCACTCACTCACTCACTCACTCCCTTACTCAACCAATGCTTACAGCTGGAATATTGCTGCGTGCGGTGTTAAACAACACTCCATCCAACCACTCACTCACTCACTCCCTTACTCAACCACTGCTTACAGCTGGAATATTGCTGAGTGCGGTGTTAACAAGAAACAGACAAACAACAGAGACTCATTGTTACAGTGTACACATTTACCTGGTTCCGTCTGGGCCATGGTGCTGACATCAGCACACACATCGTTGACGTAGTCCATGAGTGTGTTGAGACGCTGCTCGTCCACAACGGCGTGAACGGACATGATCTCCACCAGTCTGGAGTCACTGGGGCAGCTCTCGCCCATCGTGGTGTCGAAACACGAGTAGGTCACAGCATACTCATCATCCGCGTACACAATCCTGTACATGCCTGGAACAGGCCAACACGACGTTACATAACATGAACATGGTGATGAAGAAGACTGTGAGTAGATAAAAGGTTGCGAATAATTTCAATAGATTCTTCATTCTCATACAGAGCTGATGCTGAGTGAAAAAGACATGTCTTCATTGAAATATACTTACTGTATTCGACGTAATAAGCGCCCAGGGCGCTCTCAAAATTAGAAATAGGGGGTTCCTATTGGAATTTTATTTTGGTGAAAAAAACAGAGTTGAAAGTTCGTAAATTTCGTGGTTTATGCTGACAACCTGAAATGTTTATATGCGACATATATATTTTTCCAGGATTTAATTGCCCATAATTAAGGGTGCATATAACACACGAGTGCTTATTATACACGAGTAAATAAGTCTTGTACATGTGTACATTGAACGAAGGGGTGCTAATTGAGATTGTTCACTAGCCAATATATTAGCAAATATCGCCGTGAGCGCTTATTAGAGTGGGGCGCTTATTACGTCAAATAAGGTATATACCAAAACAATGGAATACGTCCCTGTGAAGCTGAAGAAATAGACACAAGTGAAATGTTAGTACTGTACATTGTGTGTCACAAATTATTAAATAAAATCAACATACACTTGCAGCTGTAACATAAACCTGGGTCCACTTGCATAGAAAAATCTTAGTTACAACTGATCTTAGGCGGCTACAATCAACTTTACAATCACCATACAATTTCATTACATTCCACTTGCACAAACTGATCTTAGCACGATTGTAAGATGGCTTGGACTTAAGATCGCAATCTTAGCTAAGATTAAATTCTTCAACGGTGGAGGTACAAATATCTTAAACTCGATTCCTGTCTACAGTTGTCTGCAAACACGCATAGCTTGCTGCGCATACAATAAGTGGAACCGGTTCCGACATTCAACATGACCTCCCTCCATTGCACCTTGCATAGTTTTAAGAAAGGTCCCAATTTTTTAAGGAAACGATTACTAGAATGATGGCATATATTTTTGACGGCATTGATACTGTTGATTTAGGAATTCTTTGATATTGCAGCTAGAGAAATACCTACTAATGTTTTATTAAAAGTATTGAAATAAATACATAATTTAGTGACATAAATATTATGAAAATAAAAATAAATAAAATTAATACGGCCTAATAACATAACACATAAAGGTAAGATCGTCATCTATTTTGGGGAGCTTTTCGAAAAATCCTAAACATATCCTTAAATTCATGTTTTCATTTTGCTGCTATAACAAAGGATATTGTGACAACCTTAAAAGACGGATTTCAAGAATGCTTGGACCGGAAATAAGAATAATGAATAATGTTTCGAGAAAGCAGTTGTTTAATATGTATTCACTAGGTATTAATTATATTGATCATTATTTTTAAAAAGTGTGAATTTTACTTTTGCTATTTATGGGATATTTTACACAAATTTCAAATGTATCCTCAAATGTATTTGCTTGTTTGATGAATACTTGTATTATTTTCTTTTAAATTCAGATATTAAAACCGCTTGTCCCCGTCCCACTCGATTTTTTATTGAAACATATGATTTTGCTCTTCAACATGTATTTATTTGTAGTGAGTTTAATGATAAACTAAAGACAAAATATCTGACACAAATGTGATCCAAAAGAAATTCAGCGAGCTCAGCGATTCTACAACATTAATACACTGGGCAAGGTAGCTTCTCCTCTACATACAAAGGGAAACCACTCCCATCTTGAGTAAAAAATAAGATTAGCTGCCCTTGATTTATTCAAAAGGTCAGAGACATTACAAATCGCTTGCCGAGGACTTAGCGACTTAGGTTTTTATCCTTCCCTTGATCAGCGAACATGTATGTTGTTCCACACTTCTTTCAGCATTGAGTCAGGTGGGAATAGGACTTTTAGCTATCTACTCGATAGTTCTGTGGTTCACTATCCGATTAACGATATTTCTAATGTTAAATCTGTGGTGCATTCTTCATGTTGTTGATGCGTGGATTTGAATCATAAAGTTTAACAAAATAAAGAGGCAATGTTTGAACATAAAGCAGATTATTTATGTGAAACAGACCAAGTCTTGCACGCCATTTTCTCAAGTTTATTCAGGGCCTGCAACGATCTTAGCTACTTAAGATTGGTCCAGACCAATTGTAGGTTTGGACTGTAGCTTACAATGATCTTAGCCTACAATCGCTTTATGCAAGTGGATGGATCCCTGGATAATGTTAATACAATGTTCCAAAGCAAAAAATGTAGTTTTAAATTTAGCTGGGCCTCATTTTACACAGCAGTCATCCAGCCACACCTACTAACATTGCACATCAGTGTCACTCACTTTAGAGGCTGCTGCTGTAACTCACCAAGGAGGCTGCCAATGTAACTCACCAAGGAGGCTGATGTAACTCACCAAGGAGGCTGATGTAACTCACCAAGTAGGCTGATGTAACTCACCAAGGAGGCTGCTGATGTAACTCACCAAGGAGGCTGATGTAACTCACCAAGGAGGCTGCTGATGTAACTCACCAAGGAGGCTTCTGATGTAACTCACCAAGGAGGCTTCTGATGTAACTCACCAAGGAGGCTGATGTAACTCACCAAGGAGGCTGATGTAACTCACCAAGTAGGCTGATGTAACTCACCAAGGAGGCTGCTGATGTAACTCACCAAGGAGGCTTCTGATGTAACTCACCAAGGAGGCTTCTGATGTAACTCACCAAGGAGGCTGATGTAACTCACCAAGGAGGCTGATGTAACTCACCAAGGAGGCTGATGTAACTCACCAAGGAGGCTGCTGCTGTAACTCACCAAAGAGGCTGATGTAACTCACCAAGGAGGCTGCTGATGTAACTCACCAAGTAAGCTGATGTAACTCACCAAGGAGGGGGATGTAACTCACCAAGTAGGCTCCTGATGTAACTCACCAAGTAGGCTCCTGATGTAACTCACCAAGGAGGGTGCTGATGTAACTCACCAAGGAGGGGGATGTAACTCACCAAGGAGGGGGATGTAACTCACCAAGGAGGCTGCTGATGTAACTCACCAAGGAGGCTGCCAATGTAACTCACCAAGTAGGCTGATGTAACTCACCAAGGAGGCTGCTGATGTAACTCACCAAGGAGGCTGATGTAACTCACCAAGGAGGCTGCTGATGTAACTCACCAAGGAGGCTTCTGATGTAACTCACCAAGGAGGCTTCTGATGTAACTCACCAAGGAGGCTGATGTAACTCACCAAGGAGGCTGATGTAACTCACCAAGTAGGCTGATGTAACTCACCAAGGAGGCTGCTGATGTAACTCACCAAGGAGGCTTCTGATGTAACTCACCAAGGAGGCTTCTGATGTAACTCACCAAGGAGGCTGATGTAACTCACCAAGGAGGCTGATGTAACTCACCAAGGAGGCTGATGTAACTCACCAAGGAGGCTGCTGCTGTAACTCACCAAAGAGGCTGATGTAACTCACCAAGGAGGCTGCTGATGTAACTCACCAAGTAAGCTGATGTAACTCACCAAGGAGGGGGATGTAACTCACCAAGTAGGCTCCTGATGTAACTCACCAAGTAGGCTCCTGATGTAACTCACCAAGGAGGGTGCTGATGTAACTCACCAAGGAGGGGGATGTAACTCACCAAGGAGGGGGATGTAACTCACCAAGGAGGCTGCTGATGTAACTCACCAAGGAGGCTGCTGCTGTAACTCACCAAGGAGGCTGCCAATGTAACTCACCAAGTAGGCTGATGTAACTCACCAAGGAGGCTGATGTAACTCACCAAGGAGGGGGATGTAACTCACCAAGGAGGCTGCTGATGTAACTCACCAAGGAGGCTGCTGCTGTAACTCACCAAGGAGGCTGCCAATGTAACTCACCAAGTAGGCTGATGTAACTCACCAAGGAGGCTGCCAATGTAACTCACCAAGGAGGGGGATGTAACTCACCAAGTAGGCTCCTGATGTAACTCACCAAGTAGGCTCCTGATGTAACTCACCAAGTAGGCTCCTGATGTAACTCACCAAGGAGGGTGCTGATGTAACTCACCAAGGAGGGGGATGTAACTCACCAAGGAGGGGGATGTAACTCACCAAGTAGGCTCCTGATGTAACTCACCAAGTAGGCTCCTGATGTAACTCACCAAGTAGGCTCCTGATGTAACTCACCAAGGAGGCTGCTGATGTAACTCACCAAGGAGGCTGCTGCTGCATCTCACCAAGGAGGCTGCTGATGTAACTCACCAAGGAGGCTGCTGATGTAACTCACCAAGGAGGCTGCCAATGTAACTCACCAAGTAAGCTGATGTAACTCACCAAGGAGGGGGATGTAACTCACCAAGTAGGCTCCTGATGTAACTCACCAAGTAGGCTCCTGATGTAACTCACCAAGGAGGGTGCTGATGTAACTCACCAAGGAGGGGGATGTAACTCACCAAGGAGGGGGATGTAACTCACCAAGTAGGCTCCTGATGTAACTCACCAAGTAGGCTCCTGATGTAACTCACCAAGTAGGCTCCTGATGTAACTCACCAAGGAGGGTGCTGATGTAACTCACCAAGGAGGGGGATGTAACTCACCAAGGAGGGGGATGTAACTCACCAAGTAGGCTCCTGATGTAACTCACCAAGTAGGCTCCTGATGTAACTCACCAAGTAGGCTCCTGATGTAACTCACCAAGGAGGCTGCTGATGTAACTCACCAAGGAGGCTGCTGCTGCATCTCACCAAGGAGGCTGCTGATGTAACTCACCAAGTAAGCTGATGTAACTCACCAAGTAAGCTGATGTAACTCACCAAGGAGGGGGATGTAACTCACCAAGGAGGGGGATGTAACTCACCAAGTAGGCTCCTGATGTAACTCACCAAGGAGGCTGCTAAGTAACTCACCAAGGAGGCTGCTGCTGCATCTCACCAAGGAGGCTGCTGATGTAACTCACCAAGGAGGGTGCTGATGTAACTCACCAAGGAGGCTGCTGCTGTTACTCATCAAGGAGGCTGCCAATGTAACTCACCAAGGAGGCTGCCAATGTAACTCAACAAGTAGGCTGATGTAACTCACCAAGGAGGGTGCTGATGTAACTCACCAATGAGGCTGCTGCTGTAACTCACCAAGTAGGCAGATGTAACTCACCAAGGAGGCTGATGTAACTCACCAATGAGGCTGCCAGTGTAACTCACCAAGTAGGCTGATGTAACTCACCAAGGAGGGTGCTGATGTAACTCACCAAGTAGGCTGATGTAACTCACCAAGGAGGGGGATGTAACTCACCAAGGAGGCTGATGTAACTCACCAAGGAGGCTGCTGATGTAACTCACCAAGGAGGCTGCTGATGTAACTCACCAAGTAGGCAGATGTAACTCACCAAGGAGGCTGATGTAACTCACCAATGAGGCTACCAATGTAACTCACCAAGTAGGCTGATGTAACTCACCAAGGAGGGTGCTGATGTAACTCACCAAGTAGGCTGATGTAACTCACCAAGTAGGCTGATGTAACTCACCAAGGAGGGGGATGTAACTCACCAAGGAGGCTGATGTAACTCACCAAGGAGGCTGCTGATGTAACTCACCAAGGAGGGTGCTGATGTAACTCACCAAGTAGGCTGATGTAACTCACCAAGTAGGCTGATGTAACTCACCAAGGAGGGGGATGTAACTCACCAAGGAGGCTGATGTAACTCACCAAGGAGGCTGATGTAACTCACCAAGGAGGCTGATGTAACTCACCAAGGAGGCTGCTGATGTAACTCACCATGGAGGCTGCTGCTGTCCCCAAAGCTGATGGTGTAGTCTCCAGGCTGCTCAGACTCAGTCAGCTTCAGAACCTCCACTGGCTCACATGACTCCCAGGAAGACCTGCACCAGAACAACAACATCAGGAACAAACACCACAAACAAACTAATTAAGGACCAACATTACCAGCCAAAACCATCACATGGATCACCTTGAACAAACACTACAAGGAACAAACACTGCATGAACAACAATCACCAGGAACAAACATCACCTGGAACAAACATCACAGAAACAAACACCACAGAAACAAACATCACCAGGAACAAACATCACAGAAACAAACATCCCTAGGAACAAACACCAACAGGAACAAACATCACAGAAACAAACATCACCTGGAACACACATCACAGCAACAAACATCACCTGGAACAAACATCACAGAAACAAACACCACAGAAACAAACATCACCAGGAACAAACATCACAGAAACAAACATCACCAGGAACAAACATCAACAGGAACAAACATCACCTGGAACAAACATCACAGAAACAAACATCCCTAGTAACAAACACCAACAGGAACAAACATCACAGAAACAAACATCACCTGGAACACACATCACAGCAACAAACATCACCTGGAACAAACATCACAGAAACAAACACCACAGAAACAAACATCACCAGGAACAAACATCACAGAAACAAACATCACCAGGAACAAACATCAACAGGAACAAACATCACCTGGAAAAAACGTCAAAGAAACAAACATCACCAGGAACAAACATCACAGGAACAAACACCAACAGAAACAACCATCACAGGAACAAACACCAACAGAAACAACCATCACAGGAACAAACATCACAGAAACAAACATCACCTGGAACAAACATCAAAGAAACAAACATCACCAGGAACAAACATCACCTGGAACAAACATCACCTGGAACAAACATCACAGAAACAAACATCAACAGAAACAACCATCAACAGAAACAAACATCACAGAAACAAACATCACAGAAACAAACATCACAGAAACAAACATCAACAGAAACAACCATCACAGGAACAACCATCACAGGAACAAACATCACCAGGAACAAACATCACCTGGAACACACATCACAGCAACAAACATCACCTGGAACAAACATCACAGAAACAAACACCACAGAAACAAACATCACCAGGAACAAACATCACAGAAACAAACATCACCAGGAACAAACATCAACAGGAAGAAACATCACCTGGAAAAAACGTCAAAGAAACAAACATCACCAGGAACAAACATCACAGGAACAAACACCAACAGAAACAACCATCACAGGAACAAACATCAACAGGAACAAACATCGCCTGGAACAAACATCAAAGAAACAAACATCACCAGGAACAAACATCACCTGGAACAAACATCACCTGGAACAAACATCACAGAAACAAACATCACAGGAACAAACATCAACAGGAACAAACATCACCTGGAACAAACATCACAGAAACAAACATCACCAGGAACAAACATCAACAGGAACAAACATCACCTGGAACAAACATCAAAGAAACAAACACAAACAGAAACAACCATCACAGGAACAAACATCGCCTGGAACAAACATCAACAGGAACAAACATCACAGACACAAACATCACCTGGAACAAACATCACCTTGAACAAACACCAACGAAAAACACCATCACAGGAACAAACATCACCTGGAACAAACATCACAGAAACAAACATCAACAGGAACAAACATCACAGACACAAACACCACCTAGAGACACATCACAGAAACAAACATCACCTGGAACACACATCACCTGGAACAAACATCACCTGGAACAAACATCACCAGGAACAAACATCAACAGGAACAAACATCACCTGGAACAAACATCAACAGGAACAAACATCACCTGGAACAAACATCAACAGGAACAAACATCACCAGGAACAAACATCACCTGGAACACACATCAAAGGAACAAACATGACATTGGACAAAATAATCAGGAACAAACATCACAAGAAACAAATGTCACCTGGAACACACATCACAGAAACAAACATCACCTTGAACACACATCACAGGATCAAACACCAACAGAAACAAACATCACCTTGAACACACATCACAGAAACAAACACCAACAGAAACAAACATCACCTTGAACACACATCACAGGATCAAACACCAACAGAAACAAACATCACCTTGAACACACATCACAGAAACAAACACCAACAGAAACAAACATCACCTGGAACACACATCACAAGAAACAAACATCACCTTGAACACACATCACAAGAAACAAACACCAACAGAAACAAACATCACCTTGAACACACATCACAGAAACAAACACCAACAGAAACAAACATCGCCTGGAACACACATCACAAGAAACAAACATCACCTGGAACAGACATCACAGAAACAAACACCAACTGAAACAAACATCACCAGAAACAAACACCACTTTGAATACAAAAAAAGAAACAAACATCACCTTGAACAAACATCACAGGAACAAACATGATACTGAACAAAATAATCAGGAACAAACATCACAGGAACAAACATCACCTGAAACAAACATCACAGGAACAAACATCACCTGGAACACACATCACAAGAAACAAACATCACCTGGAACAGACATCACAGAAACAAACACCAACTGAAACAAACATCACCAGAAACAAACACCACTTTGAATACAAAAAAAGAAACAAACATCACCTTGAACAAACATCACAGGAACAAACATGATACTGAACAAAATAATCAGGAACAAACATCACAGGAACAAACATCACCTGAAACAAACATCACAGGAACAAACATCACCTGGAACACACATCACCTGAAACAAACATCACAGGAACAAACATCACCTGAAACAAACACCAACAGAAACAAACATTACCTGGAACACACATCACAAGAAACAAACATCACCTGGAACACACATCACAGAAACAAACATCACCTTGAACACACATCACAGGATCAAACACCAACAGAAACAAACATCACCTTGAACACACATCACAGAAACAAACACCAACAGAAACAAACATCACCTGGAACACACATCACAAGAAATAAACATCACCTGGAACAGACATCACAGAAACAAACACCAACTGAAACAAACATCACCAGAAACAAACACCACTTTGAATACAAAAAAAGAAACAAACATCACCTTGAACACATATCACAGGAACAAACATGATACTGAACAAAATAATCAGGAACAAACATCACAGGAACAAACATCACCTGAAACAAACATCACAGGAACAAACATGACATTGAACAAAATATTACAGAAACAAACATCACAGAAACTAACATCACCAGGAACAAACATAACCTGGAACAAACATCACCTTGAACACATATCAAAGGAACAAACACCAACAGAAAAAACATCACAAGAAACAAACATCACCTTGAACACATATCACAGGAACAAACACCAACAGAAACAAACATCACCTTGAACACATATCACAGGAACAAACATGATACTGAACAAAATAATCAGGAACAAACATCACCTGAAAAAAAACATCACAGGAACAAACATGACATTGAACAAAATATTACAGAAACAAACATCACAGAAACTAACATCACCAGGAACAAACATAACCTGGAACAAACATCACAGGAACAAACATCACAGAAACTAGCATCACCAGGAACAAACATAACCTGGAACAAACATCACAGGAAGAAACATCACAGGAACAAACATGACATTGGACAAATAATCGGGAACAGACATCACAGAGCAAATATCATGTGGAACAAACATCACCAGAAACAAAAACCAGTAACAAACATGACCTGGAACAAACATCAAAGAAACAAACATCATATTGAACAAAATCAGAAACAAACATCACAGAACCAAACATCACCAGCAGCCAGCATCATCATTCTGATCTCAAAACACACAGCTGTAGGCATCACTATCTTACTTGTAGCTCCGGGTTAGGAGGAAAACATCATCACTCTCATCTTCAACTGGGGCCAACACAATTTGTTTTCGGGAACTCGGAACCAGCGACGTGTTGCCCCACATGGATGACGACCGCCACAGGGTAAACCACATTGTATCAGCAAACTGTAGCACAAACAGGCACATGGGGGTCAGTCAGAGGAGATGGGGTCACATGGCAGCAACGGGGTCATTACAGAGAAGTTAGGGGTCAGACGGAGGAGATGGGTTCAGACAGTGGAGTCAAAAAGTGTCTTATTCTCAATATATCCTGAAGCAATGATGCTTCCGTACGATTATCTGTTAATCAGGGGATATTCAATCTCATTATAATCTTTTATTCTGATAAACTACCTCTCTGCAATGAGATTAACTGGTGTATACAAGGCTATATCTCAGTCAAGTGATACCTTGTGTATGTCAAGATCAGCTTGAACTGGTACGAAGTCGGAGTGACAGCCAATCACAGAGTGATCTGAAAACAACGGGAAGTGGTGAATGCATATCACTGGAGTTTCATATCAATTAGAAATTGTGCAAACACACATAAACACAGCAGAAACATTTCCATCAATCACGCAAGAAAAACATTGACTGAAACTCTCAATGATTATAGAATAGGCTTTTGTGTGAATTTTTGTGTGTACCCACACCCCTATTACCCGACCCTACCCAGGTACTCGCTATTGGTGTCAAGAGATAGGTACAAAATGTCCAATTGGGAATAGTTTGACAGTAGCCCTGGCAGAATGTATTTAGATACACATATAAAACAATGTGGCCATGCATACACTGAAGTTGAATGAAGTTTCAGCTTTGTTCAAACATATACAAGTCAGAAGGAACGTGTTCATAGTCATGAAGAAATGCGAACATTAGAGACTTAAAATTGTCGTGTAACCATGTAGAGACTTAAAAGTGTCGTGTAACCATGTAGTTATATAGTGAAATTCTGTCATGAAACAATATATCACGTGACTAACCACGGGTAGTCCTGTGGGTACCCGGGTCCTACTCAGTACCCGCCAGACCCGAGTACCCGAGTTACCCGTCCCAGCCCTATATCTTACCGTCTGAGATCAGGTCATCCATGGCTGCCTCCACGATTGCGGATGGCACACGACATTCCACTGCAACACGAGGGGTGTCAGGTCAATTGCAGTATAACAGAAGAAAAGCATCCTACTTAAAACCTAAAAACAATTGTAGTTTGGTAGACATTACAGCTGTAAGTCATTGACTACCATCTCAAATGTGGCTATGGGGATTCAAGGTCAGAAAAGGTCCCTAGTATCCCATGACTGCCATACAGAGACTCAAGTGAGTTTAGGCTAGTATCGGTTGGTTACAATGTATAACTTGTAACAATGTATGACTTTGTTACATTATATGACTGTGTTACATTATATGACTGTTACAATGCATTACTTTGTTACAGTGTATGACTGAATGATTATGCCATGTTATTTAGTCTGAACGTGATCTCAATTTGGCATCTTGACAAATTATTCCCAGTGACATCAGTGAAATACTGCAATCTTCAACTCAGTGATTCATTTTTGAAAACAATGAAAACTTTGTGTCCAGCAGAACCTGATAATTTGTTGACTCTCTACACTGCAGTCACACTGAGTAAGATTGTCTGGAATATACAGTTTCAGGGTACCAGTCAGTTTACAGTTGTAAAAGGTCAGCTGTAATCTGTAAACTGACTGGTACCCATCAACATGACACTGAGTCAAGTCAACCATTCTGTATGAGAAAATAACAAGAAACATACAAGTTCACATACTGTATTATGGTTTCAAATCTGAAAGATGACAGGGGGCACGGGTGGCCCAGTTGTCTAAAAAGCCGCAATTCGCTGTGCAGAGTTGCGTCGCTTGGGCACGCCAGAAACCTATGATTGTGGGTTCGAATCCCGGTTAGCCCCGATTATGTTTCTAGGTTTGTCAGCACCATACCCGTGCTCGTTGGTTTCACTGAAGTGGTAAACGTCCGAGACCTGCATCACTTCGGGCTTTCCTCCCACAATAAGCTGACAAGCCGCAACATAACTTGAATACTGTTAAAAGCGGCGTTAAAACCAACTCACTCACTCACTCTGAAAGACGACCATGAAAGTTATTAGGAATTAAAAAAAACCTTGTTCTGCTTATTGATAAATGTGAATCGATGCCTAGTTAAGTGTATTGGGTATCGTATCATGCAAAGTTTGCCAACAATGGTGAATTGCGACATCACTAACTGATACCACTAACTGATACCACAACTTCCAAATATCACTGAAAGATCAAATTCAGAGAAGTGTACAATAAATTGGAATGCCTTCTTTTCTCACTTATGGACAGATGTACAAACCACCTCAATCTATTAACCGGGAATCCCCACAAGTAAAGTACAGTTCTGTGCTAACGGGCGGACGGACAAACCACACACATTTTTCATTGTTTCTGAGGGTGTTGGAGTCGAGGCAGGCGTGAGTGACGTATTTCTTCAGGCCGACAATGTGGTTAGCTGGAATGACCTTTGACCTGGCCAAGATGTTGACCCAGGCGTCGGCACACGTTCCATCCTCGCCTTCCTCCATACACGTGTATGTCACCATGTACATAGGGCAGGCGTGCAGGATACGGAATGCAACTGGCAGGACAGATATATACAGATTAATACCCAAGTACATATTTGTATTGTAACCGTCATATTATAGGTATAGAAATTTCAGCCTACCTTTAGAATACAGTACCACAAACTTTTCAAACACGTGATCATACCCTATGACGTAATTTGTAGTATTTTGTTGCCAGTCACACCGGCGAAACAATGCCCTGTGACGTCATGGGTCATCGAGTGTGCAGAAGCTCCTCCCAGAAAGCTATCATCTCTACACGTAATGTCATTGAATACGCCCTGCGGTGTTGAGAGTTTTGAGTATTTGTTTACTAATTATAGCCTGCGGCGGCGCATTTTAGAGCAAGCGCTAGTTTACGAAAGCACTTTTATTTTTTATATATTTTTATTTCGTTTTTCTCGTAATTCAAGTGGATAAACTGGTTATAAATGGGAACTAATATACATATATTATTTTTTCGGTTCATTAATTTTCATTATTATGCGCAAGAATGCAGTTTATTAGGGATATTATATTGGCGCTGAACACATCCAAATGTCGCCAGTGTTAGGGTAGGTTACCCTGAACTCTATCCTTAGCCCTTGGATCCCCTTTACGATCAATCACCCCTTTACGATCATTAGGGTTAGGTACTCATTTAGTGGCTATTATAGATTATATAACGGCTCCTAATATTCGTCATACAAAAACGTCGAGTAAAAAGGATAAAATGGTTTTGTGTCGAATATTTTGGCTACTGGAAACTGTCCTGGAACATTCACACTAGCCACTTTCACCTGCTACATTTTTTCAGTACTGATTCAAAAGCGAACTCACCGTTGTGTCGTCACTAGTCATGCTTATTCCTCCCTTGTTCCTCACTATTATCCCCATCATCCTTACAGTGTTCCCTACCACTTTTCTGTCACAAAAATCACCCAACGAATTATTAAACACCATATCATTCATGCGTACTCGCGAGTTCGACGTCTGACGCCTGGAGCCGTTTTCAGTTCGCGGCATATTGGCTCATTCCTCTCCACTTGGTATTGTGTACATTACGGAATGGGACGAGTGTGCCAAATGGCATCAGGATCATTCGTAAGTGTCCGTAGACTAAAGTCACGAGACACCATGCCTACCCGTAACCTTCGTAAGTGTCCGTCACCTATTCGACCCTTTTCGTTCACTTCCGTAACGTCGTAGGCATGACTAGGTAAATTTGCACTTAGTTTAACAGTGTGGACGTAGCTCAGTCAGTTAGCTCTAAGGCTAACAATCCGAAGGTCGCGGGTTCGCGTCTGACGGATTCTCACAAAAACTGGTTGCTTGTCTTGAGACATGTGACCTACGGCAGAGATCGTCCTCACGAGAAGTTGTGGTACTGTATTCTAAAGGTGCTCCGAAATTTCTTATGTGAGTGTTCCTATCATTTGATATTTACAATCTGGAATACACACATAGGTAATTTCTTTATCATGGAACATCTTCAAATAATCACAGTTTCAGACGTAAAATGCCGGGCCAAGGAAATTCCAAAAACATTTTTTCTTAAAATCCCAAACTATCAAAACCACCAGTTCACCACTGGACCTATCCATGTACCAAGTTTGGTAAACAAATATCATGCAGTTTTCAAAAACTGCTCCGGAAAAAAGCACTATGCCCAAAACCTAAGTCAAAGTTGTTGCCATGGAAACTCAAAAAATATTTTGCTTTAAAATTCCCAAATTATCTAAATGGACACTACCACCATTTCCAGCCTAATTCAAAGTTGTTGCCATGGAAACTCGAAACATTTTTTTTACAAAACTCCAAAACCATCAAAAGGTACCAGTTCACCACTAGGCCTATCTATGTACCAAGTTTGTTAAAGAAATATTCAAGATCTGCTCCAGAAACGACATCTTGCGCACGGACACACTGACTGACAGTGTCCATTCTAATACCCCCGGCAAAACGTGTTACGGGGGGCACCAAGAGTTGCCTGAACTGGAGGGCATACATACCTGAGTTGGCGTGGTGGTAATAGTCCCCTGGAGCTGTTACCTCCGTTAGGCTAACAGCTTCTGTTGGATCACACAGGCTTGATTTGTTACTGCAACAATGGACAGAGAACAATGTAGACTTATACTTCAAGATGATTAACAAGTTGTTAGTTGTGTGGAAGTGTACATCAAACGATATCAACATAAAACCTAGCAAGTTGCAAAAAGATCACTCACAAACTTAAAAAGAGTATGGAGGACATATCGAATTTTCAATCAGGATAATATGAACAATTCTGTAATGGAACGTTGTCTTCATATCATCATTGCAAAGTTTCAGCAGAAATATCTGAGAAAATGTTACGGTTGGAATATACATGAGAATGTATGGACATGGTAGTAGTGCAAAGATTAGTTGGTTGGTTGTTTAACGCCGCACTCAGCAATATTACAGCTATATGACGGCGGTCTGTAAATAATCGAGTCTGGACCAGACAATCCAGTGATTGATATCATAAGCATCGATCCATGCAATTGGGATCTCTGACCGTGCATCAACCAAGTCAGCGAGTCTGACCACCCTGATTGTTGAAATTTTGGGAAAATTCTTGAGGGTCAAAGGAATCGTGATCATTAATATCCAGGAACAACTGACCAATGCACCTGTCTGTGATTGTTGATGTAGCAAAAGTGACCTACTTAATGCCTCTGTACAGCCGCACCAGATTCCACCCCTCAAAGTGGAAGTAGGCAGGGCCCAGGGACTCGTGTGACAGTTGCCCTGACGATGGCGTCGACATCACGGTGTACCATTCCCCTTGCAACTAACAATCACAACAGGCATTCAGAACATGCACTGCACAGGACGTGGGGTGAGTCTGGAATGAGACTCGTATCACATATCATAAATGGGAATATTGTGTAATCCTTGTAATGTTCCCTTAACATCTCGATCTTCAGGACCATACCAAACTTCAAATTAACACAAATATATTTGTCAGTACTCAATCTTACTTCTGCTTATGGGTTCATACATAATTGAATCAACAGTACATGCTATATGACATCATAGCTAATGCAACATCACGTCAAAGACTCGCGAAACATGACGTCACTTGTAGCCATATTTATAAAAACGTACCAAACGTTGTATAGTTATAATACCGTATTCGACGTAATAAGCGCCCTGCTCAAATAAGCGGCCACGGCGATATTTGCTAATATAGTGGCTAGTGAACAATCCCAAACAGCACCCCTTCGGATTGATCAAGTCTTATTTATTCATGTATAATTCGCACTCGTGTGCTATATGCACCCTTAATTATGGGCAATTATATTCTGGATAAATATATCTGTCGTGTATAATACACACAGACTTTTATTTTGTATCCTTTCAGGCTGTCAGCATAAACCACGAAATTTACAAACTTTCAACTCTAGTTTTTTTTCTCCAAAATTTTATTCTAAAAAGAGCCCCCTATTTCAAATATTGAGAGCCCCTGGGCACTTATTACGTCAAATAAGGTAATACTCAGAACACAACAGTGCTTATGATTGCTTCCACATATGTGCACTGAACTCTCCCTCACCCTACACGCTGAAAAGGAAACCCTGCAACTAACTCAAGGATGTCTGTTGCTTCCATGTTCATACACATCATTTTCCCTCACCCTACACACTGCATACACATCTAACATGTGCCAGATCCTTGCATCAATTTACTCTTCATAAAGCTTTAATATCAGACAATGGCACACACCATCATCTCCAAACCCCAGGGATACCCCACTATCATCTCCCCACCCCAAGGATCGTCGACCCTCATCTCTCTACCCCAAGGATTGTCAACCCTCATCTCCCCACCCCGAGGATCGTCGGCCCTCATCTCCCCACCCCAAGGATCGTTGACCCTCATCTCCCCACCCCAAGGATCGTCGGCCCTCATCGCCCCACCCCAAGGATCGTCGACCCTCATCTCCCCACCCCAAGGATCATCGACCCTCATCTCCCCACCCCAAGGATTGTCAACCCTTATCTACCCATTCCAGGATTGTTGACCCTCATCTCCCCACCCCAAGGATCATTGACCCTCATCTCCCTACTCCCGGGATGTCTCCCCACCCCAGGATTGTCAACCCTCATCTTCCCACCACAAGGATCATTGACTCTCATCTCCCTACTCCCGGTATGTCTCCCCACCGCAAGGATCGTTAACCCTCATCTCCCAACCCCAAGGTTGGTCGACCCTCACCCCCCCCCCCCCCCACACCTGGGATCCCTAAGTACCCTCCTACCATGGTGGTGTTGATGTTCTCCTGGTGTGTGATCCCCGTCAACTGACACTCATCTGAAACACAAGATGCACAGCAATCAGTAAAACCGACCTTCGTCAGGACCTGGGTGGAGCAATGCTGGGCCCTGCACTACCGGTGGAGGGACTCACCTTCTGGGGGGCCTGTGTAGCCTGCTGTGTCCAAGTCCGCTGCTGATATGAGACACACACCTGCAATGCAAGTTTTATTCAATATAGTTTTTTGGCACTACAACTACCGCAAGTCTGTGTTAAAGTATGGGATTAGTCTGTCAAACAGACCCTGAAACAAATATATTCAATACAGCCCATGCAAGTCTATAATGTTTGGCAAGTCTAGATTACCGCAGTATCTGAAAATGAAGAAACTCTCTGGGCTCCTTTCTATGGTATTATATAACTATAATTTAACTACTGTTTTTTCTGTTCCTTTCGGAGACTAGATGTTAGTCTAGTATGGGATATATGATCGTCTTAGCGCTAAGATCGCCTCGTGGAACAGGACAAAGACTTTACAAACTGGGAACATTCAATGTCAAAACTTACATATACATCTTAATTGTCCTATTCTTCTATTCCATGCCTGCTTTCTTATAAAACTTACCTATTGTAATTGACCGTTGTACATATTAGGAAGATTGTGTTCTGAGTCAGACAACTTTATCAAGTTTAACGATTTAAACCCCAAAACAAACCAGTGGAGACAAATACCTGGGTCAACATCAATGAGATCGCCGACATCCACACATAGGTCAGAGACCTTAGCCTGGAGTTGATGGAGAAGCTCGTCGGAGATGCTGTTATGTCTAGACATAATGGCCACCTGTGTCTTTTGCTTTAGACAATGTCCATCAGTCTGGAGACTGCCGCATATGTACACAATAGCGTATTCGTAGTTGGTGTACACAACCTGGAAGGTCTCTGCAACAACAGAAGATGGATCACATGCTGCCCCATTTAAGGGAATATTATATTATTAAATGGTTAGTCCCTTAAATGTTGCAGCATGTGATCTAACATTCGAGGAGAGGAAGGGGGCACCTGTTTTTATTTGAGACAAGTTTTTTCAGTCAGCTACAAGTATATAATTTTGCGCTCTGAAAGGAAGTGACAGACAATTTCTTTTTTACTCAGAGCACACTATTTTTCAGAACTTCTGGTACATCCAAGGTATATTTAATTGTTTAGATAAAAGTGGAAAACAATTTTTATCCCTCATTTTTAGGAAAACGTTATTTTTTCGAAAAGATATATACACTACGTTCCCATATCACTGTGCTTACATTCGGCTGAAATGTGATGTGGTAACGAGCATCTATATGAAGTCAAGCAAGGAAATAAGGCAATTAATGTCACATCCATGTCAGAATGTTGAGACCTGATTGGTTCACATGTTCTTGATAAAATACTCTGTATCCTAGGATGGAATAAATCTCTGAGTGGGAGAATAAATTCCTTTACCCCGCCACAAAGAAAACAGACAGCACATGGATTTCTGAGAGGGAGAACAAAATCCCTCAAACCCAGTTACGAAGCAAAAAGCTGCACGTTAATACGATCAATGAAAGTCACAACACACAGCACCAGTGAGCCTCAGATCCATCAAACATCTGTTTTCTATCTGAATCAGTCTTGTTTTAGTTCTTGTACAATGGCAGACTGAAACATGTCAACAAGATCAATTTCTTGTAGTAGCAGTATCACAGTATGTGTGGTTTTATGCGTCTCTCATTAGGTTTTATAGCATTCGCTTCAGGCTCGTGGTATAAAACATAACACAGGACCCATAAAACCAAATAAACCAAACATACCCTCGTGATACTGCTACAAATTATAGTACAACTCAAACTCCGCACATGGATTTGTACAAACCCGTTGTCTGATATTAAAGTTATGTACATGGAAGTACATGGATGCAGCATATGCTGCCTGTGAAATATTGCCATTTGTGTGAAGCAACATGAGGGTGCCCTGATCACAGCACTCACTCACTCACTCTTGCTGGGAACCGTGGGACATGGGTGGCCCAGTTGTCTAAGGCGCTGCAATTCGCTGTGCAGAGTTGCATCCCTTGGGCACGCCTGAAACCTTTGATTGTAGGTTCGAATCCTGGTTCACTCTTATTATGTTTCTAGGTTTGTCAGCACCATACCCGTGCTCCTGGGTTTCCACGAAGTATAACTTCCGGCTTTCTGACCACATTAAGCAGTCACGCCGTGATATAACTGGAATACTGTTAAAAGCGGCGTTAAACCCAACTCACTCACTCACTCTTGCTGGGAACAAGGCCATGGTTTGATTCGGTCAACAATAGCTACCACGCTATAATATGGCCATGTATTCACAGGTAGTCTAGGCAAGCAAGGTATGGACAATGTGACGTAACTAAGTGGTACTTCTGGAGGAACGATAAATGTACACAGCAGTAATGGCCTGCAGTACTTACCATTATGTGGTAGAACAAAATATCCAGGAGATCGCTGGTCTAAGGAGACAAATCGAGAGTCAGCACACAGCTGTGAGGACTTGCTGTCATCAGAAAAACAAGATATTGTCAATGTTTTACAGTATATTCTGCATTCTGACTGGTCCGCTATCAAATCAATGTTAGACCATAATTTTTGCTGATGGCTTCACCACCATGAAAGAAAATATAGCTTTGAAAACACTCACATCCAATAGGCAATTATATGGCTACATTATTATATGGCACACAATGTTGTGGTTGGGCATGTCCATATCAAATTTGAGCAAAATACATGTTGGTACACTTCTGTGTGGGCCAGTACATGCCTCCAGGTAACAGGGGAGTATGCAGCAGGGCATGGAGTCATTCCACTGATGACATCCTTACCTTGTCAGCTTGCTAATGGGGCTAACCTCTTTGACCATGTGGATGTGGTGTCTGACCTCGAATAAGAAGGTTCCAATCCCAGAAGAGGACTCATATGTTATGTTCACCACAAAAAACCCATCACAACAACAAATCAGTAAATATTAATCCACCACAACACAGAGCTGTAAATATTAACCAACCACAACAACACAGAGCAGTAAATATTAACCCACCACAACACAGAGCTGTAAATATTAACCCAAAACAACACAAAGCTGAAATATTAATCCACCACAACACAGAGCTGTAAATATTAACCCACCACAACACAGAGCTGTAAATATTAACCCAAAACAACACAAAGCTGTAAATATTAACCCACCACAACACAGAGCTGTAAATATTAACCCACAACAACACAAAGCTGTAAATATTAACCCACTTACTTGTAGCCCCGGAAGACCAGGGTGAGGCGGTCTTCAGCGTTCAGGAAGTACTTGTGGGTCATGGATGTGTACGTTTTGTTCCCGTAGTAGTAGGTCAGAATCCTCAGTGTATTCCATTTACCCAGGAACTGAAGAGACAAGTCACATGTGTGTACAACATACAGATCAGGGCGATGTGTGAGCAACATCATGTCTGTATGAAGGACATCATGTCTGTATGTAGGACATCAATATTTGTGTAGGACATTACGGTTCTGTGTAGGACATTGTGACAGCAGGACATCGTGTTTGTATGTAGGACATCACGTCAGTATGAAGGGCATCATGTCTGTATGTAGGACATCATATTTGTGTAGGACATTACGGTTCTGTGTAGGACATTGTGACAGTAGGACATCGTGTTTGTATGTAGGACATCATGTCAGTATGAGGGACATCATGTTTGAATGTTGGACATCATGTCTGTATGTAGGACATCGTGTTTGTATGTAGGACATCATGTTTATATGTAGGACATCATATCTGTATGTAGGACATCATGTCTGTATGTAGGACATCATGTCTGTATGTAGGACATCGTGTTTGTATGTAGGGCATCATGTCTGTATGTTTTGTTTGTTTTTTAACGCTCCAAAATTCCATCTATATGATGGCTGTCTGTAAAAACTGTTTATCTTGAAATTAACACGAGCATGAATTTAATCCGAAAAATGTGAGTACTTAGTCTTTGTTCGCTTTAATGAAACTTCGCATTTATGTCTCTAAAATGACTATCAACAATAAGACTGACTCACTCCACACTTTGGATAGTGGAAATACAAACTTGAATATAACACAAACACGGTTTATTGAGCAGCAGTTGTAGCAAGTATATAACAATGTCATTCAAAGAATAGGAATTACACAATGGGCATCCGGTGATGTATCACTTCTGGGGTCAAGAATTCTACCCACTCATGTCAAACTAGGTATCATTGACCACTCCAGCGGTCCAGACAGACGCCACCAATGCAACACTTTGTCAAAGGCCAACACGACCCAACGCGCATCGATAGGCTTCATCCCACTCCTCCGATGAACAGCCTTTGTCTTGTCATCTGCCTTCAAGTATGTTGTCTCCTACTCCGGATACCTATCAGTGAACTGTTGTTGGTTCTATTATTTTATTGCCTTTGAAATTCCTAAATACCAGTCAAAAGAATAAACATATAAACTGTGTGTTGATTTTAGGAAAACACTGTAAATATTTTTACGGAAGTGCTTTACTCAGCACTAATAAGCGGTGCTATTTGCTGTTTGATAGGATTAGGGTAAGTTTGGATTAAGATAAGGATATGTATCATTCCCCTGGGGATGGGGTGGGGGGAGTCACATTTTTGGCTAGGGGTCAGCAGTCGTATTAATTTGGAGACGCAATAATTTCAAGATATACAGAAATCAAGTCTGGACAAGACAATCCAGTGATTGATATCATGAGCATCGATCCACGCAATTGGGAAACGACACCTGACCACCTGATCCCATGTTTTTAAGCAAGAAATCGTTTTTTTATGTAGGTCATAATATTTGTATGTAGGACATTGTGTTTGCATGTAGGACATCATTATGTATGTAGGCCATCGTGTCTATATGTAGGATTGGCTGTGTGTATATACATGATGTTCACACGTAGATACATTTCCCGACTTACTCGAGTGAGACTGAAGTGTGGCTGTATGGGAATGTTGGTCACCTGGCATCGGTCTGAAACAATTATATGGTCATATTACCATTCTATCACCATAAATACCCCTTTGTTTTGAGGCTGGGGATAATGATATTTTGAAAATAGCCATTAAGTCAAATTACACTGTTCTGTATGAGAGAAAGGAGTGGTACACATCGGACCTACCAATGAAAACTGACAGTCTGCAACAAAACACTGTCAAATGTCTACAAGACATAGGGAATCGGCATCAGAAAACGATCAGAACATATCTAAGAACTTAGATATCAAAAACAGCTACATCAATCTGACATCACACTGCCCAAAACATGGAAATGGCAGCAGCAAAACACACAGTCTTCAACATTCCAAACTAGGCACACACCGAACAAGAGGGAAGTTGACTGTCATGTCACGAGGATAAACACACAGCAGAGACCATATAATAGATTATTATTATATGGTCTCTGCACACAGCAAGTAAATTTACATATCACTGAGCTAATATAGAACATTCTAGATATGTATTATTATATTAGCGCTGTAGGATGTAAAGTTACTTGCTGGTTGTTGATCCTCGTGACATGGTGGTCAACTTCCTCCTTGTTCTGTGCGTGCCTAGTTTGGAATGTTGCAGTCTGTGTGTTTTAGTGCTGCCATTTCCATGTTTTGGGCAGCTTGCTGTCAGATTTGTGATGCTCTTTCTTAGCTTCTAGCTACGTTCTCATCATTTTCTGTTGCCGATTCCTTGTGTATTGTACACATATGACAGTTTGTTGTTGCAGACTGTCAGTTTTCATTGGTAGGCCTGCACTTGACACCTCTTGTTTATTGTCTCAGATAAAACTGGAAATGGGGGGTGAGGTCATCGCACCCTCTGCCTTAATACTCAGAAAAGACACCTTTAATAGCTCAAAGTTCATTTATTACAGTTTTCTGGCTCATTGTTAATTTCTTATCTCTAAACTATGAAGGGTTCATGTGTACTAGGCCACATTTTGAATATAAATCTGTGCCATTGGTAAGAGTGAGTGAGTGAGTATGGTTTTACACGCTTTTAGCAATATTCCAGCAATATCACGGCGGGGGACACCAGAAATGGGCTTCACACATTGTACCCATGTGGGAATCGAACCTAGGTCTTTGGCGTGACGAGCGAACGCTTTAACCACTAGGCTACCCAACTGCCCCCCAAAGAGCTAACAGCTAACAATTCCAAAGAGATAAGTAAAATCCTTCGGCTATAGAACAATTTCACACATTGCTGGACTATTACTGACTGCAGTGTAAAACAACCTTTTATCATAAGGGGCAGTGTGGTAGCTAGCCTAATATTTTATCACCCCAAACCAGGTTCTACAGAGTATATCTATTGGGTGAGATCAATGATATCTTCCAGGAGATATCACTGCAATGAAATTGCATCACAATGCTTTGTAGACCATTGTGACATCATTGGCAAACCATCATTTGCATAATGCTTGTCAGACCGTTCTTTCCTCAAGTTTGCGAAGAGATGACAATATAGGCGAATACAGAGGATGTGCAAAATGGAGGATGTGCAGTGATTCCAAAGTCAAGCTCATATATTTCAGCATTGGCAACAACAAACTTGTGCACAGGTATAGTGGAGCAGCACACCTTCATTGACTTTTACACAACTTTTAACCTTGATATTCTCATGCGGTTGCCTAAGCCAATTGGTATCATACAACTCGATCACTCAAACCCACAACCCAACCGACCCAACCACCCACCCATTCGTTCACTCACTCACCCACCCACCCACTCACCCACTCATTCACTCACTCATTCATTCCAGCTCACCTGGTCCGCTGTAACCGACAGACTTGAGGTATTCCGGCGGGATGGAACAAAGCTCTGGAACATCAGAGAGGAAATAATAGCATTATTGTCAACAGAACATGGTGTGTAAATTGGAAATATCCAGAACAATGTGATTGAGGAAACACAGTTTACAATTTCAACTGTATTCTTTGTATCCAACATATTGAGGATACTTTTTACCCCTTCATTTGGCTCTGTGCCCACATGGCTTCCAAATATACCTGGCTCTATGTCCTCTGTACATAACTGGCTCTACATCCGCACACACCCTCCGTACATAACTGGTTCGACATCCACACACACCCTCCGTACATAACTGGTTCTACATCCACACACACCCTCCGTACATAACTGGCTCTACATCCACACAAACCCTCCGTACATAACTGGTTCTACATCTGCACACACCCTCTGTACATAACTGGCTCTACATCCGCACACACCCTCCGTACATAACTGGTTCTACATCCACACAAACCCTCCGTACATAACTGGCTCTACATCCACACACACCCTCCGTACATAACTGGTTCTACATCCGCACACACCCTCCGTACATAACTGGTTCTACATCCACACAAACCCTCCGTACATAACTGGCTCTACATCCACACACACCCTCTGTACATAACTGGTTCTACATCCGCACACACCCTCCGTACATAACTGGCTCTACAAACACACACCCTCCGTACATAACTGGCTCTACATCCACACACACCCTCCATACATAACTGGTTCTACATCCGCACACACCCTCCGTACATAACTGGTTCTACATCCACACAAACCCTCCGTACATAACTGGCTCTACATCCACACACACCCTCTGTACATAACTGGTTCTACATCCGCACACACCCTCCGTACATAACTGGCTCTACAAACACACACCCTCCGTACATAACTGGCTCTACATCCACACACACCCTCCATACATAACTGGTTCTACATCCGCACACACCCTCCGTACATAACTGGTTCTACATCCACACAAACCCTCCGTACATAACTGGTTCTACATCCACACACACCCTCCGTACATAACTGGTTCTACATCCACACACACCCTCTGTACATAACTGGTTCTACATCCACACACACCCTCCGTACATAACTGGTTCTACATCCACACACACCCTCCATACATAACTGGTTCTACATACACACACACCCTCCGTACATAACTGGTTCTACATCCACACACACCCTCCGTACATAACTGGTTCTACATCCACACACACCCTCCGTACATAACTGGTTCTACATCCACACACACCCTCCGTACATAACTGGTTCTACATCCGCACACACCCTCCGTACATAACTGGCTCTACATCCACACACACCCTCCGTACATAACTGGTTCTACATCCACACAAACCCTCTGTACATAACTGGTTCTACATCCACACACACCCTCCGTACATAACTGGCTCTACATCCGCACACACCCTCCGTGCATAACTGGTTCTACATCCGCACACACCCTCCGTACATAACTGGCTCTACATCCACACACACCCTCCATACATAACTGGCTCTACATCCACACACACCCTCCATAGATCCACACACACCCTCTGTACATAACTGGTTCTACATCCGCACACACCCTCCGTACATAACTGGCTCTACATCCACACACACCCTCCGTACATAACTGGTTCTACATCCACACAAACCCTCTGTACATAACTGGTTCTACATCCACACACACCCTCCGTACATAACTGGCTCTACATCCGCACACACCCTCCGTGCATAACTGGTTCTACATCCGCACACACCCTCCGTACATAACTGGCTCTACATCCACACACACCCTCCGTACATAACTGGCTCTACATCCACACACACCCTCCATAGATCCACACACACCCTCTGTACATAACTGGTTCTACATCCACACACACCCTCCATAGATCCGCACACACCCTCCGTACATAACTGGCTCTACATCCACACACACCCTCCGTACATAACTGGCTCTACATCCACACAAACCCTCCGAACATAACTGGCTCTATGTCCTCTGTATCCCCAAGTCCACACATGATGTCCTCTGTACATACCTGGCTCCACACCCTCCACACATACCTGGCCATATCTCCTCTGTACATACCTGGCTCCACATGCACCATTGTCTCCAGATCCACACACGTCCTCTGCACGTAACTCTCAAGCAGCGTCATCGTGTCAGGGTCAACAATGTCCTCTCTAGCCAGTATGGAAGTGTGTGCCAGTCCATCGAGACACCATCCATCGTTGCCGACCTGCCGACACGAGTATGTCACAGCGTACTTGTAGTCGGTGTAGATTATCTTGAATGTGCCTGATGAGGAGAAACAGTCACTGAATCAACATGAACTTATCTCTGACAGAGATAGTTTTGGAAAACATGACAAATGTGGCAGAATATTTATATTTCCAGGAAATCCTTAAAAATTATTCTACAACAGATGGAAGGATCGGTTCCCACTACTCTCATAGGACTGGTTAGTGACAGGATGGTCAGGATCGTTTCCCACTACTCTCATAGGACTGGTTAGTGATAGGATGGTCAGGATCTGTTCCCACTACTCTCATAGGACTGGTTAGTGACAGGATGGTCAGGATCGGTTCCCACTACTCTCATAGGACTGGTTAGTGATAGGATGGTCAGGATCTGTTCCCACTACTCTCATATGACTGGTTAGTGACAGGATGGTCAGGATCGGTTCCCACTACTCTCATATGACTGGTTAGTGACCGGATGGTCACGATCAGTTCCCACTACTCTCATAGGACTTCAGAGTTGTGGCTGAAAATTTCTAAGCCTAACTATGATGGACTTCATTGATGGAGTTGGTCGCAAATAATTTATCATTTTTCAATCAAGTTCACAAACTTCCAACCATGATGCTGGAGTGCCTGGATCTCTCTGGTGTAGAAGGCTTCCTTCAGGTGGTGTAAAAGTCCTCCACAGCAGAATTGTTATCATCATTTGCATAATGCTTGCCGGACAGTTCTTTCTTCAAGTTTGGGAAGAGGTGGTTTCAAAGCCACAGTCATGTTTTACAGCATTGGCGACAACATGCTTGTATCATGGTGGAACAACACCTTCAGTCTTTTCACAGTTCTCTACAACATCTAGCCTTGATATTCTCTCGCAGTTGCCGAAGCAGACTAGCATGGTATTGGCCATTAATGGTCGGACCTTTCAGGAGGCAGTCCACCAGGATGATTCCTTTGGATTCCCAGAAAATCACCCTTCCAGCTGATAGAAGAGACTTTGCCTCCTTTGTCGGAAAAGACTTTAGATCTTTCCACTGCTTTGACTGTTGTTTGGTTTCTGGCTGACAGTGGTGATCCCGAGCCCAAGACTTATCCATTGTTACAAATCTCTCAACAAAATCAGCTGCGTCTGTTTCAAAACGACATGAATTCTCATGACAGAGGATGAGCCAAGAGTATTTCTTAACAGGCATCACAAGCCTTGGAACCTGGTGTGCTGAAACCTTTGTCATGCCCAGTTCATTCCTCAGAACATTCTCAACTTTCCCATGAGAGATTCCTACTATAATGGCTATGTGACATGTGGTGAGTCATCGATTATCCATAATCACATCATGTATTTTATCAACTTCCCATGGCAAGAGAGTTAACTGACTTTCAAAGTGCAGTTTCCACCCTTGCCGAACTAGGCTGGTATTATGGAGTTACATTTTGGCTGGACTAACGAGTCTATGCATAGTCCAATCAAAATCACGCAATCGGTTCGGAAACTGTCATGCAGATTTCGGTCGATTGCAGGATTTGCAAAGCATGTCCACCGCCAACTCGATGTCAACATATATATTCCAAATCTTTTCATGTTTTTAATCAAGGTACTCACATGATTTGATAAACTTCGCGATGTAAGATCCATTTTATCACAGTATAGATTTTGATTATCGATCAGATCGTCTTGACTGGGCGCCGCCATTTTGTTTGAAGCAAATGCAAGTGATACGAGAGGTGAAATCTGATTGGTCCATATGAGAGGCACAGAAGGGACATAACTCAAAATAGCCACCGGCGGCGCTGCGATCGAGCCCAGGAAGTCAAGCCTAGTTGGGCAAGGGTGGAAACTCGACTTTTAAAGTCAGTTAACGCTCTTGCCTCGGGAAGATGGTATTTTATCAACATTTTCGTTATTGGCGGCAGGTGGAGGATCATCTTCAAGGCTCCCTCTTCCCCTCTTCAGAGCTCCACTGACCACCTATTAACAGTGGCAAAGGAAGGAACACCATCCCCTAAAGGTGGCACCATCTCTGCTAGATGGATGTTGGAGTTAGCCCTTTCAGTGGGCGATACTTGATGACAGCATGGTTGCCAATTTTGTTCATTTTCATCAACAGAGAAGGACCCAGGTACCCACAGGATGTAGAACAGGATGTAGAACTCCATGGTTACACTATAAGTGACTAATGTTCGCATTTCCTTCTGACTATGCACCCATTCCTTCAGACTTTGTTTGTTTGAATAAAGATAAAACTTCAGTCACCTTCAGTGTATGCATGATCAAACCCTTTGATACTTGTATCTAAATACATTTGGCCAGGGCTACGGTCAAACTATTTCCTGTCGGACATTTTGTACCTATCTCTTGAGACCTACAGAGGGTATTCGGTAGGGTCGGGTAATAGGGGGATGGGTACCCGAGCAGTAAATTTGGACTCTTACACGGTATGGCTGTATAGGGTGACAATGGCAGACTGGAGCTCATCTTAGTCTGTCCTAGACTTGATTTCATAAAGGCTGCAGTGGAAGATTGCATGAAACAACATACACACTCACACATATACACACTCACTCACACACATACACACTCACACACATACACACTCACACACACACACACTCCACAACAGATATTCACCTTGGCCTGTCATGGTCTTGAAAACGTAGTCTCCATGTGAGTCTTTCTTGAACAATATCGTTCCAGGTTCGAGACAGGTGCTTGATCCCTGACTGGAAACACAGAGCATAATGACATTATGACAACTGTTGTACTAAAAAACATAAATATGAAATGACATCGCTAGAAAATAAACAATATCCACCAAAACAGATTCCACTGGGCGAAAAAGGCATACAGAAATAACAAATAACATAAGGGAGGTAACTCCTACTGACATTTAGCTGCAGTAGGCAGTGAAATAACATAAGGGAGATAACTACTACTGACATTTAGCCGCAGCAGGTGGTGGTATAATAACATAAGGGAGGTAATTCCTACTGACATTTAGCTGCAGTAGGCAGTTAAATAACATAAGGGAGGTAACTACTACTGACATTTAGCCGCAGCAGGCGGTGGTGAAATAACATAAGGGAGGTAACTCCTACTGACATGTAGCAGCCATAGGCGGTGGTGAAATCAAGCTCCTCACAGCGATAGCCCGTTCGCAGAGCTCTCTATACTATCGCTGACACCAGTCAAAACTCCCCACTGTGAATAGGTGGCCACAACCATGCTTGGAGTTGAACTCGCAACCGAATGACCGTTATGTTTACAAACAAGTGACGACTTTCGTGACGCCGAATACACTTATTGCTGCTAAATTACTTTCTTCGTTTGTCAAATTGAATTTCTGTTTCATCAAAACTATTGTGTCATTGATATAGTAGGAATGTAAGGGAGAAGATGGTTGATTAGTTAGTTAGTCTGCAATCTCAAACCAATCTGATTATTAAAACAACAGAGTGAATTCATCTGGAAAACATGGTCAGTCGTAAACCTTTTCAAAATGAAATATCATGGCATTCCCAAAGACATAAACAAAAGTATCAACGTTACTACATTTGGGGTTAGAGGGCAAATTTCAAGATTCTTGTAATGGCCGCGCCCACACTGGTGGCAGCGATGTTACCGAGAGTGTAACGAAGGCGCACGCGCTGGGAAGGAGCTTGTGGTGAAATAACACAAGGGAGGTTACTCCAACTGACATGAAACCACGGTGGGCGGCAGCAAAATAACATAAGGGAGGGAACTCCTACTGATATTTAGCAGTGGTAGACGGTGGTGAAATAATATAAGGGAGGTAACTCCTACTGACATGTAGCCGCGGTAGGCAGTAGTAAATGCGCCATCATCCTTCAAGAAGTAGTCTTGTATTGCTGTGAGATAAACCCTCCCACTGTAGATGTTTGGCGACGTCTTGATGATGTTCCACATCCCCAAAAACTGAAACATGAGACTGTTATATTATCTTGGCTAAAGCCAGCATGGAGTAGGGTAGGGATGGAGGAGAAGCAGGGGACACTGAGAGAATCAGGTTTGACACCAATACAGGGGCACGGGCAACACTGTGCCATTCCAGCTTCCTCCTTCTACTCAGGGCTAATCCCTGTCTGTTTTACCTCAAGCCAGTTAACAGTTTTTCCCTTTCTAGTCAAAGACAAATACTCACTCGGTTCTTGTCAAAGTTCTTTTGTATTGGCATCTTCTCCAGCATACAAAACTCTAGAGGGAGAAGTAAACATCTTTTCAAAACATTATTGTCATTATTGTACAACAACACTTCTAAAGTATCATTGCGAAACAGCATTTCTAAAACACCATTGTGAAACAGCATTTCTAATACACCATTGTGAAACAGCATTTCTAAAACACCATTGTGAAACAGCATTTCTAATACACCATTGTGAAACAGCATTTCTAAAACACCATTGTGAAACAGCATTTCTAAAACACCATTGTGAAACAGCACTTCTAAAACACCATTGTGAACAATTTTTGAAACATCATTGTGAAACAGCATTTTTACAATAGCATTGTGAAACAGTATTATTAAAACATCATTGTGAAACAAAATTTTAAAAACATCTCTGTGAAACAGCATTCTTAAAAGACCATTGAGAAATAGCATTATGAAACACCATTTCTAAACATAAACAAATCACAAGCTCCACTTGCTCTTACTGGCATTTTGTTGAACTTATATGACAGTGTTAAGCTAACGCACACATGGAAAATTCAGACTCTTTAATTGTCATAATGTGACCAGTTCTCAGAAAACAGGAATGGTGGACAACTCAAAATGATAGCTCACCTGCACTGTGATAGCCAGCAGTAACCAGATAGGTGACAGGTATCTCACACAGATCTGGAATACAGACATACCAAGTTTTCAGACTGTATACCAGGTACATAAACCCAAATATTCTCCACACATACCTGGTTCATTATCCACCCATCCTGCACACATACCTGGTACATTATCACACATATCCTTCACACATACCTGGTACATTAACCCTCACATCCTGCACACATACCTGGTACATTATCACACATATCCTTCACACATACCTGGTTCATTAACCCTCCCATCCTGCACACATACCTGGTACATTATCACACATATCCTTCACACATACCTGGTACATTAACCCTCACATCCTGCACACATACCTGGTACATTATCACACATATCCTTCACACATACCTGGTTCATTAACCCTCCCATCCTGCACACATACCTGGTACATTATCACACATATCCTTCACACATACCTGGTACATTAACCCTCACATCCTGCACACATACCTGGTACATTATCACACATATCCTTCACACATACCTGGTTCATTAACCCTCCCATCCTGCACACATACCTGGTACATTATCACACATATCCTTCACACATACCTGGTACATTAACCCTCACATCCTGCACACATACCTGGTACATTATCACACATATCCTTCACACATACCTGGTACATTAACCCTCACATTTTCCACACATACCTGGTACATTATCACACATATCCTGCACACATACCTGGTACATTATCACACACATCCTGCACACATACCTGGTACATTATCACACACATCCTGCACACACACCTGGTACATTATCACACACAACCTCCACACACACCTGGTACATTATCACACACAACCTCCACACACACCTGGTACATTATCACACACATCCTGCACACACACCTGGTACATTATCACACACATCCTGCACACACACCTGGTACATTCACTGTCATAACCACCACACACACCTGGTACATTCACCCTCATATCCTCAACACATACCTGGTACATTAACCCACATATCCTCCGCACACACCTGGTACATTCACCGTCATAACCACCACACACACCTGGTACATTCACCCTCATATCCTCCACACATACCTGGTACATTAACCCACATATCCTCCACACATACCTGGTACATTCACTCTCATATCCTCCACACATACCTGGTACATTCACCCTCATATCCTCCACACATACCTGGTATATTCACCATCATATCCACCACACACCGGGTACATTCACCCTCATATCCTCCACACATACCTGGTATATTCACCCTCATATCCACCACACACCGGGTACATTCACCCTCATATCCTCCACACATACCTGGTACATTCACTGTTATATCCACCACACATACCGGTACATTAACCCACATATCCTCCACACATACCTGGTACATTAACCCTCATATCGTCCACGTTGATGCACAGAGCATCTGCATATCTCTCCAGGTTATGCATGATGTTGTCTGGGACAGGGTTCTGCCGGGCGATAATCTGGACACTCATGTGCTGGTGTTGACACTGACCGTTGTCAGACACATTGCTGCAGGAAAGGGTGACAGCGTAGTCGTAGTCAGTGTACACGATCTGGATGCTGGCGACATTGTCCTGGATGTGGGCAGTGTATCGGCCAGGCTGGGCCTCGGTCAGCTTCAAGTTGTTCGGAGGTAAGCAGATTTCGGACCCTGGACTGGAGGGATGGAGGGGAGTTAGTGCCAAGTACACAATAACTTGATTTTAACATATTTATGACATTCAAAGCCAATAGTAATAATATCCTTTGAGAAGTGTCACATGAGCCAGACCTATCAAGAGTGAGTGAGTGAGTTGGGTTTAACACCGCTTTTAACAGTATTCCAGTTATATCATGTCAGCCTAATGTGGGAGGAAAGCCCGAAGTGATGCAGGTCTCAGACGTTTACCACTTCCGTGAAACCCACAAGCATGGGTATGGTGCTGACAAACCTAGAAACATAATCGGGGCGCACCAGGATTCGAACCCACAATCACAGGTTTCTGGCGTGCCTAAGGGACGCAACTCTGCACACCGAATCACGGCGCCTTAGACGACTGGGCCACCCGTGCCCCTAGCTATCAAGATGGACACGCAGACATTTATATCTCCATAATCATTAGTAGTGGGATGACACTCTGATGCAACGGTGGATCGCGATTTTATACTTCTTGATACAATCAATCACAGTCGCACACTAAGTAAAAAAACATTGATTCTTACCTCAAATGTCTGCTTTAATAACTGTCACACCAAACACTAATTAGTAGTGCAATTAAGTAGTGAAATGTAAATATTGCGCCATATTTGATACTACCAACTGTAAGTGTGCCAGGTACTTGGCCCTCCGCTCTTTGAAAAAGATGGTTTTTGCACCACGGGTAAGAGCACATGCAAATATCGTGATACATATCGGATCATGAGCAAGGTATTGTGTTGGGCTGGGACAGGTAACTTGGGTACCCGGGTCGGGTGGGTACTGAGTAGGACCCATGTACCAACAGGACTACCTGGACCCATGGTAAGTCATGTGATATATTATTTGATGATAAAATGATCTAAAACTCTTTGGTAATATGTTCCCATTTCTTTCTGACTGTGCACACATTCCTTCTGACTTTAATATGTTTGAATAAAGATAAAACTTCAGTCAACTTCAGTGAATGTGTGACCAGATCGTTTGATACATGAATCTAAACTTTTCCCAATTGGACAGTTTGTACCTGTCTCATGAGACCTACAGCAGGTACCCCCAGGGGTAGATTTGGGGGACTTCCCAGAATCTACCCCCCTTTCCCAGAATCTACCCCCAGGGGGTATAATCTGGGAGCTCCTCCCAGAATCTACCCCGGGTTATAGCTATAATCTAGGAGCTCCAAGAATCTACTGCAGCCCTGTTTGATTTAAGCATTTTTATTTCATGAATGTACATGAAGTTTTCTTTTGGGGGAGGCATCTAACTCAGGCTTGATCTCTCCTGGGCCCACTTGCACAAAGCGATCTTAGCGCTAAGATGATCGTAACTACCATACTTTAACATAGGCTTACAATAGTCTTAGCGCTAAGATCGCTTTGTGCAAGTGGGCCCTGGTCAATTGCTGTAACAACATTGTCCTCTGATTAAGTTTACATAAATGCCTATTCAGTACACATCTAATTAGTTTTAAAACATTGATATCCCAGAATCTACCCCCCTTTCCCAGAATCTACCCCCAGGGGGTATAATTTGGGAGTTCCCAAAATCTATCCTGGTGTAGATAATACCGGTAATAAATTGTTATCGAATCCAAAAATTCAAAATGTTGTTTTATACATGCAAAGAAGAAATAAATATTGTTTAAACTAATAAAAAAATATCTTACAAATCACATTGACTTTAACTCATTGTAGTCATCATCAATTTGTAAGTTCGAAAGTTCAGACTTTACACCGGGTAGGGTCGGGTAATAGGGGCTTGGGTATCTTGGTAGTAAATTTGGACTCGTCCCAGCCCTAGTATCGTGATACATTTTGGATCGCACAGTTGATTTATTGTCCCAGCCCTTATAATTATTCAATTCATCAAAAACTGTTCATACGTTCCCAGACTAACAGCTTTACAAAAAATAATCTGTTTACTATTATCTGTGTTTATTTTCAGCTGCCACTTATCATTATATATATACTGTCAGTATATCTAATCTCTTTTGAAGGCCAATGAACTATATTGACACACTTTGAAAACTTACATTCAGTGTTTTGTAATATTTGGCAAAATGGCCACAAAAGTGAGATTATGTTATTCTGTGTATTTAAGCATGAGATAATCAAAGACAACAGTGTCTTTGTACAGGTTTGAATCTCAATCAGTGTGTTTTCAGATGGACTTGAGCACATTTCAAGTTAATATTTAGACTGCGTTTTTATCGTCAAGCAGTATATATCATCAGCAAACAATAAAATATACATATCAAGAATACCAATACAAATTCATCTCTGGTCACCAATGCTAAGAATTCTAACAATATCATACATATAAAAGCAAAACCACACGACTTCCCATTGTTAAACGTATTATGAATCAATCTGAAAGAATTTCTTTGTCATTACCCACCAGTGTTTATACAACAGACAATTCTTTATACGGAAAAGAAAGCAGCTTTCAGATCGATGAAGGCACAATATAATCTGCCCTTGTGTAATGACAAGTATTTTCTAATGACAGTCAAAGATCAATACACTGTCTGAAGTCTGGAATTCTTTACTAAAGCCAGCATGCTCTGATGGTATAAACATTCCTTCCTCAGCCCATGTATTAAGACATTTACATATACTTTGGGCATATATGCTTCTGTAATCTCAAACAGTGTGATTGGTCTATAATTTGAAGGGTCTTTAGATTGACCTTTCTTGTAGATATGAAAAATTACTCTCAGGATCAATTGTTTTTGATGTATTCCAGATGATAAGATATAGATATAGATCTTTATTAAGCATAAAAAAACAGAAGTGGGGGGGTGGGATCCTTACAAAAATCTCTATTGGCCTTCCACTGAATCCTGTGGGGTGGTGGGGTGGCCAAGTGGTCAAAGCAGTCGTTCGTCACGCCAAAGACCCAGGTTCAAATCCCTACATGGGTACAATGTGTGAATCCCATTTCTGGTGTCCCCAGGGTTTGCCCTAGCCTCTTTAACCTGGGGGGTCATTATGACTCCCTAGATTCACTGCAGGGAGTCATATGTCTTTTGTAGGGAGTCAAAAGTCTTTTGTAGGGAGTCATTTTTACAACATATCAATGTCAGATTTATTAATATATCCAATTTTTTATCTAAAAAATGTAATCTTGTTACTTTTAAATCATGTTTAGGTATTTATCTACAAAATACACAATTGCTAATCTAATTAAATCTGAATGTCCAATATTTGTTATTTTATTTGTAGATACCAGATTGACATGGACTAAAATAGCAAGTGCTATGTAATATTATAACTCTTCACACATGACCAGTCAGACTCTAATCTGGTGTTGTTATTTTTAACCACAAAACACCGTGTAGAGCAATAACACTTCAATTGACTTGCAAACAGCAACAAACATTTCACTGCAATTCATTCTGAAAGTCAAGTGGTGAGTGCTCAGCCTGTCGTCTTGCACTTTGATAAGTTTTCGTTGTTGAATGGAATCTGTGAAGTTTGGGTTCAAAATTGAAGATCAAAACCTGATTATGTCAACGTAGCTATATCATGGAAAGTTACTGAAATCAATTATCATTAAACTGGAAGAGATACTTGTGTTTCTGGGGAAACCATTATGCTGCATATACTAATTCTTACTGTCAAAAACCAACAATGTGTTTTGGTTGAGCAATTCTTCATGAAAAGGCTGCTGTAATTGAGATAGTTTTTCATTCAATCTCATTCAAATCAGATCTTAGTTCTCGCTGCCGCTAAACAAAGATCTGAGGACATCCCATTACGGGTCACGTCAGACCGACCTTTCGGTAACTCTGACGGACCAATGGAATTACTGACAAGAAGTCGTCATTAGTCAATCAGAAGGCAGTTTTCTCGTGCTTTACTAATTTCAAATTGGCGACTACACTTCGAAACATATTTTGACAAATTCTCGCTTAAAAATTTGCAACCTGAACAAAAGAACATTCCCGAATGTCTAATATATGGTCTTTAATGTATAGATTCAGTCGTTAAGCCCGTAACTATTGTTCGGAATACCCTGTTTTAAAGTTTTCGTGGTTGCATGATGAGAAATCACATTCCGACTGTCACTTTCATGATCTGGTAAGTGACGCTCTGATTGGTCAGATGAAAGGTCGTTCTGACGTGACCCCTAATGGGATGTCCTCAGATCTTTGTTTAGCGGTAGCGAGAACTAAGATATGACTTTAATGAGATTGGTTTTTCATTTTAATAGTCACTGATATCAGTGTCAGATACATCAGATAATGCCATCGAATCGACAGATGTACCACTACGCCTGTATTGAAAAAGGTTGAAAGATTACTTTGTGTTTTTAGGCAACAATACGATGACTTGCCAAAATGTGAAGTAACCGATTCTTGACAGTGACTGACAGCAATTACAAGCACCCTACCAGTCAAGTTTTTAAACATAATTCTGTTTGGATGCCACAGAGAACTTGCCAGTAAAGCTGTTCTATTTTTAGACATTGTGTTTTAGACATCAGGGAAAGCTAATATTGGATGTATTTAATCATCAAGGCATATGTCCATTTCAAATATTAATATTCCGACAGTATAGAGCAAATCAATGATTGATTTTAACAGACTGAATAAACTACGTCCCGATTGACGCAAAGGAGAAATTATACTGCATATTTTCAACCAAAAATATGTCAAATATGCAGATTTTCTGCGTTTGGGCAAACCCTGTGTCCCCGGCTATGATATTACTGGAATATTGCCAAAAGTTGCGTAAAACCATACTCACTCACTGATTCCTATGGCCTTGTCAGAATGCGTACACAAAATGGCTTCATGGGTTACTGATCATGTGTCCTTATAAAGATTATTTATAATATTGATAGTGTTATCAATTTACTCATTTGATATTGACAATATAAATTTATTCCCTGTCACAGAACAATCAAGTTCACATGTTGCCATGTTAGTCTGTAAAAAATCAAGTTTGGACCAGACAATCCTGTGATTTACATCATGATCGAGCATCAATTTGATGACAAGCACAAACCAAGTAAGGGAGCCTGACTACTCGATCCAGATATTTGCCTCTTACAAGCATAGTTGCCTCTTTCGACAAGTATGAGTTCTAGAAAACCAAGTCTAACCTGGATCTTCACAGGTCACAATACCAGAGCAATCACTTGGTAAAAAAATACAATTTCATGATAAAAAGTGTAACATTTGAAAATCTTGGATGCAGGATTTTACTTCACCACTTTCCTCCATTGAAGGCCAACACAAGATGGCTGTCACAATAGATAGTTGTATTGAAAATAGCATCTACTTCATCCCACTGAAAGCCAACACAAAGGGCTGTCACTATAATAGTTGTATTGGAAATAGCATCTACTTCGTCCAACTGAAGGCCAACACAAGATGTCTGTCAGTATAGATAGATGTATTGAAATGGTACCTACTTCATCCCACTGAAGGCCAACACAAGATATCTGTCGGTATACATAGTTGTATTGAAAATCAGTGTGCGAGCTCAGGCTATGTTACCGCTTATAGATGAAAACCAAGCCTCGCTTTCACACAGGTTATAAATAGATTCAATGCTAAAGGCCCCATAGTGACGTCACAGCCCCTGTCACAGGAGGTGAAAAATCCTGGGCTCTACACCTACCTCATATAAACCTTTTATTACAAATCCTATATGTACATGTAATGTTTTCATATATTTCCCATTTCCACATATGTCAATTTACCAAAATAATACCTAAATATAACCCATCCATGCACTGTAGAGGCTGTGACAACATGTTTATTGAAGTCACGTGACCTCAAAATATTCTCTCACAGGGTAGAAGTCATTCACAAAAATATGGGTTCCATCTATCTTAAAGGGAGGAGGGGCCAATTCCTATGTTTCCTGCAATCACTGATCACTAAGCTTACTATATCCAACTTAAAACAGGAGGAGCTACAAATGTAAACATGTTTTTAATTGGATAAAAGACAGTCCCCAGTTTCCCCCTCGAAGTGACCAAGAAGTCCCACACAGAGCGGCCAGAAACATAAATAAATCTGGCACCTTACTGATAGCATCACATTCTAGTGACAGATATGTTACTTTAGGGCAGTTTAACACCGTTTGTTTAAATTTGAGTTGACTGATATGTCATTGAGGGACTAATTTGTGTGTCAGGGGTCTAAACTGATGGTTTACAGGTTGTGGTGTTTGACATTTGGTTCTTTCTGTCTTAAGCTGTCTGGACATAGTTTGTCAGTGTTATCACACTGAACAGACATTTGCACTTAAATAAAGCAGAACTTAAATCTCAAATATGTATTGGTTTGTTAGTTTTAATTAGGGAAAGTAACCCTTCACACCACCGGAAGTTGTCAAGATTTTAGTCACGTGACCTCTATCAGTAAAATGATTGGCTCAAACCTATCGTCTGCTGTAGCAGTATACTTCTTTTACTGTTGTGGTGGACGATTACTTTTGGATTATACCTTGGCTATTGCATTTTTATGCTCGGTCATGGCTAAATTGTGTGTTTCAACTGTTATTTTCTTGGAACTCACTTGGAATACCAGTCTCTTACTAACTATTTATCATGATGCGACTTCCAAGTGACACCACTGGAGATTTGTCAAGAAAGGTATGAACATATTGGAATTCTGGCACCTCTATAACTAATGAATTTTCAAGTGGAAAATATCAAGAGTACATTTATACCAATAAGGCTTGTGTATGCATTAATATTATATAGAAGTTTAAACGCTAGTAGAATTTTGCATCTTGTGAATATATGTGCATTTATGCCATCCAACAAGTCAGAAAAAATAGAAACAAAAGAAAAAATAATGGCATTCCTCCTGAGAAAAATGTAAGACATCGTAACATAATGGTAGCCAATGTCGTCCTTGTCAGGTATGCATACAGTTGGGACAATTTAAAAAAAGATGATCCTCATCATGAAATGAATAAACCTTATTATCCAGGTGAAAAGCATTAATATCCAGTGAATATATTTTGTAACATGGAAAGCTAATAAAAGTACAAAAAAGTTGTTTCAGTAGAAACCTCTGTTTAAAAACTCCAGTTGACAGAGACTATAGAGTGAATATGTCATCTGCTAGCAAATTGTATTTACTGTTTGTAGGTCGCACTTGAGAACGAGGCTTGGTTTTTACGGGAAAAGATATCAATTACAAAATTGAGGCTAAGCTCGCACACTGAATAGAACCTACTTCATCCCACTGAAGGCCAACACAAGATGGCTGTCAGTATAGATAGTTGTATTGAAAATAGAACCTACTTCATCCCACTGAAGGCCAACACAAGATATCGGTCGGTATACATAGTGGTATTGAAAATAGCACCTACTTCATCCCACTGAAGGCCAACACAAGATGTCTGTCAGTATAGAAAGTTGTATTGAAAATAGCACCTACTTCATCCAACTGAGCGCCAACACAAGATATCGGTCAGTATACATAGTTGTATTGAAAATAGAACCTACTTCATCCCACTGAAGGCCAAAACGAGATGGCTGTCAATATAGATAGTTGTATTGAAAATAGAACCTACTTCATCCCACTGAAGGCCAAAACGAGATGGATGTCAATATAGATAGTTGTATTGAAAATAGAACCTACTTCATCCCACTGAAGGCCAACACAAGATGGCTGTCAGTATAGATAGTTGTATTGAAAATAGCACCTACTTCATCCCACTGAAGGCCAACACAAGATGTCTGTCAGTATAGATAGTTGTATTGAAAATAGCACCTACTTCATCCCACTGAAGGCCAACACAAGATGGCTGTCAGTATAGATAGTTGTATTAACAATAACACCTACTTCATCCAACTGAATGCCAGCAAAAAATGGCTGTCAGTATAGATAGTTGTATTGAAAATAGCACCTACTTCATCCCACTGAAGGCCAGCACAAGATGGCTGTCACTATAGATAGTTGTATTGAAAATAGCACCTACTTCATCCCACTGAAGGCCAACACAAGATGGCCAGTAGTACTGAGGAAGTAGTTGATAGTTTCCGACATGAAGGTCTCCCTGTCGCCACGGAATGTGGTCGTCTTCATGACTTGCCATTCACCGACAAACTGGAGAGAGAGAGAGGAATATTCACATTCATTAGGGTACTACGATTCAACAATACATAAATGCATAACAGATTTCACCATACGATATCATACATGATACACCTACCAAGTTATCGAGTCATGTTTTAATCAATTTTTGAAAAAGGAATATTTATGGAGCTTTTATTAACTGGACCTGAGACATTCTTGAACTAGCAGATGCTTTTATACCACCCTCATAAATCAAAGGGCTAATATAATAACACATGTCATCAGAGGATGACAAGCTCCTCCCCCAACCCCCCTGTAAATTCAACAAAAATAAGCGTATTCCTATCTAATCTGTCTGTCCATATACAAGATTAGTTATTGAGCTATCAAAACAATACCATGGAATTGGGATTTGGAAAAAGTTTTTCTATCTCAGGTCTTTTGGAAAACATATGAGAACATATCACACAATTGGAATATGGCTTATGCTGTAATCTGTTGCAATAGCAAGTGTAGTTATCAATAGTTACTGAAGTTATTATGAAATCTTATATATTGCAGCTTAAAAGAAATATAGATAAAAAGGTTTGCAGTAAACGTTTCCTTTGTGTTACTTGGTCACCTTCACTGGTCAATAGCTGTCCAGACAATCTTGTCTGACCTGAGTCAAAGTTTGAGTCAAATTGTTGCCGTGGAAATGGAAAAAATATAAAACTTAAAAAAATCCCTTAATAGCAAAAGGCATATGTTGACAACCCAGTTTTTAAGTGTGGAAACTTTTATGAAAAAATATGTATCAGTTTTACAGATATGGTCTGGACGAACACATAACTATGAACAGAGTCAGGGTTAAATTTGTTGCCGTGAAAAAGGAAAAAAGAGAAATCCTAAAAATCCCTACAAAGCAAAAGCCACCAGTTGACAATCTGGTCTTTGCGTGTGCAGAGTTTCATGAAAGAATTCCTACCTCGTATTCGGTTAAGAGACATGATGTGGACAGACAGACAGACAGACAGGCAGGCAGACAGACAGACAGGCAGGCAGACAGACAGACAGACAGACAGACAGACAGACAGGCAGGCAGGCAGGCAGGCAGACAGACAGACAGACAGACAGACACAGACAGACAAATGAGCTGATTACTATATCCCCCCGTATTATATACTGAGGGGATAAAAAGCCTAAATTAGCCCATGGTGTGAGTTAAACACCAACTAGTTGATAGGAACAACCTTTTATTCCATGCAAAAACAGTTTACGTATTGTGACGGAAGCATCGAATGAAGTATACATTATCATTAACATCATAGGTTACATGTGTCATTATTTATGTGAACAACAACATAACCAAGTACAAGTTAACTAGTAATGAACAAAGCGTTCAGTGGAAATGTTTATATGTGACATGTGCTGAACCCCCTGAGGGGGGGCTACTGGTGAGGGTTAGACTGGGGATGGAGGGAGAGATTAGGCTGGGGGTAGGTGGATGAGGATCTGATACTGGGATGGGCCTGTGAGATTCTGGTTGGGGATGTCTGTGAAGTTATTAGATATAAACTACATACCTGGCTGCTGTTGAAGTCTGGCTGCAGCTGGGCCCTTGCAGCATCACACAGGTAAGCTGGGGACACCTCTGACAGGGGCAGGTGAGGAGGGGCATGGGAGGGAGGGTCTGGCAGGAGGGAGGGGGGATTGAGTCCTGGTTGGGTGTCTGACGAAGAGTGAGTCAGTTGGGGTGGATGTGGAGGCTGGGGTGGATAGGGAGGTAAGTTATATGAGGGGCTTGTGGTGGAATGATTTACATGGGGTTGTGGAATATTGGGTAGTGGTTTATGGGGTGAGTAGGGCACTTGGAGTGGTGGGGGTGGCACTTTGGGGGGTTGGGGGAGGTGGTTTGAGGTGCTGGTGTTGGTCTTGTCAGATGACAGTGGGAGATGAGGAGGGGGTGTGGGTGGCAGGGTAGTTGTGTTGGTGTTGGCTTGGATCGTCGATGGTGAGGGGGAGGTATGGTTGAGTATTGGAGGGTTGGGTGGCTGTGGTGGGGGAGGGGGTAGCTGGGTAGTTGTGTTGGTGTTGGCTTGGATCGTCGATTGTAAGGGGGAGGTATGGTTGAGTTTTGGAGGGTTTGGTGGCTGTGGTGGGGGAGGGGGTAAGAGGAGTGAATCAGTGGAGTTTACCTGGCTGGCATTAAAGTTGGCCTGAACCCTTGTCTGCTCCACCTGGCACAGGTAGCCCTGGTTTACACCTGGCGAAACACAGGTGAGATATTCAGTGAAGACACAGAAACATAGGTGAGATAGTAAGTGAGGTAGGGATGTGGTGAGTGAGTAAGTGATGGAGTGATGGAGTGACAGAGGGACAGAGGGACAGAGGGACAGAGGGACAGAGGGAGTGTTTAATGCCACTGTCAGCAATTTACCAAGTATATCATGGCAGCCTGTAAATAAAGTTGTTGATCCAGACCCCTCCAGACCCAGGTAATCAAAGGGACCACATGATTGTCAACCAAACATTTTCTTAATCCAGACAGTTTCACCAAGACAGGCACCATCTGGGAGAATATCAATGAGCACTATGACATGTAGTCAGGCTGACTACTTGGTCAGATTTCATCGCTTCTCACATCAAGTAACAGAGTGATAGGGACCTGTTCTCCTCCATGCCCATTAGAGGCAACAGGCAATACAGTGATAGGGAGTTGGGACCTGTTCTGACCTGGGTCCCCATGGGGCATCAAGTAACAGAGTGATGGGGACCTGTTCTCATCCATGCCCATGAGAGGCAACAGGCAATACAGTGATAGGGAGTTCGGACCCGTTCGGACCTGGGTCCCCAACAGGCATCAAGTAACAGAGTGATAGGGACCTGTTCTCATCCATGTCCCTTAGAGGCAACAGGCAATACAGTGATAGGGAGTTCGGACCTGTTCTGACCTGGGTCCCCAAGAGGCATCAAGTGACAGAGTGATGGGGACCTGTTCTCATCCATGTCCCTTAGAGGCAACAGGCAATACAGTGATAGGGAGTTCGGACCTGTTCTGACCTGGGTCCCCAAGAGGCATCAAGTGACAGAGTGATGGGGACCTGTTCTCATCCATGTCCCTTAGAGGCAACAGGCAATACAGTGATAGGGAGTTCGGACCTGTTCTGACCTAGGTCCCCAAGAGGCATCAAGTGACAGAGTGATGGGGACCTATTTTACCTAAGTCACATATGGAGTTATGCCCTTCTTGTACAGACATATCCCCGCAGTGGAACATTATGATATGGAAACATGGATATGGATTCTTTAGGTGGATCATTTTTGCTGAATGAAATTTCCCAAAATACTCCACCTGAGTGTGACCTTTTGTTCAACACCCAAAATCTTCTCACAGGGAATTCGAAATAACTACTATTTTGCACAAAAAAGGATACTAATCTTACAGTTTGTACCTTTAATATCAGATTGATCTGCCTCTGGGACTGTTAAATCAAGTTAATCAATATTACCATTAGTGTGATATCCCACTGACTTGAGGTAGCCCTCCGGGAACTCACAGCGACCTGGGGAGAGATGTTAATGGTCAGGAACACTACAACAACAACACAACTGCAACACAACTCCAACATTGTTATGTTAGGGGATGTTTGCACTGAGAAATATGCTTGTATAATAACTGCACTATTGTGTTAGAGCTAAAATAACTGGACTCTTAATTTAAAGGTATAATAACTGCACTATTGTTGTATAGGTATAATAACTGCACTGTTGTATTATAGCTATAATAATAACTTTAAAAGGTAAAATAACTGCACTTTTGTTTAATAGGTATAAAACTGCACTATTTTTGGTAAGTATAATAACTGCACTATTGTTTAATAGGTAAAATAACTGCACTATTGTTCTATAGTGATAATAACTGCACAGTTGTTTTGTAGGTATTATAACTGCACTATTGTTTAAAAGGTAAAATAACTGCACTTTTGTTTAATAGGTATAAAACTGCACTATTTTTGGTAGGTATAATAACTGCACTATTGTTTAATAGGTAAAATAACTGCACTATTGTTCTATAGTTATAATAACAGCACAATTGTTTTGTAGGTATTATAACAGCACTATTGTTTAATAGGTGAAATAACTGCACTTTTGTTTAATAGGTATAAACACTGCACTATTTTTGGTAGGTATAATAACTGCACTATTGTTTAATAGGTAAAATAACTGCACTATTGTTCTATAGTTATAATAACTGCACTATTGTATTGTAGGTATAATAAGTGCACTATTCTTTTGTAGGTATATTAACTGCACTTCCGTTGTATAGGTATGATAACTGCACTGTTGTATTATAGCTATAATAACTGCACTCTTAATTTATAGGTATAAAAACTGCACTATTTTTGGTAGGTATAATAACTGCACTATTGTTTAATAGGTAAAATAACTGCACTATTGTTCTATAGTTATAATAACTGCACAATTGTTTTGTAGGTATTATAACTGCACCATTGTTTAAAAGGTAAAATAACTGCACTTTTGTTTAATAGGTATAAAACTGCACTATTTTTGGTAGGTATAATAACTGCACTATTGTTTAATAGGTAAAATAACTGCACTATTGTTCTATAGTTATAATAACAGCACAATTGTTTTGTAGGTATTATAACAGCACTATTGTTTAATAGGTGAAATAACTGCACTTTTGTTTAATAGGTATAAACACTGCACTATTTTTGGTAGGTATAATAACTGCACTATTGTTTAATAGGTAAAATAACTGCACTATTGTTCTATAGTTATAATAACTGCACTATTGTTCTATAGTTATAATAACAGCACAATTGTTTTGTAGGTATAATAACTGCACTATTTTTGGTAGGTATAATAACTGCACTATTGTTGAATAGGTAAAATAACTGCACTATTTTTGGTAGGTATAATAACTGCACTATTGTTGAATAGGTAAAATAACTGCACTATTGTTCTATAGTTATAATAACTGCACAATTGTTTTGTAGCTATTATAACAGCACTATTGTTTAATAGGTAAAATAACTGCACTTTTGTTTAATAGGTATAAACACTGCACTATTTTTGGTAGGTATAATAACTGAACTATTGTTCTATTGTTCTAATAAGTGCACTATTGTATTGTAGGTATAATAAGTGCACTATTTTTTTGTAGGTATATTAACTGCCCTTCTGTTGTATAGGTATAAAAACTGCACTGTTGTGTTATAGGTATAATAACTGAACTATTGTTCTATAGTTATAATAACTGCACTATTGTTTTGTAGGTATAATAACTGCACTATTGTTAAATAGGTAAAATAACTGCACTTTTGTTTACTGGTATAAAAACTGCACTTTTTATTGTAGGTATAATAACTGCACTATTGCATAATAGGTAAAATAACTGCACTATTGTTTTGTAGGAAATAAAACTGCACTATTGTTGTGTAAGTATAATAACTGCACTATTGTTTTGTAGGTATAATAACTGCACTATTGTTTTGTAGGTATAATAAATGCACTTTCGTTGTATAGGTTTAATAACTGCACTATTTTGTTATAGGTATAATAACTGAACTATTCCAATTTGCTATAGAAGTATCTCATTAAAATCAGACCTTCATTATCACTACCAAGAAAGATCTGAGGACATCCCATTACGGGTCAAGTCAGAATGACCTTTCATCCAACCAATCAGAGCGTGGCTTACCAGATCAGGAAATTGTCAGAATGTGTTTTCAGATCATGAAATGGTTAACATGGATTATTCCGAACGACAGTTATAGGCTGTACAACTGACACCATCAAAATCATCATCTATTTCTCACTATACATTGAAACATTTGAATGGAGGTGACTGCACAGTCAATCTATTAGACATGTTCTTTTGTTCAGTTTTCAAATTCTGAATTGAGAATTTCATCAAAAAAATTTCAGAGTGTACGCTTGAATGAAAATCGCCAGTTTGAAACTGGTGCTGAATAGCTCAAGAAGTCTGCTTTCTGATTAGCTAATGTTGACACCTCGTTAGTTATTTCATTGGTCAGCCAATGTTTGTAAAAGGTCGTTCCAACGTGACCTGTAATGGGATGTCCTCAGATCTTTGTTCAGTGGTAGCTGGAGCTAAGATTTGATTTTAATGAGATTGAGGTGTATTACTTCTTTTTGACAGAAAGTTACTGGAATCGTCTGTTTGCTCCATGTCATCTAGACAAATAATAACGTTGATAGTACTGATGTTCTGTTTCAGGAACATGATCTACAGTCCTCATACCTCCAGGGAATTTCTCAGAAATGATGTGTGTATCAACTCTTTAGCTTGTGAACTACAACTCTCTAGTTTACCCAGGTAATGTCAAAATGATTGAGTTCACTTTGTCTGACCTTAGCTGCACAACATTTGGAAACCCTGACAGAGAAGAAATGATGAAATACTTTTCTTGGGAAACCGTTCTATCATCATGTTCAGTGCACCTAGTCCACACCAGCATCCATACATCTGCTCCACCACCCACACAACCACTCCACACATGCACTCACTCACTCACCCACATTTCCACCCCTTCCCCCACTCACGCACATATCCACCCCTTCCCCCACTCACGCACATATCCACTCACTTACCCATGCATCGACCCCCACCCACCCACTCTCTAACCAACACCTCCAATCCCCTACCAACACATTACATCCCAACACCCCCACCCACACATCCAACCCCACCCTCATCCACTTCCTCCCCCACCTACATCCCAGCCACCCACTAACCAACACATCCAATCCCCTACCAACACATTACACCCCAACACCCCCACCCACACATCCACTCCACTACCCATGCATCCACTGCCCAACCCACCTGGTGTAGCCTAAACCACTCCCCCCACACACATCCATTCCCCTGACCACATAACCATTTCACACACACACAACCTCATCCCTACCCCCCACACATCCACTTCACCACCCACACATCTACACCCAACCCACACATCCACACCCCACCCACACATCCATTCCCCTGACCACATATCCATTTCACACACACACAAACCTCTTCCCTACCCCCCACACATCCACTTCACCACCCACTTATCTACTCAAACACACACACATCCATGCCCAACCCACAAATCCACTCTACCACCCACACATCTACACCCAACCCACACATCCATGCCCTACCCACACATACACACCCCACCCACACATCCACACCCCACCCACACATCTACACCCAACCCACACATCCATGCCCTACCCACACATCCACACCCCACCCACACATCCACACCCCACCCACACATCTACACCCAACCCACACATCCATGCCCTACCCACACATACACACCCCACCCACACATCCACACCCCACCCACACATACACACCCCACCCACACATCCACATCCCACCCACACATCAGCTCCAACCGCCCTCCAAGATAACCCACCTGGTGTAGCCTCAATCATGTCCTCAACATCAACACAAAGATTGGACACGATCTGCTCCAATTCGGCCATCTTGGATGTGGGTATCGGATACTGCTTTGTGATAATTTCTATGTGCAGGTTTTCCTTCTGGCAATGGCCGCTGTCATCCACCTCACGACACATGTACAACACTGCATTGGTGTAGTCCGTGAAAACAAACTGGAACAATTCTGAAAAATATGTTCAAATCCACATTTACGTCAATAAGTATGGACACAAGGAGGATATTTGTATTTTCTTGTCAAATCATATGTTTAGCTCATAAAGGAGCCAACATAAGAAAATGCTTGTGTAGCAGGGTGTGGAGTCATCCCACTGATGGCATCCTTACCATCACGGGACTTGGAAATTTTATGGCCGCTACATTGGCGCCCAACGTGGGGCTGAGCACGTTCATATTAAATTAGAGCAAAATAAACCTCAGTACCCTACTATGCGGCCCGGGACGTACCTTCTGTTGACGGGGGAGTACGTAGCAGGGCGTTGAGTCATCCCACAGATGGCATCCTTACCTTGTCAGTTTGCTGACGGGGTTAACCTCTTTGGTCATGTGGACAAGGCATCCAACCTCGGATCAGAAGGTCCGTGGTTTGAATCCCATCACGGGACTCGGAAATTTTATGGCCGCTACACTTGCACTCCAGTAATTGCCACCGTATTGGATGTATGCTACATGTGTGTGCTCACAGCTGACAAACCAAAAACCAGCACTTGTAACTGAGAAGATTTTGTAACATGCCCCAGACAATGTACTATAGGCCTTTGCCCTCATCAGTACCATGAATAAAGATTGATTGATCTGAGAAGAACCATTCATAAGGTGATGTGAAATGTGGTTCAACGATGGTTTGCCGCAGGATGCGCATCAGATTCAGCTACCACCATCACAGTTGTGCTTCAAGTCTTTTTCTTCTAACTCTACTGTACACCTGCTTAGCTATATAGAGCCCCAGTCATCCTCTCCTCAATCACAAGTATCTCATAATTTCACATTAAACAAATGCTGCCACTGTGCTGTAATCCTTCTGATGAAGTCAGACCGCCGTCAACATTAAATTTTATTTTCGGCATGAACACTGAGGACACAAAAATGAAGATGTTCAAGAAGAGCTTCCTTGGTCTGGCAATTTTAGATGAGTGGATGTGTCTAGAGTCAAAATGCATGTTGAGGGAATTTAAGAGCAAGGCCAAAATACAAAAGTAAAAATAAGGTAAAAATTTAAATATTGCAAAAAATAGAAGATATGTGTTGAGTGCCACTACTAAATAATTAAATTTTCCTTGTGTTCATTGTAATTCCTGCATTCTGATTAGCTGAATTGGTCACGTGTTGAATTGGTCATTGTATTTATTTCCCAGTGAATGTAAAAAATTAAGCCACGCCCACCGCTGGGGACTACTTTTATTACTGCGAAAGTTGGGGAATCCCAATATTACAGTCGAGGAAATTCCCTTTCTGCTCACATGCATTGTCATGCACATGCCATTTAGCGAAATCCATGCATATTCATTGTCCAAACAACCCTTTAGGACCGAAAGCCAAGAAGGAATGAAACAGCAAACGTGCATGCTCATTCGCCTGATTTTTTCAGCTCGCCTCGGTTCCTCAAAAATTATGTCTTCGGGTTTCATTTCTCACCTGCAATTTCCAACTGTGTCTTCCCGTTCTCAGGGAACTAATGTTTGAATCTGGCGGTAACTGACCGTTTCATTTGAAACAGCGGCCTTCTCCCGGATATATTTGTTCCAGTTTGTTATAGTCTGACTGTTGCAGTTCTTCTCGCCCCTTGCCTTGATTGACAGGTCCTGTGAACTTTGTTTTGATCCTACTCTCCATTGACTGGCTACTGACTTTGTAGGCATGTCAAATTATGTGCATAAATTATACAATCACCTGATTTATGTCACACCACCGAATGTATTCCTACACCAGAAATGTTTATTAATCTTGTCCCTTTTGTTTGGTTTAATATATACAACTGTTTTTGGTTAAACTATTGTAGATAAAGGTTTTCGTTGTCAAATTTAAATACAAGGATTGACTGTGAATTCGATTCGGTTCATTGAGGTATGAGTCGAAAAAACGATGTGCAAAGTAGTCTAAGAATCCGCTACACGGATTTATACAGTTTGCACATACAGTTTTTCAATTCATACCTCAATGAACGAAAAATAATTCACAGTCAGTCCTTAACTAAATATATTCCAAATTTCATTTTACTTTTTAAACTAAAACCGCTGCGTAATAGCCATAAAATGTTTCATTAATATGGCTGCCATCCTAAATATTCTTTTGAAACCTGTGAAGTTTCAGCCTCATTGGTCCAGTGGTTTCTTTGGAGAAGATGCTGACTGACATTAGGCTTATATTGTCTACAGACATCGCTCTCTTTACTTCATTTCTGAACCAAGCAAAGCAAGGAATAAACTTGGTAAAACATTCCTGACACGTGTCAATATGTTTACCTCAAGCAAGTATCACAGCAAGTACAGATATACAGTCAAAAAGTATGAGACACACAGAAATAACTTAAATTTTTCAAAATTGTAAGAGATATTAGTTCCTAGTAATAGCTGTATGATAATAATGAACAGATTGGGAACACATTACAACTGGTATTAAAATACTACAGTAGATGTTGCGACCACCAATCATCTTGATGAATGATTGGGGTAAAATGGGAAATATCAGTCAGTATTGTGTAAAACCGTCACGATTTGTCAAACATTCATTCATGTGACAAGACATACTGCGTTTGAGACTCCCAATGGTGATTTGAGAGAGTCTGTCTCGACACTCCTCTTGCAGTGCCTGGCCAAGTTTAGCCAACATGGTCGGCGGCCTATGACGATGCACACGTCTGCCTATCATGTCCCAGACATGTTCAATTGGCGAAAGGTCTGGGATCATTGCTGGTCATGGCATTTTATGGATGCTGTGCTGCTGGAGGTGAGCATTGACGAATTGTGCACAGTGAGCACAGGTTGTCATTCTGAAAGACAAAACGTCGACCCACACGCCTTGCAAACCAGACAACAAAGGGTGTCAGTATGTTGTCCCGATAGTGCTGTCCATTGAGCATGGAGATTAGCTGAATGTAAATGACTTTTAATTGTCTGACCCGTGACTCGTACTCCAGTCGTCTGATGAGAGTTTGGAGCAATTTGATTTGCCGTATGTGCTTGATTTTGTAGAGCCTGGTTTAGGATCAATGATCCTGTAATCTTGTCATTGACCTGGGATGCCCTGAGCTGGGTCAATCGTCAACATTTTGGGTTTGTTGGTACCTGTTCCATAGTCTGCCAATCACAAACTGTGAAGCATTGAATGTATTGAGCATGTCCCTCAGTGATGTGGATTTTGCACTATTATTATTATTAAAGTAAAAATTATTATTATTATTTATTTATTATTATTATTATTTTTATTATTATTATTATTATTTGCCACTGTACGCTGACTTCTGCCAATTTCCAGCATGCCAACAGCTTGTAGATGCTCCTCATGTTGCAGATGACGTATTGCATACACAAACAATGAATTAAATCAAATAAATCACATTTGTATGATAAGCAGAATAAGAAAAGATTGATAGAGACAGAGAAATCAGGAATGACACTGAGCCTATGTGTGGCATGAGGCATGTGCAAACTATAGCATGAGTTTGGGTGTTAAGGTTCACAGACATAAACGCTCTTGCACAGGATGTTTGTCGTCGAAACCTATCTTTGTTCTAATACTTTGTATTAAAAATAATATTTCATGATTCCCTACTTATCTTTAGAGTATATATGCCTCTATATCCCCGGTAATAGTGGACATATTTACTTACCCTTTATAGTTATACCTCAATATCCCCGGTAATAGTGGACATATTTACTTACCCTTTACAGTTATACCTCTATATCCCTGGTAATAGTGGACATATTTACTTACCCTTTATAGTTATACCTCTATATCCCTGGTAATAGTGGACATATTTACTTACCCTTTATAGTTATACCTCTATATCCCTGGTAATAGTGGACATATTTACTTACCCTTTATAGTTATACCTCTATATCCCTGGTAATAGTGGACATATTTACTTACCCTTTATAGTTATACCTCTATATCCCCGGTAATAGTGGACATATTTACTTACCCTTTATAGTTATACCTCTATATCCCTGGTAATAGTGGACATATTTACTTACCCTTTATAGTTATACCTCTATATCCCCGGTAATAGTGGACATATTTACTTACCCTTTATAGTTATACCTCTATATCCCTGGTAATAGTACTAGTGGACATATTTACTTACCCCTTATAGTTATACCTCTATATCCCCGGTAATAGTGGACATATTTATTTACCCTTTATAGTTATGGAAAAGGAAGGTCTATATTCCGCGTAACTGTGGACATATTCACCTCTATATTCCTGGTAAGTGTGGATATATTTACCTCTATATTCCTGGTAAGTGTAGATATATTTACCTCTATATTCCTGGTAAGTGTGGATATATTTACCTCTTTATTCCTGGTAGGTATGTACAGACTTACCTACCTCTATATTCCTGGAAAGTGTGGATATATTTACCTCTATATTCCTGGTAAGTGTAGATATATTTACGTCTAAATTCCTGGAAAGTGTGGATATATTTACCTCTATAATCCTGGTAAGTTTGTATAGACTTACCTCTGTATTCCTGGTAAGAGTGGATATATTTTCCCGGAGATTCTTGTTCTAGTAGGAAGACCCCTGGATCAGAACACACATCGTTGTTCTGCCTAGAACACAAGTCAAAAGATTATCACTTTTTTAAGCTATTGATTTTCAAAGCAGATTGTCCTTTTTTTCCCACAAAAATCATGTTATGTTGTCTCCATAGCAGCAAAGTATTTAACTCACGAAATGTAGGCACTGGACAGCGATCCTCCTCCATTGATGAAGAACTGCATCGTCCAAGACCTGTAGGTCTGGTCGCCATAGTAATACGGGGTAGTTTTCACACGATGCCAGGTGCCCAGAAACTGGTACAACATCAACGTTAGCATCAGCATCATAACATCGCATCACATCACATCACAAAACATCAGAATCATATCACATCACCTAACATCAGAATCATATCACATCACATAACATCAGAATCACATCACATAACATCAGAATCACATCACATCACATCACATCACATCACATCACATCACATCAGAATCGCATCACATCACATCACATCACATCACATCACATCAGAATCGCATCACATCACATAACATCAGAATCACATCACATAACATCAGAATCACATCGCACTGGAATCACATCGCATCACATCAGTTTCACATCACATCACATCACACTGGAATCACATCGCATCACATCAATATCACATCACATCACATCATATCACACTGGAATCACACTGGAATCACATCGCATCATTATCACATCGCATCACATCAGTATCACATCACATCACATCGCATCACATCACACTGGAATCACATCGTATCCTTATCACATCGCATCTCATCAGTATCACATCACATCACATCACACTGGAATCACATCCCCTCATTATCACATCCCCTCATTATCACATCGCATCACATCAGTATCACATCACATCACATCACACTGGAATCACATCGCATCATTATCACATCACATCACATCACATCACATCACATCACATCACATCACATCACATCACATCACATCACATCACATCACATCACATCACATCACATCACATCACATCACATCACATCGTGTCGCATTGCATTGCTGGGACCACCAGTTCCTTGTCCCCCTCTAATGTAGATTGACTTTGCTCCTTCGAATTACACATCATTGCACAATTATCAGAGAGCCCAATTATTCCCAAGACTCTGTAGTCTGTATTATTATCTGGCGTGAATGCTGTGAAAAACAGCTAACTAGATACTTTCATTGGGTCTCAGATAACTTCTTTATTTATCCACAATTGATTTCTGATAACAAGAATTGTTGGCGTGGAGGGGAAGTAACTACATTTTCTGGGTCCCCTGAGTCTCCCCATGTTCACAAGCTGAGCGTGTCTCAGGACAGGAACACAGATACTGATCAGATACTACACAGATACTGATCAGATACTACACAGATGCTGATCAGATACTACACAGATACTGATCAGATACTACACAGATACTGATCAGATACTACACAGATACTGATATGATACTACACAGATGCTGATCAGATACTACACAGATACTGATCAGATACTACACAGATGCTGATCAGATACTACACAGATACTGATCAGATACTACACAGATACTGATCAGATACTACACAGATGCTGATCAGATACTACACAGATACTGATCAGATACTACACAGATACTGATCAGATACTACACAGATGCTGATCAGATACTACACAGATACTGATCAGATACTACACAGATACTGATCAGATACTACACAGATGCTGATCAGATACTACACAGATACTGATCAGATACTACACAGATACTGATCAGATACTACACAGATGCTGATCAGATACTACACAGATACTGATCAGATACTACACAGATGCTGATCAGATACTACACAGATACTGATCAGATACTACACAGATACTGATATGATACTACACAGATGCTGATCAGATACTACACAGATACTGATCAGATACTACACAGATGCTGATCAGATACTACACAGATACTGATCAGATACTACACAGATACTGATATGATACTACACAGATGCTGATCAGATACTACACAGATACTGATCAGATACTACACAGATACTGATCAGATACTACACAGATGCTGATCAGATACTACACAGATACTGATCAGATACTACACAGATACTGATCAGATACTACACAGATACTGATCAGATACTACACAGATACTGATATGATACTACACAGATGCTGATCAGATACTACACAGATACTGATCAGATACTACACAGATGCTGATCAGATACTACACAGATACTGATCAGATACTACACAGATACTGATCAGATACTACACAGATGCTGATCAGATACTACACAGATACTGATCAGATACTACACAGATACTGATATGATACTACACAGATGCTGATCAGATACTACACAGATACTGATCAGATACTACACAGATACTGATCAGATACTACACAGATGCTGATCAGATACTACACAGATACTGATCAGATACTACACAGATACTGATCAGATACTACACAGATGCTGATCAGATACTACACAGATACTGATCAGATACTACACAGATACTGATCAGATACTAAACAGATGCTGATCAGATACTACACAGATACTGATCAGATACTACACAGATACTGATATGATACTACACAGATGCTGATCAGATACTACACAGATACTGATCAGATACTACACAGATGCTGATCAGATACTACACAGATACTGATCAGATACTACACAGATACTGATATGATACTACACAGATGCTGATCAGATACTACACAGATACTGATCAGATACTACACAGATACTGATCAGATACTACACAGATACTGATCAGATACTACACAGATGCTGATCAGATACTACACAGATACTGATCAGATACTACACAGATGCTGATCAGATACTACACAGATACTGATCAGATACTAACAGAGAATGATCAGATACTACACAGATGCTGATCAGATACTACACAGATACTGATCAGATACTACACAGATACTGATCAGATACTACACAGATACTGATCAGATACTAACAGAGAATGATCAGATACTACACAGATACTGATCAGATACTACACAGATACTGATCAGATACTAACAGAGAATGATCAGATACTACACAGATGCTGATCAGATACTACACAGATGCTGATCAGATACTAACAGAGAATGATCAGATACTACACAGATACTGATCAGATACTACACAGATACTGATCAGATACTACACAGATACTGATCAGATACTACACAGATACTGATCAGATACTACACAGATACTGATCAGATACTAACAGAGAATGATCAGATACTACACAGATGCTGATCAGATACTACACAGATGCTGATCAGATACTAACAGAGAATGATCAGATACTACACAGATACTGATCAGATACTAACAGAGAATGATCAGATACTACACAGATACTGATCAGATACTACACAGATACTGATCAGATACTACACAGATGCTGATCAGATACTTACAGAGAATGATCAGATACTACACAGATACTGATCAGATACTACATAGAGGCTGATCAGATACTACACAGATACTGATATGATACTACACAGATACTGATCAGAAACTACACAGATACTGATCAGATACTACACAGATACTGATCCACCTGCACACATGGTAACCATCACACCCACCTGCACACATGGTAACCATCTCACCCACCTGCACACATGGTAACCATCTCACCCACCTGCACACATGGTAACCATCTCACCCACCTGCACACATGGTAACCATCTCACCCACCTGCTCCCATGGTAACCATCTCACCCACCTGCACACATGGTAACCATCTCACCCACCTGCACACATGGTAACCATCTCACCCACCTGCACCCATGGTAACCATCTCACCCACCTGCACACATGGTAACCATCTCACCCACCTGCACACATGGTAACCATCTCACCCACCTGCGCCCATGGTAACCATCTCACCCACCTGCACACATGGTAACCATCTCACCCACCTGCACACATGGTAACCATCTCACCCATCTGCACTCATGATAACCATCTCACCCACCTGCACTCATGATAACCATCTCACCCACCTGCACACATGGTAACAATCAGACCCACCTGCAAACATGGTAACCATCTCACCCACCTGCACCTATGGTACCGATCTCACCCACCTGCACACATGGTAACCATCACACCAACCTGCACACATGGTCACCATCTCACCCACCTGCACACATGATAGCCATCTCACCCACCTGCACCCATGGTAAATACTCTGTATACTTACATCATAAACATTGAATTCTTCCTGCACTCGCCTGCGAGCTTGGTCACAATGGCTGGTCCCAATATCTGTTAACAAAATTATCTGGGTAATCACAAAATAAGTTAACATGATATTAGGGACCACCTATTTAATATTCAGGGGCCTCTGACAGTCAATTATTTATTTCAGGCCATGGACAATTAATACAATGAAGGTACTTCCTAAACAAGTGCAACAGCAAATGTTTACAATTGATGGCAAATTGAAATTCAAAAGTTTTCTTACGTCTAATTTATGTTTAATTCATACCAAATAGTGACTATTGAAACTATTGATTATCATGTATATTTTTGATATACCTGCATAGTTTTTAATATCTATTGATATAGTACAATCACAGGGCAATGATTGCATTGATTGATAGTTCGATATATGGTTACACTCCTACAAACTATTAGTATCCACCATTTTCAGAAACAGATAAAAAATTATCAAAATCCCAGGGCCCCCTAGAATAGGAAATTGTGTGCCCCTTACTGCCCTTGCTACAAAACGTTGTCACCTGCGCTGTGTAAAACTAGATCTGGCAATACCGACAAGTGATGGAAGAATGATACATCAGTGGAAGCTGGATTGTGTGAGTGAGTGAGTTGGGTATAACACCACGTCGAACAGTATTTCAGTTATATCACGGTGTGTCAGTTTCTAGGCTTGCACAAGTCTCAAGGCAATAATTATTAGTTTAAATCATAATTTCAAGATTATATAAATAATAAGAACAAGTTGTCCCTATACGTGAGTGGAGTTCACATATCTAGACTTGCTTATTAGAGTGATAGAGTAACTACACATCCATGGACTTATCTCCAGTACAGCCTTGGAGCAAGTCTAGTCCGTCTTGTGGGAGTAATACCAAAAGTGATGCAGGTCTCAGACCTTTACCACTTTGGTGAAAACCACAAAATGGTCTGACAAACCCAGAAACATAATCATGGCCTCAAACCCATGCTCACAGACCACTGGGTCAAGCATGCCCCCTTATCCAAGGAAGAGTTCCTCCCTCAGTCAGAGGGGCTTGGTTTGGGGATCAAGTGTCAACTGGAGCAATAAAGATGGTGTAAACCATAGATTGCCATAAAATACTGCTACAGAATGCCTTGTGACATCAGAGACTCAGTATTGAGAATGTCAGTGTGTATTACCATCGGCTGGATCACCCACAGACTCCAGGAAGCCCTCAGGGAACGCACAGAGACCTGGGGACAGAAGAAATATCAGAGTGTACAAGCTTGTATGCAGTGCCTTGTACTCAGTACCTTGCACCCCAGTACCTTGCACCCTAGTACCATGTGTCCCAGTATCTTGCACCCAAGACCTTGCACCCGAGTACCTTCCACCACAGTACCTTGCACCCCAGTACCTTGCACCCAGTACCGTGTACACAGTACATTGCACCCCAGTACCTTGTACCCCAGTACCTTGCACCCCAGTACATTGCACCCCAGTACCTTGCACCCTAGTACCTTCCACCACAGTACCTTGCACCCCAGTACCTTGCACCCAGTAACTTGAACCCAGTACCATGTACCACAGTACCTTGCACCCCAGTACCATGTGCCCCAGTATCTTGCACCCAGGACCTTGCACCCCAGTACCTTGCACCCCAGTACCTTGCACCCCAGTTACTTGAACCCAGTACCATGTACCACAGTACCTTGCACCCAAGTACCTTGCACCCAAGTACCTTGCATCCCAGTATCTTGAACCCAGTACCATGTTCCACAGTACCTTGCACCCCAGTACCTTGCACCCAGTACCTGGTACAACAGTACCTTGCACCCCAGTACCTTCCACCAAGTACCTTGCACCCAAGTACCTTGCATCCCAGTATCTTGAACCCAGTACCATGTTCCAGAGTACCTTGCACCCCAGTACCTTGCATGCCAGTACCTTGCACCCAGTACCTGGTACAACAGTACCTTGCACCCCAGTACCTTCCACCACAGTACCTTGCACCCCAGTACCTTGCACCCAGTACCGTGTACCACAGTACCTTGCACCCCAGTAACTTGAACCCAGTACATTGCACCCCAGTACCTTCCACCCAAGTACCTTGCACCCCAGTACCTTGCACCCCAGTAACTTGCCTCCAAGTATCTTGAACCCAGGACCTTCCACCACAGTACCTTCCACCACAGTTCCTTGCACCCAGTACCTTGTACCACAGTACCTTGCACCCCAGTACCTTGCATCCCAGTACCTTGTACCCCAGTACCTTGCACCCCAGTACATTGCACCCCAGTACCTTGCACCCCAGTACCTTCCACCACAGTACCTTGCATCCTAGTACCTTGCACCCAGTAACTTGAACCCAGTACCATGTACCACAGTACCTTGCACCCAAGTACCTTCCACCCCAGTACCATGTGCCCCAGTATCTTGCACCCAGGACCTTGCACCCCAGTACCTTGCACCCCAGTACCTTGCACCCAAGTTACTTGAACCCAGTACCATGTACCACAGTACCTTGCAGCCCAGTGCCATGTGCCCCAGTATCTTGCACCCAGGACCTTGCACCCCAGTACCTTGCACCCCAGTACCTTGCACCCCAGTACCTTGCACCCAGTAACTTGAACCCAGTACCATGTACCACAGTACCTTGCACCCAAGTACCTTGCACCCCAGTACCATGTGCCCCAGTATCTTGCACCCAGGACCTTGCACCCCAGTACCTTGCACCCCAGTACCTTGCACCCCAGTTACTTGAACCCAGTACCATGTACCACAGTACCTTGCACCCAAGTACCTTGCACCCCAGTACCTTGCATCCCAGTATCTTGAACCCAGTACCATGTTCCACAGTACCTTGCACCCCAGTACCTTGCATGCCAGTACCTTGCACCCAGTACCTGGTACAACAGTACCTTGCACCCCAGTACCTTCCACCACAGTACCTTGCACCCCAGTACCTTGCACCCAGTACCGTGTACCACAGTACGTTGCACCCCAGTAACTTGAACCCAGTACCATGTACCACAGTACCTTCCACCCAAGTACCTTGCACCGTAGTACCTTGCCTCCCAGTATCTTGAACCCAGTACCATGTTCCACAGTACCTTGCACCTAGTACCTTGTACACCAGTACATTGCACCCCAGTACCATGCACCCCAGTACCTTGCACCCAGTACCTTCTATCCCAGTACCTTGTACCCCAGTACATTGTACCCCAGTACCTTGCACCCAGTACATTGCACCCAGTAAATTGCACCCCTGTACCATGCACCCTAGTACCTTGAACCCCCGTATATTGTACCCCAGTACATTGTACCCCCCAGTACCTTCCACCACAGTACCTTGCACCCAGTTTCTTGCACCCCAGTACCTTGTACCCCAGTACATTGCACCCCAGTACCTTGCACCCCAGTACCTTGCACCCAGTACCTTCCACCCAGTACCATGTACCACAGTAGACTGCACCCAGTACCTTGCACCCCAGTACCTTCCACCCAGTACCTTGCAATCCAGTACCTTGCACCCAGTACCGTGTACCACAGTACCTTGCACCCCAGTACCTTCCATCACAGTACATTGCACCCCAGTACCTTGTACCCAAGTACCTTGCACCCAAGTACCTTGTACCCCAGTACCTTGCAATCCAGGACCTTGTACCCCAGTACCTTGTACCCAGTACCTTGTACCCCAGTGCCTTGTACCCCAGTACCTTGCTACCCAGTACCTTGTACCCAGTACCTTGCAATCCAGGACCTTGTACCCCAGTACCTTGTACCACAGTACCTTGCACCCAGTACCTTGCAATCCAAGACCTTACACCCCAGTACCTTGCACCCAGTACCTTGTACCCCAGTACCTTCCACCCAGTACCTTGCAATCCAGGACCTTGCACCCCAGTACCTTGCAATCCAGGACCTTGTACCCCAGTACCTTGCACCCCAGTACCTTGCACCCAGTACCTTGCAATCCAAGACCTTGCACCCCAGTACCTTGCACCCAGTACCTTGTACCCCAGTACCTTCCACCCAGTACCTTGCAATCCAGGACCTTGCACCCCAGTACCTTGTACCCCAGAACCTTGCACCCCAGTACCTTGCACCCAGTACCATGTACCACAGTAGACTGCACCTAGTACCTTGCAATCCAGTACATTGCACCCCAGGACCTTGCACCCCGGTACCTTGTACCCCAGAACCTTGCACCTAGTACCTTGCACCCAGTACCATGTACCCCAGTAGAATGCATCCAGTACCTTGCAATCCAGTAACTTGCACCCCAGTACCTTGCACCCCAGTACCTTGTACCCCAGTAGACTGCACCCAGTACCTTGCACCCAGTACCTTGCACCTAGTACCTTGTACCCCAGTAGACTGCGTCCAGTACCTTGCACCCAGTACCTTGCACCTAGTACCTTGTACCCCAGTAGACTGCACCCAGTACCTTGCACCCAGTACCATGTACCACAGTACCTTCCACCCAGTACCATGTACCACAGTAGACTGGACCCAGTACCTTCCACCCAGTACCATGTACCACAGTAGACTGCACCCAGTACCTTGCACCCAGTACCTTGCACCCCAGTACCTTCCACCCAGTACCTTGCAATACAGGACCTTGCACCCCAGTACCTTGCACCCCAGTACCTTCCACCCAGTACCTTGCACCCAAGGACCTTGCACCCCAGTACCTTGCACCCCAGTACCTTCCACCCAGTACATTCCATCACAGTACATTGCACCCCAGTACCTTGTACCTGAGTACCTTGCACCCAAGTACCTTGTACCCCAGTACCTTGCAATCCAGGACCTTGTACCCAAGTACATTGTACCCCAGTACCTTGTACCCAGTACCTTGTACCCCAGTGCCTTGTACCCCAGTACCTTGCTACCCAGTACCTTGCAATCCAGGACCTTGTACCCCAGTACCTTGTACCACAGTACCTTGCACCCAGTACCTTGCAATCCAGTAACTTGCACCCCAGTACCTTGCACCCCAGTACCTTGTACCCCAGTAGACTGCACCCAGTACCTTGCACCCAGTACCTTGCACCTAGTACCTTGTACCCCAGTAGACTGCACCCAGTACCTTGCACCCAGTACCTTGCACCTAGTACCTTTTACCCCAGTAGACTGCACCCAGTACCTTGCACCCAGTACCATGTACCACAGTACCTTCCACCCAGTACCATGTACCACAGTAGACTGGACCCAGTACCTTCCACCCAGTACCATGTACCACAGTAGACTGCACCCAGTACCTTGCACCCAGTACCTTGCACCCCAGTACCTTCCACCCAGTACCTTGCAATACAGGACCTTGCACCCCAGTACCTTGCACCCCAGTACCTTCCACCCAGTACCTTGCACCCCAGGACCTTGCACCCCAGTACCTTGTACCCCAGAACCTTGCACCCAGTACCTTGCACCCAGTACCATGTACCACAGTAGACTGCACCCAGTACCTTGCACCCCAGTACCTCCCACCCAGTACCTTGCAATCTAAGACCTTGCACCCCAGTACCTTGTACCCCAGAACCTTGCACCTAGTACCTTGCACCCAGTACCATGTACCCCAGTAGACTGCACCCAGTACCTTGCAATCCAGTACCTTGCACCCCAATACCTTCCACCCAGTACCATGTACCACAGTAGACTGCACCCAGTACCTTGCACCCAGTACCTTGCACCCCAGTACCTTCCACCCAGTACCTTGCAATCCAGTACCTTGCACCCAGTACCTTGCACCCCAGTACCATGTACCACAGTAGACTGCACCCAGTACCTTGCACCCAGTACCTTGCACCCCAGTACCTTCCACCCAGTACCTTGCACCCCAGGACCTTGCACCCCAGTACCTTGTACCCCAAAAACTTGCACCTAGTACCTTGCACCCAGTACCTTGTACCCCAGTAGACTGCACCCAGTACCTTGCAATCCAGTACCTTGCACCCCAGGACCTTGCACCCCAGTACCTTGTACCCCAGAACTTTGCACCTAGTACCTTGCACCCAGTACCTTGCACCCCAGTACCTTGTACCCCAGAACCTTGCACCTAGTACCTTGCACCCCAGTACCTTCCAGCCAGTACCTTGCAATCCAGTACCTTGCACCCCAGTACCTTGCACCCCAGTACCTTCCATCCAGTACCTTGCAATCAAGTACCTTGCACCCCAGTACCCTGCACCCCAGTACCTTCCACTCAGTACCTTGCACCCCAGGACCTTGCACCCCAGTACCTTGTACCCCAGAACCTTGCACCTAGTACCTTGCACCCAGTACCATGTACCACGGTACCCTACACCCAGTACCTTGCACCCAGTACCTTGTACCCCAAAACCTTGCACCTAGTACCTTGCACCCAGTACCATGTACCACGGTACCCTACACCCAGTACCTTGCACCCAGTACCTTGCACCCCAGTACCTTCCACCCAGTACCTTGCAATCCAGTACCTTGCACCCAGTACCTTGCACCCCAGTACCATGTACCACAGTAGACTGCACCCAGTACCTTGCACCCAGTACCTTGCACCCCAGTACCTTCCACCCAGTACCTTGCACCCCAGGACCTTGCACCCAAGTACCTTGTACCCCAAAACCTTGCACCTAGTACCTTGCACCCAGTACCTTGTACCCCAGTAGACTGCACCCAGTACCTTGCAATCCAGTACCTTGCACCCCAGGACCTTGCACCCCAGTACCTTGTACCCCAGAACTTTGCACCTAGTACCTTGCACCCAGTACCTTGCACCCCAGTACCTTGTACCCCAGAACCTTGCACCTAGTACCTTGCACCCCAGTACCTTCCACCCAGTACCTTGCAATCCAGTACCTTGCACCCCAGTACCTTGCACCCCAGTACCTTCCACCCAGTACCTTGCAATCCAGTACCTTGCACCCCAGTACCCTGCACCCCAGTACCTTCCACCCAGTACCTTGCAATCAAGTACCTTGCACCCCAGGACCTTGCACCCCAGTACCTTGTACCCCAGAACCTTGCACCTAGTACCTTGCACCCCAGTACCTTCCACCCAGTACCTTGCAATCAAGTACCTTGCACCCCAGGACCTTGCACCCCAGTACCTTGTACCCCAGAACCTTGCACCTAGTACCTTGCACCCAGTACCATGTACCACAGTACCCTGCACCCAGTACCTTGCACCCAGTACCTTGCACCCCAGTACCTTCCACCCAGTACCTTGCAATCCAGTACCTTGCACCCCAGTACCTTCCACCCAGTACCTTGCACCCCAGTACCTTGCACCCAGTACCTTATACCCAGTACCTTGCACCCAGTACCATGTACCACAGTAGACTGCACTCCCAATGTTTGTCCCAGATCTTTCACACCTAGTCATTTGTACTCTCCAATCTCCTCCCGCCATCCCACCTCCACCTGGTGTAGCCTCAACTACTCCCCACACACATCCATTCCCCTAACCACATATCCACTCCCCACCCAAACAACCTCTTCCCTACTTCCCCGATCACCACCCCCCTCCCCCTCAGCACACACACACGTCCCCTCCACTACCCACACATCCACACCAAACCCCACCTGGTGTCGCCTCAATCATGTCCTCAACATCAACACAAAGATTGGACACGATCTGCTCCAGTTTGGCCATCTTGGATGTGGGTATTGGAAATGTTCTTGTGATAATTTCTATGTGCAGGTTTTCCTTCTGGCAATGGCCGTCGTCATCCACCTCGCGACACATGTACAGCACTGCATTGGTGTAGTCCGTGAAAACAAACTGGAACAATTCTGAAAAATAATTTGAAAACTACATTTACCACTCTAACACCCTAACCCGGCACAGATATTAACAGATCTTCATTCCTGATGTGGACTTATTTAGCTCTACAGTCCTGGCAAGTGTGGATAGACTTCACTCTATCTTCCTGTAAGAATGGATAGACTAACCTCAATATACCCGGTAAGTGTGGATAGACGTACCTTTAATTCCCGGTAAGTGCGGATAGACTTACCTTTAATTCCCGGTAAGTGTGGATAGACATACCTTTAATTCCCGGTAAGTGCGGATAGACTTACCTTTAATTCCCGGTAAGTGCGGATAGACTTACCTTTAATTCCCAGTAAGTGTGGATAGACTTACCTTTAATTCATGGTAAGTGCAGATAGACTTATCTTTATATTCCTGTTAAGTGGGGATAGACTTACCTCTACATTCCTTGTAAGTGTTGACAGACTTATCTTTATATTTCTGTTAAGTGGGGATAGACTTACCTCTACATTCCTGGTAAGTATTGACTGACTTATCTTTATATTCCTGTTAAGTGGGGATAGACTTACCTCTAAATTTCCCATTGGTGGAAAAATATTTTCCTGGATATTCCTCTGTCACCACACTGACCCCCGGATCAGCACAGGCATCAGCATTCTTCCTGGAAAGTGAGTGAGTGAGTTGGGTTTTACGCCTCTTTGTTTTAAATTGTTTGATAGGCATATAGAATATGGATAAGTCATTTTTCATATAGTCTTGCTTAACAACAGTATAAGAATCTATACAGAAATGTCGAGCCCTATTACAGTATTCTAAAACAAGAGTCATCAGGAGATGACACAACCACCCCCCCCACCCCCCTTTTATGTTGCAACTTGGAAAATGAGTTTGGCAGTTTTACACCCCACGTTTGGTTCACTGCCACTGATGTTCAGTATTTTTCAACATCTCAAATCATCAAAAGGCACCAGTTCACCACTAGACAGATCTGAATAGCAAGTTTCATCTAGAAATATTCAACGGCTTTGGAGATCTGCTCTGGGAACTATGACCACCTTACTACTCTGAACAATGATACAGAACACTACTGAACACACTACGGACAACACTACAGACCAATGCTATACAGAACACTACAGAACAACACTACTTAACATGCTACAGAACACTACAGAACAACACTGCTGAACACACTACAGAACAATACTACAGAACAACTCTACAGAGCAATGCTACAGAACACTATTGAACAGACTACAGAACAACACTTAGAGCAAGACTACAGAACTTACAGCTTTCCATGGTAGGCACTAGAAAGTTGTCCATCTGTATTGAGGAAATACTTCACTGTTTCGGAGATGTATGTATTGTTGCCATAAAGGTAGGGTATGGCCTTCACCCTCTGCCACTCTCCTAGGACCTGTGGCATATAAACATGATAACATCAGGTAAAGGTAGGGTACGGCCTTCACCCTCTGCCACCCTCCTAGGACCTGTGGGATATAAACATGATAACATCAGGTAAAGGTAGGGTACGGCCTTCACCCTCTGCCACCCTCCTAGGACCTGTGGGATATAAACATGATAACATCAGGTAAAGGTAGGGTACGGCCTTTACCTTTTGCCACTCTCCTAGGACCTGTGGGATATAAACATGATAACATCAGGTAAAGGTAGAGTAGGACCATATCACTCTGCCACTCTCCCAAGACTGTAGGATATAAACATGATAACATCAGGTAAAGGTAGAGTATAACCATATCACTCTGCCACTCTCTCAGGATCTGTTGGATATAAATATGATAACATCAGGTAAAGGTAGAGTACGGCCATATCACTCTGCCACTCTCTCAGGATCTGTTGGATATAAATATGAAAACATCAGGTAAAGGTAGAGTACCGCCATATCACTCTGCCACTCTCTCAGGAGCTGTAGGATATAAACATGATAACATCAGGTAAAGGTAGGGTAGGACCATATCACTCTGCCACTCTCCCAAGACTGTAGGATATAAACATGATAACATCAGGTAAAGGTAGAGTACGGCCGTATCACTCTGCCACTCTCCTAGGAGCTGTAGGATATAAATATGATAACATCAGGTAAAGGGAGAGAACGGCCATATCACTCTGCCACTCTCTCAGGAGCTGTAGGATATAAACATGATAACATCAGGTAAAGGTAGAGTACGGCGATATCACTCTGCCACTCTCCCAGGACCTGTAGGATATAAACATGATAACATCAGGTAAAGGTAGAGTACAGCGATATCACTCTGCCACTCTCCCAGGACCTGTAGGATATAAACATGATAACATCAGGTAAAGGTAGGGCATGGCCTTTTCCCTCTGCCACCCTCCTAGGACCTGTGGGATATAAACATGATAACATCAGGTAGAGGTAGAGTACGGCCTTCACCCTCAGCCACTCTCCCAGGACCGGGATTGTCAATTTTTTGCTGTTATGAAGGTGTTCGCTTACATTTTTTTATTTACAACAAACTTAATTAAGTTGTAAATGCATTATTTTAATAATGTGATAAACATAACTTTCATATTTATAAACAAGACCTTCACCTTCTGCCAATTTGCAGGGAGCTGTAGGATATAAACATGATAACATCACCCTGATACTGCCTCTCTACAACCAGCAGTCATCTGATCTTATTTCTCTCAAAAAACAGCATTAGTGATGATATAACCCTGATGCTGCCTCTCTATAACCTGCAATCACTTCATGTTATTACCCTGATACTGCCTCTTTCTAACCTGCAATCACGTCATGTTATAACTCTGATACTGCCTCTCTCTAACCTGCAATCATGTCATGTTATAAACCTGATACTGCCTCTCTCTAACCTGCAATCACATCATGTTATAACCCTGATACTGCCTCTCTCTAACCTGCAATCACGTCATGTTATAACCCTGATATTGCCTCTCTCTAACCTGCAATCACGTCATGTCATAACTCTGATACTGCCTCTCTCTAACCTGCAATCATGTGACGGCATAACCCTGATACTGCCTCTCTATAACCCACAACCATGTGACGGCATATCCCTGATACTGCTTCTCTATAACCCACAACCATGTGACGGCATAACCCTGATACTGCCTCTCTATAACCCACAACCATGTGACGGCATATCCCTGATACTGCCTCTCTATAACCCACAATCATGTGACGGCATAACCCTGATACTGCCTCTCTATAACCCACAACCTTGTGACGGCATAACCCTGATACTGACTCTCTATAACCCACAATCATGTGATGGTATAACCTGATACTGCCTCTTTCTAACCTGCAATCATGTGATGGTATAACCCTGATACTGCCTCTCTATAACCCACAACCATGTGACGGCATAACCCTGATACTGCCTCTCTCTAACCTGCAATCACGTCATGTTATAACCCTGATATTGCCTCTCTCTAACCTGCAATCACGTCATGTTATAACTCTGATACTGCCTCTCTATAACCCACAACCATGTGACGGCATAACCCTGATACTGCCTCTCTATAACCCACAACCATGTGACGGCATATCCCTGATACTGCCTCTCTATAACCCACAATCATGTGACGGCATAACCCTGATACTGCCTCTCTATAACCCACAACCATGTGACGGCATAACCCTGATACTGACTCTCTATAACCCACAATCATGTGATGGTATAACCTGATACTGCCTCTTTCTAACCTGCAATCATGTGATGGTATAACCCTGATACTGCCTCTCTATAACCCACAACCATGTGACGGCATAACCCTGATACTGACTCTCTATAACCCACAACCATGTGACGGCATAACCCTGATACTGCCTCTCTATAACCCACAACCATGTGACGGCATATCCCTGATACTGCCTCTCTATAACCCACAATCATGTGACAGCATAACCCTGATACTGCCTCTCTATAACCCACAACCATGTGACGGCATAACCCTGATACTGACTCTCTATAACCCACTATCATGTGATGGTATAACCTGATACTGCCTCTTTCTAACCTGCAATCATGTGATGGTATAACCCTGATACTGCCTCTCTATAACCCACAACCATGTGACGGCATAACCCTGATACTGACTCTCTATAACCCACAACCATGTGACGGCATATCCCTGATACTGCCTCTCTATAACCCACAATCATGTGACGGCATAACCCTGATACTGCCTCTCTATAACCCACAACCATGTGACGGCATAACCCTGATACTGACTCTCTATAACCCACAATCATGTGATAGTATAACCTGATACTGCCTCTTTCTAACCTGCAATCATGTGATGGTATAACCCTGATAGTTCCCCTCTATAACCTGCAAGACAGTTTCATTTACATAAAACCTGACCTACAGTCTCCCCATGGCAGTGGAATGATGTAATGTCTCCTGCACTCTTCGTGTTTGTTTTGCAGTTGAGGGACTTCATTATATTGCATGAGAATCAACCCTCCCGGCACAAGAAGTTTATAGCCAGTCCTTAGGGAAACAGTTTCCATGTCAATTCATGCACATTTAATCCTAACATCAATTCTAAAAGGATGCTTCCTCTTACAGCTCGTTTAATGTCACATACTCAAATTCAAAGCAAGGTTATGTTCTTGTAAGTTAATTAGAAAAGTCTTTTGAAATGCCATCACAAACAAGTCTCGAAGCCTTGATGTCAGTTTGGGGTTTAAAGGGGGGTCCTCCTCACCTCATGTGAAGTCACATGACCTGCATGTAATCAACAACAAAAATTCTTCAGAGGGAGCCCTGGATATCTTTTTCAATAACACAAAACAGACAATTTATTTACCTTCTCTGGAGAAACAAGAGTCATCAGGAGATGCCATATCCCCCTGGTCTGGTGCAATTCGGAAATAGAGTTCGGCTACTTACACCCCACTTTTGGGTCAATGACATTGGATAACTTTACTTCAGTGAAGAAAATAATAATGACGTTCAGATTTTTCAATATCCCAAATCATCAAAAGGCACCAGTTCACCACTAGACTGATTCATATAACAAGTTTCATCTAGAAACGGTTTAGTTCCACTCTCGAAACGAGCAGTACTCTCATTTTCAGTCCAACTTGTCGTTATGGAAACAAAATCAAAATTTAAAAAAAATTTAACCCCAAATCATCAAAAGGCACCAGTTCACGACTAAACTAATCTGTATAGCATTAGTTTCAACAAGAAATAATCAACAGTTTAGGAGTTTTGCTCTGATAACGGAAGGACGGATGGACATACTGATCGCTATATCCCCCCATTTTGAAAAACAGGGGAATAAATATACATGAACGTGTATCATGACATTCACTGGACATTTTTCAGGCATAATGAATCAAGATTATATTCATGGGCAGAATTATGTTTTGAAAGAATATTTAAACATCTCTACATTTGGAAACAATTACCTCATTCATAATATGTAAGAAGTGATTTCACAGTTGGGAGGGACAAAGCTCTGTGAATAGCACAGCTATATTTCACCATCCCACATGATAAAACAGGAAGAAATCAAATGACTAATGTATTGTTGGCAATAGTCAAATTAATCAATTAAGTGATGGTGAGATTGTCCCCAGGGGTCTACCTCACACATGATGGCGGCCGGGCTGTTGTTAAATCATGTTTCTAAATCACTTTAAAGTGTTGAAAAACTATGATTAATTATATTAAAGATTCTGGGACATTAACATCACACTTAAGAATGATCATTGCATAAGTACTTTCTTTTCAGAATCCAATTTCCATAAAATATATATTATAATTGTTTATCATTTTCTCTTTTTGAAAGAATTAGAGAAATTACATTTCTTCTTCAAATGTTTACACAACATTTAGGAAATTTAGATGAAAAAGAAAAATTAGAGTCTGGTAATTAAAGCCAACATCCAAATCAAAGTTCACCAGCCATTCTGGGTTTACTTTCGGCTCCTGAGAGACCTTGAACTCCTTCTTGTGACCTTGCCACATAGCGCCTTGTTATGTCTATTATCAACAACACTGAATATCTCCCTGAGCTGTGGGGGTAGAGTAGACTTACACCAGAGACATTCAGTTCCCACTGAACCTGAGTTCGAGCCTCTGCACACTGGTCTGGTGTCCTCTCTGTCAACAAAATGAAAGGATTGCTTCATAATCAACAGCCACCCAGACATACATACATTTCTGTACCAAATACAAAAACAGAATATACACATCCTTTGTGACTCATCCACCCTTTCAATCACTTAGTCAATACTCACTCACTCACCCACCTACCCACTCACTCCCCCCCCCCCCCCACACCTAGGTACCTAACTGCCCAGTCTCCCACCCACACAAACACACACTCACTCACCAACTCAGTCTATCGACCCACCCACCAACTCACTCACCAACTCAGTCTCTCACTCATTCTCTTAAAATTCTTCTTTAGCGAATTTTTCATCAACAAGACATACACCTTACAACATCAGCAGTGCTTTTACCTATTGATTTTTATCAATTTTAGTGATCTATAATTCATCTTTTTCTTAGGTCTTGTTCAATGGGAGAGCCCAGTAGCGCAGTGCCCTCTTGTCTCACCCAGCACCAAAACGGATTCCCTAGTCACCATATTGAGGGATACTGCCGATCAAACATTAAATATTAACTCACTTTCTCACCCAGATACACATCCAGACATCCGGACACTCATGCACCCAATAACAACCCACTGTTGCAATCTTCACTCACACCACCTACACACTACAACTCACTCATTCACTCACTCACTCTGGAACAGCGCTGTAGCAATCTTCACTCGCTCACTCACTCACACTACGCATCCACCCACCCACTCACTCACCCAATCACTCACTCTGGAGCAGCTCTGTAGCAATCTTCACTCACTCACTCACTCACACCACCCACCCTACAACTCACTCACTCACTCTGGAGCAGCTCTGTTGCAATCTTCACTCACTCACTCCACCCATCAACTCACCAACCCAATCACCCACCCACCCACCCACCACTCACTCACTCACTCTGGAGCATCTCACTCACAGCCCACAGTTGTATTAATGAGTGTACCAACAAGCCTTCATTGCCCTCAGGGACCGGGGATGGAGAAGCCATGACTTCAGCTGCTTAGGGAGTATTACCAGCACTCAATTGCCGGATCACTTCAGTCAGCTCTATTTCAAATTACTGTAAATCTAACCCAAGTCTGTCATTTAGCCATTGTGACCATTTCAATCGCAGACAATGGCTTCAGTTTCTGGGTCCTATTCCATGAAGTGAATTTAGCTCAAAAACCATCATAGCTCTATGTTAAAGTATAGGAACAACGTTCATCTTAGTGCTACAACTTTCACAGGTCTATGTTAAAGTATGGGAATAATGTTCATCTTAGTGCTACAACTGTCACAGCCCTATGTTAAAGTATGTGAATAACTTTCATCTTAGTGCTACAACTGTCACAGTTCTATGTTAAAGTATGGGAATAACTTTCATCTTAGTGCTACAACTATCACAGTTCTATGTTAAAGTATGGGAATAATGTTCATCTTAGTGCTACAACTATCACAGCTCTCTGTTAAAGTATGTGACCTACAACAGTCGTGGCACTAAGACTGCTTCCAAGAATGGCACAAGATTTCAATGAGTTTGATAGCAATTATTTTTTAAGTATGATCATATTTTCACTTTGGGACCTAAAGACTCGCTAAACGCCGACAATTACAGACCATCTCCTCCAGTGGGAATGAGGCAATGTAATGCATTAATCCATTTACTCGGGAGATAAACTCCGTAATTCCCCAGGGTGCGGATATTATTAACTGTTCAATTCCTCCTCACCAGTAAGCTGCACAGCTGCCTTCATTGTGCCCACAGAGTTCTCAGCGACACAGAAGTATCTACCGAAGTCGTCACTCTCAATGTGCTCTACATGGAGTGTCGAGACAGTGGTGATGTCGTCCATGCTCCGGCGTGTGACGCTGTGACGATGGTTGTCTCTCACATAGCTCCCCATGTGTTCCCATTCGATGGTCGGTCTTGGATTGGCCTTGACCTCACACTCAAAGGTCATGGACTGACCTATGGCCTTCCTAACCTCCTCAGCATTGACACCGACCTCTGGAGAAACTAAAAAGATAAGAGAACAGGTATTGAACACCACTGACTGTAGAGCCACACCCTTACTATGTCACCCTGCCCTGATGGTGTGGTCCTGTTGAACACCACTGACTGTGTCCAGTACAGCCACACCTCAACCTCACTAAGTCACCCTGCCTTGATGATGTGGTCCTGTTGAACACCACTGACTGTGTCCAGTGCAGCCACATCTCACTCTCACTAAGTCACCCTGCCTTGATGGTGTGGTCCTGTTGAACACCACTGACTGTGTCCTGTGCAGCCACACCTCACCCTCACTAAGTCATCCTGCCTTGATGGTGTGGTCCTGTTGAACACCACTGACTGTGTCCAGTACAGCCACACCACACCCTCACTAAGTCACCCTCCCTTGAAGGTGTGGTCCTGTTGAACACCACTGACTGTGTCCTGTGCAGCCACATCTCACCCTCACTAAGTCACCCTACCTTGATGGTGTGGTCCTGTTGAACACCGCTGACTAGCTGTGTCCAGTACAGCCACACCTCACCCTCACTAAGTCCCCCTGCCCTGATGGTGTGGTCCTGTTGAACACCACTGACTGTGTCCTGTGCAGCCACACCTCACCCTCACTAAGTCACCCTGCCCTGATGGTGTGGTCCTGTTGAACACCACTGACTGTGTCCAGTATAGCCACACCTCACCCTCACTAAGTCACCCTGCCCTGATGGTGTGGTCCTGTTGAACACCACTGACTGTGTCCAGTGCAGCCACACCTCACCCTCACTAAGTCACCCTGCCTTGATGATGTGGTCCTGTTGAACACCACTGACTGTGTCCAGTGCAGCCACATCTCACCCTCACTAAGTCACCCTCCCTTGAAGGTGTGGTCCTGTTGAACACCACTGACTGTGTCCAGTGCAGCCACATCTCACCCTCACTTAGTCACCCTGCCTTGATGGTGTGGTCCTGTTGAACACCACTGACTGTACAGCCACACCACACCCTCACTAAGTCACCCTGCCTTGATGGTGTGGTCCTGTTGAACACCACTGACTGTGTCCAGTACAGCCACACCACACCCTCACTAAGTCACCCTGCCTTGATGGTGTGGTCCTGTTGAACACCACTGACTGTGTCCAGTACAGCCACACCTCACCCTCACTTAGTCACCCTGCCTTGATGGTGTGGTCCTGTTGAATACCACTTACTGTGTCCAGTACAGCCACACCTCAACCTCACTTAGTCACCCTGCCTTGATGGTGTGGTCCTGTTGAACACCACTGACTGTGTCCAGTACAGCCACATCTCACCCTCACTAAGTCACCCTGCCCTGATGGTGTGGTCCTGTTGAACACCACTGACTGTGTCCAGTACAGCCACACCACACCCTCACTAAGTCACCCTGCCTTGATGGTGTGGTCCTGTTGAACACCACTGACTGTGTCCAGTCCAGCCACACCACACCCTCACTAAGTCACCCTGCCTTGAAGGTGTGGTCCTGTTGAACACCACTGACTGTGTCCTGTGCAGCCACACCTCACCCTCACTAAGTCACCCTACCTTGATGGTGTGGTCCTGTTGAACACCGCTGACTAGCTGTGTCCAGTACAGCCACACCTCACCCTCATTAAGTCACCCTGCCTTGATGGTGTGGTCCTGTTGAACACCACTGACTGTGTCCTGTGCAGCCACACCTCACCCTCACTAAGTCACCCTGCCCTGATGGTGTGGTCCTGTTGAACACCACTGACTGTGTCCAGTATAGCCACACCTCACCCTCATTAAGTCACCCTGCCTTGATGGTGTGGTCCTGTTGAACACCACTGACTGTGTCCAGTATAGCCACACCTCACCCTCACTAAGTCACCCTGCCCTGATGGTGTGGTCCTGTTGAACACCACTGACTGTACAGCCACACCTCACCCTCACTAAGTCACCCTGCCTTGATGGTGTGGTCCTGTTGAACACCACTGACTGTGTCCAGTATAGCCACACCACACCCTCACTAGGTCACCCTGCGGTGTTATAAGGATCTATACAGAAACGTCGCCTTTACAGTTATTAAAGAAGTTGTTATCCATAAATTGTGTCTGATTTGTCATCCGTCAACTTCTAAGTAATGTCTATCAAACAAGCATAGTCCAATCATAATCCTCAAAACGACTGACATCTGGTTCGTAAACAACATGGAGATTTCAGTCAATTTGAGGATTTGCAAAGCATATGTACTGTATATTGCGCATTGACAGGTATATTCCAAATCTTTTCATGTTTTTAATCAACTCGCTTGATTTGATGCATTTCGTGAGGTAAGACAATTACAATAATCACAATATAGGTCTTGATTACTGATCAGATCGTCTTGACTGGCCGTCACTATTTTGTTTGAAGCAAAAGCAGGTGATATCAGAGGTGGAGTCTGATTGGTCAATAGGATAGACATAGAAGGGACATCACTCGTATTCGCCACAGGTGTGCTACACCAGCATAGCTCGGCAAGTGACATTCCCTGTGGAGGGTGGTCCTGACACTTACAGTTTACGTCGAGGTAGAATGTTTGACTTGCATCTGGTTGGATGTCGTTGTGAGCATGACAAATGTATTGGCCGATGTTGGCCGAGTATACGTTCATGAAAGTGAGGCTGTGACCTCCAGCTGGGGATGGTCCTGAAAAACAAAGGTCATGCATTAGGCAATGTCACCAAAACATATATAATTCAGACATACTTTGCGCATTCACACTTACATTCACACTTTCACCAACTTTGTAGATGCACAGCATCAACCCATCTGATGACGTTCATAATGATTTCTGGGATGTTGGGGTTGCCTAGTGGTTAAGGCATTCGCTCATCAAGCCGAAAACCCGTTTTTTAATTCCCCACATGTGTTCAATATGTGAAGCTCATTTCTGGTGTCAACGTGACATTGATGGAATATTGCTTAAAGCAGCCTGAAACCATACTGACTCATAATGATTACTTAAAGGTTTGCGCATTTACAAATCATGCACATGCTGTGGACCAAAAACGTCCTATGTCACATCTTGACATGGGGAACCAACGAGTGCCTACATGGGGAACCAAACCAGGGTCTATACATGGGGAATCAAACCAGGCCTACATGGGGAATCAAACCAGGGCCTACATGAGGAATCAAACCAGGGTCTATACATGGGGAATCAAACCAGGATCTACATGGGGAATCAAACCAGCGTCTACATGGGGAACCAAACCAGGGCCTACATGGGGAATCAAACCAGGCCTACATGGGGAATCAAACCAGGGCCTACATGGGGAATCAAACCAGGATCTACATGGGGAATCAAACCAGGATCTACATGGGGAATCAAACCAGCGTCTACATGGGGAACCAAACCTGGGCCTACTTGGGGAATCAAACCAGGCCTACAAGGGGAATCAAACCAGGGCCTACATGGGGAATCAAACCACGGTCTACATGGGGAACCAAACCAGGGCCTACATGGGGAATCAAACCAGGGCCTAAATGGGGAATCAAACCAGGATCTACATGGGGAATCAAACCAGGATCTACATGGGGAATCAAACCAGGGTCTATACATGGGGAATCAAACCAGGGCCTACATGGGGAATCAAACGAGGCCTTCATGGGGAATCAAACCAGGATCTACATGGGGAATCAAACCAGGATCTACATGGGGAATCAAACCAGGGTCTACATGGGGAATCAAACCAGGGCCTACATGGGGAACCAAACCAGGGTCTACATGGGGAATCAAACCAGGGTCTATATGGGGAATCAAACCAGGGCCTACATGGGGAATCAAACCACAGCCTACATGGGGATTCAAACCAGGGTCTACATGGGGAATCAAACCAGGGTCTATATGGGGAATCAAACCAGGGTCTACATGGGTAATCAAACCAGGGTCTATATGGGGAATCAAACCAGGGTCTACATGGGGAATCAAACCACAGCCTACATGGGTAATCAAACCAGGGTCTATATGGGGAATCAAACCAGGGTCTATACATGGGGATTCAAACCAGGGCCTACATGGGGAATCAAACCAGGGTCTACATGGGGAACCAAACCAGGGTCTATATGGGGAATCAAACCAGGGTCTATACATGGGATTCAAACCACGGCCTACATGGGGAATCAAACCAGGGCCTACATGGGGAATCAAACCAGGGCCTACATGGGGAATCAAACCAGGGCCTATACATGGGGAATCAAACCACAGCCTACATGGGTAATCAAACCAGGGTCTATATGGGGAATCAAACCAGGGTCTATATGGGGAATCAAACCAGGGCCTAAATGGGGAATCAAACCAGGGCCTACATAGGGAATCAAACCACGGCCTATACATGGGGAATCAAACAACGGCCTACATGGGGAATCAAACCAGGGTCTATACATGGGGAATCAAACCACAGCCTACATAGGGAATCAAACCAGGGTCTACATGGGGAATCAAACCAGGGTCTATATGGGGAATCAAACCAGGGCCTAAATGGCGAATCTAACCAGGCCTACATGGGGAATCAAACCAGGGTCTATACATGGGGAATCAAAACCACGGCCTACATGGGGAATCAAACCAGGGTCTACATGGGGAACCAAACCAGGGCCTACATGGGGAATCTAACCACGGCCTACATGGGGAATCAAACCAGGGTCTATACATGGGGAATCAAAACCACGGCCTACATGGGGAATCAAACCAGGGTCTACATGGGGAATCAAACCAGGGCCTAAATGGGGAATCAAACCAGGGCCTACATGGGGAATCAAACCAGGGCCTACATGGGGAATCAAACCAGGGACTATACATGGGGAATCAAACCAGGGTCTACATGGCGAATCAAACCAGGGTCTACATGGGGAATTAAACCAGGGCCTACATGGGGAATCAAACCAGGGTCTATACATTGGGAATCAAAACCACGGCCTACATGGGGAATCAAACCAGGGACTATACATGGGGAATCAAACCAGGGTCAACATGGGGAATCAAACCAGGGTCTATACATGGGGATTCAAACCAGGGCCTACATGGGGAATCAAACCACAGCCTACATGGGTAATCAAACCAGGGTCTATATGGGGAATCAAACCAGGGTCTATACATGGGGATTCAAACCAGGGCCTACATGGGGAATCAAACCAGGGTCTACATGGGGAATCAAACCAGGGTCGATATGGGGAATCAAACCAGGGTCTACATGGGGAATCAAACCACAGCCTACATGGGTAATCAAACCAGGGTCTACATGGGTAATCAAACCAGGGTCTATATGGGGAACCAAACCAGGGTCTATATGGGGAATCAAACCAGGGCCTAAATGGGGAATCTAACCACGGCCTACATGGGGAATCAAACCAGGGTCTATATGGGGAATCTAACCAGGCCTACATGGGGAATCAAACCAGGGTCTATACATGGGGAATCAAAACCACGGCCTACATGGGGAACCAAACCAGGGCCTACATGGGGAATCAAACCAGGGACTATACATGGGGAATCAAACCAGGGTCAACATGGGGAATCAAACCAGGGTCTATACATGGGGAATCAAACCTTGGCCTACATGGGGAATCAAACCACGGCCTACATGGGGAATCAAACCAGGGTCTACATGGGGAATCAAACCAGGGCCTACATGGGGAATCAAACCAGGGACTATACATGAGGAATCAAACCAGGGACTATACATGGGGAATCAAACCAGGGTCAACATGGGGAATCAAACCAGGATCTATACATGGGGAATCAAACCAGGGTCTACATGGGGAATCAAACCTGGGTCTACATGGGGAATCAAACCATGGCCTATACATGGGGAATCAAACCAGGGCCTACATGGGGAATCAAACCATGCTTCATGAATTTTCAAGGTCAGTAATCTCTAGCAGCTCTCCTTAATCCTTAAAAACATACATCTAGAAACTAATTGTCGAAAACACACAGAAGCAAATGAAAACCGGCAGTTCTACTCGTTGATAAAAAGCTTAAACAGGTCCTCCAGTCTGGCTCTGGATCAATACAACATCCAGGCCTGGGAGGATGGGAGGAAGACAGATGGGGGGAGGGGATCAATACTGGGGGTGGGGGGTGGAGACGGTCCCTGGGGAACAAACAATAATTTAAACCAGTGGGTCCAGGTCAGATTCACCGCAATATGTTACAGTGTAATAAAGCTTACAACCCTGTAGAATGAGCTTTGTGCTTCAGAAGATTCCAATCTAAGTTAGCAACAACAAGAAGCAACGGACACAGAAACAACGCTGGCCATTAAAGTTGCAAGATCAGACTGGATTAGTTTTGGATGCAGCAAAGATGCTATTTCCAATCTGAGGCTCCAGATGAATGATTTATTGAAATGCGGATATTTAAGTTTCAAGACAGTGTTTTAAAGTCACACACACACACACACACACACACACACACACACACACACACACACACACACACACACACACACACACACACACACACACATATATAGCATCTGCACAATCAGTATTATTAGATTTCTTATAATAATTTAACCCTCCAACCCTCATTCATTAGTGTGAAGCCCATTTCTGGTGTCACATGCCGGGATATAAAACCATACTCACTCACTCACTCCCATTAGTGTGCGCCACAAAGCACAAGCTTCCCGATCTCCACACAGTTATATGTTCTTCTTTCTAAGACTGGTTATTGGCTGTGTTTGCATTGCATCAGCTTTACTAAGGAGATGGATTTTTTTCAATTCATATTTGTCAGACATCCATGTGGGCACTTGCCAGCATATAGTAATAAAGAAGAATAAATATTATTCTTTACAATATTATCATATCATAATGGCAAATGTCTATGCCAGAAGGGAGAGCATCTGTTTCTCTCTGCAGAGTTGTGTCCCTTAAAAGTCCATATGTTCATGATCATGGGTTTGAATCCCAGCATTTCTGCAAACACAATACTTGGTTTGTCTGTACCCAGGTTGTTGGGTTTTGCTGAAGCGGTGACCTAAAGCTGGCATGGTATATATATGAAACACTGTTAAACCCCAATCACTCACTCTCACCTTTAAATCACAAAGCATTGAAAAAGGATGAAAGTTATGGGACCCTTGTCGAAGTTCCCATGTCCCTAAACTCTATTTTCAAACAGTGAGTGAGTGTGTGAGTGGGTCGGATTTAAGGCCACTTTTAACAGTATTTCAGTTATATCATGGCGTGTCAGCTTGATGTGGGAGGAAAGCCTAAAGTGATGCAGGTCTTAGACGTTTACCACTTTTGTGAAACCCACGAGCACGGGTATGGTGCTGACAAACCTAGAAACATAATTGGGGCGAACCGGGATTCGAACCCACAATCATAGGTTTCTGGTGTGTCCAAGGCATGCAACTCTGCACAGCGAATTGCGGCGCCTTAGACGATGGAGCCATCCGTGCCCCCCTATTTTCAAACAGAACAATATTGAAAAATATCAGAAATCAGAGAAGCTCGAAGGAAATTTTAGTTTTAATTGGTAATTTGTGACAGTTATCATTATTGGGATAATTACCAGAAGACTTTAACAGGAAATATTCCCCAATGCAGTGACCTTGAGGGAGTTGGCACACACTGAGACTGTGATCTGTCAGGAGATAGCACCATTAGTGTCCCCCCTCCCTCCCCACATCGTCCCCTCCCACATCGCCAACCATTATCTCCCACACATAATCTGACGGCCTCAGTGTGCAGTGCATCAATTGGGGACACATCATGCCTCTTTATATTCTAAAAAACATACCGTATTTGACGTAATAAGCGCCCAAAGCGCTCTCAAAATTAGAAATAGGGGGCTCTTATTAGAATAGTATTTTGGTGACAGCCTGAAATGTTTATATACGACAGATATATTTTTCCAGAAATTAATTGCCCATAATTAAGGGTGCATATAACACACAAGTGCGTGTTTTACATGAATAAATAAGTCTTATGTACATGGATCAAATCGGAAGGGGTGCTAATTTGGATTGTTCACTAGCCAATATGTTAACAAATATCGCCTTGGGCGCTAATTAGAGCAGGGCGCTTATTACGTCGAATACGGTAAAGCTTTTTCTCCACTTGCTGTTTGTTTCCCCAAGCTTCAGATGGTGGAGAGTTAGAAAGCATCTAGTGTTGTTTAGTGTACACTGTGGTATGTCAGCTATGCAGGCTATTTCTTAGAATATTGTGTTATCAACACAAGCCATGCTAAACAAACCACTGCGGCCTCCACTGGGGCATTGAGGTATCTAAGGGGCTCGGTTCTGTTTTTTTATCAAATAAATGTTACATAAAATGGGGGGGGGGGAGAAGGGGGTCAGCACAATATGATACAGTCCTGAGACCATCAACTTAAACATTCTTCAAAGCAGCATGAACCCTTCCTCAGTAACTCACTACTATAGCAATCTTGCTATCCCATTTTATGTTCACAAATATATACTGAAAACTGTCTACAACAACAGTCAGCACTATTTCAGCTGTATCAGAATCTGTCAGCACTATTTCAGCTGTATCAGAACCTGACAGCACTATTTCAGCTGTATCAGAACCTGACAGCACTATTTCAGCTGTATCAGAACCTGACAGCACTATTTCAGCTGTATCAGAACCTCTCAGCACTATTTCAGCTGTATCAGAACCTGACAGCACTATTTCAGCTGTATCAGAACCTGACAGCACTATTTCAGCTGTATCAGAACCTGACAGCACTATTTCAGCTGTATCAGAACCTGTCAGCACTATTTCAGCTGTATCAGAACCTGTCAGCACTATTTCAGCTGTATCAGAACCTGACAGCACTATTTCAGCTGTATCAGAACCTGTCAGCACTATTTCAGCTGTATCAGAACCTGTCAGCACTATTTCAGCTGTATCAGAACCTGTCAGCACTATTTCAGCTGTATCAGAACCTGACAGCACTATTTCAGCTGTATCAGAACCTGTCAGCACTATTTCAGCTGTATCAGAATATGGCAGCACTATTTCAGCTGTATCACAATCTGGCCGCACTATTTCAGCTGTATCACAATCTGGGAGCACTATTTCAGCTGTATCAGAACCTGTCAGCACTATTTCAGCTGTATCAGAATATGGCAGCACTATTTCAGCTGTATCACAATCTGGCCGCACTATTTCAGCTGTATCACAATCTGGCAGCACTATTTCAGCTGTATCAGAATCTGGCAGCACTATTTCAGCTGTATCAGAATCTGGCAGCACTATTTCAGCTGTAGCAGAATCTGTCAGCACTATTTCAGCTGTATCAGAATCTGTCTGGTGTCGTGGCTTTAACCGTATGCCAGTCACAGTTTTTGGACACCTGGGACAGAATCAGTGATATCCCTGTGCCAGGGCCACCAAGCAGCAGCCTAATGTAATCCTCTCTGAGAGAGTCCTACAAACCTTTTGTCTCCACTAGAGCTCAGAGCATGTGAATGAACAAGGAAACGTAGTTGAGTGTTATTATTGGTTCTCCCTGATACCTGGGGGACAAGTTGACCTGTAGTTCACCCTTACAGAGGCTGTGGCGCCGGCGCCAGTATTGAGTCCTGGTAATGAAGTGCCAGAGCAACATGAACACCCAACACTTCAGTGTGTAGCATCAACATCACAGGCTTTCAGAGGCAGCGCTCTCTTCACAACAATTTGAATTGATTGTCTTTTATGCTGTTGATGCATGGATATAAACCTAGAAGGTTTTTTTTTAAAGTGATCAATTAAAATATTTGTTCCGAATATGCGACAGAGTGATGACCCAAAGGTCACTGATATAACATTCGAGTGGATTTCCAAGCCTACAACCACATCCCATTGTCACATACCTCTCACCCACACACCCTCCCCTCATCCCCCTACCCATACCCCACACCAACACCAACCACACCCCACACTCAAACCCACACCCCTGCATATTCTCACCCACGCCCCACCTTCTCACACCCCACACCAACACCAACCACACCCCACACTCAAACCCACACCCTTGCATATTCTCACCCACGCCCCACATGCACACAACAACCACACCAACACCAACCACACCCCACACTCAAACCCACACCCTTGCATATTCTCACCCACGCCCCACATGCACACAACAACCACACCAACACCAACCACACCCCACACTCAAACCCACACCCTTGCATATTCTCACCCACACCCCACCTTCTCACACCCCACACAAACACCAACCACACCCCACACTCAAACCCACACCCCTGCATATTCTCACCCACGCCCCACCTTCTCACACCCCACACCAACACCAACATCCCATACCAAAATGTCCCCCTCTACCCCAGTTCCCACACTCCCTCACCCACACCCTCACCCACACCCTCACCTCCCTACATTTTGTACACTATTTTGGAAGATTACATAATATACATGTCAATTATTTCACCTTAAAAATACATATATTGCAATATTTTCATTTCTATCGCCCTTTAATAAACTCTCTCCTTGACATTGGCTAGGTTATTCTTTGGCTGGCAGAAGATTCCTGTCTGCAGATTACATAACGTTCAACAGATTCATGTATGTATGTAATAAATCTTTCTTTTACAGGAGGAGAAAAGAAAGCCTGATCGCTAGAAGAAACCGCAAGCTGATGCCAGCTTATCAAATACTCTTCTCCTTGCATGGGGCCTGGGAAGTTTCTCCTCATCACATCAAGGCAATTACTCTCGCTGTCAACTGCTATTTTAACTTTACCATTAATTCCCCAAAACCAGTTTCTTATATTTTTTTATCACACAAGCCGCATGCATAATAATATGAAATGAAATCTTGTAATTCAATAATACTGGACCTCATACTCATATCATATCCTTAATATGAAGTTGTACCAAAAAATAAGTCTATGAAATATATCATTTATAGCAGCATGTGTTTCATAGCAACAATTGTTAAAGAAAGTAAATGTGGAAAAAACTACATTTGGGTTGCACATTTCAACATTCATCACCCTTGTCTTTTGACAGTGTGGTTATAGCGAGGTGTGCAGGGAGGCACTGTATAACGAGGCCGGAGACATATTGACAGTTGTTGCGGCAGTGATGCTCTCTGGCCACTATTCATTACCACCCTGTAATATATCCCAGCATCAGCAGATATACACCAGGGACTACACCAACTTGTGACATATAAACCGGAATATTCTCATACAAGATACTGTCACAGGAGCAATAGAATAGAAAGTATTTATGCAGCAGCGGCAGTAACGTTGCTGTCTGCAGGTTGAGGCAGCACTCTCAGGCTACGGAGGGAGCGATACAGAACGATACAGCACCGTTATAATACTACCTATGTGCTGTATATGTCTATGTCATACAGGCATGTGATATAGGATTGCGATACAAGGGTGTGATACAAGAGTCATACAATGATGTGATATGGGGATGTGATACGAGGATGTGATACAAGGATGTGATACAGGAATGTGATACCAGAATGTAATACCACAGTGAGCCCAAGGATGTTGTGCACAATATAACACTACAGGGTTCTTCCCATGGTGTCATTGTGGAGTGTGGTAATTGAATAGATTGTTCTTGAAGGAATTAAGGTCAGTCAACAGCCATGAAATGTCTTAACTTTAACACACTAGCATGTACAAACTCTTAAAGCATCTCCTGTTTAATCATTTGTGAGTAGAAGCCCCAGACAGTGTAGCAGATTAACTCGGGGGAACTCAACTATATTGCACGCAGAATCTCAGACAAATTAACTAAAGCAGTTAACTATTGAAGACATTGAATAAATCATTCTGATGCTGGGTTTTTTACACCATGTCGGTTTAAGTGCATTCTGGGATAAAACCAAGGAAAATGGCTGCTGAAAAACTCACGACCCAACCTGTCACCAGTAGTTACATCTATCAACAGCAACTCTGACAAGCTGGACAGGAATACAATATTTTGACTGCAGTGTGAGATGTTTGACGAATTAAGGGAAGGATAGCCTTGCACCTCGACTGTTCTATCGTTAATGCTTAAATACAATGTCATCCAGTTTCAGTGGCTGCAGAATGTGGTTCTGGAGCATTACTCATTCCATCTAGGGTGACTTCATACCACAAGATTCATGGTGTTTCTCTCTGTTGATAATTGAAACGTGTGTGACATAGTCGAAGGGATTCAAAACCACAAGATTCATGGTGTCTCTCTCTGTTGATACTTGAAACGTGTGTGACATAGACGAAGGGATTCAAAACCACAAGATTCATAGTGTCTCTCTCTGTTGATACTTGAAACGTGTGTGACATAGATGAGGGGATTCTAAACCACAAGATTCAAGGTGTCTCTCTCTGTTGATACTTGAAACGTGTGTGACATAGACGAAGGGATTCTAAACCACAAGATTCATGGTGTCTCTCTCTGTTGATACTTGAAAAGTGTGTGACATAGACGAGGGGATTCTAAACCACAAGATTCATGGTGTCTCTCTCTGTTGATACTTGAAACGTGTGTGACATAGACGAAGGGATTCTAAACCACAAGATTCAAGGTGTCTCTCTCTGTTGATACTTGAAACGTGTGTGACATAGACGAGGGGATTCTAAACCACAAGATTCAAGGTGTCTCTCTCTGTTGATACTTGAAACGTGTGTGACATAGATGAAAGGATTCTAAACCACAAGATTCAAGGTGTCTCTCTCTGTTGATACTTGAAACGTGTGTGACATTGACGAGGGGATTCTAAACCACAAGATTCATGGTGTCTCTCTCTGTTGATACTTGAAACGTGTGTGACATAGAGGAAGGGATTTGAAACAACAGGATTCATGCTGTCACTGTCTGTTGATAATTTAAACGTGTCTGACATAGGCGAGGTGAGTTCATACCACAGGATTTAAGGTGTCATAGTCTGTGCTGATACTTGAGACTGTGTGCAAAGTGTATGATGAATGTCGCCACTGTCAATTGTCGCGAATGTTTGTGACACGGGCGAGATGAGTCTGAATGTCAGCATCGTCGGCATGGGGGTGGAAATCGGTCTGTCATCCTTGGGAGTCCTTCTCATCCTCATCACAATCATGATTCTGAGAAAGAAGCCACTGAAGTCAGCGTACACGCAGATTCTGGTAAACACGGCGTTGCTCGACAACATCTTCCTCCTGAGCCTCCTTGCCAGCAACATCCTGTACCTCTCCTCCACTGCCAAGCTGCTCCCGATACAGCCCTTGATGTCAATGATACCGTTCGTGCCACTGACCTTGACCTTCTTGACGGCGGAGGTGTACATGGTGGCTGTGTTGATGATCAAGAAGGTAATTGCCCTGTTGGAACCGGGCAGGTTTGAGCAGTGTTTGAGTGAGAGAAAGACTTTATTTATTGTGATTAGTGTGTGGGTGTTGTCAGCGAGTTATAACCTGCCCCACTGGTGGGCTTACATGCCAGCCGCCTTCAGCAGTCAACGACAGAACTTCACCTGGCCACATCTATGGAGGGACGACAGCGACAAGTTTAAAGGATCATATTTCTATAAGAGAGTATACGGCTTGTATCTTCTGTGTGTGTTTGAGCTTCTTGTTCCAATATCTGTGTTCATCGCCGGATTGGTGTTGTTGCATAATTCGAGGAATTCCAGACTGGAGGATGATGAGGATTCATTAAAAAGTCTCGATCGGAGACAATGGGCGATGATGAACCGTAGCCTGTCGACTCCGATCTGGTACATCGTGATGTTGACTCTGTTGTCCAGGCTGGTGACAGCGTGTTTCCTCATTGCCAGAGGGCCCAAGTACTGCCCTGAAGTTCACGCCTGCTTATTTTCTGAGAATATTGTTAGACTCCTGTATATATGTAATGCTTTCATCAAGTTTCTTATATATGTGTTCTGTCTTCCAAGTTTTAGAAAAGCAATTCAGGTGGCCTTTAGCTGTACATTACAACGCACACATCGGGCACAGCAAGTCTAGATAGAGACCCTTTGTTTAACATTACAACACACACATTTGGGGAAGCAAGTCTAGACCTGTAGGTTCTTCTAGTGATCCACTGTTTAACATTACAGACTAATATACCAGTGTTTAACATTACAACACACCTGGGGAGATGCAAGTCTAGGTTCTTCTAGTGACCCACTGTTTAATATCACTATACACACATCAAGGGAAGCAAGTCTAGACCAGTTGGTTCTTCTAGTGACCCTTTGTTTAACATTACAACACACACATTTGGGGAAGCAAGTCTAGACCTGTAGGTTCTTCTAGTGACCCACTGTTTAATATCACTATACACACATCGAGGGAAGCAAGTCTAGACCAGTTGGTTCTTCTAGTGACCCTTTGTTTAACATTACAACACACACATTTGGGGAAGCAAGTCTAGACCTGTAGGTTCTTCTAGTGACCCTTTGTTTAACATTACAACAAACACATCGGGGAAAGCAAGTCTAGACCTGTAGGTTCTTCTAGTGAGCCTTTGTTTAACATTACAACACACACATCGGGGGAAGCAAGTCTAGACCTGTAGGTTCTTCTAGTGACCCTTTGTTTAACATTACAACAAACACATCGGGGAAAGCAAGTCTAGACCTGTAGGTTCTTCTAGTGACCCTTTGTTTAACATTACAACAAACACATCGGGGAAAGCAAGTCTAGACCTGTAGGTTCTTCTAGTGACCCTTTGTTTAACATTACAACACACACATTTGGGGAAGCAAGTCTAGACCTGTAGGTTCTTCTAGTGAGCCTTTGTTTAACATTACAACAAACACATCGGGGAAAGCAAGTCTAGACCTGTAGGTTCTTCTAGTGACCCTTTGTTTAACATGACAACAAACACATCAGGGAAAGCAAGTCTAGACCTGTAGGTTCTTCTAGTGATCCTTTGTTTTACATTACAACACACACATCAGGGGAAGCAAGTCTAGACCTGTAGGTTCTTCTATTGATCCACTGTTTACCATTACAACACACACATTTGGGAAAGCAAGACTTGACCTGTAGGTTCTTCTAGTGATCCACTGTTTAACATTACAACAGACACATCGAGGGAAGCAAGTCTAGACCTGTAGGTTCTTCTAGTGACCCTTTGTTTAACATTACAACAAACACATCGGGGGAAGCAAGTCTAGACCAGTTGGTTCTTCTAGTGACCCTTTTAAACATGACAACAAACACATCAGGGAAAGCAAGTCTAGACCTGTAGGTTCTTCTAGTGATCCTTTGTTTTACATTACAACACACACATCAGGGGAAGCAAGTCTAGACCTGTAGGTTCTTCTAGTGATCCTTTGTTTACCATTACAACACACACATTTGGGAAAGCAAGACTTGACCTGTAGGTTCTTCTAGTGATCCACTGTTTAACATTACAACAGACACATCGGGGGAAGCAAGTCTTGACATGTAGGTTCTTCTAGTGACCCTTTGTTTAACATTACAACACACACATTTGGGAAAGCAAGTCTAGACCTGTAGGTTCTTCTAGTGACCCTTTGTTTAACATTACAAAACACACATCAGGGGAAGCAAGTCTAGACCTGTAGGTTCTTCTAGTGACCCTTTGTTTAACATTACAACACACACATTTGGGGAAGCAAGTCTAGACCTGTAGGTTCTTCTAGTGACCCTTTGTTTAACATTACAACAAACACATCGGGGAAAGCAAGTCTAGACCTGTAGGTTCTTCTAGTGAGCCTTTGTTTAACATTACAACAAACACATTTGGGGAAGCAAGTCTAGACCTGTAGGTTCTTCTAGTGACCCTTTGTTTAACATTACAACAAACACATCGGGGAAAGCAAGTCTAGACCTGTAGGTTCTTCTAGTGATCCTTTGTTTAACATTACAACAAACACATTTGGGGAAGCAAGTCTAGACCTGTAGGTTCTTCTAGTGACCCTTTGTTTAACATTACAACACACACATTGGGGGAAGCAAGTCTTGACCTGTAGGTTCTTCTAGTGACCCTTTGTTTAACATTACAACAGACACATCGGGGGAAGCAAGTCTAGACCTGTAGGTTCTTCTAGTGACCCTTTGTTTAACATTACAACACACACATTGGGGGAAGCAAGTCTTGACCTGTAGGTTCTTCTAGTGATCCTTTGTTTGACATTACAACACACACATCGGGGGAAGCAAGTCTAGACCTGTAGGTTCTTCTAGTGATCCTTTGTTTGACATTACAACACACACATCAGGGGAAGCAAGTCTAGACCTGTAGGTTCTTCTAGTGATCCTTTGTTTGACATTACAACACACACATCGGGGGAAGCAAGTCTAGACCTGTAGGTTCTTCTAGTGATCCTTTGTTTGACATGACAACACACACATCGGGGGAAGCAAGTCTAGACCTGTAGGTTCTTCTAGTGACCCTTTGTTTAACATGACAACACACACATCGGGGGAAGCAAGTCTAGACCTGTAGGTTCTTCTAGTGACCCTTTGTTTAACATGACAACACACACATCGGGGGAAGCAAGTCTAGACCTGTAGGTTCTTCTAGTGACCCTTTGTTTAACATTACAACAGACACATCGGGGAAGCAAGTCTAGACCTGTAGGTTCTTCTAGTGACCCTTTGTTTAACATTACAACACACACATCAGGGGAAGCAAGTCTAGACCTGTAGGTTCTTCTAGTGATCCACTGTTTAACATTACAACACACACATCAGGGAAGCAAGTCTAGACCTGTAGGTTCTTCTAGTGATCCACTGTTTAACATTACAACACACACATTTGGGAAAGCAAGTCTAGACCTGTAGGTTCTTCTAGTGATCCTTTGTTTGACATTACAACACACACATCGGGGGAAGCAAGTCTAGACCTGTAGGTTCTTCTAGTGACCCTTCGTTTAACGTTACAACACACACATCAGGGGAAGCAAATCTAGACCTGTAGGTTCTTCTAGTGACCCTTCGTTTAACATTACAACACACATAATTGCTCTTTTTTCAAATAATTAGACTCTTGCCAGTAAGGAGAGACCAATTAATTTTAATGCATGGATGCAAAATGAAAAATAAACAAGGAGAAGAAATATGTAATTTCAAATACGTTTTTGAAACATCTCATTATTTGAATTATTGTTTATATATTAATATTAATTACGTAATACATAAGTATTAAAATGGTAAAAATGTAGGTTTATTTGAGGTTAACATTAAAATGGATGCTAAAAGCAAATTGACCTAACTTTTTTTTCATTTTGTCTCCTGTAAAAAAACTCAATAATCTTTTCTGATTTACATGTTGTTCAGAATGTCAGACAATCCATATTTATCAGCTCTTGGCTTTTTTCCTATTTAACTGCAAAACCAAGCAAACTGATATTATTTCCTCTGCATGAATTATATTTTCAACCAGAAAAAGTGTTTGGTCCAAACTGAAGAACATCATGTAATAGCTTTCATTTATGCTGTATCGCTGACCACCTTGTGTCCCTAAATATACAGCCAAAGTACAGGTGTAACTACAGGTGTGCATAAAGGTGGATGTATGCATACATGCAGGTGTGAATACACCCACAGGTATAATTGCAGGTGGACATGCAGGTGTGAATACACATACATGTATAATTACAGGTGTACATGCAGGTGTGAATACACATACAGGTGTAATTACAGGTGTACATGCAGGTGTGAATACACATACATGTGTAATAACAGGTGTACATACAGGTGTGAATACACATACATGTGTAACTACAGGTGTACATACAGGTGTGAATACACATACATGTGTAACTACAGGTGTACATACAGGTGTGAATACACATACATGTGTAACTACAGGTGTACATACAGGTGTGAATACACATACATGTGTAATTACAGGTGTACATGCAGGTGTGAATACACATACATGTGTATATACAGGTGTATATACATGTGTGAATACACATACATGTGTAATTACAGGTGTACATACAGATGTGAATACACATATAGGTGTACATACAGGTGTGAATACACATACATGTGTAATTACAGGTGTACATACAGGTGTAATTACAGGTGTACCTACAGGTGTGAATACACATACAGGTGTGAATGCACATACCTGTGTAATTACAGGTGTACATACAGGTGTGAATACACATACAGGTGTAATTACAGGTGTACATGCAGTTGTGAATACACATACATATGTAATTCCGGGTGTACATGCAGGTGTGAATGCACATACATGTGTAATTACAGGTGTACATACAGGTGTGAATACACATACAGGTGTAATTACAGGTGTACATACAGGTGTGAATACACATACATATGTTACTACAGGTGTACATACAGGTGTGAATACATGTACATATGTAATTACAGGTGTACATAGAGGTTCGAATACAGATACATGTGTAATTACAGGTGTGAATACTCATTCATGTTTAATTACAGGTGTACATTCAGGTGTGAATACACATACATGTGTAATTACAGGTGTACATACAGGTGTGAATACACATATATGTGTAATATCAGGTGTACACACAAGTGTGAATACACATACATGTGTAACTACAGGTGTACATACAGGTGTGAATACACATACATGTGTGAATACACATATATGTGTAACTACAGGTGTACATACAGGTGTGAATACACATACATGAGTAAATAGCGGTGTACATACAGGTGTGAATACACATACATGTGTAATTACAGGTGTACATACTGGTGTGAATACACATATATGTGTAACTACAGGTGTACATACAGATGTGAATACACATACATGTGTAATTACTGGTGTACATACAGGTGTGAATACACATATATGTGTAATTACAGGTGTACATACAGGTGTGAATACACATATATGTGTAACTACAGCTGTACATACAGGTGTGAATACACATACATGTGTAACTACAGGTGTACATACAGGTGTGAATAAAGATACATGTGTAACTACAGGTGTACATACAGATGTGAATACACATACATGTGTAACTACAGCTGTACATACAGGTGTGAATACACATACATGTGTAACTACAGGTGTACATACAGGTGTGATTAAAGATACATGTGTAACTACAGGTGTACATACAGATGTGAATACACATACATGTGCGAATACAGCTGTACATACAGATGTGAATACACATACATGTGTAATTACAGGTGTACATACAAGTGTGAATACACATATATGTGTAACTACAGGTGTACATACAGGTGTGAATACACATACATGTGTAATTACAGGTGTACATACAGGTGTGAATACACATATATGTGTAACTACAGGTGTACATACAGGTGTGAATACACATACATGTGTAATTACAGGTGTACATACAGCTGTGAATACACATATATGTGTAACTACAGGTGTACATACAGGTGTGAATACACATATATGTGTAACTACAGGTGTAACTACAGGTGTACATACAGGTGTGAATACACATACATGTGTAACTACAGGTGTACATACAGGTGTGAATACACATACATGTGTTATAACAAGTGTACACGTGTGAATACACATACTGTATTTGGCATAATAAGCGCCCAGCTCTTATAAGAGTCCATGGTGATGTTTGATAAAATATTGCCAAGTGAACATTCCCAATAAGCGCCCATCCCGTTTTATAAATGTACACAAGACTTATATATTTTGTGTATAATACCCACTTGTGCTTTATACATACCCTTAATGATGGGCAATTAAATTCTGGAAATAATATATCTCTTGTGTATAATACGCACAGACTTTTCTTTTGTATCATTTCTGGCTGTCAGTATAAACCAAGAAATTTACGATCTTTCAACTTTACATTTCTAATAAATTATATTCTAATAAATTCTCCCTAATACTAATTTTGAGAGTGCCCTGGGTGCTTATTACGTTGAATTCAGTACACGTGTAATTACAGATGATCATACAGGTGTGGATACATGTGTGTTTCTCCGGTGTGTCTGGTTGTGTCCAATTTCTCCAATGTTTTTTTATTATATCTGTATTTGACTAGTGCTCTACCACTTATCCTATTGCACACATATGGGGATTTGCCTTGTAATATACTTCAGATCTCACCTGTACATCAACAGGAGGAAAGACTGACAAGTTTCAAGGGCCCTTCAAGATCACTTCCACATATGCAGCATTTATTTTTTTTCTCTAGAAACTTTGCCACCACTTTGGACCAGAAATCTACAAAGTTAGTAGATGCTTAACAGTTTGGACCGGAAATCTACAAAGCTAGTAGATGCTAAACAGTTTCCATTGGAAATCTACAAAGTTTGGAGACACAAAGCAGTTTCAATTGGAAATCAATAGAGTTTGTCGATGCTGCGCTTGATGCATCAAACAGACATTCCATGTATAACTTTGCCCATGGCTTTTTTCTGTAAACAACCAAATGATCTGTGGTCGAAAAACAAAATCAAGTTGCAAACAAGAATTCAAAGGGATGTCTTGAAAATATGGTCGGCTGGTGAAACGGGAAGAATTCGAGAAAAGAAATGTGATTCTTGGAGGTACAGACTTACTCCCTTTACCAATCAATCTCCTTGGAAATGTGCTAACAGTCTCAACATACAGAAGACAATTCCTGAAATTCTCATCGAAAAATGTGTGATTTCTTGGTGTTTGGTGATCCATGCATCAAGGAATAAAAGCCCTTATGCTGGCTTCTCCTGTTTGCTGGCAGTTCCATTGAGCATGGTGAACAATAACTTCTTGGAGTGGCCATCAGAAGTTGGTGTGATGAATATGAACAGTTTCCTATGGATCAACAACTTCCTTCGTACAATCGAGGCGACATTTCCGTCTAGCACACCGTTATCAAGCGAGATCGCTTGCCTCATTGTCACCTCTATTGTAATAAAGAAGTTGTTGATCAATAGAACTTGGGAACATTATCTGTAACAGTGAACAGCACTGACATTGAACAGCGAAGCCGAAAAACAGCATTGTTCATTTTACTTCACTATGCACAAGTTCTTGTACTGATGTCTCTTGCCCTAGTTTTTTTCTTGCATCAATAAGAGTGTTTACACAATAAAATTCAGTTTGCTATATCTTTTATCTATATTCAACTTTGCTAATAAAGGTTACAGGAATCAATAACGAGAAAAAATATATATTTTCATTCAATAGTTTATTAAACTTATTGCTAATAAAAGTTTGAACTAACTTCATCAAACAATCGTAGAATCAAGAGAGGTTATTTCATGTGTTGAGTGAAATATCCCTTTGCCCTGTTGCGAGATGAGAGAACATGATATTTCACTCGACACATGGAATATCCTAGGTATTTATTATGTATTTTTTGTGTAGTTGTCTACCGGAAATTTATTTTTTATCATTACAAATGTAAAACCTTGAAACGTAAATTCTCCCTACCTAACACACAGGGACAGTTCACCACATTTCACACCCCTTGTAAATGCGACTTAAAAAGTAGTTCCGAGTTTGCAAAATCTTAAAAAATATTAAATAAAGTAATACAAAATATTTAAGGTCACTAAAATTCTTCATCATGCATTTGGATATGATTGTATACAAAATCAACTTAAACAAAAATATTCTTGAAAGCTACGAGACCGCTGTTGGAAGTGAAGGAATACACACTGGTCAAGTAACAAAAATGGTGCTTTGAGAAACGATGACTCAATTGATGAGTTAAATGATATATTTGATATCAAAAGACATGAGGGTGAGATTTTATCATCCAACATCATTCTTCCAACTTTTTCAGTTGGTAGACAGTCATAATCTTAAATCTAAAAAGTACTGCTAACAGCTTCAGTAGCAGAGCCATTAGTGATGTCATTTGATTGTGACATCATGGTAACCAATGGCATCACAATGGTCTGCAAAGCATTGTGATGCAATTTCATTGCTGCAATATCTACGATGTCGATATCGCTTGATCTCACCCAAGCCATATCTCCTGTGGGAGCCAGTTTTGGATGATAAAATGTAATACTTGGTGTGAAAAAATTTAACGCGGCACTCAGCAATATTCCAGCTATATGACGGCGGTCTGTAAATAATAGATTATAGAGTCTGGACCAGACAATCCAGTAATTGACATCATGAGCATCGATCCACACAATTGGGATTGACATGCATCAACCAAATCAACGAACCTGACCACCCGATCCCGTTAGTCGCCTCTTACGACAAGCATAGTCGCCTTTTA